TGTGGCGGGAGAGAAGCATGGATGGATGAGTGGTACAACTTCCATACGCACCCTCGTGAGAATAAGAATTTGAACGTTTTGCTGAGAGGGGATCCGAAGACTTTCAAAGGCGGGAAGCCAGCAGTTGTTCCGAGTTTGACGAGGCATTCATACAAGGAGTATGAATCCGTACACACAATAAGTGGGATCGGTGGTAGACCTAGGCGTCCTGTAATTATCTTGAGGGTTGTTAGGATAGCGATAGCGATGTCGACACCGCTAACCATGCCGTACGTTTCTGAGGCAAGAACGCTCCGGGTAACGCGTTTGCATTTGGTCGAACTCCAATGGATTACGTTACCACGAATATCAAACGTGCTGTCTTGTCGACTCGACTCATTCGCAAGGATAAGTAGGTACCCTAGCTGTGAGCTAAGGTCTTGGTTGTTCGCGAAGGATCCGTCTGTGAACACTACCAGCTTTGCTGTAGCGAGGTCGAGAGGGACGTATCGCAGGCCTCGTTGTATGCTCTCAGATTGCCACTGCAGCCGGCGGTTAAGCTTCACGTATTCCGTGTCCTTAGGTTGTTGTATTTGCGCAGCCGCGGAAAGATCGAACGATGCTTCAGGTTGGCATATCGACGCAATGTACGCGCCACGCGCGCGCTGCTCCATGTACTTCTGTGCTCGGTTTGCTGCCTTCGGATCAATGATTTCGATCTTGGCACCTTGTCCCTTCTGCGTAAGTAGAATCGTGTCTCCGCGCAACGTTAGAGTACATCCGTTGAACTCGAGTGATACTTCTTTGGACAGTCTCTCCTTGGGCTTAGCTCGAAAATTGGCTTTCTGGAGCGCAGCGTCTTCTGCACCAGAGAATGCAGGCGTCCCAATCGCGAGAGTATCGTCTGTCTGCAGGCCCACTATTCCAAACGCTTCCCGTCTCCCGTTCGTGATCAGGAGGCACGGGTCATACGTTGATGTAGCCATGTCGAGCTCCTTGCAGTGGTGTCCTTGGTACGTAGCAAACCAGTGGACTCCTGCTTCCGCGATTCCATAGAGTGGCTTGATTACGCGAATAATTGTTCCCTCGGGATACTTTGTTATAAGCTCCTTTGGGAGGTGCGCTAAAACCGTGCGGAATAGCTCTGTTTGTGCCTGTGGGTACGCTTGCGTGATATCTCGTAGTTCCACAACCATGCCCTCATCGAGTAATGCAGGCGCTAGGGCTAGAATCAGGCGTTGGCTGGCTCGTTGGATGGTTGGCGACTGCGTCAGGATCTCGTGTTTGCCCTCGTCATTGTAACCTTGAACAACGAGGCGTGATTTCTCGTACGGGACCATGGTCTTGCCTTTGACTTCGCGGACCATGCGCGATTTGAAGATACGATACCCGCCGTGTAGAGTTGGATCAAACAGCTCAAAACTGAATACTCCACGGCCGACGAGGTCGTCGATCTCCTTCTGATCGGATGCTTCGAATGGAGCGCCCGGGACGTTAATCACGCCGTCATTGCGTAGCTTGACGGCCAGGGCGTAATCGTCCTCCTCCTTCTTCGACAGGTACTGCACCTTGGGCTTGTTCTTTGATCCAGGTGGGCGGCCCCGCTTGCGCGGCTGAGCCGCTTGGTTGGCTTCCGCCGGTGGTACCGGTAGTGGCGGTTCATCAGCAATCGCTTCGTCTGTGGTCGGAGATCCACCTGTGCCTTGATCTGCGCCGTCTATCGCTGTAGTCAGATCGCGATAGTACGGTTTTACGACAGTGGATCGGAACGTCGTTGGGCCGTTGATCATGTCTACAGTAACATCGTGGTCCTTCATATCGATGACTCTATACGGCCCTTGCCATCCATTCTTCTCGCGCCATACCATCACCTCACTCTGAAGAGGCAGTGACAGTACCCCGTCTGTAGTAGGCCCATTCCTGGTACCAAGTGCGTTGCTCACCGCATGTTCCGCTGAGGCCTTCCGCAGCGCCCTCATCGCTTTCTGGATTGCCTCCGCGCGATGGGTTATCGAGGGAGATGGTGGTGAATCCATGGATATCCGGGGGTATGCACCGAAGACGAGCAGCGTGGGTACGAGCCCGTCTGGGCCTGCGGTGTCGTTGACGGCCTTGACTGCCATCTGCAACACTGCGGCGTCGCTGGTGCCAGTGTCAAGCTCTGTCCTCAGGATCTCGTACACGCGTCTGAGCGGTGCGTGGTATCTTTCTACCTTGCCGATAGACCAATGGGCCTCGGTTGGCACTTGTTTACATGTGATTCCCATGATCTTCGCCTCTGATCTGAATTCGACTGACGCGAAGTTGGTGCCGGCGTCGTGGGTGACGATATCTGGCGGCCCTTGGTATGTATCAATCCAGAGCAGGCGGAGTGCTTCCCAGGTGTCTTTCGCGCTCATAGACGGTAGAAATCGCGCGCCGTTGAATGTTGTAGCCGAATCGATCACGTGAAGCACTGGTTTCCCACTCAGATACATCACATCTACGAGGATCTCGAAGTTGAATTCCCGATCATCTTTCAGCCTAAACTTGAATCGGCGCGGCGCTGGATCATGCGCTTGGCAGTGATGGCAGAACGTTTGGATCTCTCGGAGCAGCCGTTCATCCACGTCCTCGTGTCCTGCGCGTTTGAGCAATCGTATCAGCCGTTCGACGGCTGGATGCCCGAACCTCCGGTGTAAGCGTCGGAGCTCAGTCTCCGTAAGGAATACGCGCGCGCGCTCTGCCTTGCTTAGGTGGAACCACGGGTGTCCCCATTTGCGAATCACTGGAAAGGTAGCTTTTCCTTGTACCAGCTGGTCCGTAGTATTGTTGAAGTACACGTGGAGCCGGTCCATGTCTTTCAGACAGAGGAGAAACGGGGTGGGTGCGTTCAAGACCTCAAATTTGATCTTTCCAATCTGTGTCGATACATGTGCGGTTCCAATCGAAGTAGTGACGCTTCCTTTGCCAAATTGCACAGATGCGTTTCCAGCAGTAGACGTATCTAGAGTTACGGTGGGGTCCTCAGTTTGGAGCGCCCAGAACTGCTCCTTTCCGGCTGTCGATACATTTGAGGCACCAGTGTCAGGAAGAATGCCTTGGTACGTGATTCGCGAGTATCGATCCTCGATAAGGAACTGCGTTGCGGGCGTAATAGGCTCCTTGCACCTGTAGACGTCTTCTCCAGTCACGTGGTGCAAAAAGGCCTGATCTGTGAGGTACTTAACTGCCAATCTTTGGTCCTCATCATCTTCGTCTTGCTCCTCTAGGAAGAACTGGTCGACTTCTTCCCCCTCGTACGCGACGAGAAATGTGCTAAACTCCATTTGCTCTCCCGTAATCGCGCAGTGTGTGATGTACTGCGCTTTTGAGCGTTTTCTTTCTTCAAGCGTGTGGTTTGTGGACCAACAGCCTGTCTTGCCGCAGACGTAACATTTCTTGTCGATTTGTGTGTTGACTCCAGAGCGGTGCTGAAGCCCACCGCGTCCGCGGGTGAATCCGCTGCGTCCACCGCGAGGGTTGTAATTCCCTCGCAATCTTCCAGAGCTGTTGTTGTTGTACCGACGATCCAAGTAGTACTGGCTATCCGTATCCGCCTCAGTGAAGTTGACGGAGACGGTCATGGCGAGTGAGTTTTCGATTGACGATCGCAGATCTCCAAACAGAACCTCGCATTCTAGAGACGGCTTGTAGAGTGCCATCTCGAGCTCCTTCACGCCTCGGCATGCTGTGATTACAGTCGTTCGGAGCGCGTATTCTCCCATGTACTGCTGTCCAAGTGCTCTTTGACACAATTGGAGCTTGTCCAGCATGATGTCAAGGACCTCGTGGAGGTTCTTTTCGGGGTTCTCCCTGCGGACTTTGACAAACGATGTCGTCGTCCAGTCCGCGTAGTAATGGCCGTGGTTGACGTCTGTGTCGAAGTGGTTCTTGAGCTTTGTGTAGGCAGTCAAGAACGTATCCATCCGCTGATCGACGAAGTGGAGGTAATACTCCTCTGCGCGGCCGTCGAGAATCCGTGGAAAGACTGCATGGAACTGCCCTGGCTCGATGTCTGCGTGATAACAGATGCTGTAGAAGATCTTCAATTTATCGTCTAGGAGGTCGTACGGCTTTCCCGTATACTTTTTGTCTCGGTCCCACATTTTCACGAAGACATTGATCGTCTTAGGATCCAGTTTCTCATTGCCAAACTCGATTGGTGGAACTGCCTTGTACGGGTCTGTTTCACCAGAGGGCACAATTGGGGGAACGCTCAGTCCCTTCGGACGTTGCGGGTATGCTGGTGTATACTCGCGGAATCGGTCGAAGTTGTTGTAGGTGAGGGGAGGTTGCTGACTTTGGACGCGCTGATAGGCTGGCTGCGGTGCGGATTCAGTTGTCTCTACAGGCTGGCTTCGGATTGGTTGGTTTTGGGCTTTCTCAATCGTTTTTGCCAGCTGGTCCTGAATCTGTTGTTCTTCCTCAACGGTCTCCTGTCGTCCTTGCACACGGGCGTGGGTCTGGTCTTGATCGCGGGTTTGCCGACTGTCTACGTCTCGGCCTCTTGTCCTTACAGGCGTTTGGGTTCGGCTCTGGGCCTGGCTTGATAATCTCCTGTCTGTGGACTGTACTGATCCTTCACTGCGTTGTTGCCGTAGTGCCCGCTCTTGCAACATGTGCGCAGCTGATCGTGTGTCAAACACAGCCGACTGGAATACGTCCTGAGGCCATTCTAGGTACTCCTCCATGCGTAATAACCTAGCTAGAGACTCACTAGGTGCCATATTAATACGGCCAGTATACACTCCCTTAAAGCGGAGGATCCGCTTTAGTTCCTTTGTGTATATTGGCTGGGCACGTAGGAACATTGCCTCTGTCCATCCTTCAAAGTCCTGACGGAACTCCCAAAAGAGTTCTTCATCTGCTGTTGGTCGATCTGTATAGTCCGCAATCGCACGCGCAATGTACGTTGTTGCTGTAGTAATCCCTACCTCATCGTCTGGAGCTTCAACGTTGTCCTCCCACATCTCTGGATCGATGTGATGCCATTCTCTTGGTTTTATGTTTGTGGTCCCTAGTAGCGCCTCTAGTGTGGGTACCACTCTTCTACTACTGCTCGCCATTCCTACTGCCGGTGTCCTGGCTACCGGTGCTCTTTCTAATGATGTTCTCTCTCCTGCCATTGTGTTCTTGTTGACGCTTGTTGCGCTAGCTGCGTTCGCTAGAGATGCGTCGGTGGTCGTGGGTTGTACACGGGTCAAATCTCAACCGGTCGGTTGGCGCGTGTATAGACGGCGTCTTGGAACGCTTCTGATACGGCTGTAACGGTCGGTCGCTAGCCACGAACGACGCCTGATATAGCTAACAGTGAGCTTAGCATAGATAACTCCGCCTTGCTGATATAGGCAATCTAGGGAACGCGCGGGGTAAAGAATCTATCTCTTCTTAACCTAACTGTCTGTGACTGCCGTGCAATCACTGATCAGTGTTGGAAGGCCTTGTACGATCGTACGGTGAATAACAGTAGCTAAGGTAATCTTGTGTATTGGTATTCTGGTGTATGATGATTCTACGAATGTGGGGGCTACGAAAGGTATACATAGCGTTGGGTCCGAGTTGGGCCGAAGTAGGATCGAGGCGGTACATTGGGCCTTATTAGGCGACACACCGTGTGTATGCCGACACTATGGCTTATTATTTGTTGTCTACTATTTATTGTTTATTCATTACTATCCCTAGTGCTTTCTTTCTTATTTGCCTAATATCCCGTTTGCTTAGTTAAAGGTAAGGTAATCGCTGGTCTATTTCTTTATATTTGCTTCGACAGAACGATCTGCTCAATATCATCTTTTCCTGGCCACGGCAGCTAGAAGATGCTTCACTTGTGATATCAAATATGCATAAGGTAGTCATTTAGAAAGAAGTGTAGATGTAAGCTATCGTCTCTTGTTTCAGACAATTGCTTGTCTACAGCGAGGAACTGTCAATTACAGTTTATGCAACTGTTCTGCTATCCATCATTTCGCCCTCCTTACGGCGCTCAAACATCCGAACAATGAATCAATTCCAACCCTCGTCAATTTTCATCTTGAGCAAACCAAATGCCAGCCCGTTGAATTCAGTGAGCAAGGTTTCGACCTCCGGCTTCTTAACGAGTGTTTGCATGTGTGTGGCGATAGTCTTGAACACGATGTCGCGCAGGCCTTTGTCGTGCTCTAGCGTGGTTGAGAAAACGTGATACGCCGAGGCGGCAAAAGAAGGCGCGTTCCAATACTTTGAGCATGCCCTGTCGTACTTCTCCTTAACAAGGTCTTTTAAGCCCACGACATCGTACTTTTCGGCGATCTCGTACATCTTGGCATGAGTGAGTAACTGCTCGGAACCAGTTGTAGGAGTGGAAGAGTCTGTTGGCGCGGTATGGAGCCCTGCAAGTTGCTCTGCACGTAGATTTCGCTCCACGATCAGCTTTTCCTTTCGTCTCTGTGTCTTGCCCCATGTAGGAGACATTGACGGAGAGTATAAAGCAGCAGCAAGATCTGTATCCTTGTCCAAAAGAAAAGGATCGTATTCGCCTTCGTAAATGTATTGGAGTAAGAGCTTGACGATGGCTGGCTCATCTTCAGGTAAATCGACATTGCTTCCCTGGGTTTCCTTTAAGGATCCAGATTAGTCTGTGCCCGCGCGAAGCTAGTTATAAGTGCTTACCTTGCCCCCAAACTTGATAGCCCGAGCAAAGAAGTCCGCACGCCAGCAAACAATGTTCTTGTGAACCTTGTGCGAGTCCGAACCGCAGGTTATAGTAAAATCGGAATGCGCACCTGAAGCGAGCAAGCTAGATTCCATTAGCCAACTGCTCTTCAGCGCAAAGCCATGAATGACTCTTACCCTTTCAAACTCGCGAGGAGCTGTTCGCGTGCAGCTTCAGCCATTTTGGCGGTCGGGTGGAATATCTGTATCTGGTAGTGTGGTAGAGAAGCATGCGACGACTATTCTCACGACGGGGCGGTACCGGTAGTTACTGGCTACTCCGAGTCTCCGTGGGTCGGGGGACAAAGCGAGGGTGATATCACTTCCACGAGGACTTTCAAATCAGGCCGGATGCTGATGTCGCTACGCGACGACGTAGAAGAAGGCAGCGAAATGTACCCCGAGTTTGATTAGCGCCAGTTGTACAAGACAAGCAGCTTAGCTTATTCGCGATTGGGAAACGACAGTCTCAACTACTAGAGTTCAAAAATGAATTAGCTTCACATACGGGGATAACTACTGCGGGGTAGCTTATGGTGATTGAGAAGCAGTCTACTTAGCCTTGGAACATTGAAGTTACTCACTGAAGAATTACGTGGCTCATGCAACCAAGATCTCCAGTTCACGGGTTTTCCAAGGTCGTATGACGCATATAACTTTCATGAGAATGGATGTGATCCTCCTAGCAAAATTCTGTGTCGTGATACTTTCGAGGTGTTTGGCTTGGCATGGTGCCACAAGGTGGCGTGGAAGCGGGACTAGGCTGCTCTTGCATGTGGTGCAGGCCCATTGGTTTCCACCTTCCCCAACGTAGAACTTTACCTGGAAGCCAACTTTTATATAACTATCCATTGCTGCATTTGAACACATAGGACACGCTGCGCAGTTGAGAAGGCTCACTTCGACGGGGGTTCTGTCACCGAGACTACAAACTCACAATGCGAAAGGACAATGTGGGATATTATCTCATTTCATTTGGAACATCATAGGCTGCCAGTCTCCTGCAATTCACTCTTCGCCAAAGCCGTTTTGTATTCCTCCATCGTCACTCTTCTGTGTCAAGGCTAGTACTTGAGCGAGATCATGCCGGAAAGCCATGCACTGCGATACAACTTGCTGTATCCTCCTCCTACTCTTATTCCTCCCCCTCCTCCCCCCCCCCCCCCCCCAGTTTTCTCCTCTTCCTCGGCCTTTGGTGCAAACTATTCCGTGTTCTTAAGCAAGACACCAATCGCAAGATCTCCGTGCTCCAGCATCAAGGCCTGCATTTCCGGCTTATGCATAAGCTCCATATGTTTAGAGATGACCTCCATAATAGGATCTCTAAGGCCTAGATCTTCACAGAATGTTGTGGAAAATGCATGGCTGATAGCGCTGAGAAAGGCATCATCGTTCCAAATAGCTTTGCACGAGAGCGTGAAGAGCTTTCGTGAAAGCTCTTTCAGACCAACGACGTCATACTTGTCGGCGATCGTATGCATTTTGGAGTGAATGAGACAGTTTAGCGCAACAGGTTCCGGGATGTAACAAAGATTGCAGATAAACCCTTGGCAGTCATTTCTGCAGTGGTAGTCGCAAAGGTGGTGTGGGCACAGCAAAATCGTCGCACAATTACCCGTGTGATCTCGCTCGCAGGTGTGCGGAAATTCGTACGTGTACTTGCGGTCAAGATTTTCGTTGTGGATATCGCTGAATACCATGGCAAGCTTCGGGTGCTTGAGTGGTGCATCAGGCGTAGAACTTGGAGGATCTGACAGTTGGTTGTCGTACTGGCCCGTGTACAGGTATCGAACGAGAAAATGGATCACCTAGGGATCGTCGTCCGGAAGGTCGATAACATTCTCTTGTGTCTCCTGTTTCGATTTAGGATAGCTTCATATAGTTCATGAAAGATTCGTCATACTTTGCCACCGAACTTTATCGCGCGGGCGAAAAATTCGACTTGCGTACACACAATGACCTTATGGACGTTGAAAGTTTCATTCCCGCATTTTATGACAAGATCTGAGTAATCGCCTGAAGTGAGGAAGCTAGAGATATGGTCAGCTCATTCAATCGTGTCGCAGGTAATCTCATCGACTTGCCTCTCCATCAATTCGGTGCGCTGCATAGCTTGTGCCATGATTGCACGTGGGTGTTGTCAAACGCGTATGAAATGATCAATGCAAGTCGTAGTCGAGAAACAGGTGAAAAGTTTGCTACGTTTACCGGAAAAATCTTTGTGCCGGTGTTACACAGTGCCGGAAAGCCGATGACAGGTGAAGGTGAAAGGCCGACCGCGGCAGTTCCACAACAACATCCTAACTCAGGCGCCAGCACCATTTCATAGCGGTATGAGGGATATATATTTCCTTAATAAAGCCACCAATACTGTGAGAACCCACTCAGAGACCATCCAGTGTCGATCACGCCATCTTGGCAGAAGAATTCAGATGACGCCAAATCAGGCACATGATTTGCTACACCTAGGCTAAAATCAACTGCAGTTAAATCAAATGTATGGAGGTATATATAAGTAATATAAAGGCTTTCTAGACGATATTCATAATGCTGTTTTACAATCACAATGACAATATAAGTAGTCAAGATACTACCCTTATACACTGTTCTCCATCAATAAACAAGGGCAGAGCTGCTTTTAGCGTATGAAGAAGTTTGTTCAAACTTAATCGCAAAGCAACCTAAGTAGTTAATTTCAAGTTGGCTGGTACCAGATCGATCATATGCATCAGGCGTCATCTACCCCGTGCAAGAACCGGTTGTAATTGTCTTCGCGTTGATTGTCGTGGACCGGGAGCTGTGGAGCTGTATTAGTATTGCAATATGGCTCCGCTGCACCTGTATATCTTCCACGGCTTTGCAGAGAGCTTTGAATTATGATTTTTATGCATTGCGGCTCAACTCTAGATGAAAGACTCCAGGCTACTACGTATACGTCCCAGAATTTGGGCGTCAAGTTGTTCACAGCAATAGGTATGGCTCGCGTCGAGAAATCTTTGCCAAAGGTTAGGTGAGAAGCGTAACTCTTTCCAACTTCAAGCCAAGCTTGTTCAGACTTCTCGTCTTCATTTCGGTAATAGAGTTCAGCAATCGAATAGATGAATGTGTTACATTGGAAATTCGAGTTGACTGGCCACATCGAACCTTGCAACTCTTCCAACGTGTATCACTTCATCCACTGATCTACCTTTCCTGATTACGTGTACTTTACGCATAATCCTACTTGCCCAGACATCTGAGTCTATTTCCAACTGCAGAAGTGCATCTCAATATATGCATAGCCTTGTGGTCACATTATCGCGCCCCTTCTTCCTTCTCCGTGGAGTAGATGGGGCTTTGTAGACACACACTAACCGATCTTTCGTAAAATACCTATATCCTCCTGGATACCCATCGCATTCAACATTCCTGCGGTCACGTAACATGCATGAGGATCCCCTCTGCAGCAGGGGCTCCTCTGCTGTAATCGCTACACCAGTTGATTCGATAGCATGTTCATTATGCTCGTCAAAATGGTTGATGGTTTAAAAAAGAAAAGCTATTAGTTGATGACATGGTCTTTTGAGGGAAACGAGATGCTGTTTCCGCATGTAACGTTGTGTAAGGCTGTGCCTATTAACTTCTGTATTAGGATTAAACTAGTTACTCCCAGACTCATCGTGTCAATCGCCTTACCCGACGCAGATGAATCTTTTATCTGCCATCACAACAACGTCCGATTGAACCATCTGGAAATCCAAGGGCGATGTCTCATCGTTAGACAAGCAACTGGAACCTTTGCGAAAAACTCAAACATGCAACTGGAACCTATCTGGCAAACTCTAAACATCAAACTTTATTTTTGAGACGTTATTTGATAGACCTAGATACAAAAGGGAACTTATCTTTCCTTTTGAGTATAGAGCATCTTCAAATATATACGCGTCACATTCACTATGGTCAGCGCTAGGGCGCTGAAAATCATCACCTAGAAGTTATATATCCTCACGTACGTATTATCAGCAGCAGCAACAATATGTTTACAAAACAGTTTGAATTGATTTTTTCATTAACAAAACAACAAAGCAGTAGTCGAATACAGAAACCAGCAGTGAGATATCCTAGCTAACAGAACCCAGGCAGTCGTGCACATGCACAGTACTCTGATCACTTGGCTCGCGTCTTCCTTCTTCGAGCGGGACGCCAATCCTCTTCATCCTCCATCTCCTTCCGCTTCTTCCCGCGCATCGTCGCCTTTACCTCTCGCTCATGGACTTTCTTGGCCATGACTCGAAGCAGGTCGATCCACTGCCGCACATCTGGGAAATCCTGATCGGGTGTAGGCCCTGTCAAGACGGATCCCCTAAGAAGCCAGTGTGCAGTGTGAGCATCGGCAGGCTGAGGGTAATGTATATTTAAATACACAGCCTCTCTTTCCAACGCCTTGCGGGAAGCAGCATCCAGTCGTGCAGGCATGTTGACGTAGCACCATGGCCGTGGTCGTGCGCATGCGAGTGCAGTAGCGACTGGCATTTCGAAAAGTTCGAAGAGTTCGGCGATTGAGTGGAGCGAGTCCTTGTCGCTTTTCGTGAGAGAGAGCCTGTGCAGTCCTCGGAAAACATGGCGGAGCGGTTGTCGTCTCCCCACATGTCGTCGTCTTGAACCTCCAACAGCTCGGGAAACAGTTACTCCACTCCTCGCTCTTCCAAGAGGTCATATGGTACCGCCTTGTACCCTGGACCACGGATCGGACCATGTGCGAAGTACTCATGGATGCATCCTTCGAACTCCTGGTTCAGGTGTGGTGCGTGCCATACTAGGACATCGTTAGCCAACTGGTGTGTATCAATGAGAGCAATGTGCACACCTTTGTATCCTAGGTTCTGCTGTCGCTTTGCGAAAAATATAATCATCATGAGCGACGCTGCCCATGAGCTGATCTCGGAAGGAATGTCTGTCTTACCATCGTAATGGCACTCCAACATGCTCTTCAGCTCGGACTCCTGCAGTTCGTAGAAGTCATGACCCTCCCGATCGTTCATTGATCCATGTGGGATGATCTCTTCGGTACTGTTGATGGTCTCTTTGGGCCCACCACCACTGCCGTAGTGCCAACCACGAAAAAGGTATCGTGGAACACTAGTCTCGCGAAGTTCTTCGAGTGTCTCCTTCTGGGCAGCTGTAAGGGTTTCGTGCCGGTTCTCCTTGAGAGAAATCGACATTTTGCTCTGTATTTTCGAAGTCCGGGTTGTTCCCTTGGTTGTTCGGGTGGTTTGAAGACATTCTGAGGAAAAATATGGGCGATTATAAGCTTCCAGGGGCTTTCGATCGTTTGTGTATAATGCCACGGCAGGAAATTTTGTGAAAGTGTACTTTCACAGACAAGACCTTGCACAATGACAGACGTTGGCTGCTCCTGTGCCAATCCACTAGATTTTGTCAAGCGTCAAGGTTGGGGAGAATCATGTCGTATTAGAGCTATCGGAAAGAGGTCTATATACGCAGTGGGAAGAGGGAGTGAAGGAGCTAGGCCGTAAAGGTACTAGCGGGTAAATGGGTGGCTGCCTGGTTGCCTAAGGAGGAGCCAAGGGATAAGCCCTATGGCCGACAGATTTAGCTGTTTAGATACTATATCAATCATCATCTACCTGTCAAGTTAAGACAATCTCACTCTCAAAAAAACATTGCACAACTGTAGACAGGTCATATGTGAAAGCTAACAGTTATCCATACAGTGTGAAGGTATAGAGGGTCTAAGCGTCTGCAGATCTGCGACTCACGTGAGTCTTCTGTCTCGTTCACCTAGAAGCGCCGCTTCCTCCTGCTTGCATATTAGCGCAACTTCATTCTCTCCCCACCGTACTCAACTCCTCCACACAACTTCACCTCGCAACCTCGTCCTCTCCCACGATACCGACCTTCTCCACACAACCTCCACTCAGTCAACTCGGAACTCGGACAACTCGAACAGTCTTGGATATTGCGCAGCCATGGCTCGACTCATGGACTGCCCGGATGAGTTGCTACTCCAAATCGCTTCGTATCTCGGCTCACTAGATAACAAGTGCTTGTTTTTGACTGCGCGACGACTACGTGGACCTGCCCAGGAGGTTCTTCATCGAAATACTCGCCCCACTCTCTCCCCTCGATTCTATCTACTCTAACTCGTCGGCCAGCTCTCATGCTCCAGGTCCAGAGCATTGAACTTGGCGAATATATGGAGCAACACGGGCGTGCTTGCATGGGTCTGCTGCTCTTCATGGCGCCAATGCTTCGACACTTGTCCATCGTCCATGATTTATGGGTTTGGCTGTGTCGACCGACGATCAACTTCTCCAACATGTTTCTACCTCACACCTCATTGTATACTTCTACCGGAGACTTTGCCTAACGTATTTCATCGTATACTTCTCCCGGAGCTCACTTCGCTGTCTATTCCAATGATCCATCTAGACAAGTCCTGGTTTTTTCTACCTAAGCTCCAACACCTAGATATCGATTGCACCCGCGACATACGTCAACTCGCCCCTGATACACCCACTCATAACATGAAATCCCTGACGATCCGTTGTACGACAAAGCTCAAGGATCATCTTGGCTACTTCGACCCTCTTTCTTCATTGCTTGGACAGTTTCCCAATGTCAAGAGCTTAGTCGTCAAATACACCCCATGGAGTGAAGAAGCTGTTTGGGTGGAGCGAGACCCTTGCAACCAGCAATACACCGGGATCTTCAAGATGGAAAAGAAGGGCATGATACGTGGTCCGGGTATACATTTCTCCCACTTTACCGACGAGCTGATAACAATAGCCCCTCAACTCGAGTACCTGGAGTTGGTCTGCCCAGGCACTGAACATAGTGGTCACCCTAGTTTTCGTGCTCCGCTGCGGACATTGCAACAGTTCACTCAGTTGAAGCGTCTCTGTATTCCACAGGGGGCTTTCACTCTTAGGACATATGGGGAACCCTTTCACATCTACCGCATTGCATCCAGCCCGCTGGATGTTCTACCGCCAACTCTGGAGTATCTCTGCATGTCTCACCCGAGCTACCATATCATTGCGTGGCTAGGTGATATTCTGAGGTACCGTGATTTGCTACCCAATGTCAAGCTGGTTGAGATGGACCTTAGTGATGGCACTCCTGATGTAGCCTCAGACTACGATGATGAGATGCGTAAGATTGGATTTGCGCTGTACAACGCTGGCATAGATATACGGGTGAAGAAGTAAAGGGGGGGGGGGAAGGTTTAAACCATGTCATCGATGGACTTCTAGTTTAGTACGCCAACCGGAATCGCATCTGGGTGTTATAAAATACTTGACATACTCTTAGACAAATGCCGGTGTATTCGTCAAACACGCCTATTAGGTGCTTACCCACAATGCAAGTGATCGTGCTTGTGGCCATAAGAGGGAATTAGATAAGTCAAATTTTTGGAACAGGTTAATTGAAAGTGATTCAAATAATGGGTAATATGTCAGATCCGAGCGAGGTGGAGCCGGCGTGCAATCTCAAAATAGGGGTTGACCCTCTTAACCCCACCATCATCTAAGCATCGGTTCCCTTATACATATCCCCCAAGCTCGTCTCTGTCTTAACAGCATCCTCATGGTAATGCGCACCCGCACCCGGAACACTCGTATCCAATTCCTCAAAGCGCCTCAAGTCCATTGGCTGATCTAGCAGCGGAATGACATACGGGTCGAAAGTCTTCCAGTAGGGGTTGTTGAGGTGGTATTCCTGAGACTGCGAGGGGTTATTATTAGTTTGCTAGACCTGAAACAACACAAACCAAGACAGAGACAAGTCGCTGTGGAGGAAGCAAAGAGAGGATGTAGGCATGCACATTTAAGACAGCATCCTTCCCTTCTCGTCTCCCCAGAATGTCCTTCTATAACAAAAATCCTTCTCTTCTCTTCTCTTCTCTTCTCGTTTCGCTCGCCGTCTTCTCCACCCAAAAAGAGAAATGATTAAACTCACCGATTCCTTCAAATACCTCTCCACAATACAAAACTTCCTCGGTTCCTTCGTATCCTGCATAACAAACCAACTCAACGTCTCTTTATCTTGACTATACACCTGGCTCGCTTCCTTAAGTTTCGCGGCCAGCTTATCGATGCTCTCCTGGTCCGCCTTAGCGACGAGGTGGACGACAATTGTGTAGACCATTTTGAATTTTTCTTGGCTTCTGTTTTCTTTCTTTTATCTGAGTTGGTCGTGTGTGGTGTGGAAGGTGGGATGTGTAGATGTTAGAATTCTGCGAGATAGGATCGAATGGGATGTGTAAAAGGAACAAGATAAAGAGACGTGAGGTCAAAGTTTGCGGCTGATGATACTTTTTTTGCGGTCTAGTGACGTAGAACCCCGCAGCTGGTGGTGGCTAGTGGGGTGGAGCTCGCAGATGCGCACGCTTCCCTGTCGACGGACATTGTTAAACCGGAATAAGGATAGGCCGGCTTACTCACCACTGCAAGGAACGAGGTAGTGCCGATGACTGTGTGCTCCGTCGTATATATCTTACTGACCCTCTGCTCACCCCACACAATGAAATAATGAAATGATAAGCCATGGAATGATTGTGAACTTGTATATTTCGTTGAACATATCGAAAAGATCTAAAGAGGTGCCTCCCAACAACCTCTCTGATCCCTCATCAATGCTACTACTCTCTGTCTCTGACTATAAAGGGGAAATATAAAACCGCCTCAAACCACACGCTAAAATTACACTGTCTTCCCAATAAACACCACCAAGATACATGCCATATCATGTCATGTCATGTCATAAGCGAATGAAAGCATATACACATACACTATGCCCGGCTGAGCATCTTGAGTACCTCCTCCTTCTCGGTGGTAGGCAGTGTGCTGAGCAAGCTCATTACACCCTTCAATCCACCTTCGCGGTCCTTGCGCATGAGTTGCGCAATTTCCGTCGCAATTCCATCAGTCTTGAGTTGCTCAATCTTCTCGGTAACAAGCGGCCTGTTGTCCTCATACCAGGTAGCAACGGCCATATCGTCAGTCTCCCAGTTGGGGACATTGGCGAGGTGCTTCAACATCTCGAAGCCACGGCTACGGGTAAGCGGGTTGGCCATGGGGTTGTCATGCGTTGGCGAGGCGGCCGCGGCAAACTTCTTGAGGATGTACTCCTCATTGAGACGGCGGCGAAGACGCCAGTAGAAGAAGCGGCGAGCGTTTTGCCATTGAAGAGCTTGGCGAATGACGCCCTTGGCTTGCATACGTCCGGCGCGGTCATGCAGATCGGCGAATTGAATGGCAATCTGGCCGTAGATGGGCAGAAGCTTCTTCTCGCGCTCAGTCATCTCAGCCTTGATGCCCTGAAGTTCGGCTTCAGGTGTGGTCTTATCGTTCAGCTTGCGCTTGAGCTCAGCGTAGGTGGGGTCGTTGCGAGCCATGGTGTCGAGTTGACGCTCTCTACGGTACTTGATGCCCACGATACCTTCGGGTTCAAGGACACCACCACGCGATTCCTCATCAGCATACATCTCCATGAATTGCGGGTTGATGGTAGGATCGACAACGACCCATGATCCACCACGAAGTTCGCCGTAGGGGGGGATGTAAATGAAGATGGGCTGCTCGAACTTGACAAGAGCATCGACAATGTACGAACCGTACTTGAGGACTTCGTTGTACATGTCGCGCTGACCACCAGAGAAACCACGCCAGTTGGCAAGGATCATTAGCGGCAGTTGCTCACCATTGTTGAAATCCTTGATTGCCTGTGCAGTCTTGAAAGCAGAGTTGGGGTACCACACACCACCAGCTTCGGATGTGACTTGTTCGATGGAGTCGGGGTTGGCGGGATCAGCAGGGGTGACGTTCTCAACCGAGCGGGTTTCAACGCCAATGACACCGATAGGGATGCCACCAAGACGAGCACGGCCGACGACGACAGTCTTAGCCCAGCCACCAAGAGTCTCCACAAACGAACCGCGATCGAAGAGACCAGACTGGAAGCCATCCTCATCATCCTTTCCGGCAATGAGATGTCTGACGTCATAGGCAGACTTGCCAGGGGGGTAGTAGGTGATGTCTCGGTCCCAGTTGTCGGCCGACGGCGAGATCGGAACAGGACTGCCCTTCTTGTCGGGTACATATGACATCCACTGGACGATCTTGGAGACACCCTCAAAGTCGTCATCAGCAGTAGAATGCGAAACACCCTAAAAAAATATTAGCTAAGAATCTAAACCAAGTTTAAAGGACTACTGGACATTTTTGGCCATGATCTGAGTTCCTCCAAGCTGGAGGTTAGAGGTGTACACCTCACGACCGAGAAGCTTGTTGATGGCCTGTGCACCAGTGAGAATGATCGGCTGACCCTCAATCTGAATGGCACGCTGGCCGAGACGGACAAGGTAGGCACCGATACCTAGCAACTGTTAGTATATAGGCTGTAGAATTTGAGAATGCAATGCATACCGACTGAGCGACAAGTGACCAAGGTGATGGTGAAAATGTCCTCATAAGCCCGCGACGTCTCACCAGCAATGAGACCAGAGCCACGAAGCGACTCAACACCTAGACCATCTTCAGCACCGATGATAGTGGTGATCTTGTAGCGCGTCTCGTCATCCTGCTCGACCTTCTCGCAAATGACATCGTTGCGCTTTCCATCGACGAAGTGCCCGTACTTCTCAGGTGTGAGGTACAGGTATTCGAAACCTGCCTCGGGCTTGCTGGCATCCTTCCATGCAACGGAAAAGTGGGGAATGAGCTCCTCAGCCAGACCAATGCGAGCACCAGAGTTGGCCGAAAGGTAAATTCGTGGGATGCCGAGCTTACGTGCAAGCTCTGAGCACTTGTGGAAGAAGTTGTCTTCCGCAGGTCCGAACGAACCAATCTTGTAGGTGATATCGTTGGCGATGATGATGAAGCGGCGGCCACGAGGGTATTCGGGTGTCTTAGCAGTGACCATCCAACCGACCATGCCAATGTTGTTTTGACCAGGGTCACGGTTTACTTCAGCCAGGTTGTCAGTGTCGTCAAGCACCAACTCGTAGTACTCCAGACACTCTCCCTTTGCAGGCTGCTTGTCGCGAAGGTGGGAATGCTTCTGAATAGCCTGGATCCAGCTGTTCTCTGTCGCCTGTCGGAAGAGCTCAGGGAAGTCGTAGACGTATTGAGTACCCATGAGATGAGCCTTGTACCTCTTGGGTTGGAGAGCACCCTTGGTAGGGTAAGGAGTGGAAACTGGCTGGAGGTGTAATGCACCAATCTTGGTGGTTCCACCAATGCTGTGGAAGAGCCACTTGCCACCCTTCTCGGACTTGCGCTCAGCGTACATCTCAACCTGGATGACGTATCCAGAGGTGTTGGTGATGATGACACGAAGAGGGTAGGGGATGCCAGTGGCGGGGTCAGTGACGATGATGCGAATCTCAGCGCCGGTGACACGAAGACGCCAGAGTCGTCGACCAAAGCGCTCCAAGAATCCACCAATAGCCTCCTCAACCTCCGTAGGGCTAAGAGGGAAGATGTGCGAGAAGTTGATGAAGATGTGGTTCATGTCAGCCTGCGAAGTGCCAACAATCTCCAGAGCATCTAGAATATCAGTCATCAACCTATCAGTCTCCGACACCATGTACTCGGCGGTAGGGATTTCCTCCCGAAGGCGACCCGATCGGACAACAGCCCTCAAGAAGTAGCGCTTGTCGCTCTCGGCGCCCTTGCCCACAGCCTCGTAGATGTGGATGTTGCGGTTCTCTGTGAACACGGGCTTGATGTCGAACTTGGAAAGTCTGCCAAGCTCAAGCTGGAAGGCAAGAGCAGGCTCGACGTGACGAATACTAGCGTCTTCTTCGTAGTTGGGTCCGCGGAAGGTGTAGTATCCGGGGTAAGTTCCATCCTTGTGACCGCAAATGAAAGAAATACGGCGAATGCGGCGAGAAAGAAGCTCGGTCTTGTAGTCCTCGACGATGGGCAGGATGCGCTCAAGGATTTCCTTGTCATCGTTGCCCTCAATGTCGCGAACAGCAACGTTGATGACACCAGTAAGCTCGTCGGTGTGCTTGGGCTCGTTTGCACCGGTGGTGGGAGTGCGCTTCAGAGTAAGGCCTTCCCTCAGTCCAATACCGCCCTTCCTCTCCTTGCCGACGTTGGGGAAGATGTCCAAGGCTTTGCTGATAAGCTCGTCCGCATCATCGAGGTACTCAACAGGAACAACAACGCCCTTACGAGAAGGCTCGCCCTCGAAACGGTTGTTCCAAGCAGTCATATCACTGAGTGACTGAATGCGAGGAGGGCGTTCAAATCCTGGGGTGCTGGGGGTACCAGGCTCTGAGGGCTCGACAGCAAGGCCGTATTCTGCCTCGCCGACTTTGCGGAGGATGAAGTCCCAAGAGAGGAAGCACTGCTGCTCGCCTTCGTTGTGGTAGTTGATGTTCTGGACATGGTACGCACGGTAGGCTCGGCGAGTGTACACCTCAAGAGCAGCAAGGGCGACGTATGGGTCAGTGTGGACGAAGAACTGAGTCAACACATCGAAGACAGTGTACCTAGAGTCCACGACCTCCTTGATGACGTCGAAGTTGGGCTCACGATGGTCCCAACCGCTCTCGCCATAGCGGGACTCAACGACAGAAGAGCGCAAGATGTGCTCCATCTGCGAGGTACGCTCCTCAAGCGAAGGCATGGCACATTGAATGAGGACCTCACGGGCCTTGAGCGAGACCTTGGCGGTCTGCCTAGACTCAAGCTCGGTGAGCTTCTTGAGGGTCTCTTTGAAGTACTTGGCGATGTTTCCAACACCAGGCTTATTGGGTCGGTAGAGGTCCAGGATAGCAATGACTAGGTTGTTCTTGGCGCCGACCTTGGTGTGGGAAAGTACAGTCTGGACAACGCTCATAATGTTGTCGCGGTTCTCGTCACGGAGCTTGAGGATGACCTCCTCGTCACGCGAAGTGCGAGACGAAAAGAGCGACTCAACGGCCCAGTACATCTCCAGAAGCTTGATCATGACACTGTACTCGTGTGCCTTGAGGCCCTCAGAGTAACGGTTGATGACATCGGAAAGGGGCTCCAATGCAGCCTTGAGGATTGCAACATCACCCTTGGCTACATTCTCCTCAACAAACTTCTGGAAGGCCTTGTTGAGGGCCTTGCCAGGGAACTCTAGGTTACGGCTGTGAGCCTTGTCGACAATCTGAGAGAAAGTTGCATCAAGCTTCTGCGGCATACGTGCGTGAAGGGCAGAAGCCTGGGCATTCCACTCGCCGTAAGGCAGCTCGGGATCCCGGAGGACGTCGACCAACTCCTTGAGAGTGCTCTGCATAATGACTTGGTTGTCGAAACCCTGGAAGATGTTCTGGAGAATGTAGTACAAGTAGACGAACCTCTGCGGTGGCTTGGCTCCTGGTACTTGCGGGGCACCCAAGTCGGGAAGTTGGCCAGTAAAGTTTTGAGCTGACTTGACCTTGGAAGGATCGTCCAAGGCTAGGACACCGAGGATGTCACCAGCTTCGAGAGTGGCTCCTGGCTGCTTGATAAGGTTGACCATACCTGCTTCCTGAGCGATCAAAGGCATGTACATCTTCATGACCTCAACCTCGGCAAAGGGCTGACCCTTGTCGACGTGCTCGCCGTTCTCGACCAAGAAACGTACAAGCTTACCGGGGGATGGCGTTCGGAGTTGAGTAGGATCGTTCTCTTGTTCGAGAAGACATGTCTTGCCATCAACAGAGAGACGAGTAGCGCCAACTTCTTCCTTCCAGTAGACGTTGTGAGATTTGCCGCTGAGCAGGATCAGAAGACCACCATCGGCAAGCGCCCTAACACCGACGGAACACTTGGTTCCGTTGATGAAGAGTGTGAAGCTGTCGATGGTCGATTTGGTAGCGGTAAACTTGTATCGGAAACCATCGTAGATGAAGTCAATGGGGAACTGGGTTTTGAGCACATCTTTCGATGGAACCTGACCCTTCTCCAGACCTGCCTTGTACTCGCCAATGCATGCTTCACTTGCGACATGAGCCTTGGTAACGGCACCGCAAATGACGGCAATCATGGTATCCGGTCGCTCGGCAGTCAGCTTCTTGGAGATGAGCTCGTCGAGCCAGCCAGTTGTGATGGTGTTGTCCTCAAAAGCAGGTGTCTCGAGCAGCTTGATGAGGTATTCGACGGTTGTTCGGAAGTCACCACGAATGCTCAGTTCCTTGAGCGCGACAACCATGTGTTTCCGTGATGCCTGGCGGTTCTCGCCATAAGCGAAAATGTGGCCGAACTGAGAATCCGAGAAGGAATGGATACCACCAGCGGAGCTGACGGAGAAGTAACCCCAAACGTTGGAGCTACTCCTGAAGTTGAGGTCGTGAATGGTACCACCGGAAGGCTTGAAGCCCTCATCGGGATCTTCTGAGGTGATACGGCAGGCTGTGCAGTGGCCCTTGGGAGTAGGGCGACGCTGGCTCTTGGCGCTGCCTTCGGTGGAGAAGTCGAAGTCAATCACAGAGCTGGCGTGGGGGTCGGCGCCGTATAGTAGTCGAATATCGCGCACACGGTGCAATGGGAGACCCATGGCAATCTGGAGTTGGGCGGCTGGGAGGTTCACGCCCGTTACCATTTCCGTGGTGGGATGCTCGACCTGGAGACGAGGGTTCAACTCGAGGAAGTAGAACTTGTCGTCAGAGTGCGAGTAAAGGTACTCAACGGTACCGGCAGAGACGTATCCGACTAGCCGTCCGAGCGAGACGGCAGCCTTCTCCATCTCCTGGAAGATCTTTGAGCCAGCAACTGTTACCGGTGCCTCTTCAATGATCTTCTGGTGACGACGCTGTACCGAACAGTCACGTCCGAACAGGGAGATGTTGTTGCCGTACTGGTCAGCCAGCAGCTGGACTTCCAGATGGCGGGCGCTGCCTGCAAGCTTCATGATGAAGATGGGCGATCCAGGGATTTCCGAGGCAGCGGCCTTGTACAGCTGCTCAAAGTCCTCCTCGCGCTCGACTTTTCGGATACCCTTGCCACCACCACCTTCTGAGGCCTTGACCATGACGGGGAAGCCAATAGCCTTGGCCTTCTCGAGACCCTCCTGCCATGACTTTGTGCAGCCCTTCTCGTAGATGTGGTCTTCGACTGTGACGATGCCGTTGGAGTCAACCTGCACCTCGTCGACGCCTGTTCCTGACCATGGAATACATGGCACCTTTGCGTGTTGTGCGACGATTGTGGACGAGATCTTGTCACCAAGCGAGCGCATGGCAGATCCCGGGGGACCAATGAAGACGATCTTTTTGGGCGAGGCGGCGAGCGATTCGGGCAGCTTTGGGTTTTCCGAGGCGTGTCCCCTACATGCGAAGATTAGCCATTGGTCGTTGCCTATACGTTCCAATTGCGATGTGTACGTACCATCCTGCCCACACAGCGTGCACGTTCATCCGCTCGGCTACATCGACAATAAGCTCCACGTTGGCGTAGTTGTTGTTGTTGGTACCGCCGGGTACCTGCATAACGTGCGTTAGTTAACTCTGCGGTCCGTGGCCCAAGTTAGGCTTCATGAGCAAAGACGCACCTCAACGTATTGGTCCGCCATGCGGATGTACTCGGCGTTCGCCTGCAAATCCTCAGGCGTGGCCATGACGGTGAACTGAATCGCCCGTTCATCGCCAAAAGTCTCATATGCCCATTTTCGCACAGAGCGGATTTCCTTGACGGCGGCGATACCGTTGTTCGCAATAAGAACCTAGGGAACATAGTTAGCTTCAGCCTGCGCGCCGTCGCCACGCCCCAATTCGGGCGCTGGCAGGTTTCTCTTACATTTGTAATGACCGTGTGCCCATCGTGCGCGGCGACAAAGTCCTTGACCTTGCCTGGTGATGCTACGCGGAGGTTGTTGCCGCCGATGAAATGCGGAGCAAGATCGTACTTGGCTGCGTATGAGCTCGGGGCGCCATTGTCATCCCCATTGACTCCGTTGGTTGCAGCTCCGGCCATTGTGTTTACTGGAAGTCCCATGCACCAGGGGATCAAGTTGTGGAGAGAAAAAGGGAGAGGAAGAGGGGAAAGTTGGGTTGTGGTTCGGTGGGAGATCGGTCAATTTTCCACTGGTAAGGGCAAGATGGAGCTCGGCCTCTAGTGTGGACGTAGATCTTTGTATGTCCCTGACGACGGTCGGTGCTCTGCAAAACTTTGCGTACTTTTTGCAGCGCTTTGACTTGCTTCTCTCGCGTCTCTATCGGTGGGAGGATCCGAGGAGAATTAGTCGATTAGAGTTGTAGTTCCGGTGTAGCAGCCTGCTCAAAAGCAATGCTCAGTGAGTACCCGTGTCCAAAGGTTTGTTGCGGTGTCGGGAGGAAACACAGCAAAAACAGATGGAATGTTCGAGACGAGATTAGAGTGCGTATGTGAGATACGACCCCCAATGCTTATGTGGGAATGATGGCAGGTATAAGCGGTCGAGGTGGGAGGGAAGGAGAGATTACAAGCAGCCTGGAGCCTAGCGGTCGGGAGTATGTATTAAAATCTTTATCAAGAACCTTGCGGAACGCCCCAATGCACTTCCCGAAGAGCTGTTGAGCTGAGCCGAAGTTGTGCACCGCCAATGTGCCGATGAGGGTAGAGTCCCTGCACCACCGTTCCCCTGTTTGTCCGAGTCGAAGCCACCGGTACCTGGACACGAAGATCGGAAAGCCGCTCGGAACCCGATTGTCTATACACGATCGATTCTCAGGCCCATTTGAGCATCGAGCCGACTCATGCTCACAAACACCGTGTTCACTCAAACTGTTCATCCCAAGTGAACGCGTAAGAGATGGTGGGCCGCGTTCGTCACCGCGATGTCTACAAAAGGCCTGTTGGGAGCAATTCCGCATTAGTCCCCTCCCGCGGGACACCCGAACGCATGTAGGTGAGCGTTGAGCTCCCGCTATCTCTCAGCAAAAGCAGGTCAAGAACTTTGCATTGCCGTTGATCCGTTAGAATACAATAATCCCACGCATCTTTGCGCTTCAGCCTGGCAATACCATCTTGACCCCTCTCGTCCACCTCGTGCACTTCAGCCTCTACAAGGCCCTAGCCTCTCTGCCTCGCACCGTCCATCTCCCCACCGCCCATCATGAGTGGCCTCTTTACCCACCAACACGGACACTATGATACACACCAGCACTAGATGGATGGCAGCCACTGTCTCACTGTCGCAAAATTGACAATGTCACCCAAAAATCGATGATGGCCGGGTCTCCGCCCCCGAGGTCAGACCTCGGAGTCCGTCGCGGCCACCCAATCACCATCAAATGCGGCCGCTGTCGGAGTATATCGAGCGTCTCGGAGTAGCAACATTGCAACATGTCTGACGCCTGAATAAACTACCGTCTTGAGTAGCGGCGGATTCCATTCGTCTTGTGCCGATGTGCGCCTTGGCGGTGTGTATTTCGAGAAGCTTCCATTTTGTTTAGCGCCTTTGCTTATGGCGGGTCAGGTGCAATGCGAGACAGCGACGTTGTTGAAGTTACTGAACTGACAAGCAAACCCCTTCCCCAGAGAATGGGTGCGAGCTAAGATTCCGACGTGCATTCCGAGATCCAGGGTCTCGCGTGCGTGCACTGCTGCGTGTGCGGCCAGTCCCGCAGTTTTGACATCAGAATCGTACGATGATTTTCTTGCGCGACAACACCACGCCCACGCCAATGCACTTTACCCCAGATTCTCGAAATGCATACCGAAAGCAGAAGTTGGTCCGCAAAGGGCAACCCAGACGTTGAAGGTGCAGGAACAAACGAGCCGTTGACATCGTGTGATCGGGGTATATTCATTAACAAAGGAAAAAAAAAGCTATCAGTAATACTGTATGTAAGTACCCCAAAGGGTTTGCCCTCCCCACGCCATCCGGCCTCTAACTATGTGCAAAGGTGCTCCAAACTGCATGCCCATCCTTGAATTCCAATCACAATCAAATCAGTAGGCTGAACACAGTGCCTGCGTCCATGGCGCACCAAACTCCAGAATGCATGAGGTATAATGCCGTAAAATCATATACCAGAAACGACGAAAAGTGCATGCACAAGCCTCTGCAGCTTCTTCCACCCAGGCCCTCGCACGGCGCCGCCACAGCCTTAGTAAGATTCTTCTTCAGGCTGCGTTGACATTTTGCGTGGCCTTGCAGGGGGACCCATTTCTCCGCCGTCGTAGTTGGCGCTTGGCCTCCGCGATGCGCTCTGTCGCCTCGGAATTCCGCTCAGCATAGGGATCCCTGACTTTTCCATGGTGAGTCGACGAGCCAATGGAGTAGTAGCGCCGCTTCCGTCGCTATGGTTTCCAGTGTCGCTTTCTCGTAGCGACTTTGAAAAGGACTGCGAGTGACCATGTCCGCCTGATTGTCCGCTCATGGAGCTGCGTGACCTCGGCATCCGGGGATCCATCCCACTGATTGACGAAGACTGATAATGACCAAGGGGCGTCCGGTTGCTGCCTCTGCTCCCTGGTCTTGCTGGTGTCGATTGCGACGACATTGATGCTCGACTGCTTGGCCTGCTATTGGTAGGCTCTCGTGAAGAAGTTGACCGACCGAATGACAGCCGGCTTACACCGGACTCGTAAGCACCACTAACGGACGAAGCCGCCGATGCATGCGAGCTGCGCTTTCTGCCGCTTCTCACGGTAACCGTGCTCGGTACACCACCGTGATGTCCCATGGCGCTACCATTCCGTGGACTGGCTTTCGGCGGTGTATTCGTCGGTGCAGGAAGCTTGGATCGCGCCGAGTGGACCCGCTCTTCAAGCTTCTGCATCTTGCCAATTAGCCCGCGAATCTGGTAAAGTGATCCGGATCTTGGCAGAGTCGCCGGTGGTGCGGCAGCCCCAAAGCTTGGCCTTGGCCCTCGTGAAGCTAGAGCAGACGTCCGTATAGAAGGCGTTGCCCGCCCACTGGCACTGGTACCTGGTCTCGATACCCCCGACACGCTGGGACCTCGCGAATGGCGCGGCGCGCGCTGATACAGACCGGCGCGAGGTGTGGTTCCGGGATCCAATGGGGGAACCGAGTTTTTGCGCCTAGACATGGGCGTAGAGGGCACATGTCTTGTTGTGATGGGTGCATCAGACAGGGGTGGAGAAGGAGGCGTTGTGTCTGGGTGCGGGACGTCTGGTTTCGAGTGCGGCGGGGTAGAGGCGGCCGTTGGCGAAGAAAGATTAGTAGCTGAGGTTGAAGCCTCGGAGACGGGAGAGCGTGGTCTCAGGGCATCACCAGAGACATGATTAGATACCTTGCGCTGGTGGTGGCCCTCAATCGTCTCCTCTGCTATGCGCAGCTTCTCCTGCACAATTTCCGCCTCTATCCGCAAATCTGACAGTTCATCTCGAAGTCGCTGTGTCTCTATCCGCAACGCTTCTCGCTCCTGTTCGCCGATTTTGATCTCCTCCTCCAGCATTACCGTCCGCTCAATCGCCACATTGTACTTTGACTCGACGTCCTCTAGGGAGGATGTTTGGTGGCGTGCCTGGCGCTCGAAATCATCGCTCTGTACTTCAATGTCCCGTAGGCGCATTTGAAGAGCGCGCTGGCTCTCGCGCATGCTGGTAATCTCTTTCTGCAGAGTGTTCTGCGCATTGTTGGCTTCCGTCTTGCTTTGCTTGTACTTGGTCTGCGACTTTGTTAGTGGCTGTTCTAGAGGCGCAGATACGCGCCAACGTGTCGGGGGCCACAAACCTTCCACTCCTCCACCTCAAATCCCAACTTCTCTGCCTTCTCCTGCAATTTCCGCTCCCGCTTTTCGCTCTCTTCGACATCGCGCTCTAGCTCGGCCTCGAGTTCCTTGCTGGATGCCTGGAACTCCTGCAGCTCCACTTCCAACGTCTCATATTGCGACTTATAATAGGCCAGCTCCTCCTCTAGACTGGCCCATCCTGAACGAGCCGGCGAGGGGTGACTGTCGTCGGCTGCCATGGTGGGTCCGTGGTCGCGACGGTGAATCGCTCCTGATGATCAGGGGGGGATTGGACCAGGCGGGGTGTCGTGACGAGGCGTCGGAATGATACTGCGAAAGAAAGCGCTGTCGTGGAATCGTCACCAGCGCCTACCGCACCGAATGCGATAACTGCTGGGCGGCGCGCGGATTGCTCCTGCTGTGCTTGTCGGAGGTTGACAATTTCCACTTTGTCGTATGCGGTGTGTTGTCGACAAATGGATGCGCCCAAGCCAGTTCAGAGTTGCCGGCCGCCTCTGCGCGCGCTTCTTGTAGGCTTATAAATATACGGCCTGTCCCTATGATGGTTAGTAGTCAGTAGGCCGCGGGACTGCGGCGTGCAGTGTTGTGTGTCGCCAGCAGTGGTTGTTGATGGAGGCGCTGCGGGCGCGGAGCCCGATGGCTAGCGCACTGACTCTCCAGGGCAACCAGGTCGACGCGGGCAGGTGCCTCCAGCCACCGAGTGTGACACATGGAACGTGCCGCAGCCAGACATCCCCACAAACGCCAGCGCAGAGAGAGACAGCGCACCCACACAAGCAAACCTTGATGGTGAATAGCCTCTTTGCTCAGCCACCAGATATACAAACATGACGACACTGCCTTGTTTACTGGGCACAGACTCGTCTATTGACTCATTTTCCCCTCAAAATACTGCCAAAAAGAAACCATCCCGCAAAATGCCCAACACCACGTGTACAGCGTTTCAGATTCCACCGAGGTAATTACATCCAGATGAACGGCATTTGTATTTCAGATAAAGGGGTATATGTACAATTTTTGTCCAACCAGATTATTACTAAATATTACTCCTACTCTTTGATGCCGCTATCAGGGCCGTTGATATCTCTGACCTTGGCATCCACTACGGCATCCCTAGCCTGCTGTGACGCATCGCTCGCTGCAGTCTTGGCATTCTCCATGGCTTCACCAGCAGCATCCTGGCTCTGGGTAAACATTTGTTTACCCTTGTTGTACATATCCTGGGCTGTCGACGACGCCGTCTCTGCTGCCGTCTCTACGGTCTGTGCACTTTTTGAGTATGCATCACCAGCAGCGTCTTTGCTCTTCTCTACCAGATCCTGCGCCTGCTGTGAGCCCTCTGCTACAACATTCTTGACCGACTCGGTTGCATTTCCGACCACTTCGATGCTCTTCCCATAAGCGTCGCTACTCTGCACATCGTCCGCTGCCTTTTTCACCATTTCTTTGGGCCCAGGGTACTTTTCCAACGCCTTTTGCACCATGTAGTACAGACTAATGATGACAGCATGAATGCGGTCCTTCATCAACATGGTGATACCATGAGAGAAAAAGCCTTTCAACACTTCAGCTCCCAACCCCTCGTAAAGAGCCCACATTCCCTCCGTCTGTGCAATGCGCAAGATGGTACTGAAGACAGTTCGTTGTCTAGCTTGCAAAGCCTTTGACTTCAGCGCATCCCCCGACTTCTCTTTGTCCGACGTCTCCCCAGTGCCAGATGTGGGCTTCTGTAAAGACACTTGCGCACGCGTCTTTGCGAGCGAGAAGGGATAAGTGGCGGTCGAGGCCAGAACTTTGCTAATGGCTGCCAGGAAAAAGGTAACCCGTGCTCCAGGATTGTCGCGCTTGGCCCTTGGTACCAACAGACGTAGCAGGGCCTTGTGCAGCAGCATCGTAATCGAAGGATTCAAAGTCAGGATCAAGCTGGCAGAGTATCCTGACCAGAAGCCTTGTATGCCCTTTTCGCGCCTGATCTCTGCTGCAATATCTCTTGTACTTGACAGGGGTGGTATGTCGGTTGCTGAGTCCTGCGTCATCATTGCTGCTGTCTGCTTCCTGGTGACAATCTGCTGAATCGGTGTAGTGAAGAGCTTGGAGAAAGCGCCTGCGACTACACCAATACCGATCTCCTCCAGCGCTGGCAGACTTCGTCCATTGTCGCGTGCATCAAGTCTCTTCTGTCGCACATAGGAGTATGCAAGAAAGAACAGGAAGCTGTCTGCGACGCCCTTGAGTGTCTCCTGTAACACACCACTGTAGAAAGCCTTTGGGCCGCCTTCCCTCTCGTATATCTTCTCGATGGCGTCCAAGAGTCCGTTGTAGTGTGGGTGCTTATCATCGTGATGTAGTTGTCGCTGGACCTGTAGGCGCGTGATGACGACGTCGAGAGGGTATGTTATGAGCTTCGATATCGCCGTTCCTAGAGCACCTGATGTCGCATGGCCAAGCGCTGGGAGTGCAGGACCGACTGCGCTGTGATGGTCTTTCTCGTGCGATATGTGGTAGAGCGTGAAGGCATCCTAGACGCGGAGTTAGTATAGAGATGTCGATCGCATGTCAGTAGCTTACGAGCTGCGAGTTATAGATGTAGTTCATCTTGTCGGAACTGCCGTTAGAAGCCATGGTTGATAATAATGGAAAAGAAACGCCTTAAGATGCAAGGAAATAGTAGTAGTATATAAGCATTCCAAACGCGGGGAAGGCACTCATGGCCTGCGGAGGCGGATGTACTGCGGGCTCCTTGTGTTACCAGTGCCAGACGTCATTTGGGGCGCTCGGATGAGGCCAGAGCTCCAGTGGATAGCCGAGCTAACATGCCCACAGCTTTCGCTTGTGAAGATGCCTTTCCCTACCTTTTCCCAACCACACCACCTGGAGCACACTCCCCACCACCTCAACCCGCTCGGGAGAGCCCGTAGTTGCATCCGACTGTCGTCGCCGCCCGCGATACCTCGTATTGAGTATCGCATTAGTTCTGCGCACACGCGATGTACCGAGCGAGCGACGCGGTGCACGAAACGACGCCGGCGAGCTCGATTCACTGCATTCAGAGACGGCACGCGTCACGGCAATATTTGTAGCAAAAGGAGTACTCAAAGGGACTGCGAGAATCTATCATGGGTATTGATCGCAGTTCAAAGTATCCTCCGAGAAGAATCATAGCCAGTTTTTGATAAGACGTAGGAAGACTCGCTTGCGAGAAGGATCTCCATCGATTCACACGCTGGCTACATTCGAAAAGTAAACTAGAGAAATGGCTTGTGATATGCAAATGGTTGCACATCAGTGCCATGCCATTCTATTAGACCCGATCTTCTGACACGTGGATTTGGGTCAATAAGCTCACGTTTGCGCAATTGACAGCTTCCTTATTTTTCAGCCAGGCAACGAACAAAAACATGAGCGGAAACCAGTCCATCTTGTTATTGTCTATATTCGTTGTATTACTCTGGATACTTCTCGTTATCCTCGCAGAACTCGCTCAACAATTTTGTTGTGTTATCAAGGTTTGGGGTAGGAACTATCAATTCAGCTTCAGTCATATGTTCCAATAGCGTGCTGGTGCTCACTCTCACGCTCTTCTTGTAGTAAGCAGACAGCTTGGATCGCAAATTTGCTGCGTCGATGTAATCTTCTGAGGACTTTTGGACGGGGTAGTTTTGGGTGCCTCGGGTCGACTGAACCATAGTACCAGTGACGTAGCAAGCAGACTACGTATCAATTAAGTCCCGCTTAATCATGCCCCACTGGGTCGATAGCAACTGTGCGACATCACTTTGTATTAAGCCTTTAGCGCGTTGGTGAACGTCAGACGTGGTACTCCGCTCTCTGTATTTCATTATTAATTCCATTTTCACTTTCACTTTCATCTACGAAAAAGCGACCGTGCGCGCCCCCCACTACCTTATTGAGGCAATCTGTCTCTACTACGCCCACCCACCTCACGCTCACCAGCCCCTAAAAATTGCTAATAACTCAGCCATAGAAAATGACAAAATAGTCATTGATTAAAGCAATGGCTTCATTCTGGGCATCCATGAACTCCACCTCAAGTACCAATTCCGAACCAACATGGGGCTTTGGGAGCCTGCGGACTGACCTTGATGCTCCCACCTCCTCTTCGAACGCACCTGCAACCCCATCCTTGTCTAATCCACTCGGTCCCGGTACTCTACCCGCATCGCCTATCAACCTAACTCCTTCCGCAGACTCAAGCCCAAGAAACAGCGCCACCTGGTACCGCTCTTGTTTACATTGCCATTTCAACCGACGCAAGTGGTAGACAGACCACGAAGGAGACTCAGGACCCCATTGCCATTTTCCAAGGAGAAGTACACATCCTGCGTATCTACCTTCCGCGTGACCAACTCCCCCCCACAGTGTGTGCACGACATGCACACTTACTTCCAACAGCAAGATTCCAACCCTCTTGTCGAAATTCATCTCTGCGTCCGTTCTCTCCTCCTCCTTTGTCTCCAAGACATCAACAACGACAATGAGCTAAAGGGAACCATAACCAACGTGGTTACGAAGTGGAGTGTTGGCAACACCAGCATCAAGTTCTACTTCCTTCGCAAGGGAGTCCCGACCAACCGCAACCGCTTTCAGAATTTCGTAGAGAAAGACTTGATGCGAGCGGCTGAAGGACTGCGGGGGACATACTGGTGTTCCTGGCACTTCCTCGTTGTCAACTTCTGAAATAGTTGAAGAGATGCTTTGATGAGACCCAAGTCTAGTGCCCGGCCTTCCGTATACCCTCCCGGAACAGAATTATTCTCCATGTTCAACATTCAGGTCTGTATAATACGACCTTGAGAGTTAAAAGTTCCTTTGTATGAATGCTGGCTGTGAAATAGGGATGCTCTTCTGGACTTTGCAGCTTTGCTAAAATTGAGCCGGCACATAGATTGTCGATGTAGACTTTTCGTCCACGATGACTACATCGCTTTAAATTGGGATGAGAACTTGCAATCACGGTAGCCAATACAAAATAAATCATTTTCTGGATGCTGATATCGTATGCTCCCATTTATACGTTTTCAATACACTCGATTCTTCTCCTATCCCTGTATCTGGCCCCATTCCTGCACCTCTCCCTCTTTCAACTCTTCCAAAATCTCGTTCCTAGACACAAGCACTCAACTCTAATTTTGTGTTACCGAGCTAGACCGCAAAGGCCAGCTCAAAAGGTTAGCTGACACAAACAACGGAGAAAGTCCTTGCTCGCACCTGAATTACATGGAATACTTGACGTGCAAGTGTATAAAAGCCCCTGTAAGTAGGCTCCAGATATACCCATAGTATTAGGGATAAAAGGGCTTACCCACACTTTCACTGTCAATTATCCATGTCACCTAGGCGTTTCCGTCCTCTTGCACAACGCTTCTTTGTACTCATGAAAATGAATTCAGAATGACTATACAATTCTACTCGAACAACTGCTCAAACCCAAGCCAAATAGCATAACTTATAGCCGCGCCTCAACCGCCGGCATCGTTTGTGAATGTCTCTCCTGCCTCTTCTCCCGTATCGCCTCTTCAAATACCCGCATAAACCTCCACACATCGCCAAATGTATTGTACAATGGCACAGGTGCTACACGGATGATACCAGGTTTCCTCTTATCACAGACAACACCATTCTCAACCAACGCCGCACTCGCATCATCGAAGATATCTTCTGGTAATAGAACACTAAGCTGTGCGCCGCGGAAACGAGGATCTGAGGGTGTGATGATTTGGAAGGGAGAAGCACCGTCTGTTGAGTTGCGTGCGGCTATTTGGGAAAGAAGATGCTCAGCATATGCGGTCAGGAGTAGTGATCTTGAGCGAAGATCGGCCATTGAGGTCTTCTCGAAGACGCTGAGGGCGCCGGCCAGGCATGTGAGATCGACGATTGAGGGGTTGGAGCATTGGAAGCCTTGCGCGCCAGGTGTGGGGACGAATTTGTTGTCCATCAAGAAACGAGAGGACTTGTCGTGGCCGTACCAGCCCTTTAGCCCCTTGTAGTGGTCATTGTTGCCATGCTTTTCGTGGATGAAAGCACCCGCGATAGCACCGGCACCAGCGTTCATATACTTGTATGTACACCAGCAGGCAAAATCAACGTCCCAGTCGTGGAGCTTGAGTTCGACGTTACCGGCGGCGTGTGCTAGATCCCATCCGATGGTGATGTTGTGTTTGCGTGCATGTGCGGTGATGGTAGGGATGTCGAGAAGCTGGCCACTGTAGTATTGGATACCGGGCAACATGATGAGAGCAAGTTCATCGGCATTATCGGTAATGAGTCTGAGGATGTTGTCTGTTGTAATGATATGCCCATCGTCCGGTTCCACTAGCAGCATACTCTTCTTTGGGTCAAGACCATGCCATTCAATCTGTGACTCGATGGCGTACCAGTCACTGGGAAAAGGCCGCCACTCGCACATGATCTTGTGCTTCTTCTCCATTGGTTTGTAAAAGGCTGCCATCATCAAATGCAGGTTGATGGTCAAAGTGTTCATTGCGACAATTTCCGAGGGCGAAGCACCTACAATGTCTGCCATCTTGCTTGAGCACGCAGCCGCCATGTCTTGGAAGGGTGTGAGAGGGGAGTCTTCAAGGGCGGTAAAGTGACCACCAACGACGATTGAACCCCATGTTTTGAGATATGCGTTCAGGTGCTCGCCCACAGCTCTTGGTTGCAGACCTAGAGAATTGCCGCAGAAGTAGATCGCCTCATCCTCTGAATTTGATGCTGGATGCGCCGTTTGAGTGTCGTCCTTGAGAGTTTTCCGCCGAATTTGCGCTTTGCTCGGTACAATGAAGTTCTGGCGGAGAGTTGACGAAATTCCCTTACTCGCATCGAGAGATTGCGCAAACTCCAATGACTCGCAGGTCGCCGGCCATTGCGGCTTTTGCCCTTGCCGGAGCTGTTCGACAGCCTTGGTTAGGTCCATTGGTAATATGAAATGAGTTGATGTAGATGGTGTTTTGACAAGTTTTGGTCGAGATTCTTAATCAAATTTCCAAGGACACGTTGGGAGACTAAGATATATAAATTGCACTTCGAATGACGCGTTGACACTCAAAATATCCATCCGACGGAACGGAACGCGCTAAATCACCAAGCTTTCGGCCCAACGGACGAAGTTCCGTCGGGTCGATCCGACAACTATCCGTCAACCTTGTGATTGTTATAGGTACCACATGAAAGTGGGTCACTGCTATCGGCGCATAAATGCGGGTTTCGCCATATCAAAACAAGGCGTAAACCCCAGAGAGCCTCCTTGGTACATCCTTCACGATGAGTCCTCATAGAATTCCAGTCCTTCCCTCACGCGACGCACTCCATCAGTATGGTATCTCAAAGAACGGATTCTTACCTGCTGAGCCACCTTTACGCCAATTACCGCATGGCTATTACCGACCCTGGGAGAGGATCGTTGAACATCTCCCAGTACTTATCGAGAGGCAGCAGATAAGAGAATGGGTAGACGAGCTGCCAGTCCTCGAAACCTCGCATCTTTCTAGCGAAGCAGAGTGGCAAAGAGCCCATTCGCTATTGGCGGTTATAGCTCAGGGATATATTTGGACTGGCCCCGAGCCATCACAAGTACGTGACCGTACTCAAGTACTACCATCACGGATGCTGACAGAAGCTGCAGCGACTACCTCCTGCAATCTCTGTGCCTTTCCTCCAGACTGCTGAGCGTCTCGAGGTCCACCCAGTCGCCACATACGCAGCACTAAACTTATGGAACTGGACACCGCTTAGCGACGACGCCGACTTGACGCAACCAGAAAACATGATCGCATTGCACACTGCAACCGGCAGTGATGACGAATCGTGGTTCTTTATAATCTCCAATGCCATGGAGGCAAGGGCCGGGCCATTGATTGAAGCCATGCTTGGTGCTATGGAAGCGGCTGAGCTCAACGACGCTGAGACTGTTATTCGTGCTCTGCAGTACTTCGAAAGTGGCATGAAGAGTATTGGTCAGCTTCTGGAACGCATGGACGAGCGATGCGACGCACAAGTATTCTACCATGAGATTCGTCCCTTTCTTAGTGGCAGCATGAACATGAGTGCTGCAGGACTACCAAATGGGGTGTTCTACGATGAAGGCGACGGAAAAGGTTCGTGGCGGATGTATCGAGGTGGCTCCAATGGTCAGTCGTCATTACTACAATTCTTCGATGCCGTTCTATCGGTGGATCACTCCAGAAGCGGTGGCTTCCATGCAGAGATGCGTGGCTATATGCCAGGGCCCCACGCTAGATTCCTCGACGACGTGCAGGCGATTGCAAATATTCGCAACTACGTGGATTGCCATCCAGAGAACAGGGACCTCCTTTCGGCTTTCAATGAAGCAATCGCGGCACTTAGCGCTTTCCGCGACAAACACATCGCACTAGTAACCAGGTACATCATCATACCAAGCCGCATGGGAAAGCCAACTACTGCGATAAAGAGAAGGGACATCGCATCCGCCTCCACTAAGATGGTCGCCGAGAAGCCAAAGACACAAGAATTGGTTGGGACTGGTGGAACCAAGCTTATCCCCTTCCTAAGAACTTCTCGGGACGAGACCAGCGAAACGAAAGTCGTACATTGAATGGGGAGAGAATTTTAGGATAGAGTTTAGAACTTTTCTACACCTGTCATGGGACTACGGGAACAAGCCGCTCCCCGTATGTTGGTCATAGATGGGAAACAGAGGTATGTCGGCCACTGATGCGCCCTCAAGGTTATGGGTGCCCGGCTGGAGGAAATCTTGGAGGCCTTGGTCGTTTTCATTCGCCCACGGCAAGGCGAAAAAGTCCGCATCGTAGATAGTCCAATCAAGTGACGCCGAAGCGGGGAGGTTGCGCTGGGCAGAGTCCCGGGTGCCTAAGGTCTCAGAACTCCGCCGTAGTTGGCCGCCATTTGCCGTAGATGCTCTAAGAGCTTGATCAGATGACAATAAACCAAAAAGCTCCGAGGAAGCTTCCTTTCGTTTTCGGCGCAGGTGCAGTGCTCTTTTCTTTGCATGCGCAGTGGTGATCTTGAGTAGAGATTGGGCAACCTGCGAATATTGACGGGCGTGAGGGTCAACCCTACCAAAATAGTCCATGCAGGTAATTGCATCCTTGCAACTATCCTCTAACGTGAGGCCGGAGTTGCCCATGATCCCCACCGTCAGAACGAGTGTAGCAGTAAAAAGCCAGGATCTATTACTAATCAGCCCTGTTTGATTGTGAAGTGCAGCTCAACTTACACTATCAGGGGCATCTTGCGAGGCAACTGGTCTGCATTGATCAGTACCAGCAAAGTATCCACGAGTGTCGCAGCAGCATCGAGTGCCGCGTCTGCATACTTGCGCTTCTCCTGATGGTCAGCCTGTGTTCCCCCGCTTCTTAAAGAAGTTCCTATGTACTCGTATAGCTCGTATATGAGGAAGGGTCGGGTAAGTAACATGATTCCGTAGTAATAAGAGCACAGTGTGGAACAAGCACCAACTGCAGCCTCACGGGCGTCTTGCTTGTTGGTGATATCCGAAAGCTTTCGTAGCCATTTCGACGCCCAGTTCTTCAGCTGCCTCGAGACATAATCGGCGATCCGTAAGGATATGCGCTTGCGAGAATACACCTCGACGACTACGCGTTCGATGATCATGAAGATCTGAACGCTAGCATCCAGCACATTTGCGCTAAAGTCGACTAGCGGCTCTTCTGGGGCGTTATATTTGACGGTGCAATCAACATCGGACGTTGAAGGAGGTCGACCTAGAACGTTACTATATGATTAGGCCAAGGTAGTTAGTGTATATCCTCAAACGACATCAAGTTGAGGCACTATGAGAGCACCATTTTAGAGAAACTGGTGGTTTGATGCGTCGCAACCTCTATCTGGCATCAACTTACCTTATAAGCTGATCCACAACTCGTAGACTTTTCCAGATGCGATCTCTCACTACTTTGATATTTCCACCAAAAGAAGCGTTAACTTCTGTTCGGTGAATACCAATCGCATACGCGGCACGCGCAGCCAAAGCTATGCCTCAATCGTCAGTGAGGGCCAGCAAATAGTCCAATGCTAAGAATGACATACAAAAGTATAAATACGCGCCATTCGGCTGTGATGCTCTGAGCATGAAGACCGCGACGAGTGTAAACCCCTGAACGGTTGAAACGTTCATGCTGCTACACATGTACTTTAGGAGCAGGTCCCGAGCACGTCTGAACCAAGCTTCTGCCTTGTCTTCGAACTGCTCTTGTGCGCCAATAGAAAGTACAAGATAGAAAACGGCTGATGCAGCATCATCTGAGCTTAACCGACGGCCATTTGCCCAACTCTTCAACTCGGGTGCCAAGTCCTCGGGTTGGAACAATTGAACGAGGCCGCCAGTGGCAGTAACATATTCCTTGACTAGCATATCCACTTCATCTGGGTCGATCGAGGGACACTGCTGTGGATCTGTAGATTCCGGTCGGGTTATTTCGATGATGGGGTCTCGCGCAGCTTGGACAGCAACCCCTGAGTCAACTTCAGACGTGATGAGATGCCTTACTGTTTGCAAGAAGGACAGTGGAGCGCAGTCGCCAATAAAGATGAGTTTTCCCTGAGCGTCACGCAGTATGCGGCCTTCCAAAGGCACTGCTGTATCTCCTTGTTGATCTTCTCTACTTAAAGTGGGAGAAAGCGAGGTACCATTTCCATCTTCCTCTTCGATATTTTCGCGAAGGTTTGGTGTTCGGCCCACTGAAGGAACACGGGATCGAGGTGTGCGCTGCTCATTAGGAAGGCGCGTTGGACCACTAAACACACACGTAGACGCGCGATCCTTCCGTGTGCAATACGCGCATGGTTGCTCTCCATCGCATTTGACCTTTCTCTTTTTGCAAAGATCACAAGCTGCTGTAACGCGATCAATGCGGCGACGTTTTTCCGATCGTGCTTCCGGCTCGGGCATCTCAAGATTCAGGTGTGGTGGTTGGCAGTTCCGTGTTGCTTTTCCGATCCGACGGAAGGCGCAGCGGTTGGCAGTAGGCTTGGCATTTGCTCAGCCTCGGCGTCAACGGTCATCGCGATCCTTTTTCTTCCGCAGCCGACATCCGTCGTGGCCTGACACATTAATTTTCAGTACAGCACATGTATGACGTACACCTGACATGTGCGGTATATTCACCACGGCGATGGACGCCACAGCAAATTGGAACCTCGCGTCGTCATTATCACCTTGGAAGCTGTACCTGCAAAATACACGTCTTGCCTAAGGACTGTCAATTATCAGTCACTTCGCAATCATGCTCCCATCGGGATGCCATGGAATGAAAACGACAGTGTGGATAACCCCCACTGTTTCATTCATGATAGGCTCATTTAGCGCCCACAGTAGCTCTTGTAAACTAGGATGTCAAGTATTTCATGTCACCCAGAGTTCCCGACATTCTGATATGTGGTGGGCTAATGACATGGCTTGTGACGTGGGGGACTTTACATCAACAGCACGGCTATGAATACGAACGCGTCACGACGTAACTTCGCCTGAATCAGCATGCTAAAGATCACATGTGTTTCCGTTCGCAGCATCCGTCTAGTGCCTTTCAAAGAGAAAGAAATCCAGTCGCCGTATTGCTGCAAATGCGTGATTGTGTCCAAGACTTTTCAGAGATATGATAAACTTGGTAACCTGATCTGGGTAGAGGATTGTGAACTCCACAGTGCGGAGTAAGAAGAATGATACGTCAATACGTGTAGCCTAGTTTACGCGACAAAGCTCTCTGAGCCAACTAGGATAGTAGGGGCCGCCACCACGGCGGAGGCCTACAGAAGTGAATCTCAGGGCTGAGAGTGCAAAGTGATGTAGTTATGCCGATACTCGAAAACATCCCAACCCAACTTCATATTCCATCAACATTTCGGTTTTGTATCTAATAACCAGAACTAATAACTCCACCTAACCACCCCTCTGTAGATCCTACAAAGCATGGCCAGACTGTGCTTACACATGGATAGTGCCCGAGAACCTGCTTGGTTTCACGCCAGATGGCGATGGTGGCATAGATGAGATGGTTGACCCGGAGATTTTCAATGACATTGAAGTGTTGTTGGCTTGTGCCTAATGTTACAGTGGAGAACGGGAGTTAGTCGACATCAACCTACGTTGATAGGGAAGGCATACTTTAAATTCAACTCAAACTAGATTAACCAGACTAAATCCATTCATGGGAATCGGTTATGTAGCAGTGCGAGATTAAAGCTTCTTCGGCACCAAATTCTCCCAACAGACCTTCCTATGCTTCCCTACCTGGCGTACTAGAATGATCCCCCTATCACAGCTATGGCCATGCGTAAGCAGCAAGCTCTTTTACCTCAAATGCTCTCCAATTGGCGTCCGTTCTGTCTAGAATATCAATACTTGTAACGTCATGTAACGGTCTCACATACCTTTTTGTGCAGGAGCAGGCAATATAGTATACTAACGGACTTTGCGGGGTTTGTTTTTTCTGACATTTCGGGTGATATTTCGGGAGAGAAGCAACGAGAGCGGGTCAGTTGAGGACTTTTTGTCAAGTGTTCCAGCATCGGGGGACGATCTCGCTTGTTCCAGACACGATCCCGAGCAGTAATTGGCAATTCGGCGACACCCCGGCTCGTTCTTGAAGACACATGTCTGTCTGTCGGTTGGGTGGTGGAGAGACGTCTGACAAAGGGAGATCTCCTAAGATGAATCTGGTTATTATGAACGCGCGATCTAATCTGATTGATTACGTGTCACTATGCTCTCACCGCTGACGCGGTGAAGGGCTTGAGGAGCTATACTAAAGATGGATCTGACTCAGCATAAACACGCGCTCTACTTACCCTGATTGATTACGCAGCGCTATACTCGAAACCTCGCTTAGTAGTGCGTGAATAGACCCGAAGAAAGCGCGCGGAGGTATAACTATATGCAATTGCTACAAGCAACTTTCTATCTTCCAAATACCTCAGCATTTTTCATTCCAGCATTGTTTTATCAAGGGACACACTTGCTTCCATATCTACGCCATGAAGATTCTTTCAATCGCAATTCTATCTACATTCGCTGTCGTCGTGACCGCGAGTTGTAAAAATGACGGCATCAACGGATATATTTGTGACCCAAACCAAGATGAGCCTTGGGTATGGAGGGTACGTATCTTCTTAAATTTACATACCAGTACTTCGCAATGATACAGCATGCGATTCTAGTAGCGCTCCATCTTGCTAACTGCTCTAAAGTGTACGACGGACGCTGGGCCAGCAGGAAACGACTGCTCTTTGAAATCGGAAAAGGACAAGATCTACTGCGTATGTACCTCACTTCAATAGAGTTACTACGCTTCTAGTGCTAACAGAGTTCATCCAGTGCTCAAGATCTGAATAGAGACCTTCGGTGGATAGACTAGAGCCCTTTGCTCCTTTATCCTCTTCTATGACCTTGGTTTCCCCTTACCCGAGCTACTTGCCAATCAGACAATCGCAATATTGTTTCTTCACTCCAAGTATATAGATAGCCATGGGACTTAGAGCTTAGCTCTCTATCGAATACAATCTTGTACACCTAGCACTGTCTTTAGTATAGGTCCTTGAGTGCGGCATACCCCCCAAAACCTATCCATTGTAAAGGAATATTGGTAGGGTATATCATCATAGTGTTTAATGCTAAACTATCTATTTATTATTGAGAAATATACGTTAGCTGCGAAGTAACAACGCACTGCCGTTCGTCATGTTATCAGTGTCATCATGTGTCTTGCATAGCTCCAGTGGCTCATAGGCATAAATTCAGGTTCCAGGTATATACGTATGTACGTATGTAAATCCTGGCTATGTGTTCCATCGCCAGTATGTGATCGTGCGGCCCACCTTTCCTATTCGACGCGTACTGATGATTCCTCTACGACGTGCTTGTACTTCCTCGGCTGTAGAAAGAGATGTCGGTCGACCAGTGCCGCTTTTGCTACCCGGCCGAGAGATGTATGTTCCTTATTGCGATAAATCTCTTGCTAATATACAAAAGCTTGTGACCCGTCTGTGAGACCGCGGTATTTAAGGCGGGGCGATGTTTGTTTTCTAGGAGTAAGTTCGACGTGGTTCTGCAAAATATAAAATCTGTAATCTGTTGTATAGATTCAAAATAAAGATCGGGAGGACTTAGGCATGAATAATTCACTAGTGACCAGATTGGTATGCGCAGTTCCACCCCTAGTCTATAGCCGACGAGCCAAAATTTTTGGTCGCGAGGAAAGCATTGGGATCTGTCGAGCCAGTGATATGCCTGTGTCTCAGTGCCGTAGAGGACTGGCTGGCCAAAGGGGCTGTTACGAGACTAGTGCATGCTATTCCACCTCTAAATGAATTTAATGGCACATTAAAGGATATTCTCGAATCCTATATCATATCTTAGCATAGTACTGGGCGAGTGAAAGTCTCAATCAGAGTGGCCCCAGGAACCAATGCAGGACACCATCCCATCAGTACTATATGTATCCACGCTTTGTACCTGGGATTTTAGATCTATACGCTACTATCCCTCCCCAATGCTCGATTGGACAGTATCTTATCATTAACGATGATGCTAGTTCTAATAACAATCGGCCACATACGCCGATGACCTGGCAAAATACCAGGAAATGTTGGCTCCGGTGGCGACAATACCGCAACCCGAGAATAAACCGCGCCGGAAGCGTGTGGTAGCGCCAGCGGGGAAGAAAGAGGAAGAAGAGGATCGACCTAGCTTCTTTGGCCGTGGCGCGAGTTCGTCATCATCCTACCTGGGTGTCATGAAATACTTGACAGTGTGGGTAAGCGCCTAATAGGTGTGTCTGGCGACTACAGTGGGATTTTTATACTAGTATATCAAGTATTTCATGACACCCCGGTGATCCACAAGAGTACCTGGTGGAGTGTATGTATGAGGATATCAAGATGATCATAAACACAGGACATAATCTTCATGTGCACCTGGAAGAGACATGACATCGAATTGATTCGAATCAATACCCTATGCAAGCTGCTGCTTTCCTGTAACCGGGCAAACAGCCCCTTCCGAAGCACCCGCTACACTCGGATGTACCTGAACCTTGTCTTTATGATGTCCTACAGTAGCTTTCGTTACCGGGCAAACATCACCGGCATTCGCCTTCAGCATATCAGGGTGATCGGGTGGGAGAACTTTTGTGGCGGTACCGACTATCGGGCAAACGACGTCGTCCATCTCCTTTGCTTTCGGCTCGTTCAGGGTGTTCTTGAGCGCGGGGCACGACGTGGCCGTGGTATCTTTGGTAGGCACAGGAGGATGTGCGTGAAGGTCATGATGATGTTCCGACCGTGCACCAACTATTGGGCACTGTTCGTATAGCTGTTAGTGATACTTGATGTGTTTTCATCATTCACTCGTATACGTACAATTTGCCCATCCTTTGTGAGATCCACAGAGGGATGGTTAGGTGGGAGAGTGCTGTTCGTCGAGCCAATGACAGGGCATGCCATGTTGATGTAATATGAGGTTGGTATGGTATGTTGTTGATGAAATATGAAGTTGGGTTGGTATATGGTTGGGTGTTGGTGATGGAGTGGGATTTGAAGTTGGTATTTGGTATATTTGGGTGTTTGTGACAAAGACAACGAGTTGGGAAGACGCGAAGAGGGGTATCACTAGTGATAAAGCGGTGTATCAGCTTGTTGGCTTGCGCAAGCTCTTATGCACTTCAATGGCCGCTTTCGAACTACCCCAGGTTTGCAGGGATGATGCCGCTAGTGATGGTGTCAGCTTCATTATCGCGACGCTAATTGGTCAAGGGCTCCAACTTCAAACACGATAACGCGAGCCTCTAGACACTTCGACAGCCATCTCGAGTTGTCGTTCTTAAGCCTATCCTGTAAGCCCCCTTCACTGCATAGAAATTTGTAACTCGGCGGCTGTTTTCCCATCTCGTCGCGTCATTAGGGTATGGGCATTTTCCTAGTCTTTGCTTTTTCTGCGCTTCTTTGTTGAGCTATCTTTCTAAGACCCCCAAAATCCACTCTAATGGCGGCGATCCAAGATCCTCTTCTCACCATGTGATTGTAACTGAGCCGTACTCAATTTGGACATCGGAACACATAACCTCATGAATACATCCCGAGGTCTACAACAGCTCTCACTAACAAGTAGTTTGCAGTCGATGACGTCACCAAGAGAATATATCCACCTGGGTATCATGAAATACTCAACGTACTAGTGTATAAAGGCTCCCGAGGTCCTGTAGTCGCCAAACACGCCTATTAGCATTGTAGCTTGACACTTAAATAGTCGTGTTGGGCGACTACAGTGGCCTTCGTGCACTAATATGTCATGTATTTTATGACACCCAGGTGCAACGGTAAGCTCGTACTTAACCTTGAAGGCGCGTTGGAAAACAAATCATATATAAGAGTTCCTCGCTATATAGGTATATAACTATGACTGAAAAGTCTTAGTTAAAACAACATTCAGATAGACAAAAAGTCCGTTTCCATTACAGCGCATGTACATGCCCACGGAACCTAGACCAGATAATTCATCCCTAATATTCCAGAAACCGTAACATTCAGAGCCATCTAGATTATCGCAGCTGATCCAGGCAATGTAAGAGATGCAATGTAAGCCTTCCTGAACCGGATGCGTGCGTCCGCCTCTGCCATGTCCTTAGCATTTAGTGTAACCTGATCACCGTTGACACGGCCCATCCAATAGCCCCACCGACGGACGAGCTCAACTCGAATTCCGCGTCGAGGGCTGCGCTGGACAAGGAAGCCCTTCATGAGCCACTTGCCGAGATCCTCTAGCACGTTCAGATGAGCTGGCTTACCTCCGTAATATGGTTGCCTATAGATGCCGTCGATGTAGATCTCCGCCAGATTTTCGCAACCAAACAACGTCTCCAGCATGAATTTGTTAATGATTGATGCAAGAGGACGAGAGTGACGAACAAACTGGGTCGACTGGTTACAAATAGAGATCTTGTCAACATGGAAGGTCATATCGAGCTGTCGAAGGTTCTTGCAGGCGACAGCTAACTCGAAGCTCGAATTGCTTAAGGTGTGAGTTCCCTGTTGGTGATTAAACCAGTGCATATGCGGGAAGTTTAGGTGCTTGACGGCGAACTTTCCACGACCACCCGGGATCGCATCGAGGAACTGGCGAAACCAAGTCGCCATGTTAAAGTCTTTGTTCATGTGGTGATACCTCAAGTCGTAACGCTTAGTGCGCTGAAGCATGAGCACTAAAACCTCTTCGTGCATCTGGTGACTTACAGACGCAAGGTTTGGCAACCAGCCCTGCGGACAGCGTCCAGCCTCTGGCTTGGAGAACACAGAGGTTTCCTGGTTGTCGCACGCGATGAGTTCATATGGGTACTGCCACATACAGCACGGGTTGCGAAAGCCGTTGTGGTGCCGGTGTTTTCTCAAGCGACCAGCACCTTGCTCGAGAAGGGCATACTCGTGGATAACGAGTTCACGAAGTTCAGTAGGGAGCTGGGTAAACTTTGGAAACCAGTCAGGACATACGTATGATATGTAGTTGACCACCTCGGAGAATTCCCGGAACGCCGCGACCTCTGGATCGTTCCAGTTGTCAAAGTCGTTGCTGTATGTGGAATACTCCTCCACCATGTCCATCAAGTCCCAGAATACAACCTTGTCAATCGGCGCGTAATTCTTTGCTTCGTGCATGAAGATAACAGCCCTCGGGATGTCACGGCACTCCAAAATGTCCATGACAGGCATATCCGAGTTGTAAGTCCACTCGCATGTGCACTGTTCCTCTTTGTCATCCAAGTACGGGCAACGGCCACGCTGGTGCTGGAAGAGACCGTATGTATTCACAAAAGCTTTACTCATGCTCTCAAATGCAATTTTCTCGATCGATTGATATCCCATGTAACCATACACGCCTTGGAGAACACCGGGGATGTACTGATGCTCACGAGGATCTAATGGAGAAGGGCTGTAGGCATGTCGCATACCCCTTAGATTGCCCCTCATCATGCTGAAGAACACTGTATCCTCTGGGGTCTTGTGAACGGAAGCTGTGTATGCGTTCCTTAGGTTCCGGAGGGTGTCTTCGACAGGAGTATCCCAGTCTGACACTGACCCATAATCATTGCTGTAAGTGATATATTCACTAGCGATGTCGGAGAGTTCTTGAAACGCAGCCTGAAGGATAGCATCTTGAACTGGGTCGTGTACGGTAGCCGTAACAGAAACGCAGTCGTTTTCGCAGAAAGAACTAACGGCTGTCTTCTTGGTCTCCGCCTAGAACATGTTAGTCTTGAAGAAATCACCAATAGAAACAAGAAATACTTACGCAAGCTGTATGCCTGATAACCTTCATTGTAGCGGTAGATGTTTTCAATTACTCTCGATAACAAGGCTACTTAATGACAAGGTTGTTTAATGAAAAAGTTGTTCGGTATACTAGTAGGGATGAACCAGGGATTTGATGATAGTAGCAAAGAAAGATATCCCTATAGAAATAGGTTCTTTAGACATTCGTGAAAACGACGCTAATATGGTAAAACTCCTGTGGTACCATAGTTCAGTTGACGAGGCACCCCAAACCACCGCACCCAAAAGACCTCAAATGATTATTACATCAACGCAGCAAATTTGTAATCTAGGAGAACCGCTAGCCCGAAAAAAAAAACGCTAGCAGCTCAGTCCTTCCATTAGTGCGCGTATGATCGCTCTTTTGGTGCGCGTATGATCGCTCTTTTGGGGCGCGTAGTATTGTACTCTCTTTGGAAAGATCAAGGGCTTACTGCCTGCCTAAATGACTCTCAAGAGTCATTTAGTGCACTATAATTTCACTTGCTTTAAAGGGAGAAGAGGATAGTGCGCCATATTTGAGTGAGGAGAGCGGGTCTACGCTTTCGTCTTTGCGTACACTGTCAAGAAGTGGCCGAGTGAATTACACTAAGTCAACTTCCTGGTTAGTGCGCTTTGGTGCTAGCGGCAACGTAACGCTTGCCTGCACAAACATAAACAAGTGCTGGACTGGTTCTCTACTTCGTTTCTGCACCTGAGTCCCTACTCAGCTATCACGTTTCTTCTGAGCTGAAGGCTGTCAGCAATCGCATTCCATCGTAATAAAAGCAGAAGCACCCAAAACTTTGAGCGTTTCTAGCAGTCACTTAAGATGTCGGGCTGGACCTCTGACGACTTTGAGCCCGATTGGGCCTGCAACCCCGACTACGAGTCCCTCGCTGTCTCCGACTACAAAGACGACTGGACCCCGGAGGTCATACCCATAGACTTCCTCCCCGTCCGAGATATCTTCGCATCGGGGCTCGGCTTCATGACAACGCAAGCCGTGTACCCCGTGTACGACGAAACGCTCCTCGCCTTCCTCCACCTCGCCACTAACGCCTTTGAAGCTATAACTTTCACCTACCAGCGCACCGTCAGCTTCCGCAAGTTCCTGCTCCTCCCTGCGGAACTGCGCCTCAAGATGTACACCGAGTACCTCAAAGCCGCAAGTATAGAGGGCAAACTCAAGAAGCATTTACACACCGACCACTTTGGGAAGGCCTGTTGCATGTGGACGTGGCCGTCTGAGCTCACCATCTGCGACCGCAAGTCCGAGAGCGAGCTCCCGACCGCCAAATACGCACCGTGGCTCCCTGTACTTGCATTCACCAACAAGCAGGTGCTGGGCGAAGTGACAATCTGTATGCTGCAGTCAACAGAGTGGTTTATCTTCAAATATGAGGAAGCCAAGCTATTTAAGATTGTAACTTGGTTCGCAAACTGCTTGGCGACGTTTCCGCGCATTGTAGCTAACGGTTTGGAGACGACAGAGGGTTTCGCGGTGATCAGGAAGCTAGACTTCCCCCATGCGAGCAGATACCATGAGCATTGCGTCGGCCCGGTCGTCGATGAGAAGAACCCAGACATCTGTTTGATGCTCGAGTGTGGACAGTTGGATACGATAGCAATGTCTTTTCACTGGCGTCGGCTAGTCAAGGACTTTGATACAAGGCAGCCGAGGGAGCTAGAGGACTTTCTGGATTTCTTTCATTTCCGGCCGATGCTGGAGCATGAGTCGATGAAGAACGTGTATCTGGAGAGGGTTTACCCGCGGGACGAGGAGGAGAGGACACTGGAGTGTATGGATGAGTTTGCAAAGTGGTTGGTTCGGGGATACAGAGCGAGGGGTAGGGAGGTTAATGTGTATGTTCACAAGCGATGGCGGGTTTTTCACCACATGACGGTAGGAAAGAAAGTTGTGGTTGAGGAGGAGAAGAAGGCTGGAGAGGGCCAGACAGAGAAAACCGAGTAGAGTGAGGGTTTTCAGCGCTCGGAAGATGTGGTAGGAGTACTATACGTACACAAAAGCTTATTAGCCATGCTTGTACATTACTTGACTTAGCGTTAAAGAATACATGACTGCTTTCAATGTATTCTGGATTATTCGTCTGACCTCACGAAGTGCTTTATATGAAAAGGTAATTATACCTGAGAATCTACAGCTTTAAGGTGAACGAGCCCGATAAGGAAGCGGCGAACGCGAGCCCTTTGCACGCGAGGGCTTTGTGTCCTCATCTGAGTGTGATCGCCTTCGTTCACGCTTTCGATGCCGGTCGCGCCTATCTCTAGAGTCTTCGCTCCTATCCCGAGTTCTATCTGAGCGGTGGCGGCGATCTCTGTATTCTTCCCCCTCCTTGATTCTCTTCCTGTCCTTGTCCCTGTGCCGATCCCGATCTCTTGACCTATCTCTCCGGCTGTGTCTATCCTTCCGCTTTACCCTCTCCTTCTCCTTTTGCTTTTGCTTCTTCAATTTCCTAACGGCTTCGTCCACTTTCTCCTGCTGGCGCTTGATTATAGAGTCACGCATAGGATCGTCCTCGTCCAACTTGTCCATAAGCTTGCCGAGTTCAATCTCTTCAGGAAGCAACGGTCGGTCGTCCTCATCGCTGTCACTCTCGGTCTTTCTCCGTTTCTTTCTCTCGCCATCAGACTCGTCGCCTTGGTCGAGGAGTTCGGGCTCGCCCATGGTGTTGTCCCTCATGTCTTCGTCGTCCTTGGGCTTGTAGCGCGCATGGTCCACCCTGATTATGCGATCCATAATGTTCGCTCCACCCAGGTTGTCAACAGCCAAGTCGCAGCTCCTCTGATCCTCGTATTTGATCCATGCAAACCCTCGCGACTTTCCTGTTTCCCTGTCACGCGCAAGTTTGATCCAAACTGGCTCGCCATACTGGGAGAAAATGGTAATGATGTCACCCTCGGAAAGTTCAAAAGGAAGGCCGCCGATGTAGATGAAGGCTGTGTCGCGGTAGTCGGTATGCCATGAGCCTTCTGGATTTATCCCGGCTTCAAGTTCGCGCTTGTTCAGCTGCTGGATGGCGCGGATCGAATTCATGGTGGTGTGTGTTGAGTAGGTTGGTGGAGTGAGAGATGTGAGGAAGGCGCGTACGAGACGTCAAGAAGGCACGTCTGGGTGGTGGCTTGGCAAGCTCTAGCCTTGCATGGTGTTGGTTGCTTCAGCGTGGGGCTTTTGCGACTTATGTACTTGTTAAAATGGAACCTGAGGAATGGTAATCTCGTGATGTAATGATATGGTCCTCGTGTCTGTTCTTGATATCGATATGTTCGTAACTATGTGACGCCGTTGACTGTAGGCTACAAAGGCTGCTGATGGGCAAGTGTATAGGTACAGTCATCTGCCCGATTAGTACCGATCTGAGGCTCGTCGTATCGTCTGTAGGCGTCGTGTGCTCGGAGGTGAAGACTGACATCGCAGTCGCACTGGAACTTTTGAAGCTCGGGCTTGGCCAGGAGCAAGATCCCTGCAGAAAAGGTACCAGCGAAGACGTGTGAGGACCAAACAAGCACACCGCAACCCCACTACTAGCCATTCACTCGGCGCCGCCTTGCGCCTCCCTCTGCCGTCGCACATTGTTTGCATATCCTCACGACACCGTCACCCAAGCGAGAGCGCGCCGCATCACACGCGACAATCAAAACTCGGCATCTTCTCCGCAATGGCCAACACGCGTCGAACACCCAACTTCCCCACGCGCACACCAGGCGGCCACGACCGACCAGGCAGCAGAGATGCAGATAGAGAGGAGATATGGAAGCCCATGCTGGACAACATCTCGAGCGGAAAGCGACTACCAGAGAAAAGCCTCCTAGTACTGGGTAAGGCCGCAACAGGGGTTACAAGGGTAGTCAAGCTAACGGCCGAGGGCAGGCGGAACACCAGAAACACAGCGAGAGTTTCTTGAGTCAGTATCGACGGACACGGCAAACAACCGGAGACCGCCAGACCGAGGCCGGAAGCCGCCAATTGCCAATCAGTTTGCCCTAGGATACACGTATCAAGATGTCCTGGATACGGATCATGAGGGTGTGTATTGTCAATCTGCTATGCTCCGTGGTGGTCGCTAACAGGATAAGATACACTTGCTCGCCTTTCGCTCTATCTGCTGGCAAACCCCTCGCCCTCCTTCACCCCGCTCATCAAGCCCTACCTAAACCCCCGAACCCTGCCGCACATGCTCATCGTCATACTACTGGACTGGAACCACCCATGGCTATGGATCCGCCAACTTCGCGATTGGATCCGTGTGCTGCGATCGCTTATTGTCTCACTCGATGACGCTTCCAAGGTGGCCCTGGAGGAGAATATTCAAACATTACAAGACAAAGGGCGCAACCTGACAACCGAAGGGAGCAGCATGGAGAATGTGAAGATACCGCTAGGACCTGGAGAATGGGACGAACCACTTGGTGTGCCCCTGTGTGTTGTCTGTCAGAACGCCGACAAGATTGAGACGCTTGAGAAGGAGCGGGGATGGAAAGAGGAGGAGTTTGATTTCATACTCCAGTATATGCGTACTATCCTTCTCAAGCACGGTTCAAGCTTGGTATATACTATGCCCACAGCACCAGGCTCATTACGGACCCTCATTCATTCCACCCTTGGCATCAAGTCGTTACTCCAGCAAGAGCAACTGCGACACAACGTGACAGATCGCGATCGGGTACTGGTACCCCCCAACTGGGATTCATGGGCCAAAATTCGTATCCTGCGAGAAGGATTCGATGTCGAAGGCATCAGCGAGAAGTGGAGCGTCGATATTGATATTCCTCAGCATCTGCGACCAACCACTGCCCAGTCACCAGCGCCTGTAGAAGATGAAGCTCAGACAAATGGCGCAACAACACCTGTTGCAGAAGAGGAGGACGAATCTTCAGCAACTGCATACTACGAACAAACGATACGTAACCCGGAATCCGACTACGCCCTGTCTAGCCTGTCGAAACAAGCCAATGGACTCGAGGTGACAAGCAAAGATCCACAAGCCTTCCTCGCTGAGCAGGTCAATGTCCTGGAACATCTGAGACGAGAAGATGAAAACGAAGCTGCCCTGAAAGCTGCGCGCAAAGAACAAGATGCGTCAACTAGCAGGACCTGGACCGAAGAAGCTTCAGGGGTGGTCGAAGAGCACATTGGACCTATTCAGTTCAACATGGGTGGTATTCAAGTAAATGCCGATGAAATGGTGAAGAGGCTGCAGGTACGTTAGATGACCATCTTACTACCACCACATTACTAACATCTATCCAGGACCGACAAACAAACCGACAAGACGAGCCAGAGACTCCACCCGCGAAAGCGCAAGATACCAACATCAACGACAACGAGAAACTTCGGTCGTTCTTCTCAAGTCTAGTCAACAAGACACCTTCAAGCACTCCACGGGGTTGAATAAAAGTCGCCAACCTGAACTTGCCCCTTTCCGGGTTTGTATCTTTGTATCTGGGTGGCATTCTTTTATTCTTCCCACCCACGCAAATATCTTCCCATTGTTCATTCAACTGTTTTTGCCGAGACCGCTCGTGGTGGCAGAAAGAATTACCCTTTATTGGTCCAGTGATCGTCGTCATCAGCATGGCTCTATACCCACTGTGTATTTCGGTCTACAATACAATTTTTTCACGTTCGACCTAATATTGTGCATGTTTGTATGACATGCTTTTTCTATTTCTTGTGATGTGGGCTTTTGTGGTCGAGGACGGATGCTGTCTTGTATGAAGTTGATACCATATTCTTGTCACCTCATCCTACCTTTCGACACATGTTCTTCATATGCTTATATGGTGTAAGTCTTCACCTTTATTCTTAACTTTTTGAATGAATTTGTAGTCAATCAATCTTACTCAAACGCATAACCCACTCCACATAACATACGCTTCACACGTTTCCTTCCTCTTTCCACGTACGGCAGAGCTAATTCACAGTATCGACAAGTACTTGAAGTGAGTAGCATGGGTTTCAGGGTATGAAGTAAAAGCGTTTCATACTATATCAACACACACCGCAACTTCTGAAAGCTCACTCGTTATTCATTGCCAAACCCTCCAATATTCACAAAGAACTTCAATAGACCCCGAAACTCCAACGCCTAACCCCCTCTATCATCCAGCTTTATTCCTAACAATCTGCAAATTCGCACTAATAGTCGTAGTACTTGCCCTTCCCGCCATGCCCATCTTTCCCACCTCACCCCCACTAACACTCCCCTCACAACTCTCACACCGGCGTAAACTGCCTACTTTTGTGCTGCCGTCCATGTCGCTATATGCACTATCTTGGCGTTGTCTTTGATGTAAAGGGCGGATTGGGTTGACTGAGATGGCGGGGTGTTGGGCAGGTTGTTGTGTTATGCGAACGGGGCGGATTGTTTTTGGTGTTTCTTCCCAGGTGACGCCTGTGCCGTCGAAGCGGCGCATTTGAGAGGGGGCGCAGCCCATTGTTTTGTGTGGTTGTGAAGGTTGTGATTGTGGGGAGGTTTGGTTTGGTTCAAAGCTTTTTGATAAAGGGTATTGGCGTTTTTGGAGGACTGGTAGAGAAGGATTGGAAGCAGCGTTGTTGCTTGAGATAGAACGAGTGTAGAGGTTGGGTAGACGATGAAGCGAGTGGCTGCTTTGACTGCTGGAGAGAAAGGGTTTGTGGGTTGTGAGTTGTGAGTTGGAAGCCTGAGGTTGTTCGGGACTCAATCTCTTATACTGTCTCTGTCACATCGTGTATGGGTCTACACTGAGGGATTTGTGGTTGGTGTGACACTACCGGACAGTCGGTGCAGTACAATTGAAGATTTCCTTTACAACACTGTCGATCTATCTTTGCCTCAAACGCATCTAGAGTAGCTCGTGTAGCCTTGTTGCTAAATTTGAGTCTCTACGTTGGGTGCCAAGGTATTTGATACCGTTGATCGTCCGGAACCGTGTTCGGTTTCATAGATTTGAGTCTGGGTTGCAAGGCGACAATGCAGATGATCGGTATTGCATTGACACAAACTCCGACGCTCAGGAACCCATAAGCGCCGCTCGCAAATGATAGTACAAACTCGCGGCAAGAGATGCTCCAGCCCGAACGCGTAGTCTATACAAGGGGCTTGGCAACGGCGTGAAACCAAAAATAGAAATACAACACACGACTGCTTGGCATGGGAAGCTTGATAAAAGTGTGATGCCTAAACTATCATATTGATCGTCTATGTGATATGTAAGACCCTCCCACATCTCCATGCTGTCGTCGCCGAAAGGCTAGACACGGAAGGGGAGCAGAAGGGTCAGTCAATTTCCGCGATCCGAGTGGAGTTCGATCGTCCATGGAGAGCGGGACGAGACCTCAAAGAAGATGGCGTTGGAGAAAAACAAAAGACAGCTCATATCTTGATGAACTTGGTGTGAGAACCCGTTGCGACAATAGGACCAGGCTTGCCATCTTCGAGCTTCCATATCGTCGCCGTTGTGAACGCAAGGGTACCACCCACCTTGCCAGCCTTGCCCTCAATCTCTATAGTATCACCAACTTTCGCGCCGCTCACATATGAGATGTGGATATCCGTGGAAACCCCAGTCTTGGACCGATTTTCCCACGCGGCAATAGCCACGCCACCAACCCAATCAATCAGCGTCGCAGAGACGGAGCCATGTATACTACCATGTGTGTTGACATGGTTTTTAGTAAGGAGTAGCTGTGCACGCACAACCCCCTTGGAGGCGTACGTCAGCTTGATATCGTCGAGCAGAAATTGGTAGATGGGGCTGCTAGGCTTGCGGCTTAGCCAATAGTTTTCGACATAAGTGAGGATTTCAGGGTCGTTGGGAGCGTCACTGGCCATGATGAGTAGAGCGGGGTGGTGGTAGCGAGTGTTGAGTGCGAACTTGGACGGGATGAAAAAGTCGGGCTTAGTGTGGAGAAGGGTCTATCTAGAGCCTCACCGCGGGATCGGCGCTACTATTCCGCGGCCTCTGCGATCAGCAAGCGGCACCTGTGAAACGGCCATTACGCCAGTGTCAGCACACATAGACGCCACATATCCACTGTCACGCTGGAACATGCTTCACAGCAGTTCAGGACCTATTCCAGTGCTGCAAACCCCAATGTTGGCGTACATACAACCACCATGAGCGACCCTGTGCAGGCACCCCCGAGTCCGCGCGACTCCGCAACATACAAAGATCATGACGCGCGACGCGATAGCGATGACCGTGGTAGTTTCGTGTCCCCGGATCCATTCAAGACCGACGCGAATGCGCCTTCACTCGACATCAAGGCCCTCACAGATCGCACCCTCCACTTTTTGGCGACAGCGAGCAATGAGACACTTGGGGCCTGTCTCGCCGGACTGGGCGCAGGCACATATCTCATTCTCGGACGCGTAGGGCTGGTCCTTATAGGCGTTGTGGGCGGCGTGGTACTCCATGCCACATGGGAAGGATACCATGGTGGCGAGAAGGAGACGACAGGAGCGGGCGAGAGCAAGAAGCGAGAGTTAGCCGCCGATATTGCGCAGAGAGTGCTCGACTGGCGCAACACCAAGGCACAAGAGAAGAATAGTCAGGAAGATGACAGCTTCGACCTCAACCTCCAGCTGTATTCAGGCAAGAAGCTCGATTACTCCGAGTTCAAGACCGAGACGGCGGCGGCGTTGAATGAGCTGACGGACGCAGTCATGCGTGACTATGTCAAGTATGTCCTCCACACAGTGTCTAGATACTTATCTAATACAATGCAGGTGGTGGTACGCCCCCCTACTACCTACCGACCATACCTTTCCAGACTCGTGCCGCCAGACCTTTACCGCTTTCATCCTCTCCATATCTGCTCACCTCTCCCGCAAGCGACCAGCCGATAACTTCCTTGACTTCGTGACGCGCTCGTCATCTTTCATGATCATACTGCTGCAGGAGATTGCGACCGCTATACAAGCCTCTCCGGGTGATGCCCCTACCGAGGCGGTGGATATATATCTCAAGATGAAGCGCGACAGCACTCTGGCCAACATCCTTGACCCAGACTACCAGATGAAGCAATTCAGTGTGGCAGCGGAGGACATTCTGCAGAACTATCTGGACCCGAAGACGTACAACTGCATACCAGCCAGGACGTTTCTACACCAGGTAGTAGCCAAGCTGGTACTCGAAATGATCGTTGTGAGCTGCTCCAAGCCTGAGTTCATCAACGGGTTGATTGTGCAACTTTTGGAAGACGGCGAACCAGAGTTGCTGAGTGCCATCGATGCTGGCGTTGAGGGTGGGCAAATACGGAACGCGAGGAAGAGCGTAGATTTCCCCGAAGGCTCAGAGGGGGCGAACGCAGCTGAGAGAAGGGAACACAAGCGTGTCATGAGCAAAGCTCAAGAGGCGATGGATGATGCAATGCGCGAAGCCCAGCTGTTGAGCCAAATGATAGCCGAGGAAGATGCAAAGCGTTTGAAGGAGGAGCAGAAGCAAAGTTCGTCTACGTTGACTTTAAACGACGATCAGTCGGAAAGCACCACCCAAGGCATCGTCACGCCATCTTCCTCGGGCAGTGAAGCACATGGCGACACAGATATGGGAAATTCGGTCCTTTCAAGACAATCCATGTCAGAGGCTGGCCCAACATCTCCAACAAGAGCGTCCGAGGAGCCACCAAAGGAAGAAGCTAAAAAGGCATTCACCAGCTTTGATCAGCTCGTGCTACCACAACCACCTACTGCGTTGATGGACAACCCGAGTCCTGCCGAGAAACCACCACCATTGACCCTGCACAACGCCACAATGTCCATCTTCGATGATAGCATGCCCGGAGAGAAGGGCACTATCAAAAGCAAGCCAATGGCAGAATACCTCATACAGATTGAGCCCAAGTCGAGTCATCATCCTGGTTGGATGACAGCGCGCAAGTACACTGAGTTTGAAACGTTGCATGAAGTCATCCGTCGGATAGCAGCCATTACCGGTAGTGCCGCCTTCAGTGAAGCTCACGCTACATTGCCCTCATGGAAAGGCCACACTAAAGCATCTCTTCGCGGAGAGCTCGAAAGATACCTCAATGACGCAGTGCAGTACCAGCCTCTTGCTGAAAGCGAAGGCATGAAGCGCTTCCTGGACAAAGAGCTTGGTTCTGGAAAGACCCCGAACAGCGGCTTCCCAGGTATCGGATGGGCTGGTCAGACATTTGATACCGTAGGCAAAGGTATGTTGGGCGCGCTTTCAAAGGCACCCAAAGAAGTGGCTGGTGGTGGCAAAGCACTATTCGGTGGTGTCTCGAGTGCGATAGGAAGCGTAGTAGCACCGTTAGGAGGAAGGAAGCAGCGCGACTCTATCACCAGTGTTACTAACACATCAAGTCCTCCCCTAAGCCGCACAACCACACGACAGAGCAGAGCAGAGTCGACTGTTTCCGAGCTACCCACACACATCCGCTCCCCGAGCACCGTATCTCTAGTAACAAATTTAGCGAGCAAACGGACGTCGATAGAATCATTACGCGATCCTCACTCACCTGTCATAGATCAGCAACCGGGCCGCGAGGCTCCAATGGAGCGCCGACCCTCATATAACCCCGACGGCGATGGCAAGCGATCTAGTGTGTCTTCCAGATATGGCTCACGGAGTAACAGTCGCGCACCAGGAACACGGGAAAAGATCGAAGAACTCAGTCCGATGATGGGTGGTGATCAGATCCTCAATCTACCCCCCATGCCCAGTGAAATTTCCGACGACTACGGCGCTCCTCGCAGCGTCCCCGACACAATACAGGCCCAAAAGCCGTCTCGCACATCAACAGACTCTGTGCCATCTCTTCCCCGTCGTACATCAGCCACCTCAATCACGTCTTCGCCCATAAAATCTCCGCCCAAGAACCGCATGTCAATCGTCACCCACACACCGCTTTCCGAGCCCGAAACCACTGTCCTAATCGAATTAATCTTTGCCGTCATAAACGAACTCTACACCTTATCCTCCGCCTGGACCCTCCGCCGCACCCTTCTCAACGCAGCAAAAACCTACCTCCTCCGCCCAGGAAACCCGCAACTCTCCTCCATCACATCACTCATGCAAACGACCGTACTCGATGACAACACTTCCGACGCTGGTCTCGCATATCATATCCGCAAGATCCGCGCCTCGGGCCTCCCAACAGAGGAAGAATTAAAGAGCTGGCCAAAGGAGATGCCGGAAGACGAGAAAGAGAAGTTACGAGTTAAAGCTAGGAAGTTGTTAATAGAACGCGGTATGCCTCAGGCACTTACCAGTGTCATGGGGCAGGCTGCTAGCGGTGAGGCGCTGGGCAAGGTGTTTGATTGTTTGCAGGATACGAGGGTTGCGAGGGGTGTGGTGTTTGGTCTTGTGCTTCAGGGATTGAGGGCTATTACGCAATAAGTGAAAATACTAGATTTTGTTTGTATTTGTGATGAATAATATCAAGATTATTTTCTGTCCGTATTGTGTGCTCGGTATTTTGCGTTTTATTCTTCTTTTCACACATCTGTCTGTCGTGTCCCCACACTTCACTTCCAACCAGTCTCCGTCCTGTACTGCGAAGATGGTGTACATCATCACTGGTACAGTAGTCCTCTCATCAACGCCTGCAGGTTGTGGAGATGACGCAGCATATTCAACCGGTTCTAAACCAGCTTTTTAACTGCCGCATACAGCCCATCGACCCGTCTGGCATTGTACCCTACACTTCTTTCACAACATCCAACAACATCCCATACAGCTAACACAACAGTCTCGTAGAGTTACGGCCATGTTTTTCCTCTCCCCCTTCGAAGCTGGCGGCATATAAGTCGATATATTTGCCGTCCGTGGTGTTTATGTCGAGGTTGGGACCACCCACGCCGAGGCTAGAATGTGTGATGAAGTAGTGTGAAACATTCTTCCACGGAGGGGTACCGCGGTTATGTTGGATGGTTGCGAAATCTCGGTGACTTGGTGGCTCATTCACGAACTCGGGCTGTCGTGGGGGAACTCGGTTGTTCTGGACGCCGCTGGTGGATTTGGAGATGTTAATTGTGATCTGGTCCTTTGAATGACGCAGACGGCTGCCTGATGAGGGCGATGATTGTGAAAACGGGCATCCGGTTGCCACCTTGGCTGTAAGTACTCGCGCATTATTCCCATATCTCGGGCAATTCAGTGTCTTTAAAGCCTCATATGGGTGTAGATTCACGATAGTACCGAGGAATTCGATCCTTGGTGTATGGGCTGTCGGGGTCACCATGTGGCTCTCACTGCCTGCGTGTACACTGATAATGGAAGTAGGGTCGAAGCAGCCCCTCGCACATTCATCCATCATCTCCAACGCAACGCCATCTCTTCAAAAAGTTCCGCTCTAAACTCCGGCATTTCATCCATAAGTTCGTACACCAAAGCCATGGTCTTGCCAGTGCCGTGTATGAACGCCTGCACGTGATTCGCACAAAGCTTGACAGCAACCTTCCTGAGATCGTCCACATTCGCTCTCCGACTGGGCGAATACATTGCACGAATCGCATGTCGCATCTGCTCTTCATTTCCATCAACCATCAGCACCATGGTCGCAAAGTCCTCGAATTTCTGGAGTGCAATCTTCTTCAGGCCGGAAACGCCGTAGCGTTCTGCGAGCATGAATACGTCGACGTGAGAACGTAGGGTAACCTCCTCGGGTACATCGTTGTCTAGGCTTACAAGGTGGTCTGTGTAGTCGAGTTGATAGCAGTACTGCATCAGTGCTGAGACGGCTGAGGTGTCGTCTGCACTCAGATCAATGATACCTTTTGGCGATTTCTGCGGGTGTTAGTGTAGTTGGTGGAAGGGATTGAACGAACTTACTGGAGACATGACGACTGCGCAAACTCTCGCAAACCAGCGCGAATGGTAGCACATGATCACCCGGTCAACGTGATACACGTCGCTTTTGCAACGCACAACAAGGTCCGAGCATGGCCCTTCTGTAGTAGGCGACGATGGAGAACTCTCAATACGAACAGATACAGGGACTGTAGGGACTTCTACTGGAACCGAGGTCGGGGCTGGTTCGCTTTTGCGTTTATTTTCTTGCGGTTTACTTTTCTGCAGAAATCGCCGACCTATCGAACTAGTCGAAAATGTCTTTCGATGTTTAGGACGTGGGATATCACTTGACGCAGGTCTAGAGGAGGCTGCTGTGGATACGGAGGCGTTCGAACTGGTGGAACAAGTCCGGTCAAGACAGCCAAATGATGCCTCGGACGATGCCGTCGACACTATAGAAAGCACACTATCGCGTTTTGAGCGGTAAACTGAGGGATCGAGTCTGAGTTGGTGAGCAATAGCGATGGTTGGTCTGCAACGGAAATACTGACACGTTCCGATTGACAAAGACTGGTGTAACGAACATCTTGAAGATGCTATGCCAAAATGAAAGTCTACCACGGGATCGATTCGACAGAAGCCTTGACGTGCGGATCTTCTATGTTAATTTTATTCGATAGGGAAGACCAAAAGCTCACAGAAATAAACACATCACCATTCCCGACCGCCGCTGTATATATGCACTCCGCAATCCGACCACCGGGAGCGGCCATCAGCCAAACTAGTCATGGGCACATGCACATCAGGGTTAAAGCCCAGGAAGAAAATCGCCTAGGTTCCGGCATTCAAGAGTGCAAGAACCGTGTCCTCATATAAGTCCGTGATAAGAGCCAATGGCTGATAAAGGCCATATTAACCGTAGCTGCGGATGACCCGGGATTATAAGACTTGCCGATATTGCTTTCAATACCGACGATGCGCACTCGTGGAACGAGAGAAGCCGGTACGATTCATTCGTAGGGCCTCGGGGGAGTTTGTGGGGTAATGCCCGCGATGCGTGCTAGGAAGGCGTCAGCAGACTGCTTAAGAGCGTCGCTGATGGTTGCAGCAAGCCATCTGGACAAAACGCTTGGAAAGGACGGTGCGACGATCTTTTCCGGAAATCGAAAAACATCGCAAATGGCCACGCAATGGTGTTATTGATGGGTAGTAGGGCGAGAGACAATGCTTGGTTGCTGAGATGGTGTTTGTGAATTGTTCCTATGTCCCGAGGTCTGGTTGAAGAAGCTGCCCCCACCACTCAAAGTTCGTAGCAACATGCGCAACTGTAGCACACCTGCACCCTCATCGTGTCGTACCTGTGATCATAACCACGTTTTAACTTGTCTAGTATAGCTGACCACGCCGCTAAATGAAATCTCTGAGCAGGATTGTTCGGAAGTTTTTGGATACTGAAAGGCCTATGTATTCTGATGAGGACCTCGGGAGGTGAGGGACTTTTGGAAATATTCGCCACAACAGGTGCCCGCTTGTTTAATGTTTAATTCGCATGCTACTGTGGATGCACTTGTGCTCATGCGCTGTATGCGAATCCTGCGTCGCGCATGTGTGGGCGCCACCGCTCAGCTGTGAAAGGCCTAGTCCGGAAATCCCATCCGCCTCCGATTTCAGATCGCGATGAGGCTCAAAGAAAACTGGCGCCTCGGTCTATGCAGTATGCTAACGCACGGGATTACGTCAGATGATTACAAGAGGAAGGTCTATGATTCAAATTGGTACTGCCGATGTTCCCCAGGATTTGTAAAAGCTTGAGTGCCGATGGTTCTGAGGATAAACTCTGCCAGGTGATGTCATCCACAAACAATGGGACTGGGACCATCAGAAAAGGCCCGATAGCAAGACAAAAGTCCATTGGCTGCATCAACTGCTACAACATCCACAACGCGTCACAGTCGCGTTGCGTTACTGGTAGTTTTTGCCTTGGAAATAGCTTGCGTCTGGCCACGCATGGACTGCTTACATCAGGATCTGAAAAACGGCGTACCGACCGATGATAACAGATCAAATCGGCGAACTGAGCCAATCACCACCATGTCATTGTCAATGTCGTCCAACGTCGCCACTGACGAAGTTTGGCGGCACACAGGTCCAGTTTTGCGGTTAAGCAACGGGAGACCTAGGCTAGCCCGAGAAGCGTCGGAGTGTAGGCCTGGATTGCCAAATCTCTAAGCGTCATTTGAGCATGCTATGCCTAGCTAGTAAGTTGATGATGCGTTCCAGCATCGAAGTCACTGCAGAGTGGTAGCCGTGTGGATTCATATAAGACTTGTTTCCATGCCTCTGGAAATTGTTCACATATATCTCTTTTCTTTACAATACCCATCTTATATAAATTCAACATGAGCGGAAACACCAACGGAACGAATGGCCACCAGAACGGCGGTGGTCAGCACGCCCCCACTGGAGAGAAGACTGGCGACCAGTTCCGCAGCTATGCTGATGACCGCAATGCATCTTCCGAGGAGGTCATCTACACTACCGCGAATGGTGTTCCATACCCTCATCCATACGAGTCCCAGAGAGTGGGCGAAAACGGCCCACTGTTGCTTCAAGATCACCACCTTATTGATCTCCTTTCACATTTCGACCGTGAACGTATCCCAGAGCGTGTAGTGCATGCAAATGGGTACGCACATCACTCCATCAAGTCATGACTTGAACTCACAAAACGTAGACACGGTGCACACGGGACGTATAAGACTACAGAATCGTTGGAGGACCTTTGCATGGCAGATATCTTCAAGGCCGGAAAGAGTTGCCCTATCTCCGTCAGGTTTTCGACGGTTGGTGGTGAAACTGGCTCGCACGACATGGCTCGCGATCCCAGGGGCTTCTCAGTCAAGTTCCGCACTGAAGAAGGCAACTGGGATGTTGTGGCAAACAACACCCCCACTTTCTTTATGCGAGACCCGGCGAAATTTCCTCATTTCATTGTACGTATTACCAGCACGCGTATTCCTCAACACGAGTCCAACTCCATCCCAATACACGACATATACTAACATTATCGCAGCATACTCAGAAGCGACACCCAGCAACCCATCTTACACACGCGGATGATGCCACAAACTTCTGGGACTTTGCGTCGCAGGTAAGCGTCAGTGCCAGTTGTGTGCTGTCGACCTACTAACCTTCTGCCCCACCAGAACCCAGAGAGTGCCCATCAGTTCATGATCCTTTTCGGAGACAGGGGAATCCCGAAGAGCAGCCGATTCATGCACGGATACTGGGGTGTACGTACAGAGATATTCAACTTTTTCCCCTCAGTCAGCTAACACCTCTACAGCACACCCATAAACTTCAGAACAAGAATGGAGACTGGGTATACGCTCAGCTCCACTTCAAGAGCAAGCAGGGTACCGACTTTGTCACCCAAGAGGACTCTTTCAACTACGGCCCGGACTACGCGACAAAGGACCTCTACGAGGCCATTGAGAAGGGTGACTTCCCGGGATGGGATGTCATGTTCCAGACCATGACCGCAAAGGAGGCCGAGGAAGTCTGGGAGAAGCAGAAGCTTAACGTATTCGACATGACACACGTCTGGCCTCAATCTCAGTTCCCACTCCGTAAGGTCGGAGAGTTTTTCTTGAACGAGAACCCACAAAACTACTTCGCCGAGGTTGAGCAAATTGCCTTCAACCCAGCGCATCTGGTTCCAGGTATCGAGCCAAGTGCAGATCCCCTCCTACAGTCTCGTTTGTTTTCGTACCCTGATACCCATCGCCACCGTATTGGCGCCAACTACCAACAATTGCCAATCAATGCCCCCAGAACTGCCTACCGCATGGGCAACTTCCAGCGGGACGGCAACATGGCGTTCTACAACCAGGGCTCGCGTCCCAACTATCTCTCTTCAATTCAGCCCATCTCCTTCAAGGAGAGAACCGTCGATCTCGACAAGCTTCACGGAGACTTCACAGGAGAAGCGATTACTTTCTTGTCAAGCATCCACCCCGAGGACTTTAACGCACCCCGCGCGTTATGGGAGAAGGTCTTCGATGAGCCGGCCCGTGAACGATGGATCAAGAACATCTCTGGCCACATGTCGACTGTTACAGACAAGGAAATCATCAAACGCCAGATCGCCATCTACCGAGAGGTATCTGAAGATATTGCTTCCCGTATGGAGAAGGCTACTGGCGTCAAGGGCTACCCGGGCATCGCTGAGCTACGCTTCAACGGCACACACAACGGCATGGCCAAGTCTGATGACAACAAGGTCGCTAATGGTATGACTGGCATATCTGCAAAGTACGCTGCGAAGAACAAAACCAATGGTGCACCTGTTGCGGGTACACACAAGGAGATCATTGAGGGAAAAGCTTAGGGTTAATGGTAGTAGATATAGGTGATTGCTTGTTCAATTAGCGAATGTACGTAATAATGATCATGACGGTAACTAAGACTCCGGACAAAGTTTCTTGTGGATTGTACGCATAATTACAAGTCTGACGCTTCAGGGTAGTGACAATACCTAGTTTACTTCGGTCCTATCACCATGTGGCTCTTGCGCTGACACTTGTTGACTCCGCCCCCACATCCCAGCCACTTATTGACCTCGTCATAGGAAAAGTCGGCGTTATCCACGCACTGTCGTTTCTACATTACACAACCACATAAACAGCCGATATACCTCTAGTACTCAGAGGGTATAGCACTTTCTTGCCGTGAGGGGTTTGCCTCGATCCATGTCCCTGCGATGGGTCACGAGGACCGATTGCTTGGCGACACGGATACGAACTTGACTAGTAGGATGTTCGGATCATCAGCAGTACTTCGGTGCTGGCTCGACTGTTATCTACACTGGATGAAATGAGAAAATGCCTGTATATATACCGGTTGCTGTTTGTTGTGCCTGCGATGGAAATGAAACAGGGGCCATTGGTGACGGGGGGACCCCTCCCGAGCTAGCGCGCCTGCCTCATCGGCAACGGATCGCAACTTCTGTCACCATCCAGCACCTTGTGCCCCTCACCGAATCTCTGCTCAGGACGCCCAAGGGACCTTATTGATGAATTTTGGAGTTTATTCTTTCTTGAGTTTATATCTTTTCGACTTGCCGACAGCCTCTTCGCACGCACAGTCGCCATGGGAGGGTACAAGGCCCCGGATGCAATCATGTCACGTGACGTGGATTACGGCTGGCGTTTCGTTCCCCAAATCGCGTTGCCCGCTAGGCGTGAGGAGTGATTTTAATCGAGTCCTGGCAGCTCCGTCACTCCCATAACATTGTCCCGTTACAACCTTCCCGTCGCCCACTCGAAGTCAGATCATGTTCCTGTCGCACCTGGGCATTCTTTTCCAATCGTCAATCCATCCCGTCGTCGCTCTTTAAAGCTCGTAGCTTTTGGCCCGCTCTCTCTCCGCACCTGTTGCGTCGCCGCTGCGCCCAAGGACACGCCGGCTTCGCTCACCAAAGAGCTGCTGTTGCGCGATACCAGCCGTACTGCCATTGACTGCGATTATCTCACTCTCAGAACAATACACTGCCAACTCCACTTGGTCCTTCTTCCCGCTTCGCACCACGCACGACCGCACGCCCTTCCAAGCGCACCCGACACCATCGACCTCGCGAACTTCACTCCTCCTCACATACCGCTTAGCTACTATTCATAGTCACAAAGACGCGATAGCAATAGGAACAATGTCGCCGCGACGCTCATCGCGGGCTCGTACTACGCAGCCCCCACCCAGCGTCGCAACGCACAGTAACTCGTCATCGTCTGTCTCATCAGCGCGTACGGATCGTGCGTCGAGAGTCAACGCCAAACAGACATCACCACCCAAGTCGTCCACCCCACACTCGCTCTCCTCGGAGGAGCCCGAAGAACCACCTCACGGTGCGCAGCCTGAGCCACCGCTGACACGCCGACGAACACGCGAGCACGACAATGACGAAGATGAGTCCGCGAAGCTCGATGACGAGTTGGACGAAGACATCGCAGAAGAAGACGAGATCACCCGATGCGTGTGTGGCTACCAAGAGTACCCGGGACCACCATCAGACGCTGGCAAGCCTGGTTCAGCTCTGGTAGATCCAGATACTCAAACTGACGAACTCGGTGGTCTGTTCATTCAATGCGATGTCTGCAAGGTCTGGCAGCACGGTGGATGCGTGGGCATCATGGACGAAGCCGCCAGCCCTGACGAGTACTTTTGCGAGGAGTGCAGGAAAGACCTACACAAGGTCACAACGAGTCCTAAAGGGTACGTAGTCAAGCGTCGGTTTCATATTCAGAGCGCGCTACCCCGCGCCTTTCATCTACCCCATGGAGAACACGGTTGCACTCTGGGAGTTGCATACTCCTGTTAATTGCAAGTCATTGGTGGCTAACGAGTTCATCGCAACAGTCAAAAGTACTCCCGTTACCTACCTGTATACGATCAACAACAGGGAAAGAACCGAAAATCGTCCATTTCCAGAGAATCTGATGGACACTCGAGCAAGGACAAGGATCGCAACAACAGGGCGAGCGTGGACTCATTCGGCAAGCGTCGATCGACTATGAACAGTCGTGCTGCCTACGACGAAGATGAAGTGCTACGGAAAGTCATCGAAGAGAGCAAGCATCAAGGTGCCCCTGCTTCTGAGAACGGCAACCGGAAGAAGCGGAGTCGCGACGATAGCGAAGAGTGAGTCTCTGTCTGTCCTCCACGCCGCTTGACAGTCAACTGACAAACTTTGCAAAGGACAAAACCAGAGATCAAACGACAGCGTACTGGCTCTAGGTCCCCCAGTGGTTCGCCAGTCATTGAATCAGAGGACGACAGCACAAAAGCATCTGCTCCAAAACAAAAGCCACGTGGCGCTGCGGCGAAAAGCCAGCGGGAAAAGGAACAACGTGAAAAGGAGCGCGAGAGCCACAGGAACGAAGCTGCATCGCGACGAAAAGGGCGCGCCGAGCGGAGAAAGGGAGACGGTAAGCTGCCAGACACCATTGGAGAGCCATATCTGACAATTCATAGATCCAGAAGAAGCCGAACCCACGCCTGCAGCCACCATAGAAGAGCCCCCCATGGCTCCGTTAGCGACCGAAACCACGGTGCCCGAGCCGCCCACCGCAGATCTCAAGCCTGCGCCTGCACCACGAAGAGGAGGGCGTCCACCGCAGAAGGCACGTGGTCGGCTTGGACGAAACCAATACTCGAGGGACACCGTACCCGCAACCAATGGTACCTTGCCCAAGAACGATGCTGCGCAGTCACCACAAGCGACCACCACCAATGGCGCCACAAACGGTCATCACGACAGTAGCGACGGGACGGCTGGGTATAAGCCTGCCAAGAAGAATTGGCGGCTACAGAAGCTCTCGTGGAACGATATAAGACGCCCGGCCGGAGCTATGCAGAGCTACATAGCGCAACGGCAAGTCGAGATGGCTTCAGGTGTGAAGCACACAACTCTTGCTCTTGCTGTACAACCTGCTACGACTATGGCCAACGGAGACTCAAACCAAGAGCAGTCTAAAGAAGACGACACGGATCTGGCATCTTTCAAGAATTTAAGCACAACTCAGATGATGGATTCATTGAGCCGGGATCTAGCGCACTGGCAAAAGCTTATATCCGAGCCGACTGAGAAGTCGCCGAAGTGACTCTGGCCGTGCAATTTTGCTCATACTCTCTACTACAAACACGGCGTACTGGAACCTCCATGATCCATACTGGCAGTATTTCTCTTTGGGACGGCGTTACTCGGGATTTTTTACTTGTTTTCTGCGGCACGGATACCCTCCACTTCGTTTTGCTCCATCTTGAGCATACTTCACCTTCATGTCCCCCTCGACGACTTTGGTCTTGGATATTTTCATATGTAACTGTACGTAGGGCTTCAAGTCTAAAATGACTCCTCATGGCCGCTGAAGCAAACTTGCTCGCGGTCTGCAACAAACACACAACGTGTCAATGTATACCAAAAGATCGGATGTTATGAAGCTGATATTCGCTGGGATCAACCACGTAAGAAGCTAGGTTTCTCCAATACTATATTCGTTGGAAACACATCATTACATTATCCTGTTTTGTGCCATTCCCTACTCAGCCTTGCCCATCTTAATCTCCAACACACCCATGACGGGGTTCGTCTTCAGCAACTCTGATACTGCACCGAGATTCTCATCCGTCAGCACCGTGTACTCGGGCCATATCTTTGCGTCGCGCGTCTTGGTGTCCCAGTGAATCTTGAACTCGTGGATTATCTCCTTGGGACCATCGGCAGCTTTGTGCTTGGCCATGACTGTGTTTGGTCATAAGTTTGCATTCTTTGCTGGAGGAGAGAGGGTAGGCGAGGGGCTTGTAGAAAAAGGGATAGCAGAAGGGGATGGACAGGCGTACATTCAGCGCAATTCGGACTCGACGCCGCTATGGAAGTGATTTGCGCGTTCAGCGATTTGAGCGTGGGTTTAGTAGTGGTGTCTAGAAGGAGGAACTCGTGGCGATTGGAGGGTGGGAGAGTGAAGAGGAGGGGAAGAGACATGGTTGATGATATTGGTAGTGTTACTGCTTTCCACTGTTGATCGACGACGATGTTGAATTATATTCTCTGAACGTGAGTTTCGTATAGTGTATAGTAAGGGAAAGAGGAGCTAGAGATGTCTGTATAGCCGTTATTCCAAGTTTCCAGGCTTTTTGCGCAGACCTTGTCCTGCCGCACATGGGGGGGTTGGCTTAGGTATTGCAATGTACGTCATCGGCACTAGGATCGGACGGGAACGCGTTGCGCGTTGCCTTTAGCTTGCCCCGCTTTTTTATTTCGCGAGGGGTTTTAATTTGCATGGGAGGAAAACACGTGATTCGCATTTACGAACATTCATGAAGTTTGGGCCTTCTTTGAAAGCACTTTGAAGGCACCGTATATGATCAGGCTCTACGGAATGTGCGAGATATACAACACTGTCAACCCAACTTACCAACTACAATCCCTTGATCTTCTCCTCTAGCGCACGTTTGATAGCTAATGTATTCGTCAGTGCACATTCGTTCCGTTTGCGGGACCAACTTACCGTTGCAGCTCTCGTTAGCATCGCCGAATAGCATCTTGGTGTTCTCCATGAAGAACATGGGGTTCGGTACGTCGGCATAGCCGCTCGCCATTCCGCGCTTCATGATAACCACCTGTTTGCTCTTCCAGGCGTGCAAAACTGGCATACCTGCGATCGCACTGCCAGGCTCCATGGCGATGGGATTGACAGTATCGTTTGCTCCGATTACGAGCGTTACGTCAGTATCTGGGAAATCGTCGTTGATTTCATCCATCTCGAGGACGATATCGTACGGCACGGAAGCTTCAGCTAGCAACACGTTGACTATAATACGTTAGTTGACGTGCAGTGGTATAAGAGAAAAGTTGCTTACGTTGTCCTGGCATTCTTCCTGCGACCGGATGAATAGCAAAGCGGACGTTGACACCCTTGGAGCGAAGTTGGTTGACAAAGTCGGCGATGTTGTACTGCGCCTTCGACACTGCCATGCCATATCCAACTACGATAATGACGTTCTCAGCATTGAACAGCGCTTCGGCAGTCTCCTCAGATGTAGTTTTTGTAATCTCGCCTTCGATCTTGGATTGCTCTACGGCTGGACCGCCTATGCCGCCAAACAGCACATTAGTGATTGATCGATTCATTGCCACGCACATAATATGCGAGAGAATGGATCCCGATACTCCAATAAGAGCTCCAATGGTGGTCAGTAGCGGATTGTCCAGCATGAAGCCTTCGGCAACCAGTGCAAATCCAGAGTATGCGTTCAAGACAGTGATGACGACAGGCATGTCTGCTCCGCCAATAGCAGCAGTGGTAGTATAACCTTTGACAAAAGAGAGAGCTGCGTTGCCTACAAGGCATGCGGCACCGATCATAGGAGCGCCGGGGGCATACGCGAGGAATGTTGCCATAGTTGCAACATTCGCACCGAGGAGTGTACTGTTGATAAGATGACGACCAGGTAGAACCAAAGGCTTCGAGCTCATCTTCGCGGCCAACTTCAAGAAAGCGACGATGGATCCAGTGAATGTCACGCCTCCAATGAGAACACCGAGGTAGGCGGATACCATGTGAAGAGTCGAGATATCGCCAGTGTGGCCGAGAACGGAACCGATAGACGTCAACACCGCGGCTAGGCCGACGACAGAGTGTAGTGCTGCGACTGTCTGTGGCAGGGAAGTTGGTGTAATCCTTCTTCCAATCATTAGTCCAGCCACAACTCCGACAGTTGACAGCGCTGTGAATTGCGTGAGGACTTCGGGAGAAAAGCCAACGGCAGCCAAAGAAGCAAGAATACCAGAGAAGACACCGAGTATACCCAAGAAGTTTCCACGCCGAGCAGTAGCCTGGGATGCAAGACCAGACAAACTAGTCATGCAAAGTACGCTGCTCACCAAGTAGCCTGCTTGGACCAAACCAGCCATGCCAGTTGAGGCTGCCGCAACGAAGCCACCACCAAACAGAACCGCGGGGACAGCATAAAGCCATGGATATTCCTCAGGATCTGTAGGTCTGCGGAACATATCCAGCATTCGCTTAGAGATGACAAAGCCACCCGATACATTGACGAAGGCGAGCAAAACCGACAGAGCACCAAGCGTTTGCGGGATAGTTTCGGGGAAGTAGCCACCACCCATAACGTACAGACCACCGATACCGACCATACCAGAGATGGCATTTGTCACGCTCATCAGTGGAGAGTGGAGAGCAGGTGCAACGCCCCATACGACTCTGTATCCGATCAGACTGGCCAAGGCGAAGGTAAATGCATTGCTCATGAACAGTGGTCCAGTGAACTTTCCGAGAGCTAGTGCGGTAGACATGGCGGCTGTGACGCCTCCGACCTGCCGAGACTGTGTCTGCCATGGTGTTAGGGCGACAACGTTGGCGACTTGATCGGCAGACGATGGTGCAGCCTTGGCTTGCGCTGGAGGCGGAGCAGGTCGAGGAGCAGGAGGTAGTATCTTGCCATCGTAGGTAACGATGGCACCGCGAGTAACTTCATCTGTGAGGTCGACGTCGTAGTACTTTTCTCTCTTGTCCTTGGGAGTCAGGGAAAGTAGAAACTTGGTGACGTTATTCGAGTAAAGCGTGGAAGACTGAGTGGGCAAACGCGAAGGCAGGTCAGTATAGCCAATTACTGACACCCCTTCGTATTTGTTCAGTTTCCCCGGGACAGTAGCTTCGCAGTTCCCTCCTGCCTCGGCTGCAAGATCCACAACAACCGAGCCAGGTTTCATAGCACCAAGCATGGCTTTGGTGATCAATTTCGGGGCAGGTTGACCAGGGATGAGAGCGGTGGTAATCACAATGTCGACCTCTCGACACTGTTCGTAGAAGAGCTTCATCTCTGCCTCGATAAATTCCTTAGACATGACTTTAGCGTAACCACCGGCTCCGGAACCATCTTCTGCGATTTCGACTTCGATAAATTCAGCGCCAAGAGATTGTACCTGCTCACGTGCGGCGGAGCGAGTGTCAAAACCACGAACTATTGCGCCCATGCGACGAGCCTATTTCAATGTTAGGATATATGCTTGGAATATGTAGGGTGCTTGAGATTGCTGAGACGTATCTCTAGGCAGAGCTCCATCAATCAAAAAAGTCAGGTGATCTTCAAAGTACATGTACCAGGGCTGTAAGGAGTAGCCTCGTAATTGGATGACGTCCGCCAGGACACATTTTGCTCAATGTTTCTCGGCCATAGATTGAGAGGGAGACACTTACAGTAGCGATAGCACTCAAGCCCGCAACACCAGCTCCAATGACAAGGACTTTACAGGGTGGAATCTATGTAAATCAGCACAGTATCTGAATTGTAATAAGTATCTTTTACCTTTCCGGCAGCAGTAACTTGACCAGTTAAAAAGCGGCCGAAGTGGTTCGATGCTTCCAAGACAGCCTTATAACCAGCGATATTCGCCATGGAGCTGGTTTCATCAGTCATGCTTTTCGCAAAGCCGCGGGAATCAACATACCTCAGCGCATCAAAAACTTGGGCGCGGCTTATGCGAGGGATCATGTCCATTGCGAATGCAGTGGCCTTACGGGAAGCAATACGCTCCACTGTTGGCTTGTTCTGCATCGGGTACAGCATGGAAATGATAGTGGCGCCCTCTCGAATAGCATCCACCTCGCTATCCTCTCCTTCGGTACTAAGAGCTCGAACCTTGAGCAAAATGTCGCTCTCCTTGAAAACATTTCTGCGATCAACAGTGGTGGCGCCCGCCTGCTCATAAGCCTCATCAGAAAAGGAAGCCTCGGCGCCAGCTCCCCGTTCAATCAAGATACGCGAGAAGCCTTTCTTGAGCAGCAACTTGACATTGGTTGGCGTAATGGCAACTCGTCTCTCGCCCGGGTAGCTCTCTTTGGGGACACCAATGGTCAGGTTTGCGTAGGGGCCAGCCGTAAACGGCGGTGTGCTAGGTAGCTCCTCGTCGTGCGGCTCCGAAGCTGATGCATGGGTTGCGTAACGCGCAACAGCGGTGACCTGCGAGACATGCGGCTGCAGGGACAGCAGCGGCGGGTGCGTGCGGGTAATGTTCCGAACAACTGTAGTGCGTTCATGAGGTTTGTTATGCCTCGAGCGATCGTCACAGAGAGTCGTCAACCTCGACACAGATGTGAAAGCACACAGTGGCCTTAGGTGAGCAAAGAAACTGCCCCGCAACGGTCGAGCGGCAAGCGCCCTGTAGCCGCCGAGACAGTTGGCTGGAGTACTCATGCTGTCTCAAAGGAGGGCGGGCAAAGAGGGAAGATGCCAAGCACCCGCATCTGCTGGCGATTAATGATATTTGACAAAAGAAGTTATAGGTGGCGAGCTGGTGAAAGTTCAACGCTGTGTGAGGGAGCACCACAAAATGCCACGGGATGTGAGGCATTGGTGGTACATATTGCGGTACCTTTGGGCCGCATGCTCCCGTCATTACCGAATGAAGGGCATGGGCGTCAACTTCCCCGCACTTGATGCTACCCCACGTTTCTTGACCCTGGAAACTGCTCCCGTGCTTCCGGTTTGTGATGAAGCCTTCAGGTGGTGTAACGGATGATGTGCAGATATTTTGTAAAACTAGTAGCTATAGTCCCTGTCTGGACCGTAACAGACGCAGTAATAGTATGACATCCTCGCTCGACTTCAACCAGCACGCGGATGAGATAATGACTTGAGTTTATCGACAACCTTAACACCCACGCGAACTTTGGTTCCACCCCCTCATCAGAATATCTGTGTACACAAGCCATCTTGGTGGTTTAACCGTGGCGACAAAATACAGTTTAGAGTCTTTGACTAGAAGTATATAGCTATAACTACCACCAAGGTAATAATTATCTAGATAGCATCACATGTGATCAATGCGTGGTTCCCTGGCCCGCTTTCGATGATCACGGGCTGCGGGGCAACCGGTGGACCCCACCTGCACAATCTCCTTCCTTATTGAGGCCGCGTGGAATGCTGGAATTCCGTCCACTAACTCTGCTTAGTTAGTTGGCTTAGCCAGGGGCATCTCAAGAACCAAGTCAAGTAGTTCATATCGCACACGTGGCAAATAAGTTGAAGTCAAAGATCGTTACATTATGTCTAATGGTATGCTAAAATGTGCTAAGGAGTGACTCTGCAGCGAGCTTTTGGTGCCCAAAGTAAAGCCAAGAAAATGTTATGTAATGAAGAAATGCAGAAAGGTCTGCGATACCATGCAACATCATCGAAGAAAAGAGTCATGGAGATGCGAGTAGCCAAAGCTTACTCTTCGCGCTTCAGGGAGAATCCGCCCCAGTTGAAGCTGGCGTTGACGTCAAGGTCAAAGGTGAAGGACTTCTGGCATCCCCATCCAGCAGTGTTGATCTCGAGGTTGGCCTGTGCGGCGACGAACTTCTTGGTGAAAAGACGGCAGTGGGTACCGAAACCGACACCGTCCTTCTCGAGGTAAGCAGCCTGGAACTGGACGCAGCCACCCTTGTTCATGCCGAACATGGAAAGGAAGGCGCCAATGATGCCACCCTTGCGGTTGACAGAGTTCTGCTTCTGGGCATATGCCGCGCAGAGCGAAGGGTCGAAAGGACCGGGGAAGGTGCTCTGACCCATGCAGTATGGCTGCTGGTTGTGAAGCTTGTGTCCGCACGACTGAGGCTTGCTGCAAGAAGGAGGAGTAGGAGGAGTGTAGGTCTTCTTGTTGTATCCGTTGGAACCGACAATGACAACCTCGAAGCCGTCCTGGTCCTGACCGTTGTTGGTAGCAGACGCCTTGGTAACATCCTGACCCCAGAGAGTGCACTTGAAGCGGGTGACAGAGTCGGGCTTGGTGCAAGAGCACTGGCGCGGGTTCCACTTAGGGTCACGCTCAATGAAGAGGTCGAAACCAGTGCAGGTGGCAGTGCTCTCGCACTTGGCAGCGCACGCAGCAGTGTCGTAGCTCTCAAGCTCGTAGTATCCAAGGTAGCCGCTGCCAGAAACGGAGGCGCTCAAGTCTGAGAAAGCCTGCTCGTAACCGGAAGGAGTCTTGGCAGAAGTCGCGAGCTCATGGTAGACAGAGTTGCTCTTGAAAGCCTCGGCGGTATCGGGGGAGTTTTGAGATGGGCCGTAGGCGTTGGGCTGAGCAGCGCATGGGTCTTCGGGGTTGATAAATCCACAGAAAGTACCGACCTCGATCGCTGTAGCGCATGCTGGGGCGGAGGTGAAAGCGAAAGTGTTTGTCCAGCTGACTGGTGTGCAGGATGAAGGAGCCAAGTTGGTGCTCTCGCCCGCGCTGAAGGTTCGGGTAGTAGCAGCGGGTGTTGGTGTTGGTGTTGGGGAAGGAGTCTGAGCTGGGACTACAACGGTGTTTGTAGGGGCGGTAGAGTTACCACCTCCGTAACCACTTCCGTAACCACTTCCATAGCCGTAACCAGGGCCTGAGCCTTGGGTGGGAGCAGGAACTGGGCCAGGAGCGGGACCTGGACCGGGAGCAGGACCTTGACCACCAGGAGCAGGACCAGGAGCAGGGCTTCCGTAGCCACCGTTTCCAGCTGGAGGAGGTGGAGGTGGGGGAGGTGTGTTTCCGTATCCACCGTTTCCAGCTGGAGGAGGGGGAGGTGGGGGAGGTGTGTTTCCGTATCCACCGTTTCCAGCTGGAGGAGGGGGAGGTGGGGGAGGTGTGTTTCCGTATCCACCGTTTCCAGCTGGAGGAGGAGGGGGAGGAGGAGGTGTGTTGCCATAGCCACCGTTTCCAGCTGGAGGGGGAGGGGGAGGTGTGTTTCCGTAGCCTCCGTTTGAAGAACCGTAACCTCCAGAAGAGGGAGAGCCGAACAATCCCCAGAAGGTAGGGCTGCGAGACTCGAGGTTGGCAGAAGTATCCCTCTTGGCCTGCTTAGCAGTAGCAACACCAGTGACGGCGGAAGCGGCTTTGTTCTGAGCCTCGGCCTGGTGGTAAGCCGACTGGCTAACTACACCCATTGGGGGACCCTTGGGGCCATTGTTGACGATGGCATTGAGTTGGTTGAAGTCGATGCCTTGTGGTGCGGGAGACGCTGCGGCGAGAGCAGCAGCTCCGATGATGATGAAGGAACGCATTATCAAAAGATTGTGTAGAAATTAGAATGAAGCGACTGTGAGTATTAGATACCGAGTGGTAAAGACCGAGTGTGATGATGAGTTACTGAGCAGTTGGCCAAAGACTCTTATATACAACAGGCCTCGCACAGCCTGGCCCTACTCGCCTCGGCGTTAGGCGAAGATTTGAGATCGTGCTGCCATGTGGAGACGAAATCATCGGCGGTATCTTCGAACCGTCTGCATGACTAGAGTCGGCGGCTGTGTACCTGGAAACAATAGTCCACCAAGTTTTACCCTAGCTCCGGACGAACTGTCACCCTCGCCAACGCCCGGAACGTGCATAACACCTGCAGGTACAGCAAGACTAGCACTGATTCGAGGTCATTGGCTTTCCCGATCTGGCGCAAGATAGTATTAACCGGGTATAGTTCGTGATGCGCTGTCGTATAGCGATAGCGGACCGCAGACGATGTGCTGACCATGAATGTCTAGAAGTCAGTCCGGTAACGGCAATACCATCAAGTCTTCCATGATACAAAGAAATGGTACCTAGATGGTGTGTAGATCATCCAAAATTGTCCATGCAACCCTGAAAGTCTTGTTCTGGGACCTTGCATTATGGCTAGGGGCGGCTCGGTAAGCGAAAGCTTAGCTGACTGTGGACCACACGCTGGTGTTCTAAAGCGCCACTAATACTCTTAGTTCGTCGCCGGCTGTTTGTCGTATCAATAGTTTTCCTCAGGGGAAAAAAGATCTATACTTGGAGAGGTACAGATCTGCTCGTTAGGGTACGATGTATACGCGAACGTTCGAACAGCGTTGAACCTTCGAGGCTCGACCAAGCGGAGTTGATGCGCATTCGAGCCTTGGTTGAACTGGACATGGATACCACATGGGGTGATAATGAGGGAATGCCTCACGCCAGAACAAGCCATAACGCTTTATTTGCGGGTGCTAGACTAAATCCCGATTTGTGTCGATGCCATGCAAGACCGAGGAGAAGGTGCAGCCGGCAGAATGAATTCACAAGGTCTGTAGCTACATGATTGGGCTGACATGCGCATTTGGGACCGTGAAGGATGGCAAACATGTGCTCTACGCTGCAGTATGGGCAACGGACGTCACAGAGGTCCTGCAGGGCATGACTGCGTACCATGGGCGCCCTCATGCCAGGGTCCCGTACCAGCCTTTTTTCTCCGAGGATCTCGTACGTCCACACAAGTACGCGATGCGCATACGGCTCTTCTCAGCCCGCGAGAAGCTTATGGTTTGCGGTGTCAGGCCGAATTTGACCATGCTTCAAAAAGCAGTCGATAGTGGTGTGTTGCCCACGTGCCTGCCGATGCCGACTCCGTGCTGAAATCTAACTACGGGTGTGGACTGAGGCGTCCGGGAGTCGTTTAGTTAGTTACTTGCATCGTCTGTGAGCCTCGTTTCTGAGGTGGCATCATCGTGCATTTGCGGAACCACCGGCAAGCAGAGCAAGTTTTGTCGGTTGTGTCCGCTCCGCAGCCAGGAGAAACGGAAAACAAGACCTGGTGTGGGTCGTACCGAAGCCCAGAAGGTGGACACTAAACGGCTCGGTCGATCCACGCTAGTGACGCAAGGTTTGTCTAGTATGCTTCAGGTTGATCGCCCCTTCAACTACTACTGTTCTGTCAGCGGCTGTCCTCTGTCACCAAGCTTAGCAAAAGTATTTCCCATGTGTCAGTTCTGTAACAATGTTACTTGTTCGTATTTTGTTTCATTCTTGGTAATCATCAGTCTTCCTTCTGATGTCGACATGCATTCACGATCTACCAAAGACTGTAGCTAGATCATACTTTTGCAGGACACAGCGTGCGCCGGATGAAATTGGGAAGATGCGCTTGTGTCGTGTTGTTTTCACGAGTCGTGTAACGCATCGCTTAGACTGGATCGGATGCGCGTTCCTGAATTTCTGGGGCAAATACCATACTGTATGCAGCCACTCCTATTACCAATACAGGTGGGAATTAAGAATAGCTCCGCCAGTAGACACACTTCGACCTTCCCGGTCACTATATCCGGGCGAGTGTACGGTGCCGATAGGGCCGAGTTCCGCTTGGATGGTAGCAGGGTTCCTGTCCGAAACAGAGGAGTTCGCCAATATCAACTAACAATAGCAAGGTTTGTTGGTGACAGGGAGCCTAGGTTGCAGTCTTCCGACTGTCTTCTGATAGATACGAGTATATACCGATAGCCAAGTAACTTGAGGAGCAATGACTTGGACATTCCGAACCCCCCACATTCCGCTTTGTCGATTGAAAGGGGTTGCAAGATACGCTAGTAGGTGGAAACAGTGAGTCAAGATTCGATCTAAATAACTTGTAGACTTTTGCAACATGCGCATCATATGTGGAGATAGTAACTGTAGCGCTCATGGCGACTGACGCTGTATGACCTCACTGTTGACTGTACATGATTAGTGAGGGGTCGTTTGAGATTTGCGCAAAAGTACACACTATCATACATAGTATGTTAGATGTATTAGTGCTGGTAACCCGGGGTGCTTAAGTGCCGAAATAAATAAGTACATCCACGTGTGAATAACACTAGGATCAAAAGCCCTATGATCAAAGTGGAGCCCGGAGTGACAGATTAAGTCTTCTAACAACGAGTATCAACCCACTGTTACATTGCCACAGTAAATGTGCCATCAAACTTTCGTGGGAAAAGTACGAATTACCTTCGGCCGACACATGCGCACACAAGAAGCTAAGAGCGACTATGAAGGCTGCAAGTTATATTGCCACAGCAAGTAAACTTCAACGGACAAAGGCGCATACATATTAATCAAACAAACACAAAGTACCAACACCAGTAACAAGTGTCCACGTCCGAAAAAGGGCCGACGCGAGGGAAAAAAAGTATTTCATAAAAACTACTTATACCCGCCAAGCCACCCCCGTACCGTCCCCAGCACCACCCTCCACCATCGGGACAAGAAAAAAAATATCGCTACCATCCCCACCAGCCACATACACTATTCCTTAGTCGTCTCAGTTTACTCGAAATTGAGCGCAGAGTCCAAGTGCCCAATGCCAATCGTGCCTGAGCCTGAGCCTGAAGTAGGTGTGCAAGCCCTCCAGGCAACATGCAACTGCTGAGTAAACGCCACAGTCGCATCATCATTGCTCATTTCGCCCGCCTGGGTGCTCTTCTTGTTAGTCAGCGAGATCCTGTTGTTGATGTTAAGGATGCCATTCTGGCCGCAGGGCGACCAGATAGTCGCCGTCGTCTCCACGCTATCTGTCTTGGTGTAGACTTGGCCGTTGACGAGGGCGCCGCCGCCGACGGCAGACATGCGCGTAGTTTGCGTGGTGCCTGCATCTTGCGAGAAGTAGTAAGTGGTGATGAAAGAGCCGGTTACGCCTTCGTCGAGGCGTGCCCAGCCGTGGTAGGTGGCGTCAACGACGGCATATTGGAAGCCGCCGGGATACTTGAGGTTGAGGTGGAGTTGGCAGTTCTTGGAGCGGTCGGCGGGCGTGGTGCCGGGGCCGATGTAGGTTTGGAATTGGTCGAAGCCGTAGGTTACGACCTGGTGGATATAAGTGAGTTGAGTGGATTTGGATTGAGAGTGAGTGTGTTGCTTGAGATGAAATAACAAAATTTAGACTTACAGTCTTGTCGGTAGATGTACTTGTAGACACTGAGCCTTGAGGGCAGCCGTTACCAGAGTAGCTCGTGTCTACAATAGTGATTTGATCCGGAGAAGGAGCACTGGCCGAAACGCTTGCAGGCACAGGGTTCGCCGCAGCAAGGACCGGAAGGAGGAAGGTAATGAGTTTGGAGTGCATATTTGCTGCTTAGACAAAGATTTTTCTTGTGGTGCCGAAGTGAGGGTTGAAAGTCAAGGCTGCTGATCTGGGATGATTAGCAGCATGAGGGAAATCACATCATCTTTATACCCATACTTTCAAGTCCCAACAATTCTATGCAATCTGCCTGTTGTATATTCCCGTGCCTTTCCGCACCCTGCTACTCAGTCTCGCTCCTACATCGGCATCCTCGAGGTAGTAGTCTGGAGGCAACATAGTCACTAAAGCAGTAAGGTCGTCTTCCAATTTTAGCTCTACGAAAATGCCCTGTGTATTAAGACCACGATATTTAAATATTGAACTGGGTTACGTGGTAGTTGATTAGATGAAGCGACCTGATCCGAGCCGCAGACGTGGCCTGGAAGTTACCCAGAATACGAGCTCATGACAAAGAGCAACTGCATCTGTAGGATATGAGCGCCATGCGCGCATGGTGATCAACATTCAAGCATCATATGTAAAATGGTACCCGCTCTTCACTTTTCCGTAGTGGCGTTAATGCGACGTCCGGCCAAGGCGAGACAGAAGCATTATAGTGAGAATACGAAAAGTTTCTGTACGATGTATATTGGTATCAAGTCATTATGCCCCGCAAAGAGGCTCTGGACCTGCATGAGAGCGCTGTTCCGCCGTTTGCCATGCTCAAAATAGCTCTCAGCAAGGCCGATGCAATAAAGCGGTACTAGGAAGCAGATGTGAGTGCGGATCAGGTGATTAAATAGGCGGTAACCAAATTGTACTGCAAACCAACACGTGTGTTAGAAAGCGACCTATCAAAACATGGAGAATCAGGATCTTGTTGCTTACAGAACATGGTCGAGACTAGTGTGTTGTAATTTACTCCGCAATATGGGAATTCGGTGCATGGGTCGCTTAATTGGGTAATATACGTTTGACGAACCCGCGTTCGCCATGTTCGGATCAGTCTACAGGGTTTAGCCGGGATCATCAGCCAGACGGTGATCTAAGCCTCCATGCTTGAGGAGCAAAGTATATAGAGTGTAAAACCGAGAATGCTCCACTCGTCGTGTGTATCATCAATTTCTCTGCAATTTCAGGGTACATTAATCCATCCATAGTTCGTTTCGCTTCACCCTAGGGTTCGGGTTTTAGTAGGGGTCTTGCTCCCGGATAATGTAATATACGAAGTCATGGTGCTTCATGTTGCCGTCATACATACAACCGGTCAGCTGTCTTTATTGTTTTCCACTCGCAGATTGCTTCTGCTCTCTTGGCAGGAAGAAGAGGCGTTACGAGTATCTGAATCGTGGCCTGAGCTATATGGATGTGGCCGCGAAAGAGCCACCCGAATACAACCGTACGGTGTATACTGTCTGTAGTTTCTATCGTAAGCAAGGTATACAGATAACCGCTCATTTCGTCTTTGTACTGCCATCTTAGGGACGATGTCCTTTTCTGGCCAGCGCCAATGTCGTTTTTCTTCTATAATACATACTTACCAGGAGACCCTCACATTGCTCTCCGAAATATATCGCGTTGAATGTAATCATCGTAGAGACGAATTGCAACCCTAAGCTTTCACATTGGAAGAAGACGGTGACGGCATGAGACTGAGAACGGTAGGCGAAGGATATTTTCCTAGAACGGAAAGAGTCTAGATAGACCTGAGGGGGATCAGCAAAAAAAGCCTCGGATCCAGTGATGCTGAACCAGTGCAATGCAGGCATTCTTGTATAACTGAAAACGGTGCGAGTACCAATGCCTCTATAGTTTCCCACTCGCGCTAGACATAAATAGCTAACAATAGTAGATCCAGAGTGGTACAACATGTGTCCCTCGCATCACGCCTGCAGATCCATGCAGCCCATGTGCAACCAAACTCCAACTTCAGTCCAACACTGTCCACTAATACTACAACGTGGTACACCCACATGCAACCAAAACAACTGCATATTTGCCATGACTTCCGACAAAATAAAACATCCATTGTACAGAGTACCACCCACGCTGAGACGTGGAACATGGAATTACCGCGACCTGCGGCGATCCTGGAGAGAACGTAGGACCTCTAGCCATCCTCCGTCGTCAATATCGCCGTCCCCTGTGACTCAAGAAAAGAGAGTATCAGGAAGCTGAAGAATATCAATAAGTTGCCACCATGTACTTACCATTGTATACAGCCATATTCGAACCTGACCCGCCCCCATTGACAACAATCGGATTACTGTCGACAACATGTACAGCCAGACCATTGCCCGCGGATGTAACTGGAGGATCTGAGGCCGAGTTACGGATTCGGATGAGGGTAATGCGTATTCGATAGGTACCAGCCTGGCGGATGACTAGGTCCGGAAAGCGCATGTAGCCCACGCCCTGTGGGTCGGCCATGTCCATTGAGGCGATGAATCCATCAGCTTCGTCGTCGTTGAAGGGATGAATTGAGTCGAAAACTCTACCTGTAAGCAGAGTGTTGAGAGCGTTGGGGTCTGCTGGTACTGCAGAGTTAGGACCAGGAACCAAGGCTGCGACTGCGACAAGGTTGGTTGAGTCTGCAACAGCGTCGTCGGTATCGGCGTTGATGGTTCGCAATCGCACGACGATAGATCCAGGCATAGTTTGGCCGACCCGAGCGGTCCGGGGCGGCTGCACCACGATGTCCATGACGTACCGTATATCCTCAGGCGATAGAGAGTGCTGGCCTGATCTTGACCGTCCTGAATTGCGGGAGTTTCCAGAATGATGCCGTGAGCGAACGGACCTACTTCCTAGCGCCCTCGGCCTTGCAACGTCAGCCATCGAGGGTATGGTGTCGGCTAGTTGGCAGCCTGTTTCTCCGTTATGTAACTCTGCGATCCGGGCGGACCTTCTGAGTGACACGTGCCTTTGGGTGTTTTGGGATGAAGTGCGGCGCGATATTGATCGAGCTCGCGATGCTGAAGGTGTGTTTGTCGTGCTGTTCCTAGACGATGCGCTTCGATTGCGATGGTGATCTCTACCTCGTCCTTGGCGTGAGCCCCTTCGCATCTGAGGAAGGCTGAACCTGTTTCTCTTAGCAAAGTTTCATAAAAGAGTGTTAGTTGAGCCAGTTTCGGCCGGGCAGTTATGTGGAATGAGTGCAAAGACTTGAATTGGAGACGAGGAGAAGATAGATAAGGTGTGGATGAAGTCAAGGATGAAAAGTAAAGGAAGTTGCGTAGACGGCAGTATGTAGTGACGCCATGAGGTTATAATCAGGCGATGTTGGATAGCGAAGATATAGGAAATGAACCCAAGCCACGAGTCAGACTTGTCGTCAAAGGCTCCTCGTGTTGCGCATACCGCGGCCGCTCGATCAGGATGAGGATGGTCTCTTTGGGGCGGTTGAGCCCAATACTCGGGCCCTTTAATCTCTCATGGGCTGTACGGTACTGAGCGCGAAGGCGGCAACGAGTAATATTGTGAAGGATATAGGTAGAGGTGAGGTTTGAAGGTATCCCTCGGACCCTTGGCCGGGCCCCACACGCCCGCGAGTTCGGTGGAGATGCGGGCGTCAGGGCGTATGATTGGTGGCCTTGGGGTAACGAAGGAGCCCTCGTCCATGCGCGGAACATGCGGAACATGCGGAACATGCGGTACACAAGAGCAATGGAGACAAAGTTCCATGACAAACGGCAGAAAGAGGATAGACAGCGCGGAACGTGTGGGAATGATGCAGCACATGGTGTTGCAGGTTGATATGAGCAAAGTGATGCGTCACAGGAACCCGGTGGGCCATGTGGCGACAGGGATGCTGATTAAGGATGGAATGGAACGAGCAACCAAGCGAAATGAACTGCTCACCTTCTGCCTCAGTCACACACCCGCTTGCCTTGCTTGCAACGTGTGCCGAAAATGCTTGGATATCCTTTTGCTCTTGCTTCTCTGAGTCGGCTTCACGCTATGCCGGTGTACCGCTTTTTGGGATGTAGTGGTGCAAAGTTGGACGGCGGCAATGCCCGCGATACGTGTGTCTCGTAACAACCGCAGTGATGCCGTGTTGCAGCAAACAATTATCGGCAGCGAGGGCCCCCCCTTCAAGACGCTCTGGAAGGCGTTCGGTTTGTCACAAAGGTTTCGTGACGTGACTTTCCTATGCTGCTTTTGTATATTAGCCATGCTTTCCCCACAGTGAAGCGACGTATGCCCTCCCCAACCCACCACCCATCACTGTGATTGCATTGACCGAGTACCGCCAATGGACCCTCATCCTGCGTGGACCATACGTTCTGGACGCGGCCAAGTTGATGCGACGTACCTTTTCTGGCTGCCGTGTCGATATCAGGCGCTATCAATACAATGCACACGGGTCGAAGCAAGCCTGATGTGCGGTCCCGGAACGCCGTCGACGTTGGATGTGGATGATGAGAGGATATGGTCACTGTCTCAGACGGCAGAGGAGTCGCAAACCAATGCTGTGTGGTTGTGAGCGGCTGTCTGCTTCATGCAGTCAACTGGCCAAACACTGGAGACGGTGAGGAAGCCGTCTTATACAAAGTCCCTACATTGCAGGCTTCCAAAGCGCTCTTGCCTCTTGGAGTGGGATGCAGCTGCCTCCCAGGGCCTGCCGCCCTCCGCTATTGGCTTGAGCGCTGTCTTGCCCATTCTGAACGCGCTTCCACCTACTTTCATCATTTCCAGCAGCCCGGTGATTCAGACCGGCCTTGTGCTGGTCGATGCGTGCACCGACTTAGTGCAGCCGCCATGGACATGTCGCCCGTCGAGCATGGCGGTCTTGGGCTTCACCCTTTCCAGCCAGTAGCGTCTGATGCTCTATGCGCCTAGTATCGTCCCGATTGCCGATCCGAGGCACGACCACATACCCAACATCATGGTATCGCAGCGTGGGCGGCGAGACGGCCAATTACCGAGCCGTGGCCCTGGATTGACTTGTACCACATTTGCCGCTGCCTCTGACGGCGTCCCCCTCGACGCAGAAAAAGAAAACGAAAGCACATCTTACATCAGGAACACACAAAGACAGCTGAGCCAACGCCTCTACAACGCCCTGTCAAAGCCACCTCGGATCACAGGAACTCCCATCTGTGTTGAGGCCATCTGTTTCCCCAGTGCCCCAGCTCGCACTCACCGAACTTCTCCGCAAACCAATCTCTGGCAAAGTTGCGGTAAGTTATGTGCGAGCCGATCCTAGCTCGACCGACGGCTGCGTGCACAGTGTATACGGCATTCCAACGGAAATGACATCAGTCAGCTGCCAGCAAGCCTTGGACACTTGTTCGGCTGACTCGCTCCATGGATATTGCGAGCCACTCTGTACGCCAGATTCTGCAGCCTCCCCGGTCCAAGTTTCCGAACGTTGTTACGCGCACTGGTTCTGCATGTTTTCACCACAAGACCTGACATGAGCCGTTGAAGTTCCGAGTTCCTGGCACAAGGTCTGACGCGACCATTCCGGGAACATTTTGATCTTCGGACTGCCTCTTCGGGTATAGTTCCGATCTCGCTCGCCTCCATAACTCCCAGTGCTCCATCTTACCAATATGTCCATGAAACCGGGCCTTACTCAATTCTTCTATCAAGTATTTGGCGGCAAAAAAAAAGGGCCCACAGGCCATTCAGCGCACCGGCTTAGGCTCGAGGTTACCCAGCCCCTCAGTGAAAGCCACCCAAGTCGTGCACGCCTCTTGGTTGCTAAATCTGGTAGGACCCACATCTGTGGCTTTTCGAAGTGGCATGTCGACATGGATATTCCCAGCTCATCGCTGCAATGGTTCCTGTTGAAGAAATGACCTGTCATATCAACTTGCCCAAGAGGGTGGACGCTTTTGCGGAAGCGGCATGCGGCGGCCGAAACCACACAATGGGGCTGCATCTCCATCACGGGAACCGGCGATCTATGATTGCCGGTATACTCGTGGTGCGGAAAATTACTGAACATCTCCCATGTCCCACTTTTGTTCTCCTTCTTCCAGATACCTGCGTCTACTTTACTTCCGTCTCATCCTTTTCCAGGTTCTAGATTACATCAGCCGCCTCTTGTCTGGCCTTTCACAAATGTCCCATGGCTTCATTGCCACTTTCGAATACATTACGGCATCAGATTCATTCTTCGGCAGTGAAGCTGTTAAGCGTTTCCAGCAAGCGTTTCGTACAAAGTGGGCTTTTGAGCAAGGCAGCTGTCAAACGAGTCAGTTACAACGCGACTTCTGCCGAGGCCGAACCGGTCGATCACTCATTACCGTCAAGAACACGGTTCCCACGTTGTCTGCATCTGGATAATTGTCTCATATGCAGCAAGGATACTAGACTTGACCCGCGTCAGATCTGCCTAAACACTCTTGCATATGTTGAACCACGGTACTGGGAGCGAGGTGACGCTACAATGAACACAACTTCGGGCTCTCCATGTGCACATGTCTCGAATCGTAGTGGGTGCGGAAATGAATGGGTTACACGGCGTTGCACACACCGCCGCTGTTCTAGTACCATTTGGACCCTGCCATTCGCCTAGGTAGGTCATTCAAACAGGGAACCAATCTCAGGTACCAGGGTGGTCTGACCGGCCGATATCCAACTGCGTATGTGTCCGATCTCGCCACTAACTTTCGCCATGCGCAAGCTCCCAAAACGAAAGAGGCCGCATCTCGGACAGTATCCAGACCCGGCACTCGCAACACCCGGTAACCTTCTCAGCCAAAGCAGCTAGTTCTTGTTAAAATCTACAACACTATTTATTACTTCACTTTTCGCTTCGCTTTTGAGGTTTGTAACTTTAAGACGCCTTGAATCATCATAGTCGTGGCGTACTGTCTAGACAAGTTGTTCAAACGGTCGTGAGAATCTGATCCATAATTCGTGAGGCTCTCAAATGAAGAACACGCATCGCATCTTTGAAGAAGCTGTTTGGTTGTGATAGCGTGTCTCGAAACATAATGAAGGGAATCGCGCAACATACGTGAATATGAGTGATACTATAGCGATCTTGAGTAGATTATGTGGAAAGCCTGATATTTGCGGACGACTCGACCTAGTCTTTTTGATCAGAGAGGCGTCTCCATCCACGAATCTGAGTCTAGTGGTCACCGCTCTGCTTGCGCATACACTCTTGGGCTCTTTTTGAACACAACCCCCAAATCGGACGACGCTACATGTTCGCATTCGCATGCGAGCTGAGGAGTACTTACACGCATATACCCGTCTGACTATAGTACTTGTGATTTGTAATTGTCCGCCAACATGTTTCGGTTAGCGCAAGGACTAACGTGCATGGCAGCACGAGGGCGTGAGTATTGAGAGGCTTCCTATGGCTTGTGGGTATCACGTTCGCCGAGAGACGGCGGTACACAGCAACGCGCTCTGACACACGGCGAGTCTATCGAAAGGAGCTCAGTAGAAGGGTCGTCATACACAACAGGGATCTGACCGCGCGTGTTGAGTGCTACACGGAAGAAGCTTGTACTTGGAATCCTTTTGGGCTACATGCGTATGGACGATCTGCCGAGCTGCTGGGGGCACGTATAGATGGCCACTTGTTATCCCTCTCACCTCGTGCGTACTCCTGTTCTCCATAGTGCCGGATGCATCTCGGAGGCTATCAAGCAATAACTTCAGCAGGACATGCGAGAAGCGTCAATCTTGGGGATCGAAAGCAAAATAACCATCTATATAATTCGAAGCTCTATCTACCAAGATGAGGTCCAGCTGTAGTATACTGTTGGGTTATTCTAATTCTGGACTGTACTGAACGTAATGCTGGTGGATCTTTCCCCGTGGGTTGATGACAAACCCGGCGTTTGCGTCGCGTGACTAGAGCAGTTGCATCCCTCTAGGATCTCCGGGAGCTCTAGCTTAGCAGAACGTCACTTCTCACACAATATCGACTGAAATCAGAAATGTATTCACCGTAATCACGCCAGGGTTCTTCTTTTGTAGCCACGCAGCTTGCACTCTTTCAATCGTTATATGAATCCACATACCAGCATGTTCCGAAGATGCGCTCAATACATGGGTCATCGCAATGCTGCCTACATTGTGTTCGGCTTGGGTGTATTACTTCTTTGTAATGGCATGGTGACGCTCTGGCAGATCCGCACTCCCTTGCAGCCCTCACATCGCACCGCGCTAAGCGTTCCTGAGTCAGGGCGCAGCCACCCCATTCACAGACTGATAGCGGAAGCAGAGAGTAGCTTTAATGAGCTGATGTCAGGGTATACGCATGATCTGGTGTCGGCGACAAAAGCGTATCGACAAAAGCGTGGTCGCCACCCGCCGCCGGGTTTCGATCTCTGGTTCCAATATGCCCAGGAAAATGGCGCGCTCGTCATTGAAGAGCTGTTTGATCAGATCCACGTTGATCTGGCCCCATTCTGGGGAGCGCCTGCAAGCAGTATGCGGGATTTTGCAAGGCAATTTGAACATCGGATTTCTATAAGAAACGGGTCGGCCTACATGACTCAGAAACACGACCAGGGGACTGCAACAGGACGCATGGATGCATGGCTAGAGATGATCGAGAGCATCGCGCACCTACTTCCGGATTTGGACATGGCTATGAATATCATGGACGAGAGTCGCGTGGTCGTACCCTGGGAAGATGCTAGCAGATACCTCCAAAGCGAACGCCAAACAAAGAAGCTCCTTGCCTATGACAAGGTCTCTTCACGATATAGCAGCATGAACGCCTCAAATCAAGTGTCTAGGCTGTCTCATGTGGAATGGTTAGGGCCAGAAGAAGAACCTTATTGGGACATGGCGCGGATCGCATGCGCACCCGACTCACCAGCCCGCTATCAAGCAGCTTCCACGAACTTCACCGGGCCTCCACCAATACAATCAGCTTACCCAGCTCACTTATATCGGGGCTATATTCAAAACTGGACTCATGCCAGAGACCCTTGTCAGCAAAAACATCTGCAAGAGTCACATGGCACATTCATTGAACCGATATCGATATCGACAACGCGCTCTTTGGTTCCCATTTTCGGTGAATCAAAATTGCAGCTCAACTCAGATATTCTTATACCAGCAGCTGCCTACCTATCCGAGAATTTTAGTGGGGGAGACTACTCTGACTCACAAACGCATGGCGGCGAGTGGTCAGCCAAGGTATCGGGTACTGTGTGGCGAGGTGTTGCCAGCGGAGGTCGTAACAAGGAAGAAAACTGGACTCGCTTCCATCGACACCGCTTCGTTACCATGTTGAATGGAACTTATGTGGATAAAGTCGAAACAGATTCCGATGCCGTGGCAAAAGGTCGAACATTCAATCTGCAATCATACGCGACCTATCAACTCAGTGCAACAAAACACATGAATCTAGGCCGCTGGCTCAATCAAATTGCCAATGTTGGTTTCACAGACATGCTCTGCTGGCCACGGACCGACAAGCCTAACTGCGATTACACGAATCCCTATCTCAAAATTGTCGACAAGGTCCCCATGTCAGAACAGTACAAGTACAAGCTTCTTCCAGACATTGACGGCAACTCTTTCTCGGGACGCTACCTTGCATATCTCCGTTCGACGTCAGTACCAATCAAAGCGACCATCTACTCTGAGTGGCACGACGACCGTATCATACCATGGCTGCACTTTGTACCGATGGATAACTCATACGTTGATGTTTACGGCATACTAGACTACTTCTTAGGCACTGGAGACAGCCACATGGTGGTATCCAACGGCGCCCACGATGAAGCAGCTAAGAAGATAGCGCTTCGGGGCCAGGAATGGGCGAACAAGGTACTACGCAAAGAGGATATGCATGTATACACGTTTCGCCTACTTTTGGAGTATGCAAGGCTTTGCGATGACAACAGAGAACGACTGGGCTTCGTGGAGGACTTGAGAGCATAGCTCAAATGGCGACAAGAATTTGTAGTAGGTGCAAGCCCGACTAGTCTTCACACATGTACAATGATGCATCTGACTCGGCCTGTACACGGTCCTACCTGCGAGCATATGTCGTACTGCATAACTGGCGGCGACGTGCAGCCAAGTCAGCACGAGCATCTGCTTGCCCTGTACGATATAATATGCATGTATCAAAATCTAGAAGGACAAGACTCGAGCTAGGCGGGGTGTGCCGATACGAGCCTCATGCTTGATGCCGTGACACCTTGGTCGTGATGGATTGCATGAGGTATACGGTTCATCCTCGGAGTGAAAGACGGAGAGCAACGGTCCCTTTGACTGCCCCTCCAAATTTTTAGTACTAGCGCGGTTTGAAAGCATCACTCCCGAACCATTTGACGCATCGCAGCTACCCCACATTTGGTATGCAGCAAGGCCTGGTAAATATTTGTCGCGCCAGACTTATCAATTCTACTAACGCTTGTTTGTCGAGACCGCTGGCGACTCATACTTTTCCTTTGACTCAGAGACTCCCTTGTAGTGGCGTCACACAGTCATACGCTACCTCTAAGTACACCCCACAAGTGTCTACCCTTCATAAACCCCCCTGCAAATTGCGCCCACACTTACAGCAGCGGTCATATAAATCTATTCACCCTGTGATACACGAGTGTAGTAGTGCGAAGGTCACATCAAGCCTCCAGTCGCTCCGGCATTTCTCCCAGATTAACTCATCGCCCTTCCGAAGCCTCGACGCGTCGGCGCGCTCAGCAACCAGCATGGAGGACCTCACAAACACTCTGGCTACGCTCGGCCTTGACAAGGTCCCGCAAGAACCTAACACATACCCCACGCTGAACCCGTTCGATATCTACAGATCGCACATCACGGAGCTGTTGTCGCAAGTATCAGGCGTGGACAAGCACATAATATACCCTACACTGGCATGGACGGCAAAGCCAGAACATGGTGACCTGCAGCTGGCGGTCCCAGCGCTTCGACAGAAGAAGAAGGACATGAAGGCATATGCACAAGAGCTGGCAGACGCATTCCCGGAGTCGCCGCTGGTAAACAAGCCAATTGTCACAAACACCTCGATTGGTTTCTTCTTCAAGCCTGAAACTCTCACCTCTCTTGTTGTACCCATGGTTATCAAGTCCAAGGACGACTACGGCTTCAACAAGAACTTTGGGCTCAAGAACCCTGTCGACCCCTCCTCCGGCGCAAAGACGATGATCGTCGAATTCAGTTCCCCAAACATCGCAAAGCCCTTCCATGCCGGCCACTTGCGAAGTACAATCATCGGTGGTTTCCTTGCAAATATATATGAGCGTGCAGGATGGGATGTCGTTCGCATGAACTACCTCGGAGACTGGGGAAAGCAATATGGCGTGCTTGCTATTGGCTTCGACCTATACGGCAACGAGGAAGAGCTCGTAAAGAACCCTATCGGGCATCTATACGACATCTACGTCAAGGTCAGCAATGTACAGCATCAGGAGGCCGAAGAGATGAAGGCGCTTAAGGAAGAGGCTGCGAAGCTAAAGGAGGAGGGCAAGGATGCGTCCGAGCAGGAGAACAAAATCAAGAAGATTGAGGCCGAGGGCATCGATGAGCAGGCCAGGAAATACTTCAAGGGTATGGTCGATGGCGAGCCCAAGGCACTCGGTATCTGGAAGCGCTTCAGGGTGAGTAGATCAAACATACACGTAGAAGTTGTAGACTGACTTGCGTAGGACCTTTCGATCGAAAAGTACAAGCAGACGTACGCTCGATTGAATATTCACTATGATGACTACAGCGGAGAATCACAAGTCAAAGACGAGAGCATGGAGCTTGCCGCAAAGATTATGTGGGAGAAGGGTGTCTGTCAAGACTCTGAAGGTGCCGTCATTGTCGATCTGACACCGCACTCCAAGAAGTTGGGTAAAGCAGTTATCAAGAAGAAGGACGGAACTTCATTGTACCTGACCCGAGATATCGGCGCTGCAATTGAGCGTGTCGAAAAGTACCACTTCGAGTATGAATCACGTCCACGCATTCGTAGAAACACAAGCTAATCTACCTCCAGTAAAATGATCTACGTCGTCGCCTCACAACAAGATCTGCATCTCGCCCAACTCTTCAAGATCGAAGAGCTCATGGGCCGAAAGGACATTTCCGAAAAGTGCCAACACATCAACTTCGGCATGGTTCTCGGTTCGTCCACCCAGCTACCCTTCTCTCTATCTGAACTGTTGCTAACTCCTTGACCACAGGCATGTCAACCCGAAAAGGCACCGCCAAATTCCTCGACGACATCCTCCGCGACGTAGGCGACAAAATGCACGAAGTGATGCGAACAAACGAGACAAAATACGCCCAAGTCAGGGATCCGGAAAAGACTGCCGACACACTGGGTATCTCAGCCGTCATGGTGCAAGATATGAAGGGCAAGCGCATCAACAACTATACCTTCGACATGGACCGTATGACATCATTTGAAGGCGACACAGGTCCATACCTACAATACGCCCACGCCCGTCTCTGCTCCATCTACCGCAAAGCCGTCGACGCAGATCGCTCGCTTGAGGAAATCGATCTCGCTTCCGCTGCTGATCTCAGTCTGCTAAAGGAAGACAAGGCTGTCGAGTTGGTCCGCCAGTTGGCGTCGTGGCCAGATACCTTTGTCAATACGCTCAAGACGCAGGAACCGACAACTGTGCTTACGTACCTGTTTAAGATGGCGCACGCGCTTAGCAGCAGCTATGATCACTTGCAGGTTGTGGGCAGTGAGAAGAACGTCTTGGTTGCTAGGTTGGCGCTGTATGTGGCTGCCAGACAGGTGTTGTATAATGGTATGAAGGTGCTTGGGTTGAGCCCGGTGGAGAGAATGTAAGGGGCCCGGCGCGATAACATGGGGTTTTCTGCATGACTGGTACGGGAAAAATGTGTAGTGATGGCGTATACCCACATGATACACGATGAATAAACATATAGCAAACAGTCGAGATGAGACGAAAGCTTCGTCCATTTTCTTATACTACGTATATATGTATATAGTCTGAGCTACCAAAACCGTGTTGTGTGATGCTAGTCAGATGATTTTTGCCCTGGTATAGCAGCATATTTGGCTCATTGTAGTCTCCAAACAGAGTTTTTGCGCAACTATTTGAATACTACAACGACTCAAGTATTCAGATCAGGGGGTGATCCTAATATCGTCTCGTCTCTCCACACTGACTGTACCGTGTGTCGTGTACTTTGATGTACAATTTTGGCAGGTGTTTGAGCAGAGGATTTGTTTTTCTTTTAGAGTGGGGTTGTCTTGTTGATATTTGGGGTTGGTGGTATTTCGTTCGAGGGGGTTCGGATGAGTCATGATCGTATCGTTTGGTTGAAAACAACCGAATGTACAGGGGCTCCGGGACAATGCTGAAAAAAATGCTAGAACGCTGGGAAAACATAGGAAAAACTCATCGTAACTGGATCATCGAAATGCGACCGGCCGTGGCGCTAGGTTGTAGGACGAGAGAAGAGATAGTGTCGTAACTACAAGCATTACATCTGCTTGCTTCTCTTAACCTCGATTATTCTCTTGAACCCGCGCCTCGAGATACGACCAACAGCTGCAACAAGCCCAACCATGAAAGCGACGCGAAAGGACAATACTAGAAGAGATAATGCAAGAACGCAGACGGCCCACCCCATCTCGTCCACTTGTTAGGCGCCATTGGTCACGGGCGGCCCTCCCACTCGGGGATCGCCCGGAGGCAATCCCGGCACCTTCTGCGGAGGTGGATGGGAGGGGTGCACATGGTGCTGGCAGCCGTGGGGACAAGTAGTGATGGATTGGTCGTCGTAATCGTCATCGTAATACTCGTCTTGAGGGTCTAATGAACCTTCGTCGTCGCGGCGGTCGTAGCCACCAGGAGGGGGGTTCTGGTTGTGCTGAGCGTTGTTGGCATTGTTCTGCGCCTTTTTGCTCGCCTTCTTGCCCTTGCGTCCCTTCATCCTGGCCTTCTCCAGCAGACGTCGCTTCTCGGCCAGACGCTTGCGTTCCTTCCTGTCCTTGATCTCATACTGTCGAATCAGAGCCATCGGGGGATGACCGAAGATGTCTTCGTATTCGCAGAACTCGCAGATCCATGGCTGGCTTGGTGGGTTGTGAAAATTGGCGTACTCTTGCTGGATACGACGTTTGCGGGCGGCGTACTCGTACAATTTGGTCGCACTACGACGTGGCTTCCGCGGCGGGGGAACCTGTTGTGGTGGTGGGGGGCCCGTTGGCCGACGTGCAGTGCCATTGGGAAGGGGCGGGGGAGGGTATGCTCCTGCACCATTCATGATTGGGCTGGTCTGGGTGCCCTGAGTAGACACCATTGGAGCATCTGGGCGGACGGGAGGGCGGGCGCGAGCAGGCTGGGCGTGTGGCGCAGGAGCAGCTGCAGTGCTGGGGTAGGCGCCTGGGGGATGGGGATACTGGCCATTTTCCTGGCCCGGCCAGACCATCTTGTTGGCCGAATCAGAGCCGCAGGTAAAGGTAAATTGTGTCTTGTTCGCGCTCTGCTTTGCGGCTTCCTGTTGCAGCAGGCTCACGTTCTCGTTACCGTGGGGTGGCGGGGTGGCTTGGGCGTTGGCAATGGCAGTCGAGATGATGCCGCTTTGCTCCGGGGGTCCTAGAAAACAAATAGTCAGCGCACGGACTCATTTTTAGCAAAAAGACGTATGATTTCCCGAGGTGCCACCGTACGTTTGCTGTTTGCCTGGGCGTTGGCGAGATTGGTCGAATTGGCCAATACTCGCCTCTCTGGCCGTCCCGAGCCAGGGCGGCCGAAACGCCCTCTGCCTGCGCCCGAGATGCCTGTTCCGGAAGGGGTTGTGCTGTTGTGCTGCGGTGTCGAGGGCGCTGAGCCGCAATACCGCCCAGCGCCGTCCGCCTCGTCCATGGCGCTTGTCTCGTGAGCGTGTGCGACACCCACGCTTGCCAGGTCCGCTGAGAGACTGGCGTGGTGTGAGCCGTTGCTGCCCATGTTCGGGATCTTGCGCTTCTTCTTGTTGTTTGTGTTCTCGAATGACTCATAGCCATCTACCGAAGACGAAGGCGAACCTGGCTTGCGATAGGCACCCGTCACGCCCGCCGCCGGCTTGCCAGACGCGTGTCTGCTGTACTGGTAGCTCGGCGACGAAGGCATCGGCCCATTCCGTTCGTCCTCTTCCTCCTCGCTCTCCACCTCGGAATGTGTGTGTCCGCAGTGGCAAGCATGGTGGTCGTTGGCCCCCGTGCGATGGGGGCGAACGCGCTCCTCGGCCGTGTAGGGGTAGTTGAAGAGCGGGACGGCTGGGGGAGGGTTGTGCGGATACACTATCGTCTCAGCCTGCTCGGGAGAGAGCCGCGCGCGCAGAGAACGGGTGGGCAGAGGACGAATGGGCCGGTCGGGGTACATGGAGGACGACGTGTCGGGTGAAGAGCGCAGCGGCGAAGAGCGGTTCCACTCGTAGCCTGCAAAGGGAAGAAGCGATGTCAGATATATGGAGAGTGCAGGGAGCAAGCTCATGCGAAACATGTCGGAACTGGTCCTGTGGTGCCAAAAAGGAAATGGGTGAAGAGCACCGTGGACAAGCCACGACGACTTCCCTTACTTACCCGCAGTCGCCGCTGCCATAGTGGCAGTTCTTCCTCCAACCTCCTATCTCCAAGACAGTGCGAGGGGTAGTGACTCCCCTAACACTCCAACTGTAGCCAAGCTGGTCTTCTGCCGTGCCTGTCGTAGCCGCGTTAGTACTTGCGCGTGCACAGAGTTTACCGCAAACGTCGGGCTGCTGGCCAGGACAAATTTCCGCGCTGATCTCGCGTCCAAATGTGGTGTTGCGGTATCGGAAACCCTACGCACCTTTTTCGAGCGGGTTTGTGTGAGGGACGGGGTACTGGTGGCCAGTTAGCGGAAGACCCCTCTATTGCTCCTCGGAATCGACACTAACAAGATATAGCTAGCAACGGGTCCAAGATTAATGTTCCAACAAGACGGAGACTGTGGAAGAATAAACCTGGCGAGTGGTCGCAAGCAGTGTATACGCTGATGATGGATGCGTCAATGCCGAAGATGTCGTGGGATTGGGGTTCACCCGCGCTAAGACCACACACGTACTTTGGGCACAGTGATGTGGCCTTGAAGCTCGCCAAAGAAGTGACTTGGCCTAGTTTCTATAACCAAGCAGACCAAGTTGTAAACACGATATCTTGAAAAACAACAAGGCAGAGAGAAACAACGATGCACATGAGTGAGTAGATGCACACTTGTCACCGAGGTCGTCGTCGATATGCGCGGTGCAATGGCCGCCCGGGCAGCACGTGCTGAGTGGCGCTAGATCCGACAGGGGATTGGTAATGGCTTTGGCCATGTCAGCAAATGGCAACGCAGCCTGCTATTCTCCCGCCTTGTTCTTTGGCATTCTTCGTCTCAAGCTTCTTGGAACTCTCCACCTTCTCAGACTTCATTCGCTTCAAGAGGCCGAGTCTTTCGGTGTGTCGTGTCGACATCGGAGCCCCCGGAGAGATCCGTCTGCACTGGCACTGGCCATGCTTCAACACGATAAGCAGAGGCCATGTGTGACTACTTCTCCGTGGCATCAGGATCTTGCCGATATTTGCAAGTCTCGCCATGGAACCTACGGACCTCTCTTCCGAAGCAAGTTGCGGTATATTCCGTATCTTTTGACCTTGGAGAAGTATATTGGAGATATAGCCTCAGCGCGGAAGCCGGTACCACCATACCGATGTCCCATATTGGTCAGGAACGGGAGCGATGCGTGGCAGTAAAGTACGTGTAACAAAGACTTGACAGACGTGTTAAGATTCAGTGAAGCCTGCAAGTATTAGACTAGAAGCTCGCGCACAGAAAAAGCATTGCAGCCCGTCCAGGCACCAAGAACGCCGCAGCATGGGCTTGGTGATGGGATCTGCCCTGCTCCGGCATCCCAGCTCGTACCTGCATTTGTGAGAGCTCCTGACCCCGCATACACTTGCACAACATCGATGCACTTCTTTAAGCTTCATGACATGACACTCTGTAATGTCCATGGACCACACCCGGGACCCTTGCCCATGGGTCGCGCTTAGGGACTTTGGAGGCGCTTTCTGCATGGGGGTACGTCGTCGCTTCTAATCGATTGCTGACCGCTGCTACGTCATTCATGCAGCTAACGACGTGTAGGCAATTGGAGGAGCTCTCTGGCATACCGTCAAGGCTTTCCGGTACGCCAGCCTCGGTACTCCTGAAACTGAAAGCACTCTCATAACTTTTACAGGAACTCTCCGCATGGCCAACGACGCATAAGTGCCATCGTCGCCCTCAAAACGCGAGCGCCTGTCCTCGGCGGCAACTTTGGAGTCTGGGGTGGGCTCTTCAGCACCTTTGACTGTACTGTAAAAGGCATCAGGTGTGGAGACTCTTCGTACAAGTCTTTTCGGGGTTGAACGCTATATAGTTATCCAATGTTTGCTGATACCCTGCTAGAAAAAAGGACGATCCTTGGAATCCCATTCTCGGAGGTTTCTTGACTGGTGGAGCTCTTGCCGTACGAGGCGGTGCAAGAGCTATCCGCAATAATGCTATCGGGTGCGCCGTTCTTCTTGCCGTGATCGAAGGCGTAGGCATCGCTTTTGCTCGCATTGTAGCTGAGAATACACGACTCGGGCCACCACCACCACCTTCTCCAACTACTAATTGCTCGGCCGCATCATGAAATGAGGTCTATGTCCGACTAATACACAGGGCATTTGAACTGTTTCTGGATTCTTTGGCGTTTATGTACCATTATTTCGGCCGGGAAGAGAACGGGCGGTAGCTTGCGGGATCGTTTGAGTCAGCAGTGCGTTGAGAGGGCGTTTTATGTCCTGCAGGGGTGACGGACATTTCTGGGGTTCCGAGCCCTAAGTACTTTCTTCCTGCACTACCAAGGGCAGTCCCCCGTTCCACTATCAGCGATAAATCCTTCGTTTCTCGTAACTGACGTTCTGCAGATTACTAAATTCTTGTCTCCGCTTCTTGCTTGTAGTGACCAGATCAAGGTAACGATAGAATGTCTTCACTTGTTAGAGCATGAAGAGATTCCCCTATGCTTGCTTGGTTTCTCAACAACGCCCATTACATCCCTTTCGATTAGCTCCCCGGGTATTCGCTGCGCCGCGTTGGCGGTGCGCTTTGTAGTCCTTACCGCATCTAGTCGATCAGCATGCGCCAGCTATTGGGACTGGCCCTACCGTCCACACCCGCATCCATGGATCATGACGATACGCTAAGCTGGAAAAGAAAGTGTGAGAAGAGGACGTCTGTGCACTCTAAAACGCTCCATGCAAATGCTCGTTTCTTTTGAAAACTGGAGTCTTTTAGCTGTTAGTGCGGATCTAATTCACCAAAAGAGATAGTATTTCTCGTGAATTGGATCATTCAGAGGCCCGTTCTCTTTGGGGAATTCATATCTGCAACACGCCTTACGAAATGAGTTATCATTCGAGACTCTGGACCCTTACTACGGTGGCTCAGATACTAGTGTGCCCCAACCCTTGAGGGGGAATGGGTTCAAGGTCAGTGGAGCCGTACACCTTTGATCACGGATGCAAATCTCGTTCCTAGATTGCCCATGCAAGAGCTCGTACATTAACTTTCTTTGTTTACATTCGGGTTTTGACCCGCGCAAGCCCCTCTGTCTCACTCAGGCCGCGACACCTTCGCATGGACCCTTGGTTAACAGTAACTAATCTCCAAAACCCCACTCAAAGTCTCTTGGTTTTTTTCTCATTATTGCGTCAGCATCGCAGGTGTTTGGCCAAGGGTCGATTCGCTACCGTCATTCACCTGTGGTCGCACTACCGAATCGCATAGCATCGACATTAGGCATACAATAATCGCCTCCTTACTTTCACACAAAACATCTTAATAACCCTCGGATACATTCGGATACTGCATACCATTGCCGACCATGATTTACGGTTTCATCGATGCTCCATGCTACCTTCCATCGTGGGACTGCCCGATAGAGTATTCGTACTGGCGCTACCGACCTTCATTCAGCACCAATGTCACCTTTACTGCGCTCTTTGGCCTATCTATGCTTCTCTTCCTGGTACAGGGCATTATAGGAAGGAGATGGATGGGATTCAGCATCGCAATGATTTCGGGTTGCGCTCTCGAGGTTGTCGGCTATATTGGACGCATACTAGCAAGTCAAGATATGTTTGACGAGGTGTGTGCAAGACAGGACTAAAGTTACGACGATTAGCATGGACAAGCTGACCTCAGCTAGAACGCATTTCTCATTCAGATCATATGTCTGACCATCGGTCCGGCCTTCCTCGCTGCCGGTATCTATCTGTGCCTTGCGCGCATCGTCACTACCGTTGGCCCTGAACACTCGCGCATCAAGCCCCTTTCATATCCGCGGATCTTCATTCCCTGCGACGTGATCTCTCTCATACTGCAAGCTTCGGGTGGGGGTATGGCTAGTGTCGCAACACACAACGGGGAAAATCCGATAACGGGCAATCGCATAATGATCGCCGGTCTAAGCTTCCAAGTTGTAACACTGCTCCTCTTCATCATAATTGCTGTCGATTTCGCCTGGCGCACTTACAGCGGTCGTACCCACCTTGGACAGATTCCCCCGAATCAGCAGCAGGCGAGGCTTCGCCGCTCCTGGCCGTTTAACGCCTTCCTTATTGCCCTAACAATCTCCACTCTTTGCATTTTCACAAGATGCGTGTTCCGTGTCGCCGAATTAAGCGAGGGCTGGGAGGGTTATCTTGCCACTTCACAGAAGTACTTCATTGGACTTGAGGGTGCAGTCATTGTCGCGTCGGTACTCCTCCTGAACTTGTGCCATCCGGATATGTGCTTCAAGGATGCTATTGATGCGAGGGTTGTGCAACCGAGCCAGAGGACGTGGTATGGCAAAACGAGGAATGCTGGCATGGTACTTCATGGTGGAGATGAGAGTCACACTGAATTGGTTGGGTTCAACAACAGAGACGGAAAGTATAGAGCGTGATGATACCCGGAATTTGGTGCTGGAGGTGAAAGTCGAGAAGAGTCAGTGAGCAACACGGCTAGTGTAGCTCCTGCTCAAGACATCAGCTGATATGCATATTACATTATACCCGCTATATACTTTGTTCTGTATACTGTCCTTTTTCTTCTAGACATTTTCAATGTATCTCATTTTGATCGGACAATGATCACTAAACTTGGTGCAATCTTGTGGGTGCAGATACGAAATCCAAGCGGACTAGCTTGAATGTTCACACTCCTGACGAAGTGTCAAACATTGCCCTTGTACTAGAAATTGTTTAAAGTCTATCTATACTACAACATTATAAAAAGATCATTTGAGTACTGCAATTCCTATGCCGTCTACATCATTCGTGCCAGGTCGTATTCTGAGCGGCAACTACACACGTGAAGGACTTCGGTGCTACGTTTGCCAACGGCTCGATAGTCATGGGGGCTCCTATCGAATTCAAGTACTTAAATGTCTCTCGCTTTGATGTTCAGGGTTATCCGGTGTTCGTGTGACTCCCAGGTGACGCTAGCCACGTGCTGTTTGGGGTGCCTTTACCTCCGCCTACAGGCCGCTCTCCCGAACAGAGTTGCCTAATCAACTCAAGGCCTTTATTACGCTCCATCGGGTATGTAAGCTTTCCATTCCACTTACTTCCTCCAACCCTCTACTCTTCCACTCCACCTACTTCTTCCAACCCTTTACCACCTCACTCGATCTATTCAAGTAAGCACACTTTGTCGCGCCAACACTCTCGGTAGCCAACAACACACTGTTATACCTTGCCTATATCGCACCTCAACATGAACCAAGCAGAAGATGTAGAGGTCATCATTGGCCATAACCGTCGCTACAAGTTCCACTCTGGGACTTTGGCGCGCAACTCTACTCTTTTTGCAGACATGTTGACCGAGCCCAACGCCGCCAAGCTCAGCAATCGTGCGAGAAACGCTGGCGTCAAGATACGCTGGATGATCGAACTCAAGGCTCTACCTTCCCAGCAGTGTCCTGCTGGCTGTCTCGAGCTTGTGGTAAGCAGCTGCGCATTCGCCTTCTTATGCCAACATGAGAAGCAAAGCACTGACGCGTGAATAGGAACTGACCCAACATGGCGAACGAGCCGACAACAGGAACGGTCTCATTGTCAACGAAAACGGACGTGTCCCACAGGCGCACAAGATCTTCACCTACTATGAATCAATCTTCTACGCCTTCTACAACAAGGAGCTCTCTATCGACGACTCCGACATGTCTGCCGCCCTCTCCGACTGCTACCAACTGCTCCAGATCGGTGACTACCTGGGCTGCACAGGACTGATCCGCAACCCGATCGAAGTCGCACTTCTCAAGCACGGACAGGAACTTTTCCGGGCCATCCAAAGCGCCCCCTACGCATGGGTGGAGATGGGGTACCGCATCCGCAGCGAGCTGATCTTCCGGGAATGCATGATCCATCTCGTCGGTAACTGGAAGACCTACGAAAAAGATGACACCACGCACCCGTACCTGACTGTTGTTCCTGGTCTACGCCCGCTCATCGAGAAGTACCACTCTGTGTTGATTGACAAGTGCAGGACACTGGAGCTAGGCATCATGTCACACTACCCCGGCCACATCCGTCTTCCTGTGGACGAGCTGCCTATCAAGCGCGAGGCCTACGCCAAAGACATCCTCGTCTGGATGGCACTGACCTTCTTCCGGCACTGGGTGGGTCAGCGTCTCCTTATGGGAGGCGGTATCACCGGCGACGACTTGGGATACGGACTCTACAAGCAGATCGGCGCAGCCGGTGACGCCTACATGGACAAGTCAGTCACCAACCAATTCCACACGCGCTTTCCAATGACCAAAAAGGCAATGAACGTGCTGGAAAACCATCTGCTCGAGATCAAGGAATGCATGAAGGATTTGGTGGACCAGCATAAGATTCTCAAATCTAATTGCCAGTTGGATATTCATCGGTTCCCAGTCACGTATCTTACGTGCATCGAGTTCCCAAAGGCCGACTGTCCGTGGGTGAAAGAGATGGAGGGTCCCACGGTGAAGCCGCAGAAGCGTGTGTACAAGCCTGGTGGCAACGATGTCGCGAGGTCGAACCTCAACACAGCTAGGGTGAGTCAGGAGAGGATGGCCGAGGGCATGTATGACAGCGACGGTGATGACGTTGATGTCGGCACCCACAAGCGTAGGAGGTCTGACTAGGTGTCACTGGGCATCTCAGTAGTTGTCCGGCGGTACTCGGATATACTGACTTGGGCTGGGGCAAAAGGTGTTGAGGCACTTCTGGGTATCTGATAGTCTGATGAATACTGCCCCGGAAATAGTTTGAAGGCATCCAGGGTCATGTTTGGTAGATAAAATTCCATCTCTTCGATATAGTCTGACGGATACGATGATGTGTGGTGTATTGACAGAAAGAAAATGTGCTCTATACATGATGCTTTGACTTGGCACCTATTGCTACCTTTACTCCGCTTCTCCTTGTATCGTAAAAGTATCATCTGTTCTCCTGAATCCGCCTCCAGCTTCCCCTACTCGTCGTCAAATCCTGTTGGTCTCGGCCTTGGTCCCTTGGGTACTATACAAAGTCAGTAAAAGCTCTTCCGCTATACCCCTCTAGCCATGCATCGCATACGTCCACCCTCCATCCCCCCTTTTTCTCGCATCTGAATCCAAATCGCGCTCCCAAATTCCTGCTCTCATCCATACCAATTGCGCCTACTATCCAACGTACCTGGGTATGTCATAGGAATCTTGGCAATCTGCTCCTCGCCCATATATCTCCGAATCGGCGGAACCGTAACCATCATGACCGGACCCGCACAGCCGATGATGATGGAGTAGAAGTATGCCGGCTTGTGGATAGAGGCCCATTTGAGGTAGCGTACTGGCTGTTTGAAGAAGAGCGGGGAGGGAGGAACAGACATGATGGCGGTGTTGCTGCGAGTTTGTGAGCGGGTGGGTGTCAGTAGCGGTGTCGAATTTGCGCGTACGTTTGTTATCCTCTTCGGCGGGATACTGGGTACGGTGTTGTTGGGGCTCAATGCCTCGGTCTAGCGTCGCAATCGCAAGTTCACGGCCGGAGGAGGGTATGGGGTGAGGTAGCTGGTCGGCAGCTTACCTACTCCACTCCAATCGGCGTGCAGCGATTTTCCGGGCCCGATGGTCTTGGCAAATGCATACGTATGGTGTCCTCCCCGTAAGAACACCCGATAGCTTAACCGGTCCAACTTTGAATCCTTGACAAGATGAGGTGGTTACTTTCTATTACTGTCGCCTTTGTTTGGTCGGTGGTGGTGCAGGCCAAGAGCTTCACGGGCAACCGGTTGCTGGTTGTGCTGGAGGAGCAGGCTGAGAGGGAGAAGTATAGTGTGTTTCTCGAGGACTTGACGTGTAAGTTGATACATTTCTTTCGGATTCTGAGGGGAAGCATGTTTCGGTTGCAATTGGAGGCATTGGTTCAAGAATGAGTTGCTGGGAGAGATGCGAAGTCATGAACTTGCAACTTGGTCTTACATACGAGATGACGCTTGATCGATCCAACCTTCGCATTGAACAACACTAACAACTACCTGCAGCCCGGGGATTTACAACAACAATCGAATCGCCAAAAGAGAGCAAACTATCCCTTCTGAAGCACGGCGAGCGAGCATACGACCATGTCCTCCTCCTACCCGCAAAGTCCAAAGGCCTCGGCCCTGCCCTCACCGCGAACAACCTGCTCGAATTCATGAAGCACGAGGGAAACATCATGGTTGCCCTTTCCAGCGAACACGCCACTCCTACTGCCGTCACTGCAATGCTCCTCGAGCTCGACATCAGCATCCCATCCGACAAGGGCGCATTGGTAGTCGACCACTTCAACTACGATTCGGCATCAGCAGAGGAAGAGCATAATGTGCTCTTGCTTCCATTCCCTAAGGCACTCAGACCCGACGTCAAGAACTACTTCGCTGGTGATGGATACATTGCGGTACCAAGCGCCGTCGGTCAGGCTCTCGGAAACGAGTCGCCCCTCGTTGCGCCCATTCTCCGCGCTCCCCGCACCGCATACAGCTACAACCCCAAGGACGAGGCTGATGGCGTAGAAGACCCATTTGCGGTCGGTGAGCAACTGAACCTCGTCTCCTCAATGCAGGCGAACAACGCAGCGCGCTTGACGGTTGTTGGTTCAGCTGAGATGTTGCAGAACAAGTGGTTCGCTGAGAAGGCCAAGTTGGGCGACAAGGCCATTACTACTGGCAACCGCGAATTTGCGCACAAGCTGTCTGCTTGGACCTTCAAGGAGGCGGGTGTGCTCAAGATTGGCAAATTCCTCCACTACCAAGACGAGGGTGAGAGCAAGAAGCTGAACACTAGCACTGCTATCCCGGAGAACAACCCCACCATCTATCGCATCAAGACAGATGTTGTAAGTTGACACCCATCAGCCCATGCAGCGTAACTACTGACAATATTTAGCACTTCCAAGTCGAAATCTCCGAATACGAAAACGACCGCCTCGTCCCCTTCGAGCCCGTCGAGAAGGACAACATCCAGCTCGAGTTCAGCATGCTCTCGCCGTTCCAACGCCTCAACCTCTCTCCTGTTGCGCAAACCGCAAACGCGACTATCTATGGCGTCGCGTTCAGGACACCCGACCAGCACGGAATCTTCAACTTCCGCGTCAACTACCGCCGCCCCTTTGTCACCAACATTGATGAGAAGAGACAGGTCACTGTCAGGCACTTTGCGCACGATGAATACCCAAGGAGTTTCGAGATTAGCGGTGCGTGGGTCTGGATCGGCGGTATTTGGGTCACAGTGCTGGGTTGGTTGGCGTTTGTAGCGCTCTGGTTGTACAGCGCGCCTAGTGTCAAGTCTGTCAAGAAGACACAGTAAAGGAATGATGGTTAATTGTACGATTCGCAGGATGATAGCTTCGATGTTGGCCTGCAGCATGCAAGCCGGAATACCCCCATGGGCGATGCGTGGTATGTATACTATGGAGTTAGGACATGGGAAGAACCCAAAAGCTTTTATCAAAATGATATCTTTGATAGTTTCGCCATAATAACTTCACTTTCCGGGCTTGCTCATCCGCATCAGTAACAAAGCAAAGCCATTCCCTTCGCCTCCTCACAACTTGCTTTGCGCATCTAGCACCTGCGGGTGTCCTACTTTCCCAGGCTTCAACTTACTCCAATCTACCTCATACCCTTCTTCAACATCAGGCCACGGCCCCAACGGCGTGATACTCAGCGGGTTGATCTCGCCATGACTCTTTGTGTACTATCACCACCGTTAGCAGGCTTTCCATCGACTCTCAACCCCATATACACTCACATTCTCCTTGATATGCTTAAAATCCGTCGATTCTTTGAAACCAGGCACACACCAATACAGCCCCTTTAGCCAGTTGTTCAGCACCGGGTAATCATGCCGTATGCTCCCCAGATTCGTCTTGAAATGCTGCGCATACACTGTATCGAAGCGGACAATGGTCGGATAAGCCAGGAGGTCTAGTTCCGTAATTTCGCTGCCGAGGATATATGGGCCACCGTTCTCATGTATGAGCGCCTCGAGTTTGTTGAGTGCCGCGAAGAGCGGAACAACATGTTTCTCATACACTTCCTGATTCGGTGCGAAACCAGTCTTGTACACGCCGCTGCAGATGTGGTCTGTAAGCCAGGGATACACCTCATCGATCTTCTCTTTTAGACTCTGTGGATAGAAAGATAGACTGGTTGTTTCCTTACCACCCCCCTCTTCTTGTCTCTGCAAGGAATCAAACGCCTGTGGTAGCCACCGCAACATCTCCGCACTCTCGTTGTTTACTATTCTACTGGCTTTCTTGTCCCAGAGGAGCGGTACGCTATATTTCCCCTTGTAGGCGGGGTCGTCGCGGAAGTAGATTTGGTGCATGAATTGGCTGTTGAATAGGTGGTCGGGTGTTGCGGCAGGGTAGGCGCCGTCGTCGAAGCGCCAGCCGGGCTCGCCTTTGGGATAGGGTCGGACGATGGATATGGGTAGGTAGGGGGATTGGTTTTTGAGAAGACGGACGAGGTTTACGCGGTGGGCGAAGGGACAAAAGAGGCCTTTGTGGTAGGGAGAGTTAGTTTGGGTTACTAGAGGGGATGGATGGGTGAGAATGGTAGAGAGTTATGGTGCTGGGTAAGACAGAGGCGGATTGGAAAAAGTACCTATGTAGAGGTGGTATCTGTCTTTTTCTGGTGGAAACTCTCCGCCTTCTTGAATGATGCCGTGCCAGCCATCATCTGTTCCGTACTTGTGAACTTCTTGCGGCATGTTGAACTTGTAGTGGGATGAAAGAGACCACCGAGAAAGAGAAAAGGCGCGCTGTACAAACCGAGACACAAGACGAGGGGTAGAGAAAGAGTGATTAAACCCAGTCTTGTAACGATTGGTATGTATTAACATTACACGGACATTCGGACTGTGGAGCTCAGCTGAGGGCCGAGGTGGGGTGTTGCTGCTGCGGAGCTTCTCTAGCTGCCATTGGTAAGTCTGTGCAATCACTGCGGAATCACATCTAAAGTCACTTGGTGCTTTGCTTGGATACTGGAAACTCTGCCTATTTGACATTACTCATTACTTTCTTCATGGGATTATCGAGTTCAAGCACAACACTTGAACTCTTCGCAAAGCTCCCCACATGGTACCCCGCACTTCTCCGTACTCGTAGCTGAAGTAGTAGACGTGTTCTCTTCGACATCCCCCGAAGGTACCGGAAGCTCAGGCTGAAGTGTCACAGAATGGATACCATAGGCATGCAGGCATTCAGTGCAAATCTTAGCGTTCTTCATGAAGCTTGCAATGTCCGGGTCGTTGACCACAATGTGCGCAGACGCAACTGCCTTCTTCTGGTCCAGACGCCACACATGCAGATCGTGCACGCTCATAATACCTGGGATGGCTTCCAGATCGTGCTTGATATCGTCAATCTTGACACCTATTGGGGCGGACTGCAGCAAGATTTTGCCGCTGTTCTTCGTGAGCGGGATGGCAGAGAGCAGGATCATAATGGCAATCCACATGCTGACTGCCGGATCGGCGTAGAAGCGGTTTGGTGACTTGACGAACCAGATAATTACAGCGGAGATGATGACACCGATGTTGTTGATGGCGTCGCCAATGACATGAATAAGAACACCGAGAATCCCAAGATCCATGCCATGTTTCCTGGGCTTTGTGCCTATATGCAGGTGGTTCGCATGTGTAGATGAGGATGATAGGGTCTCCTCATCGCCACTGTCGCTGGATCCGTGATCGTGATCATGCTCATGCAAAAACAAGGCACTGATGACATTGAGGGCCAGCCCGACGCATCCAACGATTAGCACTAATTTCGGATTCTGGACGTGTTCGATCGAGATGAAGCGTTCGATGGCCTGTAAAGCGATACTAACGCCCAAAGCGATTAGGAAGGAGCCGTTGAAGAAAGCACCGAGAAGCGAAGCGCGCTGCCATCCGAAAGAAAGATCTGCTGGTGAATTCTCGCGTTCCGTCAGTTGAACGGCTACCAAGGCGACGATAAAGCCAATTAGATCGTTGAGCTGAAACTAGCGTCAGTAAGGTGAACAAGGTGTACAGCATTGGTAGGAGATCCATGCTGTCCAACTACTGCCAGGGCAAATACACACATAGTGGAAGGCATCAGCGACAAGTGCCAAAGACTTTGTGTAGAAGCCAACGGAGATCTCAGCTGCGAAGAAGCAAAACGAAATGGCGATGACAGCTCGAAGACGCATCTTCCGGCTGACCTGAAAGCGACTATGGTTATGTTCGTGGGCATGATCATGGCCTTGGCCTGGCTCGTTGTGGATGTAGGCCATGATTTTGGGAGAATGAATTATTGCAGAATTGCAGAAAGAATGGGTTAGAGGTTTATTGCTGTAACTTAGAAAAGCGAATATGAAAGAAGAAAAGCTTTCGAAGTAAATGCTGACACCACGAATACAAGCTTGTTGTACAGTACCGAGTGATGAAGAAATATGTTGACAGAGAAACGCGCAAAGCGATGATCCTTGAATATGAGCAACAAACACTACCATCAAGATATACTGCGGCATTCCATAGGAATGGTTCATCTCGATGACAGACCAGATTGCCAGACTACCCTTGCCAGACTGGCTAGTGAGACGCTACCTGGTCCCGTCTGCCTCAAACCTGCAACAGTACCTAGGTGGATAGTCATCGCGGATAGTCACTACCATCACATACACAGATTACCGGAAGTAACGTGATACAAGATTGAAGTGACACTGTCGGAGCAGGTGCGAGATGGCCTTCCAGTGATGGAGTTGGGGTGTAACAGTAGTCGCGCTTCGAAGATAATCTTCACATGATAGCGCGGAGGTCTAACCGACTATGGACTAGTATCGGAGTAACGGTCACCTGACCGCCTTTACGGGCGGCCTGGACCAGACCCCCTCCGAAATAATCTTGCGGCGTTTACACAAGTTTCCTTTGCAATCTAATCGCTCTCGATTCCAGTACACGTATCCGATCACTAAAACTCTCAGCGACCGACTATCACCAACTTACAAGATGGGTAACGGAGCCAAGTATGCCACGGCCTTGCTACACCGTCACAGAGGAGTATACACTAACTTAAAAAAACAGAGCACAACAGAAACGGGATCGTAAGGGAGACGCAGGTCCTAAGGAGGCAAAGAGTCAGCTGAAAGCCGTATGTCAATATTCTTATCTGGGCGATCTGGCAACTTCGCGTTCCAGGAGCCCTTCTCAGTCTTGGGCCAAATTACTGATGTGAATCTAGAACGCGGCCGCACAAACGATCAAGTGCAAGACCTGCTTCCAGACCTTCCAGGGCACCACCAGCCGCAAGATGCTCACCGACACGCACCAACAAGCACAGCAAAGACTTTAGTGTCTGCTTCAACGCCGACGAAGGTGTTGTCAAATAAGCAATCGATCTTTTGCGCAGACGACGGAGAGACCAAATCTCTGAGCGAACAACAATTTCAACGGCGAAGTTTGGTTTTTTACACGAGCACGAGATACCATAATCGGAAGGCGCGAGGGGAGCGGGGAGTTCACGATGGGGACGACTGTCTACGACGATGTGGATATGGTGTAATATTTAGGCGCATGGAGTAGCAATCGAAGAATCCAAGTCTACTTTGACTGCTTCCGTTTTATTGGTGATCCATGTCGTACTCATTGGGTGTTTGTTTTCGCGTCACCGCATGGTCCTCCACGGCCTGACATGTATCACAGTCGAGTACCAACCCCACGGCCAAGACAACTTTTTCGTGCTCGCTGGTTACACTTTCAATTTAATTCCAAAGTATCCGGGTAACTACTGGTTGTGTCTATATCTTGGCGATCATGTAGGGCTGGCTCGAGTACTTGCACATGACGCAGACACGGCTATCCCACCATAAAATCGTATTCTGTACTTGGTCAACACCAACATCACAAATGGTAATTAGGTTCGTGTGACTACGGTGTAGAGTTCGGTGAGACCCCTGTGCTACCTGCGTTTCTCCGACCCGCCAAACTTCGGCAATTCCGTAATCCACCTGAACCCCGCTTCCCCCACTATGTCTATCCACCACGCAACAGGGTTTTCACACGGCGCCATTTCCTTTCGTATTGGTATTCCTGACTTTCCAGACTACTGCTAGCCTGCTCTCCGTGGATTATGTACCTTTATATACGTAATTACTTCGTGTTCTTTTATCAAAGCCCATTACAATCGTCTCCTTAGCTCAATTGGGAGAGCGCCAGACTGAAGTCTTCGGTCATTAAATCTGGAGGTATCGTGTTCGATCCACGAAGGGGACAACGTGCCTGAGCTTGCTCAGGATTCTTCGAACTATTCTTTTTGCTGTTTTGGAAGACATTCATAAGCTATTTTTGCTAGGCCATTATCGTCCATCTTTATTTAATGGTGCAGTCTCGATCGTTACACGACCGCTAGTTACTTTTTTTCAACGCAGAGGAAACACCATGAAAGGCGTTCACAGACTAGTCTACTGCATCTGTGCATGAATAAGAAATCTGTACATTGAAAGGTAGTGCAGCCTTGATGACTACATTGGGTATTGACTACTCTTGATTTCCAAGAACTTTTTGGTTGTGAGTACCTGCATGTCGTGACATAGCATATAAAGGCTCCAGCTATCTCCCGAACACACTCCTCATGTCGCTGACAGGGATTTGTTCAGGCTTTATAGCGAAAGGCAAGAGCCAGAGGTTGCCGCAGCGCATAGCTTGAGCCTTCATCATGTTCAAATCGCCAATCGGTTGTTGCCTGTCCATCCCACCCATACTCCACCCACCTCCTTGGCGATGTCCTCAGCAGTCTTGCCGTTCGCATCCCTCAAGCTCCTGATATCGACCTTGTCCTCTGTCAGTCCCCTCATGATACCCATAGCCTCAGCCTCTTGGAAGACCTGTGGAGGGAACTCAAGCAGAGGATAGTTGCTTGCTAGCAGCAGCAACAACCAAGCGACTTCCCTGCTCTGCGCATGTACCGCGGCATGTAGCCCGGACTGCATGTCGCCAATTGGGTCCTGGTATCTCAGCAGCCTATCGATACCGACTTCCTTCTCCGGGTGGTCGGTTGTGCCCATCTCCACATCTCCTTCTTCGTCTTCCTCCATATCGTCATCGAGCAGCATATCAATCACGGCTTTGTAGTCGCCTTCACGGCAGAACTCGAGGAATGCGCGCGCTTTTCGATCTTCGGGGTATGCTTTGAGGTACGATTCTTCGGTGAGGAGAGGTAGGATGTCGAGGTTCTCTTGGATTCCGCCCTCGTTGTTCAGCCTGCACAGAACCTTTTGTACGCCATCGCCCATGGTAGAAATTTCCTTGGAGCAATTGGGACACGACGTTATCTCGTACGCTGAGAGGAGACAATCCCTGGTGTGTGCAATTAGCTACAGATTCAGTTGTTATAGCGAGTAGCATACCAGTGAAAGTGACAACCGCAGATGAGTTGAACATCGTCTGGGTAGGTTTCTGCTGCTGCTGCAGGGCCTTTGCCAGATGATGACGCTCCTCCCTCATACTCATCGTCTTCGTCCCGCTCTACTTCTACCTCAAGGGGCTTGTTGCAAACAACACAGCCGGACATGTTGGCGACTTTGGTATATAGATTGAGCGAGGAAATGTGCGCGCGAAAGTTTTGGCGGGGCTATGGCGGGGGTTTGGACTTTTTTGTCGCTAAATGGGAGGAGCGAACGTTGCACGCGTCACGCGTCGGACTTTACACGTACGTCATCATAAGAGTGGCAACAACTTCCTCAGTTCCAAATTGACTTGATTTGATTCGTTTGGGGTTTAAAAATATTGTTATCCCAGCTGCTGATAACCAGAAGTCCTCCATATTGGACCGGGCGAGCACACGAAGGACTCCACCCGTTTGTGTATCTTCCACCTTTCGTCTACCTGTCTCTTGACCACACCGGTTGCATCTTTCGACTCCTGTTGTACCCTTTTCCAACGCAAACTACTGTGGCTATCTTTCCCGGTGTGCTTATGGGCCATGACCACTTCTTCATGTGTTGTTGGAACGATTCCACCACAGATGTTCCGAGTTCCTTCCGAATCAGACTCCAATGTGTTTCTTTCCATACCCCGATCAATTTCTACGCCTTTCGCGTCTTTCTTCCTGGTCGACCTCTTCTCTGTTTGCGCAAAGTAACCTGCGTATAATTGACTCCAATCCACCAGTAGAACCCCATCTTCAACATTCCAATACCGAATTCCCTTCATAGATACCCCAAATGGCCATCCGTTCCCAACGGTGATTGTGGCATTGCAGTGTGAACGTCCAGTTAAGAGGAGGCGTGCCCGACCGTATTTGGAGTTAAGGCGGCAGTGGTTGCGGGATCGTTCATCGCGCCAGGTACTTGAGACGGGAGCTTCTTGATCGATCGAGAACACGGCGATAGATGGGTCCTCAGCAAGGAATCGATTGAACTGAAGTGTGAATCTGTGATCTCGGTAGCCCAGGTCAGATCTGATTACTGTATGAGGCAGGTATCGCATGGGATGTTGGTGGGAATTTATCGCGCTGGATTGCGAAGCATCAGCCTCGTCTGATATGGTTGGCTGATCCTCATGGTAGAAGCGACTAGGGGGCTTTTCGTCGGACCTTGGGAGACAAAAAAGCCTCAATAATGACTTTCCCAGCATATTCGTGCTAATCAAACGCGAGAGTGAATGAAAGAAAAGATATATTTCAGATACGCGGGGTAGTTGTCAACAATAATAGAGCCCAGGTAAGTCAACAGATGCAAGGCTCTGCATGTTTCTCGGTTCTACTACAGGTCCCACATCCACCAACATTACAATGCTTCGTTGATTTGGCCGCCACCCGATACGTGCGTCCTCTCCCCCTCACACCAACACGACAGTACGTGGCAGTATCGCCTTGATCGGTGCAACTTCCGGGCTCTAAGGCAGGGACTGGCCTGGCCGTGCGCGGACATCCGTATAAAGCATTAAGCTTGTTGCTTTTGGAGCTTCTAGGTCCCATCAAAACTAGCGCTGCCCCAACTTCTCCAAAAGAAGCAAATACTGTGGTCCGGGAGACCCACCGAGTGTTTTCCATTCGCGGCTTCCGGGAAAAAGTATGTCTGACTACCTGTGGACTGATGCTGAACTACTAAGTACAAGGTTATCGGTTGTAGGTTTCTCATAGACCACACGCGGAAAAGAAGGACGGAAGGAAATGCCGCTGCAATGCCGTTCGAAACCTCAGTGTGGTCGCCTAGTCACCACTTATGGCGTCATAGGCGTCCTGTAAATGCCATCTCGAATGTGTCGTCAACCAAGAATTTCCCTAAAAGCTGATTGAAACAGCGCAAAACGTAACATTGAGAGACATGCGTAAAAACATTGAAATCATAACTATCAGACCACCTTACAAGCAAGTTATATACAGGCAATTATCCATTATCAGTGGCCTAGCAAGCGGTTGCTATCTGTGACAGTACGAGACAGATCGCACTTCCTGGATATCTGGACCTTCGGCAGCAATCTGTGTCGCGATACCTGCGCGACCGATATCAGCGCTCCTACTCTAAGAGAGTCAGGAACCTTATATACTCACCAGACCACTCTTCGTATGCTAGCCTATCCTCTTCCGCCATCTCTTCGATACTTTCTATGCTTCTCACTTGTGACGCTTGCCTCTTATCCGATACCATTCTCCCCTTCACCTTTCCTCGTGTTGTCTTGTCTGACTCCAAACGTCGTATACTGTCCTTATTCCTGACCATAACGCGGTGCGATCCAGTCTTCCATATCGCTTTGGTGTCGCCGATGCGATGATGAAGCGGTTTTTCCCAATCTTGGTCCCATCCAGTAATGGTACTGGATGAAGTGAACGCGGTTTGGGGTTTGATCGGTCGTCGGTGGCAGATTCGGGCGCCAGTAGCAGGCTTGGGTGGAGGCTTCGGAGGCCCATGACATTTTCGTGCCTCGCGTGGACTGGTCTGGAATGGTCGGAGGCTTAAATCAGTTGCCGAGTCGTGCTTATGTGTGGGGTGTTGAGGCATTGTTCGATTGATTGCCTTTTGGATCTGGAAAGACTCCTTCCATGGCAGTACGCCGTGTGGCTGCTTTTGCAGTATTCCTGTCTGCTGATGTGTTGATTCGACAGTATTGTTATACGAGGCACGTCCTAGCAGCAATGAGCTCTTACTCGGATCGACAACCCGAATAGTTCGATTACCGGGAACATCTGGTGGTGCGCTCCTTCCGAGTCTCCCTATAGAAGGTAAAGCCCGCATTGTACTTATGTCCTGCACTGTCGAGCCCTCGCTTTTTGATTTCCTGGGAGGCTGTTCTCGTCGACCGAAAAGAACGCTGCGGGGGGAATTCTGGCTTTTGGCTCGGTATGAAGGCTGAGGGCTAGTCTTCTCGATCTCTAGGCAGTTGGATTTGTATATGAGGTAAGGTTCCCAGTGTCGAAGGCAGCCGCCGAGTTTCTTTGTCCACCGCCGGAGACGGGATTCGCGCTTGGAGATTGCCATGTCCGCGATAATGTAGCGTTACAGATTGATTGTTTCGGGGTTTGTTTTGATGAAGGCTTTGAGGATATGAGACAAATGAAGATAACAGAGACTGGTGTTGGAAATGCTCGTTTAATCAAATAAAAACTGACAAAGACGCAGGTATATTTGCGTGGAAACGTCGTACCGTTTCGCACTTCAAGAGGAGCCGATAGTGATTGTGATGATTATATGGAATATTGGGTAACTCGGAAGTGCATTGCAGATAACCGTTGTTTGGCTGCTTGAAATGGGGACGGTACCATGTTCTTGTCCATCTAGCCGTAGGCTGGACCCTCTGGAACAACCAAAACATCCAGCCCTGCATGGCAACCAGAAAAGTGCGTTGTGGTCAGAGAGCTTGTTTTGATGACTCCCGTGATTAGACAGCATTGTGCAATTTCCCATGGGGCAGCATTCAACTAATGCGTTTCTGGCCCGTGTTCCACAGCGAAAGTTGGACTCGCACGGTTCTTAGAGTTGACATAACCATCTTCCAAAGTGAGTCCTAGCAGAAATTGGGCTTGCTTTTTTGTTCGACGTCCGGAACTTCTTCCACAATCAGGGGCAAGGGGGTAAGGGTGCACAACCGCATCAACGTGTCTTTCCATCTCTTTGTCCAGTCATCGGCCCCTTCCACAAAAAAGCTCGTACCAGGCTGATGGCCATGCTGCATAACGCCTTCCCCATTCTCCATGCTTCAAAAATGGGACAAAAGACAACCAGCACGGCAACAATGGCAAGCAGAAGAGCAGCCACAGTCACAGTGATGCCTAGGACGTGCGTAAAGAACGAGACATTTGCAGCAACACGCCATCTTCTCTTTTCCTTCTCCAGCCTCGTGAAATACACAGCCATAGATTTATATTGACGCAGCTGTAGGTCGCGAGATAGAAGCTGCACGCCCTTCTGTAGCTCCTGGGCACCCATTTCAACCTCGCCCTCCTGCCCGATGCGGAAACGGATCTTCTGCTCGCAGTGCAGAACCATACCAGACATATGCCCCAGAACCAGCTTGGCAATGACGCTTTTATCGCCCATGCAGCTCATGTGCACTTTCGCTTTGTCACTGAAAAGTGGAATGACGTCTTTGAGTACCGTGTCTAGCGACAAGGGCCCAAGACTGCACCAAAAGCAGCACCATGAGAAGTGTATGTGGTCTTGAGCAAACGTCTTTCGTACCAAGATTTCGTTGGCGCATGTGGCAAACAAGCGGGATATGGGCCGTACGCTGAACCATAAGTCGCATGGCTCGAGATGATCGCATATCTGTAACATCAGTTCGTTAGGAAGACGACTGAACGGCGATAATGATCGAGGCATCGTAGCTTGCACCAAGTCAGCTTGCACAGTGTTCTCGACTGGGGGCGTACGCGTTAAGCCTATCGTCTTGGATTTCAAGGGACAGTGTCAGATTCGAGAGCTTTTCGTATATTTCAAGAGACGAGGGGGTATTGGGGACAGCGACTCAAAAGGTTGGACAACGAGGTTCGGGCACAGTGTCAAGGCGTTTTGTGCTCACTCACACTGATCAACACTCACGAGCGAGTAGATTTGCAAGAGCGGTCACGTTTACAGCTGAACATTGTTCGGCCAGCCAAAGTATTTCGGAGCTGAAAGCCATTCATTCAGCCAATCTTTTAGCTGCATCGTGGCGGTCATAGTGCACATGTGAGAACAGCTGCGTACGGTGGGGTGGTGACCAGGGTCTAACAAACCGCGCGGCTGATAAGTAATAGGCGACCTCGGGAAGAGCCAGAAGCTGTGAGACGCAGCCGGAAGAACGGAGCGTATGCATAACAATGGTTTACGGCAAGTCGCTGGTGCGTGAAATGATTACGTTAGTGGGAACTAACCTTACGTATGCGTTGGGCAGGGTAGAGGCAGATGGATCCATGGGCGCTTGCCAAGAGTCTAGCTACTCAGGTACGTAGGGTCTCGTACGAGTTCCTTCGCTCCCTGACACTCGGCATCCTCCTGTAAGAAGTTTGTTCCTTGAAGCGCACGCGATACCTGTCTCTTTCTTTTCCGAGCTGCTCGTTCTAGACTGCCGAACCAAACATGCAGTGGCGCGCTCCGCTGACACTTGTCTGGATCTGGCTTTCCAAGGACAGTTTCTGTACCCCTCGCCACGCTTTGCATGCACATCACACATACGCAGCAACGGTTCTAGCATCAAATGCCAATGATGATGTTGCGTGTACGTACTGTTCGTATTACCGTATGCGCGTAGGGTTATATTGTCTCCACATTCCTTTGTCGGCCCCGGCTCCAGAAACTTACTCACAAGAAACCTCTATGCATACAAGACAGCGCATGATGTCCAAGAAGACCTTGCTGGCATTCAGCCTCACGAGCTTATATAATTCTCATATCGCTGATACTAGCTATCACAAGGCGGAATGTTCCGGAAGCCTGAAAGCCTGGCCTTGTCTGACCGCTGTTTCAGCCTCATGATCCTGGTGCTTCAGGTCCGTCTCATGGCCAAGTCCCACGTGGAGAGATTGACATTCCCCGGCAATTCCCAGTTTTTAGGGACGTCAAAACTGTCAATGCCTGATAACAAGCCGGGATGACAGAATTCCGGGGATAATCCTCGGTCTTGCTAGCCAATTATCAGGCTTCACTTGCTCGAACGCCTGAATAATATGCCACGAGATGAGCGAGGGGGTATCAAAGAGAGGCTGATCTGCTGTTTTACATCTCTATACATACGTACTTGCGAACAGGAAACTGCGCGGAAGAGGTGTGGCGCTTACATGCCCGCTCCCTTGAATCATTACTGCCTACCTGCTCAGGCACACCCAGCCACCCAGTTGTTTCCACCCCACTTGTCCTGCACAAGTAATCAGAGCAAGACATGCGGGCTCCGAGGTGCCGTACTCAAGTACATCGTGACGTCGACCTAGGATGCTCTACCGCTCTTGAGCCTCTGTTGCTCTTCACTCGTTGAAACTTCCATTACTTCTATTCTAGCGCTCTGGAAGCTGCTGCCAGCAGGACTGTGCTTGTACTAAACGCTCCCTACGTTCAAATTTGTATTTTTGTATGCTTCGTGATTCATTATGGGATGTGGAAGATGGACACTGTTATTTATAAGGGGTTTCGCCCTTCTTGTGGCTTTGGCAACTGTTGGGCTGGGCGCATGGTGTAAGTACTCCGAATGTTTGACCTTTGAGACCGAAGTTACTGACAACGTGATATAGCAATTGTCATTACTCGTGACATTAGGGCTCGCAGTACCGCAGTCATTGAGACGGTTCATCCGGAATCAGAGAGGATGGGGCGCATGTGGGAAAAGTTCTTCGTTCTATCAGTAAAGGGCATCATAAGGTTATGGATATCGATTGCAACGGTATGTTTTTGAGTTATCTGTCCAGCTTATAGCGCTAACAGTACAGGCTGCCTTTGCTTCGCTGGGAGGTATCATCATTGTCTTGGCAACCATGTCCAATCGCCAGCGCATACCCTCGGCCGTGCTCATCCCCCTCGAGTTCCTGTGTATGTGTGCTATGGGTGCTGCGCTCGGAGTTTCCCTGAGCTTTACCATGGACCTTGACGCTTTCACCAAGACGCGTCTTGAGGCAGGAGGCCAGCCCGACCTGTTGAGGTGGGCAGTGCTTGTGGATCTCAGCCGTGGTCACGCTATTGGAGCCGGAGCCGGATGGTTTCTGCTCCTAGTGACATCCATCACGGCAGTGATTGCCGCATGCTGCCGTCTCCAAGAAAGGGAGAGCTGCTCTTTTGAACCAACGGCATCAGCACTTGGTATGGGCTACGGGTACGCGGCCGTGCTACCACCTCAGTCGCGCAGTCGCGTACCAACCATGTACGTACCAAATGATCTGACAGAGAAAACCGAGAAAATGCCAAAGAGGCAGCAAAGGCGAGACTCGGTGGGTAGGAACCTGGAGATGGGACGCTCGGACACAGTCGTCAGTCAGGAAGGCAGAATTTCCTTTGAGGATGATAAGGAAATGTCAGTGCCCTTGACTCTAGAGCGGCCAGAGAAAGCGCAACAGTGGCGACCTTCTAGGCCATGGAGCGAACTCAGCGAAGTACCTTCTCTCGATGCGAAGAGGGAGATAGGACACGCTGTTTAGAACTTATTACCGTTCAATTATTATTACACTATTACAACGCAGTCACTCGCTTTACAACACTGTATACTACGTAGAAAATAAACGACACAAGCAAACCAACTTTGGTGCGCAGATGTTCGTGATTTCCCAAAATCGCGTTCGCTATCTGATCAGGTGACTGCGTTCCTAGCGCGTTTCTCTAGCGTGATACGGCCGCCCTGCGTCATCGTTGCAATTGACACTTTTCGCCCAATATCGACCTACCCTCTTCCCGTCCATCTTTCCAACCATGGCAGGCTTCAAACGCGGTGGTGCCCGAGGCGGTGGCTTCAAAAAAGGCTTCGCAAAGAAACGCTCCTCTCCAGACGAAGATGATAGCGCGCCGCGCGCGAGCAAGAAAGCAAAGGGCGACGAGGAGGACGATTCTACTCTTGTGATACCCAAACTCGAGACTGATGATAACGGAGATGTATATGTCGCTGTAAGCCGCCCTCACAATGGCCGAGCTTAGAGCGAAGACAAGAAGGGGCTTACAAAGAAGTGACAGCTCAACACAAGCGGCAAGCGACGCCTCACGGTCAGCGATTTCAACAAAAACACTCTTGTTAGTATACGGGAGTACTACAGTACTGATTCCGGGGAGATGAGGCCAGGGAAAAAGGTATGTGGTTTGCACTCGCCACAGTACACCCCGTTCGCACACACACATATATACACCGAACTTGACTGATGAAACGTTATAGGGTATATCTCTCACGATCGACCAATACAACACTCTTCTCGCTGCCGCGCCACTCATCGAAGCCACCTTAAAGAAAAAGGACATTGAAATGGTGAGACCGGATTATGACGTTGAGCCAAGTGCGAGGAGCGACGAGGCAGGAGACAAGGAGGAAGATGAGGAAGCGAAAGCAGACGAAGAGTCTGTAAAAGCAGAATATGATGACGCAGAAGACGGCAAATAGCTCGGTCTCAGTAACAGTGTTTTTGGTTTCATTCTCGGGGTATATAAGATGGGTATGAGTGCGGTGGCAGTGGGCTAGGCGTGTTTTCTGTCGCAGTGCATTGTCTTGTATTAGTGGATGAATGGATAAAGTTCAACAGCGGATGAATTATGGGAAGCAAGATACTGTTCGACGGCGCACCTTGCAAAATGCTGCAAACTGTAACCTAAAAATGGTGAGCTGCTTATTGGCTAAGCTCAACATGCCGCATCGGGTAGAAAGATAAATACCATCGAACGCGGCTCGCAAGCGTGCTGACCTAAAAGCCAATGCTAACTGGATAGGGGCCAATATACCGCATCCGGCAGGTTTGAGAAAACCGTGGAAAACGGTATTTCTGGAAACTGGACCCTAACGGGCAAGCTTATTGGCCCGGGGTCCGAGAGGGTAACGGTGGGTTAACGGTCGTAATCTCCTCCGCCTCCGCCCCTCATATTCTTCATCTGCTAGAAGGCTTGCAAATCGGGATTTTATACGATTCAGGAAAAGACGCAAGAACTAGAGAACATTTAGACGATAGGAAATGACCGAAGGGTGTTCAAACGACGCATCCTCTTGATTGCTAACAATTACTGGTAACAATCGCATCTAGATCCGCACGTTTGTCGCAAAAGACACAAGCCTCGTACTTCTCATTCATACTACATGCTCTTTTCGCATAAGATACACTTTCCAGTTATGATCACAGGAGTGCAGTTTCTTCATCATCATCATCATCATCATCATCATTCACATTGGCGCAAAATAATGTCATGTCATGGCTTCCGATTAAGATCTTCCAACACGACACAGCTACCTGCTCAAACGACAACTGTCCTCGAAAATGCGTATAATATAAGCCTTCCTCCTAATTCAACAACATTGAAAGAGTGTAAAGTTGTTCTATATCTTCCCACCCATCTCGTATCTGACCCCGTGGCCACAGGCTGCAGCAAAGTCCCCATCCGTATACATTGATCCAGCATCAGAAGCAACAGTGAAAGTCGTCAGTATACGCATGAGCTCGAGAAATGAAATGGATCATTGTCGCAGGCTCGTCTTTCATCCGCGTTGTATTCATCGGTGCTCGATTTGAACGGCGACATACCAACCGTGATGAGCGAGTTGCCATGGTCGTCCATGAGATCGACAGAAACATAGTTGCCGGAAAGAAGCTCGTTGGGGTCGATAAGACAAGTGAAGTCGTCATAAAAGAAGTCGTACAAGTATGCGCCCGACTTCTGAATATCCGACCATTGTTTGTTGGATCCTGTCCTTTGGCATGCCTGAATATCGAGCCCGCCGTCGACTACAACACCTTCGTAGCCGGGCTCGCGCTTGACGATTTTGGCGTCTGATGCGAAAGAAAGTGTGTGCCTAACCTCGCCGTTGTCGTCGCCATGGATGGTGTAAATGAAGTCATTGCCGTCAGGACCGGTGAATTGGTAAGCCGGCATCTCCGTGTGAGCGTTCTCGCCACGCTTATGAAGCCCAACATGTTTGCCTGTAACCCCATAACTATGTAAAACAGACTCCATATACTCCTCATGCGAGAGCAATATTGTCTTGTCTCCTCCATCCAGACCTCGCGCCACCCCTGGGCGCATACCCAATTCAACCTGTCTTCCACGGAATGTGGCCATGCGGTGTCTGTAGCCCTGGTAGATGCTGAACGTGGATGCAATAAAGGACATCGCAGTGACGGTTATGGATGCTGCGCAGGTGGCCTGGCTCCAAGGACCAGCTCCTCCTACACCTTGACCAGAGATGTCAACAAGCAAGTCAAGCTGGCTTGATTCTTATCGATTGCAGATCACAGACAATATAGAGGCTCGTGCACAGTGGCACGTCCCAGAGAATGGTCTGTGATCTGCAATCGATAAGAATCAAGCCAGCTTGACTTGCTTGTTGACATCTCTGACCTTGACACCCCTTTACGAGGGAAAAATAGGATAGACCATGGGTGACTGTCCAATAACTAGCGGCAATGTAGGGGTGGTTGTAGGGGATAGCGGCTATCTGAACATCCGAGGTATTGGCCAACGAGATGTCGTACTTTTTAGGAGGTCCCAAGTACTCGTCGTCGGCTCTTGCCTCGAGGCTGACTTCCGATCCCATCATCTCATCAATCTCTCGTTGAATTTGCTGGGGGCTGCGTTTGGCGGCTACGACTCCGCGGAAGGTGACCCGATAACTGTTGAAATTGTTGTCGTCGTTTGCAATGCAGGTGAGCTGACTTTGCAGTTCGTACAGCTCGGTACAAGCATTGTCCTTGTAGAGTTCGACCTGCAAAATGTCGTCTTCGGGATTGTTGAATGCCGTCGTCACGGACCGGGCCATGTCTCGAGTATAGTCGAGCGTCATACACTCTGTAGCCGAATAGTGTCTTTCAGTCGTAAGACGTTCTCCGTGGCAACCATTGCTTATGTACCTAACACCGGTGTGAAGTCAGTCTGTGTTTCATAGGCAATTTGGGGTTAAACATTACTGACCATGATAATTTGACTGCCTGGGCTGTGTTGGCAGCTAACAGAAAGGGTAGAAAGAGTTGCATCTTGGAAGACGCCTGAAGAGCTGTAGTTTTTCTTGTTTGTTGGTAAGGCTCTAAGGTTGTTGTGATGGCGATGTATTGAGGGCACAGTGCTAACTTTATACCTCTCAAAGGCGTCTGTCTGATATCCCCCTCTTGTCTCCCATGTACCACAGCTATGCCTCTCTGTAGCCATCAGATACCAACACAGCCGTGGAGGCCTGATTCACATGCAGTCTGTTGCAGTAATTGGTGTTTCTCGATCAGTGAGGAAGCCTTTCCTTGCTCCTTCACGACCACAACCCCACTTTAGCCATCCGCGTATCCGTCTCTGTTGCGATTACTGTAGATTCTGTTCAGTAAAGGACGCCTCCTTACTCCTTCCAACTGCAAACTCACTGCGGCGACTCGCGTATCCCTCGCTATGACGTCTAAGGCAACGAGCGCGATGCAACCTTCACCACCCGCATAGCCGTGTCCCCACGAGGTTGAGGATAGAACATACATACCAGCCCCTACTTAGGTAGTCGCCCCTGTGAGGCACAATCGCGATCGTGTGATGCACCAGCTACCTACGTAGAGAGTGCCCAGTAGGATGAGGTAGACGGCCTTAGTGTCTCAGTAGACTGATTGTTATGGCGACTATACGATGGATTCATTCATATCTCCCCACAAAATTACATGCTCTAGATGAGGTACCTTACGCCCTGGCCCCCAAAGTCGCGATCCAGTTGATGCCAAGGCTTGCACTCAACATATACGCCCCGCCCTAGTTTCTTCACCCCACCGTCCATCGGCCCAAGCTCTGACAATCAATCTGCGCAGAAAACTAGCATAGTGTGCATGTCTTACTACCCGCGTGCCTGTTGCTCCAGTATCGTTCTTCACTTGCAGTCTTGGCTTCCAAGGTTGGTATCGGCTAGGTCGTTCAAGCTTTAGAGCCTACAATCTTATCCCTCGGTCTCTAGCCTTGCTTTTTGTTTAGCCAAGCTTCTGGAAAAAAGTGCGATGTCGTGAGCAAATAGGGATAAAGTAGTAGAGTGTTGATGAATGCTGTGGGCAGAACGACCCACATGGCGTCCAACATCGCGCTCTACTTATCCGGCGCGTAGTATGATAGGGGCACAGGTTGGGTGTATTAAGTTTGACATGGTGCAGTCATGGGGGCCTAATGTTGATGGTTCGGATGAATGATCACCCATTCGTTGATCTCAATAACTGGCTGAGTTTACTTGGAGGCATAGAGAATCGTCGCCTTCAGCTATAGGGCCGCTGCCTTGTGCGATTGTCATTGTTAGGTGACTATACGTAGGAGGTATGTAGTTCATGTCGAGCATACCCAGGCAACGCTAAAATCAGCATCTCCATCACCGAGAGGCGGCACATACTGCATAGCTTGGCATCTCTTATTTTAAGTGTAAATCCTTCGTATGCGAGTGATAGAGTCTCGGGAATGCAGTATGCCGCTCTACCCGTTGACCCGTTATGACATGTACCATTGCCGTACTTGCCGTGTATCCACATTTTCCCCGGCTACAGATGACGTAGTTAGTTGGCCTAATGCGCATGTCTCGGTGTCCTAGCGTTTCTGCCTTGTGCAAATCAAGATCCCTACTACGAAGCTTAGGGTCTTCTTGGTGCTTAAAACAACTACCATGGTGACAAGCTGGACAGCATACAAACATTTGCTGCGCATCCGAAGATGAACGGCACATCAACAAACAATGTGTTACCGCAGGTCCTCAATCGCATCCCGTGGCGCTTCATTTACATACCTGGCCTATATTTAATTCTTTGTGGCGGCCTCACCCTCTCTCACGCATTCGATTATGTATGGATGGATCCCTTTCCAGGCTGGGCCGTCGCCTGCTCGGACGTTTTCGCCTTTCTGTTGGGTTCCTTCCTAGTCGAAATTGGCCTTGTCATATGCATAGCCTGGTACTTCCACAAGGACGAGCATTCTGGGCGTTCAAAGGGAGCGCATCCGATCTCGACGGATGTCTTCAGAATCACCAGCGAGGAGAGGGCCCTTCGAAGCATTGTTCGACGCTATCCATGGCGCCATGCTCGCGTGTTTGGCCTATGTCTAGTTATTTTCACCCTGCTCATCATCGCTCATGCAATGAGTCTGCATCGGATGAACCCCGATTCAGTAGACTGGACCACTGTTCTCCCCATCCGATTCGGCATCATGCTAGGAATCATCCTACAATTGGGTGGCTTCCTTATTTGCACCGGGTGGTATTTGTTCAAGGATGTGAGAGTAGATGGTGCAGAAGGGATGCAATAGCTCGAGCGAGAGATAATCTGTATGCTACTACGGCTTTAGTAAGGCATAGCAAAAAGAGGCTATGAAGGAGATCATGAGTACAAGGTGATATCCTAGCATCTTGACTCATTCCTGTTTTGATATTAGAAAAAGCACTGCGGTGGAAGAGCCTGCTATTAATAAATGGTACTTCTTGCATATATCTTTAATAGTGAAACACCTTACTTGATTCCATCATAAGTCTCATTTCTCAATTGCTAAAGTGATCTGACAAGTGCTTGTAATCAGAGGGCCGACTTACTGAAACAGAACTGTCGACGACTATACAGAGAGACTCGACCATTAAATATATTGTATTATAACTCGATATTTCGATTTCCAGGGCAGCCCTCAGTGGTGTAAGCATTTTAGAGGAAATTTGTTTATTATTTTGTTTGTCAAGAAGATTGCAAGCGACAGAATGCGCGTAGATACCAATACCACAACTGCGAAGAGACAGAAAAAGTGTTGATAGGTAGAAGGTATCCTTCTATCCGCATTATTATGTCTGAGTACTAATCACTGGTTGTTCGTTGGCTCAATGTAGATCAAACAAGCTTCTATAGGTATGGGAGCGACGTACAGTGTAACAACATCATCTTAATTCGAAGAACCCAGGGTCCGAGTAGACTTGCGACACCGAAGTTGATGGGTCACTATAGATGTTTGAAGGATTGTTAGGTGCGGTAGTTTTGGGCGGGTGGCTCTTTGGGTGGAAGAAACGAAGATAGTAAATCACGGACAGTTGGTCATAAGTGAAAGATTTGGCGCGATCCAGGGTACGCGTGACAGGCCAGCTGGATCACAGGTGATGTTTTGATCTCTTCGCTTGTGAGTGAATTAGCTCATTTGGGTTGGTCGCTGAACCGCAACGTATTTCTTGCGTACCTACTATGAATCACCTCGACCATAGCGCAACACAACAGCCCAACTATGGCGCCCTCTAGGTCTAGAAACCGTAGGAGCGATATACCGGAGTCCTCCTTGCTGGAAATCGTCAAATCAAGTTCTCCCGTCAATGAAATGGAAGGCATCAAATACCATCCCGCTATCTCTCAAGCGCCAGAAATGCTGCAACTTCCAAATGAGTTGCTTGAAACTATAGCCTCACACCTAGTACCTTCGACAGTAGTGCACACACTCGAAGGTACATCCGTAGGTCGCTACAGCTCCCTAGTCCGTCAAGGCACGCGAAATGGTCGCTACATGTTGCAGAGCTGGCCTCATATTAAGTATCTTCGGGAGTTTTCTGCATTGTTAAACCTTGCTCTCGTTTGCCGACGCTTCAGTTCGATCGTCGAACGCGTGCTATACCGCGACATATCTCTTCCGACTCCATCACTACACAAGGTTATCGGTTTCTTCCAATATCCTACATCTTCCACGGCGCGGCTGACTCGTACTCTCATTCACCGGCCGGATCTCGCAGCTCGCATAAAGTCCCTGAGAATGTGGATCCCGGATAGAAGGTTGGTCTGGACAGCAAATGAGCCCAACCTGCACCCGGAGAATCCTTATTATGATGTGTTCAAGATAGCATCTGACCAAGTCTACCGATCTAATTTGCCTTTGCTTGGTCGGACATTCTGGGGTAGAGAGCTAGAGCGCTATCAAGAAGTCGATCTAAGCGCCTTTCTTCTCTGTCTGATACCGCGACTTGAATCACTGGAGCTTATGTCTCCATATGCGGAGTTTGAGGACCTGGACCCGCGTGGCCGACATCGATCACCGAATGAAAAACCCAACTATGCTGCATTTGATATGGCTCTCAGCATCACCGACTCGATCAAGTCAATCTACGTCACTTCCCGCATACCGCTTACTATGCTGCCATCGGCGTCGTTAACTGAGCTGACTTTAGACATAATGTTCTTTGCAGCCAGGGATGATTGGTTGGCAACCAGTTCGGTTCTACCAAACGTGCGCACCCTGATCGTTGAGTTGAACGTTCCACTACTACGGGATATGCACTTCGGTACTGCGACACGAACATTGGCTGGTCCGCGGTCGTTCTTGAAATTCATGGTACCGAACATCGCGACAATTGCCATAGAACCCTGCAAAGGTACAGATCCGGAATGTGCTCCTCGTTTTGATCGATGGGGCGCAATGATTCCAGAGCCTAGAATGGATCGTGATCCCCAGGATGTCAATGAGACATTTGGAATGAGACTAATCGATCAATACTTCCTGAATGAGGTGCGCAGTGCACTTTAGCCGGTGAAAGACAAGTTACAGAAGCTTTCCTTGCCAGCCAACTGGTATGCCTCTGCTGGCATGGGCGTCAGACCTATGTGGAATCTCAAACCTTTCAGTCGACTGCGGTCTCTTCTTCTTCCAAAGATTGCGATTATCGCCAATCCATACGCAGAAGACTATGACGAGAACGAGGACAAGAGACAAGCTGTCACCTTTCTACCCCGGTCACTGCAGGAACTCTGTATCACACAAGTGGATGTAGAAGTATGTGATTGGCTACAAGCGGGCTTTTCGCAAGCAGCTCAAGACGAATATGCTCTGCCGAGTCTGGAAAAGGTCACGTTGATATTTCGAGATGATCTTCAACCGGCACTTCCTATCGGCTTCGTGCATGACGCCAATGAAGTTGGTGTCCAGGTAACTGCGGTCTGGAGGGGTGAGATGCAAGTGTTGGAGGCGGACGCACCTGAAGAATGGTCATGTAACGTTGCGTATCTTCCATGACGGTCACGAGGATGGCATGAATGAGCTGGTTGGGTTGTGTATTCCCTCGAGTGTCAACAATGCGGCGAATTGAACTCAGGCTGCGACAACATCTATCACAACATGCAATCCATGGCATTGGCGAATACTTCCATACGGACTGTGATACATGATAGGTTAAAAAGCGTAGGCTCGTGTATTTTGGTTGCTCTACTTCAAATCGATATCCGTGTTTGCTCTCTGTTAGAGTTCTTATTTTGCAGGTCTCACCATAAGCTGTACTCACATTAGCTAGCATGTCGAGCGTTATTTTGATTGAATGACTCACAATGAAACTCATTTTTTCTCTGCCTCCCCACTTGGTCAAGTCCAAATCTACTTTTTTGACTGGTTCAAAGCCGTGACGCGCATACATCGGTGCTCCCATGGGACTGGCTTCTAGAAAAGATTTCACGTGTGCTTCGTCCGCTTTCTCGCAACCCCAACGCACGAGCATGCTACCTGCTCCCCGCCTCATATGTCTCTCGAGTGTGACCAGCGTATCAAGAACGTAGTATGGCTGTCTCCCAAGTATCTCCCGCTTGTTTGCGTTGAACAATGCGAATAAAGCCTTGAACATTTCAGGATCGCTCTCGGCATATGGCTCAGGGACGGTTAACCCAGCATCAACTTCCTCCCAAGTCCGTTCTTTGGCGCCCTCTTCTGTGGGCTTGACATAACGCCAACGGGCACCAGCAATCATCTCGCCAGTTGAGGTATCGATGCACTTGAGGTAGAGGATTCCTCTGTTGACGATACCCTCACGGATGTCTTCAGTCACAGCATCGAGCGTCTTTTGAGAAGGCTCGCCGCGAGCGTAAAGAATCTTGTTGACTGTCGGGCGAAAGACTTCGTGCCGTAAACACATATATTGCTCCGCTTCCTCAGGCTTGAGGAGCGAGATCTGGAGATTCGGGTCAGGCATCTTCCTGGTAATACGACGAAAGAAGTGCTTAATACTGCGTGCAGGAGTAGATGCGGAAAAGGAAGCAAGCAAACGCGTTTGCTGATTGTCAGTACACCATCAATGCTGTGTGACTGACTATGCTGCAAATTTATCCAAAAGACGCTGGGTGCACTTATGTATCCACAATCGTTTGGGGAACAGTCATAGCCAGCCTTGCCGCATCGGAATCGGAATCGGAATCGGAGTTGAGGTCAATGGCAGCGTGGAGAAGATACCCTTGTAGAGAGGGTGTGATCTCCAGCATAGGATCACGTGCCCTTCTCACATACGCTCCCCAGTAAAAGGGCGCTCCTCGTAGGGCACCAATTTGTCGCGGCTAGAGCGCGACATAGCAGTACATTTAAGTACAAGCTGGGGGCCCTGCAGCAAACGAGGTGGCTTTGCTGCAGGACTAATTACACTCTGGACGAATCTTGACTGGACACCGGGCGGGAGGAAACTATGCTATTTCTAAACAACAAAATGGAGACAAATTGGGACAGATTTTACCGGCCCGGGCTGAAGCAGGGGATAGTTGCTAGGAGGTGATAGAGGAGGTGATGATGGCGGCCTCGCTAGGCCCGTTGCCGCGGCCGGGTACCTAACGTGTCCGTGCGCGTGATGCGCGGATTCGCGTGATGCGCGGGGAACACCCATATCCCACTACTTTCGAAAAATGAAGCTATTAAGCCACGTATATAAGCTGTTATTATACGAATTTATAGAGGGGGAGTAATTAGATGCTTGCGATCAACTTGTACTATCTATATTTTGATGGGAGGTTGACGTTGCGGCCACGTGATGTGAGCTTTGATGGAGGAGCTGGAGGCTCTTCTTGAACTTGAGCACCAGCGCGAGCAGCCTCAACGCGTTTTTGACGCTTGTTGTTCGATGAGGTAGCTGCTGAAGCTCTCCTCTTTCCCTTTTGGGGTAGTTGTATAGCTTTAGCAGCGTCTCTCTCCTCCTTCTGGCGCGCGCGTTCAGCTGCTTTCTCAGCTCGCTCAAGCTCCCTCATCTCCTTGAGTCTCTGCCTCTCCACACGCCTCTCCTCGAGCTCATCTTGACGCTGCAGTCGAGCCTCCTCGCGCTGCTTCTTGGACCGTGCTTTTTGGAGTTTCTCCTCCGTCTCATCTCGCTCCCGTACTGCTTCTCTAGCTCGAGCCTCACGCAGCTTGCGAGGAGACCAGAAGACAGAGCCACCGTGATACTCCTGGCGCTGTTGAAGGTCAAGAGCTTTGCCCTTCTTCCTGTGCTTCTTTTTATGTTGAAGAGCCTCCTTTAAGCCCTCGTTCTCATGCTTTAAAAGCTCATACTGCACAGAGAGATGGTGAACGCTTGAGCGCAGCTTTCTTGCCTCATACTGATGGCTATCATTAACAGCAGCTCGTACTAGCCGATCGAGCTTTCTCCAGTCATGATCAGAGAGCCCTGACGATGAGCTTCTCTCAGCTTCTGGCGTGCTAGCAAATCTACGAAGGATAACGTTGGCATCCATCGGCCAGATCCCAGTGGCTTCGAAGGCCTTCAATATGAGGCTCTCTGTGAAGGAGGATATCCAGGCGCTCCAGAAGAGCGGGAAGAAGTCCCCTTTCTTGATTGGAATAAGGCCTTGAGCCTTATGGAGATGGTTAGTGAGCTCGTTAGAGTAGGCTTGAGAGAGTGGCTTGAACAGCACTACATCTAGCGGCTGGAGCGTATGGGTCGAATGGGGAGGAAGGATCATGAGGAGGATCCTATGGCGATCGCAGTACTTAATAAACTCCATCGTGAGGTGAGATCCATGGCCATCAAGGATGAGCAATCTCCATCTACCTGATCGTTGCTTTGTAGAGCGATCAAACACCTGCTCCAGCCAAGCTAGGCCTACGTTATCATTTGACCAGCCTGTTGGAGATGATGAGACAAAAACCTCATGTTCTCCTGCCTTGATATCTTCTACCCAACTCGATCGTATAGCTCCATTTTTAGCTGCGTAGATAAGGGCTGGAGGCAGCGAGCTCCCATCAGCGCAGCAGCAGGCCAGGACTGTCAGAAACTCGCGTGATCCATCCTGGAGAGATGCTCGAACCTCCTTCTTCTCCCATTGACGCCTGCTGAATATCCTCTTACTTCTGCCTATCAAGCCAATTAAGAAGCCCTTCTCATCCATATTGTATATATCTCGAGCCTCTAGGTGATATTCGGTGATCTTTCGATGCAGCAGCTCGAAGTAGAGTCTATACTTTGACTCAGAATCAGCCAGGTGGCGCGTACGATCCATGGCGCTGGTCCACTTTGAGATGAGATGGATCTCGTGTCGGTTGATGAAGCGAGTAACCCAGCTCTCGCTGAGCTGCTGATGGGCTACTTCTGATGAGAAATTCCTGATCATCTCTCGTGTAGGAGGAATGCCTCGCTTTGTGAGCTTTTCGATATATCTCACAAGCTCTAGCTCTTGTTGTGGGTTGAGTTTCTGCTGGTTGAAGTTCTTGTCTCTTTCTGAGCTTGTCTGGCCCTGGTGCCTTCGGGTCAACGTAGATCTCACAACACCATGCTTAGCAGCAATTTTAGTATACGAGAACTGTTCTCCTGGCTCTAGATTTTCAATATCTTCAATCGCAGCTTGAATTGGGTCCATATTGGTGGAGTTAACGTGTGTTGAAGGTGAAGGGGTTTGACGTGTTTTGGTGTTCCCCGCGCATCACGCGAATCCGCGCATCACGCGCACGGACACGTTAATCCCTGCAACAATTTTCTTGACATTAGTTTTGCGACGACCCGCCTGCACCTCTTCAGATTCACGACTTACCACAATGGCGCCCGTCACAACAGTTCCACATAAGTCTGGTGGCCATCAGCGATACACGGTCAAAACGAACGGCGCGGAAAAGCATCAGGCGGATCTCGAGGCCGGAAACAGCGATGCAGAGGCAGGCGCACTGCAGCAGGTCGAGGAAGCACAGGATGATTTCGAAGGTTTCGGTACAGATGATGAGGAGCACGTGAATGGCGAGGCTCAGCAAGAGAGCGATTCAGACAGCATGGACATTCAGCTGGAACAGAAGCCAAAAGAAAAGCCTGTTTTGCCCAAAGACGCCGAAGAAGAAGAGCTTGAGCGCATGATTTTTGGCGACTCGGACGGGTTTAGAGAAGGCTTAGAGAAGTTCTCGCTCGATCCTACGTCCGGCGCATATGGCGATGTATCAGAAGACTCCGGAGCTGAAGAACTCGATAATGTGGCGGATCAAGACATATTCTTCTTCGATTCAGGTCCAGTTGCTGCGCCCGCAGGCTCTGTGGCTGCCGTCAAGGCGACTGAATCAGATGATGAAGACAGCAAACCCGCTTGGGAAGACAGCGATGACGAGAGGCTCGTGGTCAGCTTGGCTTCGGTGCCTCAATTGAAAAAACTACGCGAAACGACAGATGACGACATGGTTAACGGCAAGGAATACGCGCGAAGACTGCGAAAGCAGTACGAGAGGCTATACCCGACGCCGGACTGGGCGGTACATGCGACAGGCATGACAAACAAGAAGCGACGACGAACAATGAATGAGGATGAAAGCGATGATGAGTCCGCGAGCGATATGGATGTAGATGAGGACTTGTCTACTCAACCGCTTGCCAGACTTCTCAAGGATGCGGATATCCTGTCCCGTACCTCCAGAGGCACAGCGAAGCGGAGGAAGCTCCAGGCAGGCTCCATCAACATCCAGCGACTCAAGGACGTCGCGAAAGCTGGGCCAGTAAGTAATACGAGACATCAATCATTGCTTAGCTAACAAACTTTAGTCGGCTATTACCTCTCTATCCTTTCATCCAACCTACCCGCTACTCCTCTCCTCCGGCCCCAGCTCCACGCTGTATCTTCATCATGTCAACCCTAACCCGCCGAACCCAAACCCTCTTCTTACTTCACTGCATATCAAGCGCACTCCTCTCATCACAACCGCTTTCCATCCCTCTGCATCTGACTCGCGCATTTTCCTCGGCGCTCGACGCCGCTACTTCCATGTCTGGAATATCACAACGGGCAGAGTAGAGAAGGTTGCGCGTGTATATGGTCATCAACACGAACAACGGACAATGGAGTATTTCTCACTATCACCAAACGGTAGTTACATGGCCCTTCGTGGGTCTTCTAGAAAAGGTGGCGGAGTGATCAACATATTGGATGCCAAAACGCTGCAGTGGACGTCACAGGTCCGGATCGAGTCGAGAGGCGGTGTGGCAGACTTTGCGTGGTGGGGTGACGGGAAAGGTATGAGCATTGTGGGCAAGAACGGAGAAGTCACCGAGTGGAGTATCGAAGACGGTATCGTGGGAAGATGGACTGATGATGGCGCCGTTGGCACTACCGTCATCGCGCTTGGTGGCAGGAGTGGGCGTGAGAACTGGATAGGTGGCGATCGATGGGTGGCTATCGGGAGCTCAAGCGGTGTGGTCAACGTCTATGATCGCAGGGCATGGTGCGAAAACAATCCTTCCATCGATGGCTCCCAGGCAGACTCAAACGGCGGCATTCCGAAAGCACCAAAACCACTAAGGGACCTACAAAATCTGACGACACCGATTTCACATCTTGCTTTCACAGCAGATGGCCAGGTCCTGGCGATGGCGAGTCGGTGGAAGAATAACGCAATGAGGCTCGTTCATTTATCTTCGGCCACCGTCTTCAAGAATTGGCCAACTCAAAAAACGTCCCTTGGAAGAATTACAGCGGTGGCGTGGGGGAGACCAAGCGAAGAGGAAGAAAGAGAGGGCAGTCTAGCGCAATTAGCTGTCGCCAACGAAGCCGGTCATATCAGGATGTGGGAGATACGGGCATAGAACTGGAACTGACGGGAAGCGACTAAACAATATTATCTACACCAGGCTCAGGCTTTGATATACAGAGCTGCCCTCTACCCTTTTCTGTTCAACTTGTGAAGTTTTTCAATATTCGGTCTCTTACTGTGCTTCCAAAAGCTTGCCATTCTCAAGTGCAAGCCACGGGTCCGTACTTGCTGCGGCCATGACTGCGACTTCCCGAGAGAGAATGCATGGACGACGAAGCATACCTTTCTTTCCCGTTTTGTGCAAACATGTCACGTTGCTCCCACCCTTCTGATCGATTGTCTATGCTCACTTTGTTTACCACTTCAGCCATGGCAAGTGCACTCTTATCACTTGGAGAAATAAAAGTCCCATCTTTGCAGCTGTTCTTCTCTCATCACAACAACAACAACAACACCACTTTTGGACACATCGCAAACTACGATCTTTGCACAACAGCCTACCACCCATATATTCGACGCTATATAATAGTATACCAACATCTTCTCTTCATCGGGATGGCCAACAGGATGCGAAACAGGGACAGGTCAAAACCCCACAACACTTCTACAAACAACGGTTCTGATGCTGACGACCCTTCTAGATCGACGTTAATCGAGGCCAAGTCTCGCAAGACGTTCGTACGGTCGGCCCCTCCAAAGACAAGCAATACGCCATCCACATCAGCTCCTTCTGCGTCTGGCATTTCGCTTGACTATTGGTTCCCTACATCTGGCAATTCGCTTGCTGCATGGCTCCCTACAACGGATTTTATCACGGTCAACTTTCCGATGCATCCATGCCTCAGGGAAGACGGAAGGCCATCTACATTACAAATACCACCCACGAGAAACAAGTGGATTTCCTTCATTTCCAGTGCTTGGGAAGGCACTGCTACTTCGTTTTCCAGGGTCCTGAGCTCGTGGCCATGCCTTCCAATTGTTCAGCTAGCACGGAACTGCTGGAACTGCTGGCTGAGCTCGTGGCCATGCCGTACAACTGTTCAGCTAGTACGGCACAGCTGGAACAACTCGCGTACTTCCATGGATCTTGTCGTCACAGTCATCTTCTTCATCGCAACTATCTTCGCAGGCTATATTGCACTCGAATTCGTGCTCAAGGCCTTGCCCGGTGTTGTCGCCCAGGCCTTTGATGGCAACTGCAGTGTCGTCTACGTTACTGTCCCTGGACCCATCATCACCGTCTCACTTGTCGCTGCTTCTCCTACGAACCCAGCTCGAGGTACTTACTACTTCTCTGTCGTCAACAGTACAACACGTTGGCTAAACAGCATCGCCCCACCCAGTCGTTTCAGTACTCTCATCACGCGAACACCAGAGATAACCCCTATTGTCTCTTCGTTATCGGCAACAGGATCATCATTTCCAGGCGAATCTTCTGTATCCTCGACGGAAATCTACACCTCACCTGACTTGTCTATACCGGGACTTTCGTCATCATTGACAGTGCCGCTAATCTCCGGCTCTACCATGGTTTCACTCAGCATGAGCAGACCTGATACTACTGTCCCCCTTCCTTCGTTGAGTCCATCATCTGTAAGTTTGCTGTAGCCTGTCACGCCACCACTGTTGGTCTCGAGCTTACGTTGACTTTTCAATTAGCCGCAGAGACCCTACCCACCGTATCCTCCGTCCACCGGCGTAATCAGCAGTGTGTTTTCTGGCTCAGTGTCTACATTGTTGACGTCCACTGTATCAACCTCGGTCTTTTTGAGCTTTGATTCAAGTGCATCCGTGGTTCCCGAACTTCCGAGTGGCCCGATCAGTTCTGCTTCGATCTCCTCACCCACGATTTCTGATATCTCTTCCGAAGTTCTACCCAGTATCACGCGCAGTTTTGCTTCAGAATCGTCTTTGGATTTGCCGACCGCAATTACAAGTATCCCACCTTACGATTCGACAAGTTCGGTCAACGAAGCGCTTCCCACAGTATCTTCTGCCTTGTCTCCCGGACTACCCACCGAAACTGATGTGTTAGGCACGTCAAGCGTCCCTTTAACGTTCACGTCAACTGTACCCGACGACTCATCTACGGCACTTACTAGTACCTCAATCACCGTGAATGATCCGTTATCCTCTCCTGTCGAGTTGACGTCCAATCCTATCCTACCCACCACCTCAATTCCGACAATCGACACTAGTTCAGACGAGATTGAAGAGCCAAGTACAACACCTCTATTGTCTTGGAGCTCTTTTTTCTCAAATCAGTCAACGACTGTTACTTCTCTCACGCCCACGCGAACCGATGAGTTTACAATCTCGTTGGAGAGGCCTTCTACAGAGCCTGGTAGTCTGAGCGTGTCGGGCATATCAACAGAGCAATCACCGGGTCTGACACCATCTGAGAGTCCTATCTCGCCAATCTCATCTTCAGATCTAGCCGGAATACCCATATCAAGTGCGATAGATACATCTACAGCAGACCTGGAAACGCCCACTCTGACATCCTTGTCTGATAGTCTGAGCATTCCGCCGCCAACATCAGACGTCTTGCCAACGACTTCCGAAGAGGCTTCTAGTTCGATGAGTGGCTTGCTGAGCAGTCCATCTACATCGCTCATGGAGCCTTCCACCTCAATATCCATATCTCCTAGCTTGACGGCTACCCTGCCTCTGCTGACGCCTTTGCCGAGTTCAGGGTCGTCCTTTGCGGGAAATCTGTCGACTAGTTTGAGTTCTCCAAGCCGGAACTCAAGTATCTACAGTTCCTCAATTACGTCGTCAAGTTCTTTGATTACGCCTTCGAGCAGCGCCACCATTCCTAGTTCCTCGGCCACATTCGCCACTCTCATACCCAGCGCGAACGTTTCTTCTTCATCAGACATGGTAGCGACTAGTTCTTTGCCCAACTTTATGATTCTATCTTCAAGCACCCTGGATTCGACATTGACATCACCCTTGTCTGTTTCACCGTCATTCCCATCAACAACCCCTTCGGGCTCAAACGGGACGTCCTTGGCTCTGGTTCGTGTCATGACAAAGGTAATCTCGTACGGAGATACTGCAATCAGCTTCGTTTTCCCGTCGCCCACCATCTTGACGACAGTATCGTATTGGACAGGTACCTACCCCACTGTGACTGGGCCATTGCCATCCGATCTTGCGACTTTATCACTGACGACACGGACTGAACGACAAACGCCACTGTCAACTTTGACGTCAGTTCAACTTGTTTCCCCAAGATCGGGATTTCCAAAGAAGGCGGCGAGTCCAATTTCCAACGGAGGCATCCATACAGAGACAGAATTAGCGAAGCGCCAAATCATTCCCACGCTCTTAAGGCCGACACAGACACAGAATACAGGAATGGCGACATCAAGAGTGGCACTTCCAAGTGCACCTGGGCCTTCATCCTGCGGTGAGTCCGGCAATTTCACACTCACTTTTGACGACACAGTTGTCGGCGATGACGATCAAGTCCTACTTGTCGCCAATGGCATGCACAACCCCTATCATCACCTCTTCTACGCCAACGGATACACATACATACCCGATATGTGGGAGCCATATGCTTCTATTTCGCAGCCCAACATCGCCATGTTCTTGCCTTTGACCGGAACTCTCCTTCCCAACACTCCATTTGCAGGCACGCTGCTGCCAGGCGAGCTCGGTGCTGGACCACGGGCTCCAGTGAACGCGTACTGGTTCAACGCGTACTCTGCATATTTCGGATGTGCTTTGAATGGTCTCACACCTTGCACGCTACGGATTTCAGGCTATCGCTATGACTCGACACTTCAGAGGGAGGTCCTTGTTGCAGAACAGAATGCAACACTTCCAGCATGTTGGGGCTACATCAACTGTCGGCTGACGCAGATCATCTTCAGCGACCAGTTCCAGGCACTCTCGGGCATCCAGTTCAAGGCGTACACATACAACCTGAATATACCGCAGGTGCACATGATGGACAATCTGCAGATGGAGTGGTACAACAACACATGCTCGGCGGGCATACTGCGCATTGGACATAGCTAGAGTGTCGAGGAATGGACATGGAAGTTTGTGATTGGCAAGAGTGGGTGATATGGGATTTAGTATAGTATTTCATAGTAACAGCACAACATGTCTAGAATGGAAATACTGGTTATCGAGAGTACCTGCAGATGACCATGATGGTAGTCCCCGGTGACTCGACTAATGAGCGGTGACGGCTAGGCCCGAGAATGACAACGAGGAGTGAGGAGTTGATTGGGCAACATAGTAGTGACGGCAGTGGTGGACCGGCTGGTGTTTCACCCGTCAAGGTGGCATGTGACCCGAGGAGGCCAAGAGGGCGGGGGAGATAGGAAGGCAGGACGCGTAGCGTGCGTGTATGGCGACTTGGGTGCTGCGAGCTTGATCCAGGGTCCGGTTTATGGCGTCACGCGGCCAAGACCATTCATCACGCGGGAACCGCTGAGGCAGCAGCAGCACTGGAATATAGGCAGCCTCTTATTCGGCGCCATTTCTTGCATTTTGATTTCCCTCTTCTCGTTTCCCAGTCCCAGCTGCACGTCTTATTCGCCTTGCAACCACTCAGTTTTCGTTGAATTCCATGTCCTTGTCCTGTAGCCCGCCATAAGCGACCCGGACTTTCTCTGCCTGGCCGACTCTAGTCTTTACCGCACTCGGCCTAGCGTCTTCACCTGCAAGCTTGCCATACTCACGGGTGATAGCAGTCTCTTTCGGCTTCTCCAGTTTCAGAGAGAATTCTCTCACTGCGGCCGAGGGAAGGCCGCTGACTAAGGTCGAGAGGCCCGCGCCTACTTGTGCAGAGCCATGGCTGCCTTTGCGCCCTCGAAATTTCCCTCAGACGTCGTAGAGAAACCCCACCAAGAGCCCCCACCACCACATCTCCAACACGGACCTTTCTCCCACCAGCTAAACCCGCCAACCGCGCCTTTTCCCACAAATTCGCCCCAACTCTCACGCCGCACCTCACGCGATCTCCGTCATCAACTCTCCAGCGGCGCAATGGCAGGCGCAAACGGCCATGGGCCCATGGCAGTGCCAGGTGGACGCGTCAACGAACATAGAGCAAACTTGCGCGACATGGGTTTCGCCGGCCCGCGCAGTCCGCCAAACAACAAGAGTAGGCCCAGGTGTGCAAATACTGCACCGCCGTATGCTGACTTGACCAGATACGTCTCATGTACCTTGCAAGTTCTACCGACAAGGCGCCTGCCAGGCTGGAAAGGCCTGTCCATTCCTCCACTCAGATGAACCGCTGACGGAGCGCGCGCCTTGCAAGTACTTCACAAAGGTGAGATGCACGCTAGCACCATGAGAAATCTCACTCATCACATGCTCAGGGAAATTGCAAATTTGGCCAGAAATGCGCTCTGGCTCATATTCTTCCCAATGGTCACGTCGTAAACCGCGGGAATGCTGGTGGCCACTTCAGCCGAATGAACGTTCCCCATCACCAAGAAATTCCCATGAATAGCTCGCTACTCACCATGCAGGCACATATGGGCGGCATGCAGCCAGGCTATCCTTACGCCATGCAGGACGAGTACGTGAACCAAAAGAACCAGTATGATATGATCCCAACCATCGACACCACCTTTTCATCCCATCCCGCTTCCAACTACGGCTCACCGCCTAATGAAAACGGCCGCCTGCCTATATCGCCGACACACAAGGGTCTCAGTGTCATGGATGTCCAGCTTCCGGCTTCTTTTGACAGCCAAGGTATCTCCACCATGGCGCGCTATGGTCCCATGGCCTCGTCTGTGCCAGCCAAGTTCCTCGCAAACTCCCCGCCATCCTCATACCAAGCCGATTCTCCCGCACTGCGGAACCTCCACGACTCCGCATTTGGTGATGGTCTGCGGAGAGGAATTGGAGCCCTGGGCTCATCCCCCCCGGAATCTGTAGAGCAACCCAATGGAAGGAGGATGCTGCACTCTGAACTTGCTGCGAACCGCTCCCGCGGTCTCATGTCATCGAGTGTAGGTGCACGACCAACATACAAGGACGAGGAATGGGACGAGACAGACATGATTGGCAAATTCGAAGAGGATCTTCTGCCGAACTCGCTCAGCGATTTACTTACACCCCAGGAAAAGATGCGCCGCTTCTCGCGCGACCAAGGCGAACATGAGAGCTCGCTTTCACACCGTGCTTCGCAATCCAGGCTTGGTGTCTCTCCGACGGCATCAGACCTCAAATATGGATCACCGTCCGGAGCTACCGCTTCGCCATCACGTTTCCAGTCCATGTGGGCTAAGCCACGAGGACCCACGTACGACTCCGGATTTGAATCTGGTTCTTTGCCCGGGCAGTCGGCTTTCGGGCATGTTGGCTCACCACTTCGTAATTCGACCCTCCACCCTGGAGCCAGTCCCTCACTGCGCGCTATGAACCGTCCCCAAACTGGTGATACAAGTTCCTACCTCGCTTCCCCTCCCCGCCAAGCGTCAATGAGCATGATCAGTCAGCAATTGCAGCGTACCCGTCTATCCAATGAGCCGCCCAGCATTACCAGCAACCCCGTTCATCCAGGCATCAACCGCGTCACCTCTGCCTCTAGTATCGGCAGTTCGAGCGGACGTCTTGGAATGGATCGTGCTGTTAGCAGCAGCAGCATTAATCGTGAGAGGATTGAAGAAGAGCAGGGCTTGTTCAGTATGGAAGAAGAAGAAGACCTCAACAAGAGCAGAGACGGCGCATCTACTACTTCAAGCACAAGCAACAAGCGCTTGAGTGGCTTGTCTTGGGGTAGTGGGGGCGGTAAGGGCAGCCCCAACCTCGCACCTGTTGGCAGCCATCGCGCCAATGGTACCTCAGGTCTCGGAAAAGAATCAGGACCTTGGAGCAACAACGCTTAAGTCTACACAACTAAGCCTATCTATTTGCGGCTCTCTGCGATACCAATGTCTCTTACCCGCGGTAAAGCCGTAAGTCGAAAACGTGGCTTTCTCACATGTTCAAAATCGGGTGGAAATCTTTAGCGTTTCTGGCGACTTGCATACGGGCCATTCACTCTTTTACGTGGACCCATAATTTTCATAATTTTTCAAGCAACATTTGATGCTCGGCATATACAAAAAAGTCTTTAGGCTTCGGCTTCGGATATTCAAGCGGGCACGACTAGGCACATCGTACGCGATGTGCTGCTCGCCCTTTTTCTTTTCCATCTATCCCTGCACCATTTTCAAAGGAGTTGTGCGTTCCTTCTTTTTTTTTAACAATCTACGGACAACGGAGTTCAACTGCACACATACATCAAGTCAGCGACATGTTTTCGCGATAGGGCCTTCTCCAGATCTACGTGGATCGAAACATTTTCCTTATCATGAGCATTTACGATGGATATGAAATGAAGATTAGTAGTTTAGTTTACTGTACATATATACTTGATACTTACAAAACATCTTGAGTGATTACAAGAGCCAAGCGTAGATGTGAGTATTAGTGGTGTTTGCTGTTTGTGGTGTGAATGATCAATGCGAACTTGAACCAATGTTTTGGGTGACATAAAATACTGGACAGTGTGGGTAAGCACCCAATAGATGAGTCTGACGACTACAGTGGCTTTTTGACACTGCTATGTCCAGTATTTTATAACACCTGGGTGTAGGGTCCGTACAGAAGATTATAGATGTAGCGTATCTTTCCTTTATCAAGTGTCGCGCTTCTAGATTCTATCAAGACAACGAGATCTACTACTACTATCTACACCTCACACTTTCGGACCCAAGGAACCTCTAAAACTGGCCTTGTAATCTTACAACTTCGCCTTTGCCGAAACACCCATTGGCACATCCGTCTTACTCCTCTCCTTCAACAACCTTCTCAAAATCTTGCCACTCGCACTCTTGGGCACCTCATCCACAAACACAACGCCGCCTCTCAGCCTCTTGTGATTCGCCACTTTCTTATTCATCCATTCGACTATCGCCCGCGCTTCTTTCTCGCCCGCTCCTGCACGCTTGGATGCGACAATATACGCCCTAGGAATCTCTGTATGCTGCTGTTCATCATTGACGCCAATGACGGCTACATCGTCGATCAAGTCGCTCTCCATGAGTTTGCCCTCGAGCTCTGCAGGCGGAACCTGGAAGCCCTTGTATTTGATGAGTTCCTTGACGCGATCGGTGATGTAAAAGTTGTGTTTTTCGTCTTGGAAGCCAATGTCGCCGGTTTTGAAGTAGCCGTCGGGGGTAATTGCGTCTTTTGTCGCCGCTTCGTTCTTCCAGTAGCCCTTGAAGATGTTGGGGCCGGACATCCAGAGCTCGCCGACTTGGCCGGGACCTAGCTCTGTGCCGTCTGCGGCAATGTATTTGGCGTGCATGTTGGGGAGGAGCTTGCCGACGCTGCCGACGGAGGAGTACCATTCGTCCCAGGGCTGGAGGGTGAGGTGGGTTAGTGAATTGTAGAGAAGGGGTAGATGTGGTGGTTGCGTACCTGGCCATGTGTCATGGGGCTTGTTTCGCTGAGACCGTATGCTTGGGTAATCTTGATGTTCAGTCTCTTGTGCACGGATTCGACGAGCTCTTTTGTGAGAGGAGCGGCACCGCTTGTCATCATCTTTATGGACGAGAGATCGTACTTTTCCACCATTGCGTCGCGGGACAAGCGCACGATGATGGGGGGCGCGACGTATACAAAGGTGATCTTCTGGTTCTGAATTGTTTCCAAAAACGTCTTCATGTCGAAGCCTGGCATAACAACGAGCTCAATACCCCGGTGTATCGTTTGTAGCACTAGCGCCATGAGCCCGTAGATGTGAAAGAACGGAAGCACGCCTATGAATTTGTCTTCTGACGAGTACCATTTCCCGATCGCTCCTTTTGCAAGAAGGAGGTCAGATACCATGTTGCGGTGGCTGAGCATGACACCTTTTGGCAGTCCGGTAGTTCCAGAGCTGTATGCTAGGAATGCGAGGTCTTGAGGGTCGGCCTTTCTTCTGCGATAGTTTGGCGTTCCAAACGATTTCACAATGGCAGTCCAGTGCTTGTACCTGTTTGCACTGTGCTTCTCAGGACCTAGCAGGATCAGACGTTCATCCGGAATACCGACTTCCTTCGCTGCCTGGACCGCGGTGTCGAGAAACGCCATAGTGGTAACAAGTGCTTTGGCCCCTGAGTTCTTAAGTTGGTAAACCAATTCATCCTTGGAGTATCCGGGGTTGGCAGGTGTAACAATGCCACCTGCGTAGAAAGTTCCGAAGATGACTGGTGGGACGTCGATGTCGTTTGGTGTATACAATGCCAGTATATCATTTTTCTGCCAATCCCAGAGATCCCGTAACCCAATGCCAAACTGTGTTGCGGCCTTCTTTACGTCCGAGAAGGTGTAATTGCGGTCTGATTTGACCGCACGGTATATGACTTTGTCATCGGAAAATTCGCGATCCTTGCGATCGAACGTCAGACCCCAGAGGTCCACATCGGGAATCTCCACGTCAGGATAAGGCGACTTGGTAGGCATCTTGTACTTGTATGCTATATGTGACGGGCAGGCAAATGAAAAGGTGCAAAAAAGTTCGGAGATGGTTCAATATGATTGGGCAGCTATATAGTACTGCACGTGGTAGCGAAAGGAGATGGTCGATAGTTGGAAGGAGGCGTACGTAGTGTAGCGGGAGCTAGTCAGCTTATTGCGGGGTACCTCGGCGTATGGTAGTAGGCCCGATGCACGGAGAAGCCTCGGCGAAAGACTGCTTGCTCGGATTTGACTTTTGATTTTATTGTAGACGGAATATAGGCGTTCCGTGAAAGAGAAAAGAGTAACTGTCGAAGTATGATATCATCGTAGATGCTTAGTTGGGATAAACTGTGGTCGTTGTCCCAAAGAGGCAGGTAGCCAAGCTTTGGATTAGTCGCCTCTGATGCGTCACATACCTCGGCTTCCAGCAGCAACTACATGTAGGCGTGCTCGCAAGCTCATGATGGAAACTGACTGAAAAGTAATTAGTAAAAATTGTTTCTACTCAATTACTAGAATTTCTCCTCTCATATCGTGTTTTCAAACACGCAAGGCGCGAGTGAATATTTCACGTGATCAGGCCATCGGAATCCTTTAGTGCTTACGAAGTCCTGATGAATGACAGTCTCTTTTCTTGTTCGCTTGAATATCATGCCTGTGATATCGAACAAAGCTGAAGGGGTGATAAGAAGTCTGCTGATGATGCTTACCCCCACGTGCATTCAGCCAGTGTGTGTCAACCGATCGGGAGATGCGAAAGGTGGACACGCGTTGGAGAAACGTGTCTACGACCGCGAAAAGCGAAGAGCACGGGTTGATCTTGATCGGCTCACGCTACACAGTCGAGCCAGAGCAATGTTCCGGGTGAACCGGTCATACAAGACGGGTGTCGTGGCCTGCGTAGTGGTTATACGGCTTCGGCTGGGCACAGTTTCGGATCGATGATGGCGATCTGACGATGGAGCAGTACAGTACCCAAGACTGGGGCCCCACACGCCATTTGCACGTCGATGTCGAGGCTGCGTGATCGGGCCGTGGGTCAATTCACCTATCCGTTCCGAAGCGGCTCTGGGTACGGAGAAATTTGCATTCATATGCAAGCGGATATCAAAGTGCATGATACAGTAAAGCACCTCACAGGGCAGCGCAATTGCTTGGGGGGTGGCGCGGCTAAGGGAACCGTTCCCGCACGGGCGCACGGCCTACCGGAAGGGTGGGAACATGGAAGGCGCGAACTGCGACTGCGTGCGAGAAGACCCACCATCTATTATCATCCTGCTCACCCCATCCGGGTGCTCACTTGGAAAGAGAGGTTTTTTGCCGGTTGCCGCTACTCTCCCTGACCGCACTTGGCTACGAAATTACCGCGGAGTGTGCCAGGCTATCACCGCTTCTAGAGCCGTTATTGTATCTCACGACAGCACCAAGTCGACCCAGGGGCTTACCGTACGCACTCCCAATCGGTCTTGCAACCTCGACCTCCGTTGACCACCCGGACAGCTGGGTCGTCCCTCCAGCTCGCCGTGTCCGCTTCTGCATCGCCATTGGCTGCCGAGTGCTGTGCCGTGGGGAGGCTTGGACTTTCGAGGACCCATACGGCGTCATCGTCTAGGTGTGTGCGGAAGAAGGGTAATTTCTCTGCAGCGTGATAATCTGCACCACAACTGGGTCCTACAGGCCGTCTCAGCTGGCAGGGAAGCCGGCCTTAAGCAAGTGTCACCGGTAGCTACTTCTAATCCACAGGATGGGTAAGTGCCCCCCGACTCCCCCTCCCCCAAGTCGCCATCCGTCTTCCGCGCGCCATCACGGTCCTGCTTTTTTTCACCTCACATCTTGCACCCGACTCTCCTTGCTCGCTGACACTTGCCCACCAGACTCTACAGGGGATACATATCGTCCAAGTGACCGAGTAAGTACTGCCGTCCCTTCTTCTTCTGTCATACGCATCGGAGCCGCCGTCAAGTGAGTAGTGGGCTGTGGGGAGCGAGTAGTGAGGCTGGATCCTGGCGCCTAGATCGGTATACGGGCATAGGGCGGGATCATCGATTTCCGTCTTTGATGCTGCCTACGCTTGAAAACCTTGGGCAATAATTCCCTTCACACTCGAACCTTCACAGGGTCGTGGGTGCGACCAGGTCACGTGAGGGCGGCAACTGCCGTGCGGCGGCGTGTTGTTCCCAGCTCCGAGCTGCTACTTACTCGTCCACTCGCGCATCCTCTCTCAAACCTCATCAACGCGCGAGCCCCAACAGCTCGCATCTCCATACGACTACCTCAATCAGCCTCATCGTCTCGGCCGATTGCCTCTGTTACATTTGCAATCATGTCGTACGAAACTGACAACTATGACCAGCGCGACCGCTCACCTCGTCGTCGATCTCGCTCACCGCGACGCTCCAGACGCTCTTACTCGCCCCGCAGCCGCTCGCGCAGCCGTGAGGATTACCGTCGCACAGAACGTCGCTCGCGCTCTCCAAACAGTGGCGCCCAAGCTGCGGCAGGTGGTTATCAGTCTTACGGTGCCGGTCGAGGAGGCTCATCGCGACCTGTCGAGAACAAGGGCGAGATGATGCAAAGTATTAGGGATTCTTCGCAACAAGACCGTCGCGTCTATGTGGGAAACTTATCATACGATGTCAAGTGGCACCACCTGAAGGATTTCATGCGTCAAGGTACGGCATCCATTGCGCCGCGTCAAGAGTTGGGCTAACGTGGAAAACAGCTGGTGAAGTCCTCTTTGCAGATGTCTTGCTGCTTCCCAACGGAATGTCAAAGGTAACAAAAGATGGCTTGTCTTGTTCGTGAGAAGGATGGAGGTTGACTGGCCCGTGCTTGGGTGTAGGGCTGTGGTATCGTGGAATATGCAACCCGGGAGCAGGCGCAGAACGCCGTTGCATCGCTCAGCAACCAGAACCTAATGGGCCGCCTCGTATACGTTCGCGAAGACCGAGAGGCCGAGCCTCGATTCAGCGCCCCCGGCGGCGGCGGTCGCGGAGACTTTGGCGGTGGAATGGGCCCACGCGGCGGCTATGGAGGTGGTTTTGGCGGTCACCCAGCTGCTGGTGGCGCCGGTGCTGGACGACAGGTCTATGTTGCCAACGTTTGTACCCCGTTTTCTAACCTTTTCTAGTATTTGGTCACGTTTACTAACATGTTTATATAGCTTCCCTATAACGTAGGCTGGCAAGACTTGAAAGACCTCTTTCGTCAGGCTGCCAACAACGGTCAAGTGCTTCGCGCTGACGTCCACACCGCGCCTGACGGCCGTCCTAAGGGCTCCGGCATCGTTGCATTCGAGACACCCGAGGACGCACGCAATGCCATTACCCAGTTCAACGGCTATGACTGGCAGGGCCGAAACCTAGAGGTTCGTGAGGACCGTTTCGCCGGTGCTCAGGGTGGTTTCGGCGGCCGTGGCGGATTTGCTGGCGGTCGTGGAGGCTTTGGTGGAGGCTTTGGACGTGGTGGTTTTGGTGCCCGTGGTGGCTTCGGTGGCGGCTTCGGCGGTCGTGGAGGCTATGGCGGTGGTGCTGGATACGGTGGTGGTGCTCCTGGCGGCCCTGCCTTCGACCCCAATGCTGCTCCTGCTGCACCGAACCCGTTCACAGACTATGCTACCGCAGGTGGAGAGCCTAGTAACACCATCTACGTCCGTAACCTTCCCTGGTCGACTAGCAACGAGGATCTCGTCGAGCTCTTCACTACTATCGGCAAGGTCGAGCGCGCTGAGATTCAGTATGAGCCCAACGGCCGCTCTCGTGGAACTGGTGTTGTCGAATTTGAGAAGGCTGCAGACGCAGAAACCTCTATTGGTAAGATTTCTGCCACCCCAAATACTATGCATATGCTAACAAACTCCCAGCCAAGTTCACCGGTTATCAGTACGGTGGCAGACCCCTGGGCCTGGCCTATGTCAAGTACACTAATCTGGGTAACGGCGACGCCATGGAGGGTACTGAGCACACAGGTGGCTTGACTCAGGATCAAATCATGTAATCCGGTCTCGGGTATACGGAGTTTCCTTGACGTGGCAAATATTTGCTAGTTCGTTCATGCGAACTATATGTGTGTTCCGCTTATGAGCGCCGTCATGTTACGAGGTTCTTTGATCTCATGTTTCGAGTCTCTCCTCGGAGAAGAGGGTTGAGAATAATTTGCTCAAGCTTTCTGATCAACGGGGATACTGCGGAACAAAATTTCATTGTCTAGGGAAAATGGCTAGCTGTCAAGAGGTAGCTTCAGATCGCATGGAGATCTCATGGGTTCACAACCGGTCCTTCTGATATCGTGATTATGTTCGTGCATTTTGAATATTGAAGGACGTGAGAAGCTTTATGGCTGCTGCAGTAGCTTCATCGTCCATTCATATACGGCCCATTGTACGGCATTGACAACGAAAGCTCGTACACTACATATCCCAAGACCTCTAAAGAATACGCCCATACCCTCTGTCCGGTATGCTAAACTTGCGATTTCGACTGAACTCAATCGCTTCCATTGCGTCTCTGTTGGCAATAGCAGGCCCTGTTCACTCTGTGCTGCCGGTGCGTGTAGAATTTGAGTCTGCACCCTCGTCTTGATGACATCCAACGGAAAGATAGAGGCCCAGGTAATCACCCCGGCCAGACCACCACACAACAGCACTTTCATAGCCGTTTCTCTATCCGAGTCATTTGGCGAACTCCAGGCCTGTTTGGACAGCTCATAGGACCAGAAACTATCCCTCGTCAGCGGTCCGATTCTTCATTCTCCAACTCCCATCTTCGCAGACTCACTAGAATCCATAGCCCACCGCATCCCTCACACTAGTTATACCACCACCATAGTATAACCCCCTGATTCCCTCCGATCTCCACACATCTCTCGCTATAGTCCAAGACGTTGTTGCCGCATGGGTAGAGACCTGCGCCCGACACTTTACAAGCTCAGTAGGCGCGCTGACGACAAAGGACGCAAGACCGCCCGTTGCGCCAGCGAGAAAGACCTTTGAAAAGTTGGTCGGCGACGAGGGGTTCTCGTGGAGTAGGGAGAGTGTGCGGTTATATGTTACGAAGAGGAGGGCATTGAGCGCGCCGTAGGTGAGTATCGGTGCTGTTGCGCCTATACTGAACCGGTTTGCTCGTTAGCTTCTTGTAGTTTCCCTTTTTTTCCCTCTTCATCGCTTTGGTCGATTCTTACCTCGCACTAGGGATCCGGCATTTTCAAAGTTCCCTTTGAAGGATGTTGGGGAAGGGAGGGGGGATGTAGCTTCGAGGGTTTGGGCGGCCTTGCCGGCTTGGAGTCGCGTTTTTATGAGGTCAAGTGGGTTGCCAATTATTATTCCAGCGGCGCCGGATACATAGCCTGCCCAGAAATCGGCGGACATGATGATTTGGAGAGGCTAGGTGGGATGGGGGTCGAGGGGCTACATTGTTGGTTTGGGATTGTAAGGGTAGTCGAGGGATGGACAGCCGAGGTTTGAATTAACGTGTCCGTGCACCTCGTGCACGGATTCATCTCGTGCACGCCGAACACTATCTTAGCGATCTCAAAAATGAGGCTGTACAACGCCACATAATAGCTCAATATTAATAAAAACGTAGTATAGCAGTAATCAGATGCTTGCGATCAACTTGTACTATCTATATTTTTGTGGGAGTTGACGTTGCGGCCACGTGATGTGACTTTGGCTGGAGTAGCAGATAGCTCATCTCCAGCTTGAACACCAGCGTGAGCAGCGCCAGCGCGTTTTTGACGCTTGTTACTTGGTGAGAGTACTTGTGAGGCTTTACGCTTGCGTTGTTGAGCTTGTTGGATATATTTTTTCTGGTGTTGAGCTTCAACTTTGCGCGCGCGTTCAGCTGCTTTCTCAGCTCGCTCAACCTCCCTCATCTCTTTGAGCCTCTGCCTCTCTACACGCTTCTCCTCGAGCTCAACTTGACGCTGCAGTTGAGCCTCCTTACGCTGCTTCTTGGCCCATGCTTTTTGGAGTTTCTCCTCCGTCTCATCTCGCTCCCGTACTGCTTTTCTAGCTCGAGCCTCACGCAACTTGCGAGGAGACCAGAAGACAGAGCCACCGTGATACTCCTGGCGCTGTTGAAGGTCAAGAGCTTTGCCCTTCTTCCTGTGCTTCTTTTTGTGTTGAAGAGCCTCCTTTAAGCCCTCATTCTCATGCTTTAAAAGCTCATTCTGAACAGAGAGATGGTGGACGCTTGAACGCAGCTTTCTTGCCTCATACTGATGGCTATCAGTGACAGCAGCTCGAACTAATCGATCTATCTTTCTCCAATCATGATCAGAGAGCCCTGACGATGAGCTTCTCTCAGCTTCTGGCGTGCTGGCAAATCTACGAAGGATAACGTTGGCATCTATCGGCCAGATCCCAGTAGCTTCGAAGGCCTTCAATATAAGGTTCTCTGTGAAGGAGGATATCCATGCGCTCCAGAAGAGTGGGAAGAAGTCTCCTTTCTTGATTGGGACGAGGCCTTGAGCCTTATGGAGATGATTGGTGAGCTCGTTGAAGTAGGCTTGAGAGAGTGGCTTAAATAGCACTACATCGAGCGGCTGGAGCGTGTGAGTCGAATGGGGAGGAAGGATCATGAGGAGAATGCTATGGCGATCGCAGTACTTGATAAACTCCATCGTGACATGAGATCCATGGCCATCAAGGATGAGTAATCTCCATCTCCCTGATCGCTGCTTTGTACAGCGATCAAACACCTGCTCAAGCCAAGCTAGACCAATGTTATTGTTTGACCAGCCTGTTGGAGATGATGAGACAAAGATATCATGTTCTCCTGCCTTGATATCCTCTACCCAACTTGATCGTATAGCTCCTTTCGCAGATGCGTAGATGAGGCTTGGGGGCAGCGAGCTCCCATCGGCGCAGCAGCAGGCCAGGACTGTCAGAAACTCGCGTGATCCATCCTGGAGAGATGCTCGAACCTCCTTCTTCTCCCATTGACGCCTGCTGAATATTCTCTTGCTTCTGCCTATCAAGCCAATCAAGAAGCCCTTCTCATCCATATTGTATATATCTCGAGCCTCAAGGTGGTATTCGGTGATCTTTCGATGCAGCAGCTCGAAGTAGAGTCTATACTTTGACTCAGAATCAGCCAGGTGGCGCGTACGATCCATGGCGCTGGTCCACTTTGAGATGACCGTACGAGGATGAACACCAGTCAGCTCTGAGATCTGTGACGTAGACTTGCGTACAGGAGGTGACTTTAACGTCACAATTAAGACACGGGTGTAAGAATCAGTATTAGGAGACATAGTAACGATACTGTCGGATCGTGAGTATCGGTAGAGACGTCGGCTGCTTGACACTTCGGCCCGACTTCGGCCCACCTTGCGCAGAGCTTAGGTATACCTTCGTAGCAGCTATGTTCGTAGACAATCAATCAGAACCACCGAACAGAATGCATTCCTAGTTATCGTTATTTCCCTTTACGCACTTAGTGCAAAGCCAACCAACAGATACAGAGTAATCGTATAGCTATTCAGCTTGTTGGAGGTCAGATTTATGCCAAGAAGAGTTGAGCCGAAGCACCGAGATTAGCGTGGGACAAAACTTTTAAAAGGCACCTCCGTACGGAGGTGCCTTTCAAAAGTTATTGCTAGCGCGGTAGATCTATCGGCCCGATATTTCTTGGCACAGTCGGAGTTTTTGAAGCTGAAGATAGCAGTATCTTCGCTTTCTTTGGTGTTTCTCAAAGGTTAGTTATACTAGTAATGGCTCCTCGTTCTCACACAGACTCATTCACACGTGCTATAATTGTTACTTTAAAGTCCCGCTTTGTGGGCAAATCAACGAGCCAGATCAGCGAGATCCTGGGTATTTCCCCACGCACTATCGACGCTATCTTCAGCCGAGCCTGCCTTCGAGGCTTTGAGCCAAATGGACCAACCCTAAAGGTTCTTCCTGAACACCTTGAAGATGCTCCTCGCTCAGGCCGCCCACGTAAACAAGAGGCTATCCATGAACCTACTGTTGACAAAGTACGCCGTGACCGTTATGGACGAGAGAAGAGCTGTGCTGACATAGCTGGTGATCTTAGTCTCTACGGTTACGACGTCTCTCCTACCACGGTGTGGAGAGTCCTCAAGGCAGCAGGATACAAGAAGACGAAGCCGACGAGGAAGCCTGGGTTGACGAAGAAGATGAGACAAGATAGACTTACCTGGTGTCTCGCTCGTCAGCACTGGACTCTTGAGGACTGGAAGAACGTTATCTGGTCAGATGAGACCTCTGTCGTACTGAACCACCGCCGTGGTGGGTATCGGGTGTGGAGAAAGGCAGATGAGGCTCTTACAAGATCTGTGATACGAGAGAGGTGGAAGGGATACTCTGAGTTTATGTTCTGGGGCTGCTTCACGTATAATTACAAAGGTCCCTTTCATGTATGGAGGCCAGAGACAGCCCAAGAGAAGAGAGAAGCAGCTCTTAAGATTGAAGAGATGAATAAGATCCTAGAGCCTATTATGAGAGAGGAGTGGGAGCTTACTATAGGCATGAAGATCACAGACAATATAGAGGCTCGTGCACAGTGGCACTGCCCAGAGAATGGTCTGTGATCTGCAATCGATAAGAATCAAGCCAGCTTGACTTGCTTGTTGACATCTCTGGAGAATGGGAAGCTCACTCGTGGTAATGATAAAGGTGGCATTGATTGGTGGCGGTATCAGACTGAGGTTCTTCTCCCGAAGCTTATCCCCTTTGCTAAGGAGTGTATGAGAGAGAGGCCAGGTACTCTTGTTCAAGAAGATAAGGCTCCCTCTCATGCTCACCAGGCCCAGAATATTATCTATCAACGAGAGAGTGTGGAGAAGCTCTTCTGGTGTGGTAACTCACCTGATCTCAACGCTATTGAGCCAGCCTGGCCATGGTTAAAGAGAAGAACTACCAAGAAAGGAGCTCCAAAGAGTAGAGGAGAGGCCACAAAAGCATGGGAGCAGGCCTGGAGTGATCTCCCACAGTCACAGATTCAGGCATGGATAGAGAGAATTCCTATCCATGTTCAAAAGATTATTGAACTTGAAGGTGGGAATGAGTACAAGGAAGGCAGAGGCCTGCCAAGAGTTCGTGGAGACTGATCTGTCTGTATTTCGGTAGTTTCTCGGTCAAATAGGAGACCCCCCTGTCAGCAATAACTTTTGAAAGGCACCTCTGTAGATGATGTGGTTTCCGACGGGTAAGCTGAGTTGTTACGATAGCCGATAGGTAGGTCCGGAAAGAACACCGCGATATCGGTCTAGTCGTAGAACATCCAAGTTTCCAAAGATTCCACCATTGCAACTACAGAGTATCCATGATCAACATACACCTTGAAACCTCACTGTCAATTCAATTTCCACCCCTTCTCACACAATGCACGACCCAATAGCCGACGCAAAAGCCCAAGAAGCAACTCAACAATACACGTTCCGCATCGCAACACCAGCCGACATACCTTCCCTCCAACAAATGATCGGAGACTCGTTGCGCGCACTAGGAAAAGGGTACTACACACAAGCCGAGCTCGACGGCTCAATAGGCTATCTCTTCGGCCCCGACTCCGTGTTAATCCATGACCAGTAAGTTAAGGCGTCTACCACCCCCCACCAAAGCAACACCTGAACTGAAAACTTCCGCAAAAGAACATACTTCATCCTCCACCCAGTCGCACAGCCTGAGACAATATGTGCATGCGGTGGATGGTCATTTAGAAAAACGCTGTACGGCGGCGACTCTGCGCCCTCGCCCCTGCGTATGCCAGAGAAGCGCAACCCGGCCTGTGACCGTGCCAGCATCCGCGCCATCTTCACTTCTCCCTCGTTCGCGCGCCGCGGGCTGGGGACCATGATGATGCGGTACTGCGAGGCGCGCGCCAAAGAGGGTAAAAAGGGCGAGACGGCAGGGTTTACGAGACTGGAGATGGGTGCTACGCTGAGTGGGGTGGCGCTTTACGAAAAGTGTGGATATGCCAGGAGCGGCAGAGAGGATGTAGTTAGCTGTCCTAACGGGGAGAGTATTAGGATTCTGCACATGACGAAAGATCTGGTCGAAGATAAGGGTCCGTAGTGGGAAATTGGTCGCCTAACGCATGCCAGTTCGAATGACGATATGCTGTACCTGAGGTTGCAGCTCTGCACAAATAACCTATAACGTGGTTCACAAGCGAGTGACCACTACAAGCGAGTGGCCACCCCAACACCAGCGCAGCGCACGCGCAGCAATATTATCTTATGTCTCAACAACGCAACGTACAACAAGCTTATACTGAAGGAGATATAATCCTAGCGATCTCTGATATTACATCGAACCAGGTTCCAAGTGTAAAACGTGCTGCAGCAATCTACAACGTCCCCCGAACGACCGTACGCCGGCGACGCGCCGGACAACGCTCTCGACGCGACTGCGAGCCGAACTCAAAGCGCCTTACAAAACTAGAGGAGGAGGCAATTGTGCAGCGTGTACTTGAAGAGAGTTCACGTGGAATACCGCCCTCAAAGGCGCATGTACAAGATATGGCGGATAGACTGCTAAGGGAGCGTGGTGGGAAGCCTACAGGCAAGAACTGGGTTGATAACTTCATCAAGCGTACACCAGAGCTGCAAACGCGATGGAGCCGTCCGTATGATTGCCAGCGAGCTGCCTGCGAAGACCCAGCGATTATCCGGCCATGGTTCAGCCTGGTTCAATCGGTAAAGGCGAAGTACGGTATTTGGATGAAGACACCTGGAACTTTGATGAGTCTGGCTTCATGATGGGCAAGATATCCTCTCAGCTTGTTGTTACAGGCTCAGAGAAACCTGGGAAACAGAAGAAACTACAACCTGGCGATCGCGAGTGGGTTACCCTGGTACAAGGCGTCGCTGCGACGGGGCGTGTTATCCCACCTTTCCTCATCTTCGTGGGCAAGGTCCTTATCTCTACCTGGTACACTGATCTACCTCGCAACTGGGTTATTGACGTTTCTCCTACTGGCTGGATCAACAACGACCTCGCGCTGGCGTGGCTTAAGCACTTCGACGCCCATACGAAGGCGTTCTCTGCTGGGGCATACAGGCTGCTCATCATTGACGGCCATGAGAGCCACTGCTCGATAGAATTCCAGGACTACTGCAAGGAGAACAAGATTATCGCCCTCTGCATGCCACCTCATTCGTCGCACCTCCTGCAGCCTCTTGACGTAGTCCCCTACTCGCTGTTAAAGCGCCACTATGGCGACGGGATCTCGCTCTTAGCACGCAGCCGCATCCACCATATCAACAAAGAAACCTTCCTACCAGCCTTTAAAACGGCTTTTGAGAAGACACTTACACCAGAGAATGTCTGCGCAGGGTTTCGAGGTGCTGGGCTAGTCCCTTTTAACCCAGACGCTGTGTTATCAAAGCTTGATGTACAGCTGCGTATGCCAACGCCACCTGCACCAGGTACTGTCGCCTGGGAGGCGCAAACACCGCGCAACGCCCGCGAGATAGAGGCGCAATCTACGCTGATTCGAAATCGCATACAAAACTATCGGGGCTCACCAGCAAGTTCATTAGATGAGCAGGTTAAGCAGCTAAGCAAAGGCGCTCAGCAGATAGCTCATAATATGGTGTTGGTGCAGGAGGAAATGGGCCGCCTGCGAGACGCTGTTGACACGCTTACAAAGCGTAAGACCCGTAAAAGGCGGTATGTACGTGTAGAGGAGACTCTGAAAGTTGGTGAGGTATCTGACCTAATTGCTGCAAAGGAGGGTGGTAGTCGTGAGGATGGCGAGACGCCTGCGAAGAGGGTGCGCGCAGAGAGGCGCTGCGGCCGTTGCAGCGAGATTGGGCATAATTCCCGCACCTGCAAGGTAGAGATAGAGGATGAAGATAGTAGTGATGCTTCTGAATAATAATATCCTATTGCGTATAGTACAGTAATTTGTTGTGGTGTTGCGCTATGTCGCCGCGCGTGCGCTGCGCTGGTGTTGGGGTGGCCACTCGCTTGTGAACCACGTTACACGGTATGTTTGGCTTCCTGCTTGTCTTGCCAGCGCTCCTATTCCGCCTCGCATAGTCCCATAAGGCTATCTCACGAGGCGCTTCGGTATCTGGCCCCAAATCATAGCGCAGTTACTAATACCTCTCAGTTGCTCCAGAAAATTAGCATCTTTCGGCTTCCTACGACCATTCTACACACGACAGGCAACTTTGCCACCTCACGAGTTTCATATTTCCAATGCCTTTGCAGTCTCTCGACACCGGCTGGGACTTTAGCTCCGTTATCGATCTGATCGACTCGGGCGCCCATGACACCAGCTCCCCGGCACTTCGGCCTGCGGCACCAGCCGAGACTTCCGCATCGCAAGACGGAGGAGTACGGCTAGGAAGCTTCTCCAAGCTGTTCGAGAGCCTTGGCTTTACGGATGACGCTCCAGCTCCACTACCACCACTCGACCCCGACTCCGAACTGAGTAACTCGGACGATGTCTTACTGCCGTCTCCAGTCCTCCAGCCTCCGCGTACCCCTGCCAAGCATGAACCGGAGGTGGAAGAACAGGCAACCAACAACACGGGTTTGACAAAGACTCAGCGCAAGAAGGCCCGCAGACGCGCCGAGAAAGAAATAGAAGCAGAATTAGCTCGCCAACGGGTTATACAAGAGACTTTGGATCAGCTTGCGGAGGATCGGGAGCAGATAGACCGCCAAGCGCAACGCGCTTCAATGCGGAAGCAGCTGAGCGAGCTTGTCAACACCCCAAAGACAGACATCGATGCGCCAGAAACACCATGCAAGACATCCCGAGCACATTCACGATCCAACGTAGGCGCAAAACTCAAGCCCACGACTCCTAGTCTGGCGCTAGAATCAGACTCGACCGATGCTTATCGTGATCAGCCGCAGCATCCCAAGACGACCGACGCTCGTATAAGCATACTGAAGCGACCTTGTGCACTGCAAGTTGAGGCTCTGCAACCCAAGACACCTACAGCTCGCCCGAGCATACTGAAGCGACCTTCCGCACCACAGCCCGAGACTCCTCAGCAACCCCAGAAAGTGCCCGTTGTCGTCCCATCTACTGCTCCAGCACCAAACCACCCCCAGTACACGACATTTGGCACTCTAGCACCGCCTCAATACGTACTGGCCGAACTGCAACAGCCGGTTCAGTATACTACACCAATACACCATGGACTTGTGCCGCGAACTGTTCGACCTGTTACTTTACCCAGGACCGTTTCTCAGCCTGCACTGGCTGTACAGCTACCTACTACACTAACTCCGAATGTTGTTTCATTTAGCGGAAGGCGACCACCAGTCACGATTAGATCTCAAGTAGACCGTCATTTCAATTTGCTTCACAAGCTGTTGAACACGTTCCCTGAGGATCGAAAGTGGTTGCTGGCGCCGATGCAGCTCCTCAACGAGCGATCGTCTAGTCATGGGCTGCATGTATTCGTTGACGCCTCTAATATCATAATTGGCCTCAAAGATATGCTTCGGTACCATGGGCTGCAGCACAACTCTTATGACATGTCTTTTGACAGCCTTGCGTTGTTGATGGAGCGGCGTCGACCTGTTGCAAAGCGGTTCTTTGCTGGCTCACACCGCGAAGCTAACCCCCTTCCACATGTAGCGAAGCTTGTTGAGACATCGAAAGCAGTCGGTTACGACAGTGTTATGCAAGAGCAAGTGCTGATTGTCCGCGAAGATTCAGAGAAGAAGAAATTCTTCAACGACGTCAAGAAGATGGGCTGGCACAGAGCTACTCAATTACGCAGCGGCAGCGGCAGCGACTCTGAAACGGGAGCGCCGACTCCGAAGACACCATCAGCCCCGAAATGGGTTGAGCAAGGTGTTGACGAGATTCTTCACTTGAAGATGTGCCAAAGCATTATTGATTGCGAAGTGCCCAGCACCATGGTATTGGCAACGGGCGATGGAGCGGTGGCGGAAATGTCGGATGGCTTCCTTGCACATGTTGAGCGTGCGTTGAAGCGGGGCTGGAAAGTCGAACTGATCAGCTGGGGACAGCAGATCAATAGCGGATACAGGAAGAGGCAGTTCAGAGCCAAATGGGCGGAACAGTTCACGATTATCGGACTGGATCAATTCCTGGAAGATCTCATTGACACGCCATAGGATGATGGATATGCATGGCTGAATGTATCGAATGAAGATATGCGGTGTGGACGTTAGTGCTTAGTGTGATGTGAAGCATGCATGAAGAAGTTTTGTTCGCTTCCACAAGTTATGTTTGTTTGGACTTGATAACGGCATTTAGCCGGGCATGGGTGGTGAGCAGTACGGTAGTCAGAGAATTGTTTGCAGGCCAAGTTTTAGAAAGTCGGCATCAGAAGACGAAGAATATCATGCGTTGTTGGACGGAGTTTCCCACCGACTCCGAGGTGCCCGAGATGGGTTTTAGGGAGTGTCAGGGACATATCATGATCGGCAAATCTAACCTCGCGTGACAGTGGTAGCGATACTAACAGTGACAACCGCAAACAAAACAAAGTAGCCGACTCCCGCGTGTGCAAGCTTCGCGCTCGGGCCCGGATGAGGGTTGAGAGTAAATTTGCGGAGCGGGGGCAGTAAGACGGAGACGGAGGAAGAGAGTTGTCTAGACTGGGCATGTGGGACGAGGCATGGCGAAGCTTAGTCTAGGTGGAACGGTTCCTGAGTGTGTGAAACATGGGCTTGCAGTCGTGTATTATTCAAGTGTGACAGGCAACGGCCGACGACCAGGTCCTTTCAGCACGTTGTTGGGGGGACAAAGCAAGGTTGTTGCTGGGGGGCCAGCTTTCTCGCATGGAAAGGGCATGGTGAGCGGGATTTGCACATGGCATCTCTCGCCCTACACCTCATGCGGCGAGCAGAGTCAGGATAGGAGTAAAGAAATTGCGATGTTCACGTCTTCGCGACTCTTGGGGGCAGAAGCGGGTTCCCGGCTAGTAGAAGCTGCAAAGGAAATTTTTCTATTGAATTTCTGGTCACACCGAGATTTCCGTGTTAGCGCTTAGGCAAACGCTTGAAATGCCATGTTACAGGCGACTAAGCTGCATGTGAAGAGGGCAGCTGTGGTGTTCAAGCGCAGGGCAGGGCGTGGAGGCTAGGTTCGTCCGATGGTCCGTTTTTTCAAGGCCGAAAGCCGCGAGCTGCATGGACGGGGGTGGAACGGTGGTGTGTAATGGAGCAGTAAAAAGGAAATTACCCATTGGCAGTGTGGAAAGAAAGAAAAAACCCAGACGGCGTCCGTGTGGGAACCGGAGTAGAAGTCGTGCGAGAGCGAGGGGGCGCGACCCACGGCGACCGGCGAGCGGATGCTTGGAGATGCCGAGGGCGCCTATTCAGACTACAAGGGACATGAATGTGAGCGGAAGCGGATGCGGAGGATATGATAACGACACAGTCAGCGGTGGGAGGGCTCTGTTTGGGTGCGGTGTAATGGGGCGTGATTGGTAATTGGGGGTAAGAGAGTTTAGCCAAGCCAAGGCAGACGAGCAAAAAGGTGCAGGTGGTGTCGCATGTTCCGTGTACCTTGAGGCTGGGGCTAGTTCGGTGAGACTTGGTTTGTCGGCAGGACACACAGCAATGAGGCTCAGGCATCTGATGCCCGTATCGCGTACTCATCATCGGCAGGGGTGCAATACCGACGTGTCGCTGGGAGTCGCCTGACGGCGCGATGCGGCCAGCGGTATGTTGATGTCATGGCGGGCTAAAAAGCAGCTAACGCACTGCTGCTGCATCACTCTTGCACTTGGTTCGTTCATGACCGGTTTTGCAGATATGGGTCGCGTAAAAGAGAGGGTTTAGGCCTTTACGGTAGGGCCCCGGCATACCGATGGTCAAGGGTGTCGTCTTTGTGATACATGGAAGCAGAATGTCGTGCTACATATTAGAGCAGTGTTTGCTCAGCATGAGTGCAAAGTAGGTATAGTCAGTGCCAGTGCCATATCTAGTTATAGCATCGCATCCATGGATATTGGATATTTGATATTTTGGCGAGGCGGAAACATTTGATGCGTCCGGGTGGTACTGCAAACGAGATTGAGCGTAACCCGCCCCGTCATAGCCGCTCACGTCGCGGGCCTAACTAACTTGACCCCCCGGCCACGGCGCTGTGCAAGCCTCAGCCATCCGGAGCTTCCATCATGTACGGCGCTCTTTCATAATCTCTTGTCCACCGTCCTCTTCCGCTCGTCTTTTTCTCTTTTGTCCGCCTCGCCCACCGTCTGCTGGTTTCTCTGATAGACAAGACCACGTCCGCTTCCAGCTGCTTCTTGGTCGTGTGTCTATCGCCCTTGCCCCCCCCCAACGCCCCTACGCCACAGACGATCCCCCCGACACGCCGCCAAAGCCTCGCCCTATCCTATTCACCATGACGAACAAGAGTTACCTCGCCTTTCTCGACAACGGCGCCGCTTCCGATATGCTCTCACGCTCAAATGTCCCGGGCCTGTCGGCCTTGCCCAGTCTTATTCCCCACCGCGTCCGCCGCAAGTGGAGGGCCACCAAGTCGCGTATACGCAGTCGCCAGACGCCAACATCATCCATTGCCTCGCTCGAGACGTCCTTTTCCCCCTCGGACACGCTGCGCTCGCTGCGCACCCATTCGTGGTCAATATACGATGCTCAGTACCTGTTTCTGGCTATTGTCGCCATCTTCTCCCTCTCCGTGAGCGAGGCGCCGGGCCCGTTTGCAAAGACGTTTATCGCGACGCTGCTTATGACTGGCCTCTGCCTGCCCATCACCCGCCAATTCTTGCTCCCATTGCTTCCCACACTTACCTGGCTATTTCTCTTCTCTAGCTGCAAGTACGTATAGTTCGGCTGTCTGCACGATTGTTTCATCTGAAAATGTTCAGACGGGCTGCGACACGGTACCACGAGCTAGTGCTAATTCCACCCTAGATACATTTCCGCAGACTACCGCCCTGCTATCTGGGTTCGCGTGCTTCCCGCCCTCGAGAACATCCTCTACGGTGCCAACCTGAGCAACATCTTGTCCGCCCATAAGCACACCGTTCTTGACATTCTTGCCTGGTTGCCTTACGGTGTCGTACATTATGTCTCGCCTGTTATCGTCAGCGCATGCATGTTCATTTGGGGTCCTCCTGGCACCCTTCCCATCTGGGCTCGTGCTTTCGGCTACATGAACATCACAGCTGTGCTGATTCAGATCGTCTTCCCATGCTCCCCGCCATGGTACGAGAACTCGTACGGATTGGCCCCCGCCAACTACAGCATTCCCGGAGATGCTGCAGGTCTCAAGGCCATTGACAAGCTCACTGGCATCGACATCTACACCTCGACCTTCCTCGCCTCGCCCATGGTCTTTGGCGCTTTCCCCTCCCTGCACTCAGGATGGGCCACTCTCGAGACGTTGTTTATGGGACACGTTTTCCCCAAGCTGTTCCCCGTCTACGTTGGCTACACCATGTGGCTGTGGTGGTCGACCATGTACTTTTCCCACCACTACGCCGTTGACCTGGTCGCTGGCAGTCTGCGTATGTCTCCATCTCCTCTTTCCACAAGTCTCAGCTAACATCCATCAGTTGCCGGTATCTGCTACTTCTTCGGCCGAGCCAAGTTTCTCCCCCGCCCGCAATCTGACAAAGAGTTCCGTTGGGACTACGACTACGTCGAGGTCGGCGACCCCATGGACGGTGCTGGCTACAACATGCTCGACATCTACGAGGAATTCCAGCCTCACTCGGATTCGGACGACTGGGCCAGTGGCTCATCGTCATCCTACTCCACTGGTGGACGAAGCCCGGTCGGCGCTCGATCGCCCACCGACGACAGCCAAAGCCTCTGGGAAGGCGACACCGTTGGGTCCGATACGGAACACACGGTCCGCAAGGATTAAGACCTACACTATCTATATCTCCGCCTCATCCATACTCATTCCTAAACTCGCACTTCACCTCTCACCCCCAGGTGACGGCCTTTACGACCCCTGCATTGGAACGGAGTTTTTGTTTGCGAAGCATTTCAGCGATCCATCAATCGGCCATGGATTTCACGGCATAGAGCCCTGGCATCGGCACAGAGTGCATCAGACGATACATGCATCGTCACCACCTTCAGGACCCACCAACCATTATATCCTCGTGGACCTCCTTCGTAGCGCTTTACCGGCGTGGTTTATTGTAACCCCCTCTCTCTTATTTTGATACCCAAGTCGATCGCTCTTACTTTGGCCCATTCTGGCAACTTGCAAAAGTACCATTTGTGTTGTATACATTCGCTTCCCGCGCTCAGCCGCCTTTTTTTTTCTTCCTCTCAAACCTGTCGCACTTGTAATAGGCGGCTGAATGCTTTCTGCATAGAGGAGACGTTTTGTTTTGGGAGTCTCATGACCTCTTGTGATATGGGTTGGGATGAAATGTGTATCACTTGCATGACTCGGGCTGATTGGGAAATGTTTATGGTGGATCAGTGGCCCCAAACTTGCTCTTCTTTTTTTTTCTCCTTGGAGGCCTGCCACCACTGGAAAGGGATATATTATTACTAGTGTAATGCTTAATGGAATGGAAATGCTTGAATGAAGTAATCTATCGAAATAGCTCTTGAACATGTTACCCGCTGTGGCTTGTGACTGCGTCCTATGCTAGCCTTTACCACTAATGCATGTCATACTGCTGCGGCTGATGTTGTTGGTGCTGACATGGCACTCAGGCGTGCTCATGCAAGTGCTTGCTTATTAGCCCGGCTTACTCAGACCGAGACTGGCCGCTTTAATCGGAATCATCCCATGGTTATCATCATCCTATTTGGCTAGTCTCAAGAGCTGAAATACGAGCCTCAATCCAGCTTAGTTCCATCATGTGCTTGTTCATCCAAACCCTTGGTCTAGCTTTCAATTGGTATACATGCTTGCTATCATACCCACACGTCCTTCTTTCAGCGCCAGCATAAACTCACCTAGAGTATACTTTTGCCTATCAGACACTACTCAAATCATCATGCCACCGCCCATGCCAATCACCAATCAAAACAAGTCCAGTAGATCCTGGTTGCTCTTCTTGCTTTGATCTCCGCCTAATTGCTGCGTCGCTGGTGGAGGTTGGTTGGTGTCCATGCTCATGCTTGCAAACCCGTTCATGATATCGTCGTTGCCCATCTGTGCGCTTGGAGCAGGGGCCGCTCCTCCTCCGTCACCGAACAGACCCATCAAATCATCCATGTTTGATTGTGCCGGCGCAGGCGCATTGACAGCCGGGGATCCAACACGTTGTGGGGTACCTGCAAGGCCCTCCAAACCGGAAGCTCCAAAGCCAGGTTGCTTTTGCATCGAAGCAGGAGCCGAGCCATCGAAGTCAATGTCCAAGAGATTCTCCATGTTTGTTGGCGCTTGTCCGCCAGCTGCTGCTGCGGCTGCAGCGATCGGGTTTTCTCGTGCCTCTTCTTGTTGCTCCTCGATCGCAGCCCGTTGCATTGCCTCTGCGCCGAATCGGCCTTGTCCGAGGAAGGCCTCTGGTGGCTTGTGGTAGACTGATGCCAGTGTTGATAGTTCTGTGAGCAGACTCTCCAACAATTGAGGGGGTAGTGAGCGTATTGTGGATGTGATTGGTGGTTTGTCGGAAAGTACAATGTCCTTGGTAATCTGTGGGTCGCTGGAAAGCAGTCGCCAGTAGACATAAGCTCGGTCTCGGATATCCGGGTTGTCATTGTCTGCAGTAGCAGCTTGCAAGACTTTGGTCACTAAGCCTTGGGCTTGATCTGGTTTCTTTAGGAAAAGCTTGACAACAGCTGTGAGGATTTGGAGTTGTGTCTATCATTAGTTAGCGCATGTTGATCAGTCTCTTGGAGTTGCATGCTTACCTGAGTGAATTCTTCGGCAAAGGTGTCCACGAAATTTGACAATATCTCGCCGGCGTTGTTGATCTTCTCTGCGTATTCTCCAACAATCCATATAAGGGATGCTCTCGCATTGGGCTCATCCAGCTCATCTATGCACTGGCACAGTGTCGGTATTATGCCTTCGTAACCGGGGTATTTTCGGAAGATGTCTTTGATGACCACGATCGCTTCCTGGACGACGTAGTTGACCTTGGTGTTGATGAGGTCAAGCAGTGTGTTGACACACTTCTCGCTCGCGCTTTCGATCTTGATCGCAACTTGTCCAATGGCTTTGACGGCACGTCGCACAAAGTCCATGTCTACCTCCATAGCGTACTCCTTCAGTTCTGCTAGTAGCTGATCTACGTTTTTGTCGTTGGCTATCCGTACCATGATCTCCAGTTTCGTCATCTTGAGATATGGTGGATCGTTGTATTTGCAGAAGAAGACGCGCATTTCTTTGCTAAGGATATCGGGTTGCTTTTGGAGGAGTAGGTCGATATTCCGTAGCGCGACATACTGTACTTCTGGTGCAGACGAAACGAGTGTAACTGTACTGGATCAGCAATAATTTGCATATTGGAAAGCAAAACACCTACCTAGCGGCGGTGCCATCTTCTTCGTGTACGACTTCATCATCTCGGGAGAGATGTTTCGCATGTGTAGAAAGACGACCTTGACGGCTGCAAGAACCACACTGGGGTTGACGTGCTGGAACTGTGGAACGACTCGTTCGCAAATGTGCTCTGCCTCTTTGATATCTACTGCCTTGTAGTCGGCCAGAGTGGTGAGCAAAGTCACCCTACCCCATTCTGTACACTCGTTCAGCGCCAAAAGCATCTTCTTGAGCTGTTGCGACGTAATGACGAGGGCCTTTGTTTCCGGGGCTGCTTCTTGAATCTCGACCAGGGCTGTGACCGAGTTTGCGACTACCATGGGATTTGGGTCGCCAACTAGTTCCTGCAACTGTTCGAGGAAGCCGTTCTCCAAGCACATGGCGGGCGCGAGATCGAAGAGTTTAGCTACGCACAAGGCCGCTGTTTTCCTGACATATGGCGACTCGTCTCTCAACGTTTTCCGCAGAGGCTCCTCCATATAGTCGGTCATCTTATCCACACGAATGCAGCCCATTGTCCGAATCGCCAATGCTCGTATAAGGGGATTTGGGTCTTCCGAGTCTTGTACAAAAGTATTTACGGCGAGGATACAGAGGTCGGGATGCGATTTTGCATAGTTCCTGGTGCATGCAATCAGTCTCTAGTCTCGAAACAGTGCGCAATATACGTACATGAGGTATAGATATACGAGCTTTTTCTGATCCAAGTCGGCGGTTGCAATGTTCTTGAGTACATCAGGAAACAGTGCCGACACATCTTTGCCCAGCGTCATGGACATGATGGTCTTCTGAATGGCTTCTTTCCTACCGCAGTCTTAGCATCTCCGAAAGTGCATCATCGCATGGTTGTGTGCGCTCACCGTTCGTAAGCATATTGAGACCTGGGAAGACGGTTAGTCGTGTACTGCTATACTGCTTCTCGGGGCCAATCATACACCAGACCTGCCCTCAATTCAAATGTCTCTCCTTTGCGCGGTGGCGCAAATGCGCCTCTTATCCTGTTGACGGCCATGGTTGTGGGAACCCCGTAGGCCGACTACTCAGCCAAACCCCTCTTACTCCGGCTTGCGAGGTGTGAGGTACGTCCTCGGTCGGTTCGGTACGATGGTATTGCAGTGTCTCGGCGATATTTAGGCAAAAATTGGGGAATTGCTGTCTTTGTAAAAAGTCAAGCGACGGCGTTCAGAGTAATACGCTGGACACGTCGATGTTCGGAGCTTCGCGACTGCCACCTTGATGATGGCGGTCCGTGCGCCGTATACATCTAGCCCAATGCTTCGCCGGTTCCACCCCTCGCCCTGGCGTTGCACATAGCTCAACATGGTGAGTTCGAGAAATGGTCATTTTGGCTTGATATGCTTACACAAAATAATAGCCGTCCAATCTACCGAATCTTCGCCGGCTGTTTGTGGAAGCGCGCAGTGAGGCAGAAGAGAGTGCCTACTCAAGGAAGGCTGTATGTTCTTACACCTAGGCGCAACCCAAGGAGAACTCCGAGTTGACAAAGCCACAGTTCTACAACCTTGCCATCTTCATATCATCCATTGCTGCCTTTAGTCTGATAGCGCAACGTATGACTTCTGCAAAGGCCATCGGTTCATGAAATAAGCCATCATGACACGAAACATCAGTTGCCAATGTGTAGTGGAACGAATGCTACCAAGCTTCTTACTTCTTGCTTCTCTTCCCAAGAGAAACCATCTCAAAAACTTTAGCACATCGCGAATCTAGACATCCGGCCCGTTGCATCCGAATATGTCACGCACTTCTATCCCACCTCGACCCCCTCTTCAGTCTTACAACACCCTTCGCTTGGAAGAATTGCGTCAACTGCTTCCTCCAATTCACCTCCCACGTCCAAATTTTCCGTTCCTCATCCCATTCGAATCTTCCCACCCCAAACCAGGAGGAGCCTTTCATGTGGTTCCGGCCAATCTTGATCCACTGCGGCGCTTCCTCTAGCCGTTCCTTTGGCAGCACACCGGTACGATAAAGCTCGTCGACACTTTTCATATCCTCTCCCTTCCTGACTGACTCTGGCGACTTCAAAACTGCATACTGTGGATTGGTAGCCAGTTTATCGAACGAGAAGACTATTTAACCCCGGGGTATGGCCTCGCCAGGCCATCTAAGCTCACCCGTTATCGGGTCGCGACGTGGAAGTGCTAGCGAGTTTGATAGTTCAGGAAGATGCATCGATACAAATATCCGCTCTACGTAGTCTTTGAACGCTCGCGAAGTTTGGCGCACACTCACCCAGAGATCATGCGTATCCGCTTGTTCCAGAATTTGCAACCACAGTTCGGTGGGAAGTGTCGGCGCTGTTGACTGCGTGGTGGTGAAGTCGTGCTTGTCATTCCGTGCGTCCATGGTGAATATGGAATTATCACCGTCGTGCTGTTGCGAGCCTTTTCATTCTCTTGTGAACTCATAGACTGTATCATGGACGACTTCAGCTTCCGATGATAGATGAGTCATCATGGGCGGCCTCGTTCATAGCGTGGTCAGATGCACAGATGCATGGACCAGCTTGACGCTATCATGATAAAGATCGAATCGTACGCCACGCCTAAGCCTTTGACTTGCACTTGCACTTGTATCAAGAACTTGCGTTGCCAAATGGTGCTACTAGCGGCTTCTGACGTGTCCTGGATGCGCTTGGTTTTCCAAGATTCTTGAGTTAAAGCGCACGGCTGGTCATCGCACTACTTACCGCACATATACCCCTTGTCATCATGCCTATGCAATTACACACACTGGTGACGACGGGCCAAGGCCGGAAAGGCAGGATTTCCGTATCTTGCGTCTTACCGACAACGGCACCCGATACCAGGCTGTTACATATGGGTGCCTGATCGTCACATGGGTTCCTGAGACATCTGTGTTTCGGTGCCTTCAATGCATCAATGCGTGACGGCGCCCAAGGCTGAGCGAGGAACAACAATCACGGCAACAGCTCTGAGCGAAAAAGGTATTTGGAAATTCATTGCGTGGCACAAAATGATGCGGTTCATAAACATAATAATTTTACAATGTGTGAATTGTACCTGAGCACTTTGAGAAGAAAAAAAGAAATAGCGCCCTCAGAAACCAGTCCAGTGAAGCGCTCCGCTTCAACCCTCCGTAGAGTGACCCTCCATTCCCTTCTAGGGACAGAAGAACGTTCTATGCTACCCACAAGGCCATGTTGTCATCAAAGAGGAAAGTACCATTACAGCATGCATCACCTCGAAACCTCAAGCCAACCCATATATCCTCCATGCGTCATTGAAAAGTTTAAGCAACAAACTCACGCTCGGCGAAGCTGCGGCGTCCAAAGCGTCCACGGCGTCCACCGAAGCCGGGCGAGCGTCCCTTCTGCCTCTGACCTTGGGGCCTTCCGCCGGGTGCGCCCTTCTGGCCGCCGTTGTTCTGACCGTTGTTCTGTCCGTTGTTCTGTCCGTTGTTTTGACCGTTGTTCTGACCATTGTTTTGACCGTTGTTCTGACCATTGTTCTGACCGTTGTTGGCGTTACCAACAGTGAATCGGATACAGTCATCCTGGGGACCACGCTGAGCAACGGGCATGATTACGTTTTGATGGTTGGAAGCAGAAGTGATAGTGCAGGCACGGTAGACACCTGCAGGGAGACCGGCAGCGAGATCGGCAGAGAGAACGCCATTCTGACCAGCATCGTTGATACCCTTGAAGAAAGCAAAAGTCTGGGCATCAAGGGGGTTTTGCGGGTTTTCATTGCCACCCATGTCCTGAACGGTGATATGGGTGTGACCGACGACATTGCCGCCCGACAGAGCCTGGGGAGCGGCGTAGTAAGTGTTGTCGGGGTTGGTGAAGGACCCAGCCACCAAGTTGTTGATCTTGACAGAGAAGGTAATGGCTGAGTTTTCACCGACGGTGTCACCGTTCTTGGGGTTGGTGAAAATGGTAGACACCATGTTGCCGACAGCAGGAATATCTCCCATGACTGTGAATTGATTAGCAAATGATCTCGATAGCAATATTGAGGCTAAAATTACCAATGGAGTTACAAGAACCCGCCCTGACTTGAAGACCGTTGGTCAGTGTCTTGCCCGTGCAGAAGTTGATGAAGTTGGCAGGGTCCCTGATCAAGTAGTTAGTGATAGTACTAGACGTAAAGACATGTTGGTAACTTACGTAGCGGAAGCAGCCTGGCCTGCTTCTGCGTTGTCTCCGAGACCGTCAGAGTTGCTGTTCGCCTGGACATTGTTGGGGTTGAGGCACAGAGCGTTGTTCTGTCCGTTGTTCTGGCCGTTGTTTTGACCATTGTTCTGACCGTTGTTTTGTCCATTGTTCTGTCCGTTGTTCTGACCGTTGTTCTGGCCGTTGTTCTGGCCGTTGTTCTGGCCGTTGTTCTGGCCGTTGTTCTGGCCGTTGTTCTGGCCGTTGTTTTGACCATTGTTCTGTCCGTTGACCTGGGCATTGGCGATACCGGCTGCAAGCAGCATAGGGAGGATAGTTGAGAAGCGCATGTTGAAGTCTTAGAATAGATAGTTATGGGGTTGTAAAAAAGAGTGACTTCCGGCTGGCGGTGGATTACAAAAAAAAGGTCAGATACGTTCAACGTAATCTGAATGAAGAATTAGAGGAAAGAGAAAGGAATGTAACCCAAAACTGGAGACCCGGTGTGTGATGGAACAAGCGACTGATGATAGTGAGAAAAAAACTATCTGGAGGAAATACATTGCCTTAAGTCCTTGGCGATTGGAGAGGCAAAATCTCTACTTGGCAACGCGGCCGGTGGTTCCTTGGGCATGAAACCGGCGATGAAGGCAGAGACGTCTCAAGCCTGCCAGTACCGGCATGGCTGGTAGTACGCACGGAGCGCGCGCATCAATTGGCGCTCAACTATTGACTGAGGCTCTCATGGAATACTCTTGGGAATGCCAGTATGTGAAGCATTGAGAAGGAGATCCAAGAAACAGTTGGTGTGTGAGGTCTGGGGTTGTAAAGCAAAGAGTGCCGCGAAAACCGTTCGTGCTAGCCGCAACCGGACACGCCATAGTCCAATGCAGTTAGCGGCCGCCTCGTGGCTGTCACTTTCGGGGATCGTCCTAAATTTTGAGGATTGGTTACTCAAACCCTCATGATGCCTTACTATGCGCCATGCAGCGACCGAATGCACGGCAGGAATGTGCGATTTGACCCGATCTACCCGGTCACCAACACACCCTACCAGCGGGGAAATTGGGAAACTATAGGTGGCCCACTCTGTGACCCACGCCCCCCCCTCAAGAGCCTCACTGAATCGACTTTGGAAAGCCCTCTCTGGGCACCCAAATCGGCTAGTTCATGCTGTCATTGTCTCGACCTGACGGGTGTCACAGATGACAAGCACGGAAGGGCCGTTAACCACCAAACTTGCGTGCTGCCTTACACTGGTGCGTCGCTCTATGTGGCCCGAGATACGCTTGTCACGCAGACAATCGCATGACGGCACTCTTCACTCCGGATCCCCACCGATCTACGGTATGGGATACCTGGGACTGAGGTCTTGGAAATGCTTGTGTCTGCCCACGTGCCATCTTGGACACTCCTTCACGACACCTTGCGGGTTCCGTAGTGGATGCCTGCGAATCTGCCGCCACTACACAGTTGACCCCATCTAGGGCGCCCGCGAAACGGCCGTGTATCCGTATGGTATCTCTTGCCTCGTCGGCCGAGTGCATATGCCCCTTTCACTACACGTTGTAAGAACGTGCCCTCGGTAATAGCAGCCTGAGACACCTCACGTCAAACCCCGCTACTCGTTCGGCACGCCGGCATCCCAGATGATTACATGATTACTGAATCAGAATTTCCCCATACGGCTCGGTACAACGACTTGCCTGAGGCAAGGTGCGTCGTCAGGCGCAGTGATCTACATCTGTAACCAACATCCGCGGAAACTTCTCGAGTTCCACTTCCCAGACAGTAATCAGAGAGGCTGGCCGGCAGGAGTAAGTATAGTACAATATGATTTCGAATTGTGACTGTGATATGAAATGTAGACACGCGTTCGCTCGGATCGACCCACATCCATCAGTTTCAAATTTAGATGGTCAGTCGCCCTTCCATCACCTCCACGGCACCGCCTTTGAGATAAAGCTTAGAGATGTTCCGATCCTGTGTTAAGTCGATCTCGATTAAGATTTCGCTCCGTCGTCCCATTTCCACACCTTGTGTTATCTCGTATCTCAACGTCTCACTGCTCCCACCTTCTGTTAACGAGAGATAAGCTGCCAGGTCGCTAGCGGCGCTTCCGGTCGCTGGATCTTCCAAAGCCCCCTCGATCATTCTTGTCCTCAGTCTTATTGTTCCGTCCTCGCCCTTCCCCGTTCGCACGAAAAAGTACGTTCCGGTCAACACGTCGCACCAATCCGGATTCAAGCCGTCGACTACCAGAGCTTGTCCAGCCAGCGATACCATGCTCAGCGCCTCTTCATTTTCTAGTTCGACTAGAACAAAGGTCATGCCTTTGACAATCGAGACAACTGGAAAGTCGTTGTGAGCCTGGGTCTTGCCTTGTTGGTAAGCTTCTGCCAGTTGAGGCTGCCACGCCAAAATCTCATTCTTGCTGCATCTCTTCTTGTGAACATGGCTATAGTCGTCAGCTTGATTAGGTTGTTGAATTCAACGTTGCTAATACAGACAGCAGATCGTAGTCATCAGTCTGACGCAATCTTCCACCAGTAAACCACAATTACACGAACGGAATTCGAATAGATCAACATACACGTCATGGGGTATCGCTGCCTTTACCGTCATCTTCGCCACGTCTTTGCGTTGGCGTAACAAGTCAGCACAGGTCCCGTCTTCGATCATAGTTGGCAGTCACGAACCGTATTCCAGATCTACCTTCCCAGCTTTTAAGTTGAACTGTGCATTCATCGTGCCACTTTCAATACCGCGCTCCCGAGCAGTTCTTCCGAGAACATAACATGCTGTGCCTACTGTCGGATGACCCGCGAAGGGAAGTTCTTTGGTCGTCATGAAGATATCGACTGTCCATTCATCGTCTTCGGTGGCTGTAGTTTTCTCGTGTAAGAATGTTGTCTCTGAGAGGTTGAATTCTCTTGCGACTGTCTGCTTTTGATCCTGGCTGAGAATGTGGCCATTCGGGATTCGCACAATAGCCAGTGGATTTCCTTCATACGGCTTGGCCGTGAACACGTCCAGGGTCACAAACTCCAGCTTGGAAGATGATGTCATGGCTAAGGGATTGTAGTAGAATCGCTCTTGGGTGACTTACCGGGCAAGCATAGCTTGTCCGACATTATTTGGTTTGTAGACGCATGACCCTGATGACTCATCAAAGATGGCATAGTTATCCGACGCTGGAGGTTGTTGCTACCCCGCCATGACAGATAGTACATGAAATTTAGACTCGTGTTCTCGCTTCAAGGCCTTGCACCTTGCAGCTAGATTGACACTCGCGTTACTGTATCAGCTCGCCTTTCAGTAGGGCTGAAGGTAAGGGTTGGTAGGAGTTTCGAGCCATGCGCTGGGTTTGCATGTTTAATAACATGGAAGTCGGGCAACCCCAGAAACCACGGGTGATAGGAGCAAGGCCGCAAACGAAACTTTGTCTCAACTATCCCACACCGGCCTTGTCGTGTTTCGCAACAAATTTCATGCCCAGATTTCTCATCAGATTCTGTTCAGCTCGTGGTCGGCATTCGCGAGACGCCAAGAGCTATTAGCTCGACAAGACGTGTCGTTGGACATCGGCTTGACCGAGTACATACACGCGGCTTGGCTTCAAGGTCAGCAATGACGCTATCCCTCGTATAATGGCTGTATTGTCATGTAGTCTTCAGGAGACGTGTGTAGACCAAGGATTATCGTAGCAACAAGGCTGACCCACGGCTGCTAATGCCCGAACAGGACAGACTCGCCAGAAAATCAGGTCCAGCGGCTGTAAGCTGGCAGTTCTCCCACTGCGGAGAAGGCCAGATCAAATGGAAAGCTTGGCACACAATGGCTACGTAATCACGACAAATGTCTGCAACCTAAAGTTAGTACGATTGTGAGGGGCATTTGTCCAGCCCTTGCGAAAGCGAAAGCGACTAAGACAGCTCGATGCTATCGCGCGGTGTCATGAGTTTGGCGAGCGACCAAGGCAATATGTACCTCTGTTCGCATGAGGGCAGGGTCAGCTCGGGTGGCGCAACGTTTCCTACAATGCGCATGATTCCCGTTGCAAGGATCATGTTGCCCCCCAAGGAGTAGGCTTTTGGGCTGCGACGAGTCAGAACAGTCCAGCCGGGACGTTTGGGTGTGGAGACGACGAGCATGTTAGCCGGTCTGGCTGCCAGGTCCAAGCAGATCGCCACGGAGATTATTCTAACGGGCTCTATTGAATCATATGCGCACACAGCGTTTCTTAGGTGGGCTTCTGCGTGTGTGATATTGAATGGTCTTACATGCACTGGTGCCCGTCGCCGGCAGGCGGCCTTGCTATTGACAAAGGCTTTCTCCGAGGCGCAGGTACAACGCAGGTACAGGTCGGCCATGCGACGGCGACGAGCTTAGGCGAGATGGGATGGAGAGGCTCCGGCCAGTACTTGCTGGACCCAAAGACTCGTTTATCTGATGATTCGCAACAGGATCGCACACTTGGATCGATGAAATGAGACAATCTCGGGTGCGTGATTTTCAGGCCAAGAGAAGGATGTGCTAAGCAAACTACAAGACCGATCGTCTGCGTAGTCTCTGTCAAGTGGTTTCCGTCATGCGCTCCATGATGCAGCAACAAGTGTACTTATTTGCCGTGCAGCGTGGAAGAGTTTGGGCCGAGCCTTAGCAAAGTCAATGAATCCTATCGGACTCGGTCCGACGATGCGCCCATCGCCGCCGACGGGTCTTAACGGTGAAATGCAGCAGTAGTCAGTGGTCAACATGCCAGGGGCGTGGCGCGGTTTCCTCATGCTTTTTCTCGTGTAGAGTGAGATTGACAGCCGTGTCGTAAGCGGCAGGCGCAGGACATGCGTCTCGCAGCGCGCCTGGACGAGGGCAGCGTGCTGGCAGTGATGGGTTTCGCACGACTGCAGCTCGTCGTGTGCAGAAAGTCTAGGCTGCGAGAGCCAACTCTGTGAGGTTTCATGATCAACGGCGGGCCTCGACGTGATTCGCTAGTGATTTCTACACGTACGTCGTCGACGTGCTGAATACGGAGAGAATTTGGGGGTAGAGTTGGCCAGTGGCAGCAATGTTTGCAAGCCAATAGAGTTTTTGCAGCGTCATCAAGGATCAGCATCGAGGCAGCCCCTTATTTCTGAAGGTGACGGGCGTGGTGTTCAGGGAGTACAGGCTCACCCTGGCGTGTTCGCAGGTGCAGCTATCGCAGAGGTCCTATTGGCAGTGCGGAAGAACGGGCCCAGCATTGCTGCAGTTGAGTATCCATGTGGAGTTCGCAGCTAGGTGGGACACTTTGGGAGGGGGGTAAGGGGGGGCGTCGACTGGGCCAAACAATAACTTACCTACATCGAGGCACGACTCACGACTCAGTGAAGGAGGCTCCCGGAACGACGACGGGCTTCCGCAGCCTCTAGCTCGTGCCACATGCGCCGCTGGCCCTCCCCCCCCCCATGTTTGGCCGTGAGGGTGTCGCTTGGGCCGCAGTGAAGGGTGACGTCTCAGGGTCCGGCAGCCATGGCTGCTCGTCGGCACCGTGAGGCGTGAACAGGGCGAAGTGTGTAATCCAGCTACGAATTGCGTCTTACCTACGTAGTTGCAGTGAGCAGCATCATGTACGTGCAACATTGGTCCAGGGCAGAGGAGGGTACAGTGCAGGGAGAGGCCTTGTGGGAAGACCGGGGCGGGGTCGGCGTGGAGCTGGACGCAAGAGGCAGTGTGGGCATCAGTCGACGAACTCGAGCGCAAGTGCAAGCGTGCAAGTGTCTGCGACCTCTCGCGCCCTCTCGCGCGCTCCTTGCCAGGCCGCAGAAAGTCGACGCCCGCCTAGGCTGGCTTGGTCACTGGCGCTCGGGGAAGATGGAAACCCCTGTCACTGACGCCACTTATGCAAGTGCGTAGCCGGCCATCACGGGCCTGGTGCAGGGATGCTGAGAAGAAGCGTTAGCTAGAGGAAACGCAAAACCCTTTCTGTATACCTACCCGTTGTCTGCCCGTTCCAGCCCGCGGCTCCTTCACAATTCCCCAGTCGATAACCAGCTACTCGACACTGCACGGTCGCGTTTGTCCTTCATTTGTTTTGCCCACCCCCCACCACCCGGACTACACTGCACTACTACATACACCTGCCCACTGCCCTCAGCCACCTCGACACTTTCGCTCGCCCGCCAGCTCCTCTACCTGACCTGCTTTCATCTTCTACAACGCTTGGACCCAGCCCGCATTCGACTTTGACGCCCGTATCAACCGCTAAGCCTTCGACCACCTCGCGCGGGAGTCGATTGGCTCATCGAGACGTGTCCATCATCTCGTCGACCCGCGACGCCATCCCCCCACAGCAGCCACCATCATGACCCCCTCAAATCATTCTCGCAGCTCGTCGGATGAGTCGACCAGCTCGTCCATGGCCTACATCCTCGAGCACGTGCTGCAGTATCCCGGCAGCTACGACATCCCGCTCAAGACCATGTACGAGCTCAACCGTGTCGACCGCGCCCAGCCCTTCCCCAAAGGCCTCAGCAAGTCGCCTAGCGGCTCGCCCATTACCGGATCATTCGCATGGAGCAGCACCGAAGCCGCCACCATGAGCTTCACATCGTCTCTCATGAACCAATTAAAGGCGCTGCCCACGCGAACTAGCGCGCTCCCACCCGCCTTCATCGTCAACTTTGTCACCCGCACCTTCATGCCCGAGCCCGCCGACGTCGACTGGAGCCAAGCCCTCACCGCACTAGACTATCTCAAGGATCTGGAGACGCGGAGGCGTCGGGAGATGGCTACAGCATTTGAGGCGCTCGACGTGCACAGGGACACCTGGGATGCTGACATGGCCTGTGTGGCGGAAAAGGCACCCGGCATCGCTCTTTGGATCAACAACCTTGAGGGCAAGAACCGAAAAGCTGAATCGTATTACGCGCAGATTTGGGTGGGGCTTCGCCGTTGGGTAAGCTCTCTCTTCTCCACTATTAACGGTCGACATGGACTAACAGCACTCGACAGATCATGATCAACCACCTCTCAGACGACGAGTTCAACAAGCTCAACTGCATCAGCTACCTCAACACTCTGTTTCCCCCCGTCCATGGCCAAACTCAGCTTCCCTCGCAGTACTTGAACCATGAAGCTCTGAAGGAAGAACGTCAGATCTTCTTTGACATGATCAGCCAAGTGCAGAAGAAGGGGCCAGATGTCCTACTACCCTTGATCAACCGGGACAAGCGCCCAGAGGATCGGACCGGATGGCCATCTGTCCAGCGTATCGTCGACAAGTATCTCCGCGTTGCACAGAACATGATTCAAGACTGCATGTCGACCCACGGACCGGAGTCATTCGACCGCTACATGAACGGCCTAGGAAAAGACAAGAAGCACGACTCTGGTGTCAGTTTTGGCTCCGAACGTAGGCCCAGCCTAGTCGCCAGTGTCCATGAGAAGCAAGCACCTGAGCCCATGCAGCACTACGCACCATCGACCAAGGGCCTCAGCAAGCTGGAGAGGATCACCCGCGAGTTCAAGCGCATGCGGGTCAAGCCCCGACCAGAAGTTGAAGAGATTACGCAATTCAACCCTCACCCAAGCGAGCCGGCGGGAAAGAAATCGCTTAAGAAGGCCCGATCATTAGCCAGTATCAAGTTTGGCAACGGCAGCTCAGCATCCCTCGCCAGCCGGAAGGCCAGCGACGCGGCCTTTGACGCCGACCAGATGAAGAAGCATCGCCTGATGTACGAGTCTTCACACAGCCGCAACACCAGCGCCCAAACATGAGTAGCCCATGAGCTCTCGATGACTGTTCCACCACATCCCGACAAGTTGCGCCTTTTACCCACGTCCACCAAGCATATCACATGCATGGTGCATCTCCGATGCTGACCCGGAAGGAAAGTCCAGAAGCGGGTTTCGGGCCGATGCGGCACGTGATACGCAATCGACGAGGACCAGGCATGCAGCGAAACCTTGCACGCCTAACATTGTCTCTGATTCATTGAAATACCCATCTTTTTTTTTTCTCTTCCAGGCTACGAGGACAGGCCGACTTTCTAGCCGCCGCTGTCATTGTATAGCTTCTCCACTTTAGCGGGCGTTATTCGAAGTAATTACCTTCTAGGTCAAAATTCTCCATTTTTTCACGCTGTTTATGTGGTTCATGACAAGCAAAGCATGGTGTTCAGGAACAGGAGCATGGGCCATGGCGTAGTATACGACTATTTTGGGAGGCATATTCCTTTTCTTTTTCTTTTTCTTTGTTTTCGTATTCTGTACATATTCGTGGGCACGGGCAGCCTGGCTTGGTTCGGGATACGCTTCTACGTCGGAAGTTTTGGCCGTTCTTCGACGAGTAATGGATAATCAAAATCAATATCACAATCACACATGCGTTTCAGTATCTTGCAGAGTTGCGTAGACTGGTATTGGCGGCGTCGCCACAGTGGTGATCACCCGCAAAGCGGGTGGCAAGCAGTACCGAGTGCTTTGACATCCAATCGAGGGTGCATTTTGCGCAAACGACAGCTCTCTTCACATCGATGTTGCAGTGCTTTATCGATGCGAAAGTTTGTTTTCTTTGAGAGTCGAGTGAGAATGAATCAGCAACCCTGGCAGACGCAAACTTTGTTTTTAATCACTTTGTCAACCGAACGCGCTCCTGTTACCACATGCATCTGCACCACGACACGAGGGTAAGTCGACCCCCGCTACACCTTGCCGTTTGGGGCGTCACCGTCTGCTGCCCGTTGCAACGTCAATGGACAATGAATCAGTCACCAGCCTGCACGTAGGCGAGCACGTAGGCGAGCACGCGCAAACTGCAGCTCTCTGTCGGATCACACCTGCAGCGACGCCCGAGACTAACCTCGAAGCAATACCTGCTGCATCTTCACCAAGCGTGCGAGTGCAAGATGGATTGTAGCAAACCGAACCCCAAGGAAGCTCCACGCGATGCGCGCGTTACTGGAAGCCGATCACCCACACCACCCCCGTCCGAAGTACCCCCATCTTCGACATGTGAGCCCAAGTTCGCCAACCCCCGTCAGACGGCCCCATCTGCCGCGGCACCGCCCAGACGTACCTTCTTCGACCCTTGGAACAGCTCTGGTACAGGCCATCAACGCGCGGAAAATCGCCTTTCTGGCTCTACCGAGTGGCGCACCTCGCGCAATCTCAAGCTTGTAGAGCAATTCAGGGCCGGTATAGACGGGGGTAAGAGGGTGGCCGACACCGTGGGCGCAGGGAGTGACGACTCTGCCAAGCATGGCCGCAACGTCAATGGTACTTGGGCGAAGGATGCAAAGAGCCTCAGGACAGGGGGCCAACAGAGCCTTGCAGAAGCATGGGCTTCCAACAACAAGGCGAGCTGGAACCTGCCACAGGATAGTCACGTCGAGACTACTGAAATGCAACATGAGCAACCATTATCAAACGACGACCATACTGACGAGCAAGGTATATCTGCAACCTCACTGCACAGACGCAACAACAATAATAACAGTGCACAGCAGGATCTCAAGTTAGTATCTCAGTAGCCGCATCAGGAATCGTGGAGAAGCAGATATTTACAGGCCTCTGCTTCTATATCAACGGCTCGACGGCGCCCCTAGTCTCGGATCACAAACTCAAGCAACTGTTAGCAGCACACGGTGCCAGACACTCTATCGCTTTGGGACGACGAACCGTGACGCATGTCATACTCGGGACGGTAACCGGAAACGGCGGTGCAGATGGTGGTTTGGCTGCCACTAAAATGCAAAAGGAGATTGCTAGGTCAGGTGGCAAGGCTGTCAAGTTCATCAACGCAGAATGGTAAGTTTTGCGTGCCTTTAGTGTTTCGTATTGGTAACTACTTGGACTTGCAGCCAGCCCATGTCGGAATCTATGCACAACACCGGCCGTGACGTTGTTACTGACATATGCAGGGTCCTGGACAGTATCAAGGCAGGACGACGCCTCACTGAATCGCGGTACTCGCCACTGAGGCTCACACCGAAAGGCCAAAACAGCATTGCAGGCATGATGCGCGGTGGTGTTCCTTCTAACAAAGAGCAAGGATAAAGCAAGGTTCCATTCGCAATACCTTCTAACATCCTACGACATCACCACCAGCTGAAACCCCACGCCACCGACGTCGGCGGGGACAGCAACACGCCTAAGACGAAAGCGAAGAAGATGAGCTGTTCCTGAAGTTTTAAAAAACGTACGTTGTCCAAATCCCCAGCCCTTGGCAGAATATCGACCGAGATGTGCAGCATCACGAAACTAGGTCTATCCCTCTACTGCAGATGAAACCATGGTTCAGCGGGCTCAGCGCGCGGGGAAGGGATCAGGAATAAAGGGTTCATAGTTTGCGACGGGCCCCCAAACCTGATCAGCGAGCTCACGTCTGGACCCTGATGCGACTACGCAAACTTTAAATGGCGCGACTGCGGATACTAATCAATCCGCCTCCCTCACGCCATAACCTATCTCCATCTCCCGTGTTGCTTAGTAGATGATGTAGTATCAACCATTGTTTAAGTACCAAGCCATAAATGTTTGCATCCTTTTCCCTCTCTGTCTCGTAGTGTGTTCCTGGATTGTCCCAGCAATAACCAACAAAACAGCCGATAAATCCCCCGCAGAGAGCAACGTCGACGGTGCTAGCATGCCATGTTTCTTCTAGCGTTTGCGCTTGTGTGAGGAACTTGCAGAAAGTATGGGACGCCATGACCAGCATTTCTCTTACACGCAAGCTGAGGGAGAAGCGGAACCAGGTAAACAAGACAGACTACTTGGATTAAATCCCCAGCCTAACAGCGTAAAAATGCGCCCATCGGCCAAAAAGGGCATCTGTTTCCCTTGCCTGTTGTGCCTCAAGTTTGGTTCGCACGAGGCCGAGGCGCCCACGTGAGCGTGTGTGGAGGAGGTACAGTAGGGCATATGTACATGCCAGGCACCACCTACAGTACCTACCTAAATAGGTAGTAGGAAAGTGAAAGATGGGAACCGCTAAAGTTCCACACGTGCTAGCTTGTTTTCCGTGCGCGGGGACTTCCGCATTCCATGGTCTTTGCACAAATGGCGCAATCCGTTCTCAAGGGATCCCTTTTTGAACTTTGTGATGCTGCTTACATGACCTTGGTAATCACTTCCCCCGCGGCTACACCTCGGCATGGCCGCGGCAAGTTGGCTGCCTGCCTGAATGTCATGCCGATGCAACAACTGGTAGGATGAAGGAATATCAACCTTGCTAGCTAGGGTCAAGCAAGGTAGGTGGCGTCACTCACATCCACACACGCACAAAGTCTTCCAAACTCTATCAACAGTTCTAGATCCGGCTCCGGTTCTGACCTTGGGTCCGTCCCTCTGTATTTCCAGCCACGAGATTCTGTGCGTGTGCCTGTGTGCCTGTGTAATGCAAAGTAATACCAATGCCAATGGCAAAACCATAACAGAACTGCGGCTTCTGTCTCCGTTGGCGGGCGGGATGTACATCAGCCGCGACGGCGACTCGCGTTGCCCCCACCCGCATGTGGGAATTTACATATTAAAAGTTGAGTTTAGGAGTTTATATGTCAGTGGTGGTTTGATGGTTTTCGCTTTCGTTATTTTTGGTTCGCATCGTCGTTTTCGCCCTTCTCCGCAAAAGGGGAACGTAACGGTTATCGGCTTTCTCCGGAAACGTGGGCTATCTCAAAGTTCGCGACAAAGGTATCACAGGATTTTTCGATGGGTGTTTTGAGATTTCAGTATTTGATTTCCATTTGCTTGGCACTAATATGGCTTGGCGAGGCTGGAATGGTGGTTTGCAAAATTCCTATGGTTGAGGATCGTGTTTCTTCTCGGAGAAGAAATGGCCATATGTGTGGAGATGGGCATCAGAGGTAAGGGCAAAGGCGGTCAACGCAAGTCAATCAGCTAATTAGTAGAGTAAATTGTTATTTTCTAAAACTCTTCATGGAAATTCATGTACGTTTCTGTGGAAAGAACAATAACCTCCCCTATGTAGCGACACAGTTTCAACCTTGTGATGTGTCCTCCATATAGAGCACCATTCACATGCGAACACGCCCCAAACGCCATAAGTGACTGGTATCACTGTCCCCATAAACGCCATTGTGCGCTCCCGAAGCTTGATATGTACTCATTATTTGCGACCGCATCTAACCAGCAGTCCTCGGTTTGGCCTTGGCCTGCTTCTTGGCCTTTGCATCTACCTTTTGCTTCTTCTTTTTCTCTTCGAGCTTCTCATCTGCCTTGCGCTTCAATGTTGCCTTTTGTTCAGCCGTCTTCTCAATCGGCTTGAAGAAGCCCTCCAGCCTGCTCTGTTGTGCCGTCTTCATGTTCTTTTGCAACTTGGCTGCTCCATTGCGCACCCTGTCTTCATTGAAGTGCTTCTCTTCGACAAGGAATTTGACCAGTCCTTCAACATCTGGGGCTTCCCACTTGAAGTCGCATTCTGGGTCATCGGCAGGGCGAACATCTGGTTCCAAGAAGAGGAGGCGCGCATCGGCAAAAGGCCAGTCATCAGGGATGGTGAGTTTCTTGGACGATTGGGACTTGATGTGTTCGACAACTCCTTCCAGATCATTGTGCTCGCGGATAAGTTTTAGAGCGGTACTGGGGCCAATGCCCTTGATGGGATCAAGGTAATCGCAACCGAGGAGAATGCAGAGATCGATGAACTGAATAGAGTTAGCATGGCATGGGTTCGTGAGTACTGATTTGTCGTACCTGCTTCCGCTCCATCTGCAAGCCTTCAAGCACCTTGTCCAAGTGTATTTCCAGGATGGGCTCTTTGCGCTGCTCACTGAAGGTCAGATGCCTTAGCAGAATTGGCGTATCAAAGGTCAAAGTGTCCATATCCTCTGATGCCGCAGCATAGACTTTTCCTCCCCTTGCCAGCGCGGCGCACTGCGCCTCAGCTTCAGTTGGCGCGACAATGTATGGGATGCCCATGAGCTTAAGCAAGCGCTGGCACTCCTCGTTGTGCTCTCTCGTCACCCTGACTGTCCGCCGCGAGAACTTCTCAACATCTTCTGCTGTACCCGTCTCCTTTGCTTCCTCGGCCGCAGCGTGTGCTTCAGTCTTGCGCTGGAATCGCTTCGCAAGCTCACCAGATTTGAGCTTGGGCGGCGCGCCATCGAAGACGTATAGGGGCTTGATTCCATTGTCGACCATGCGCATGGTGCGGTAGAAGAGACCCATGAGATGTGATGTCGTTTCACCCGTTTCGCTCATGAGTTGTTGGCCATCGGATCGGACTGCAATGAGAAAGCTGTAGATGCTCATAGATCTACACTGTGTTAGGGCTAAGGAACGACGGCGGGTAAAACATGTGCATACGCATCCTATGTATGTTAGTAATCGATACAACACGGCGAAACATATTGGACATACTATAGCAACTTTGCGACCGAATTGGTTCTTGATCTCTCCCTTCTTGACGGCCTCGGGCGTGTGCTCCTCAATGAGCTGATACAAGTGCTTGATACCCATCTTGGCTTTCTTTGTTGCGCTGCTTATGGGATGATTCTCGGGCTTGTTTAGGCGTCTGGAGCGTGGAGCGTAGAAGAAAGGCAATCGCGTGGAGGCTGGAGAAAGTGACGGCAGTGATCGTCACGACGCGTCGCGCGTAATCACGATCCTGCATTTCTTGGCACCTCTACCCCACACATTCCCTATGATCGCTTATTGAGGCTCTGCAGGCTGCAAGGGCCTTCCAGATGGGTGCCAGGCGTAGTTGGGATACCCCACATCTCATCATAGATGAGCACTTGTCGCATACTTTACGTGATCATGTTTGACTTATTGCCACCTCGGAGCCGCGGTTGTCACTAACTTATGGTGGGGGTTCCGAGGCCAACATCGTCCAATTACGGATATCTTCTCCTTCTCTCCGGATATAACAATCCCCAGTTTTCCAAGAACTTGTGCATCTATTCACCATATTCAACATGCTCCGATCAGTATCCAGACATGCCTCAAGGCAATCACACACTCCAGTTCGATTCGCGGCTATCGGAAAGCGATACTTGCATGCTCCTGTGTCCTTTGACTGGAAGGACCCGTTGAATGCAAGCAACTTATTCACAGAGGAAGAGTTGGCCATCTCGGAAACAGCCGAATCATATTGTCAGGAAAGGATGCTTCCAAGAGTCTTGGGCACGTAACACACTGTGACTGCTCTGTGCAGCCAGCTGACGTTTGCAGAGGCATATCGCAATGAGAACTTTGACAGAAAAATCATTGAAGAGATGGGCGAGCTAGGCCTTCTAGGCGCCACGATACAGGGCTATGAGTGTGCCGGCGTCAGCAGTGTCGCAGCTGGGTTGATCACCAGGGCCGTGGAGCGAGTCGATTCGGGTTATCGTTCTGGGTACTCTGTGCAAAGCTCGCTCGCCATGGGAGGCATTGAGGAGTTTGGATCCCAGGAGCTCAAGGAACGTCTTCTCCCGAAGATGGCCAAGGGCAAACTGTTAGGTTGCTTCGGTCTTACTGAGCCGAATCACGGATCAGACCCAGGCTCCATGGAGACAGTCGCAAAGCCGCATCCCACAAGGAAGGGGTACTATTCGCTTTCTGGATCAAAGACATGGATCACCAATTCACCCATTGCTGATGTTCTCCTTGTATGGGCAAAGCTAGAGAGCACAGGCAAGATCCGGGGCTTCATTGTTGAGCGTGACCAGTGCCCTCCGGGTACTCTTGAAACCCCACCAATCAAGCACAAGAACGGTCTTCGAGCGTCGATCACGGGCATGATCCAGCTGGATGAATGTCCTGTTTCAGAGGCCAACATGTTTCCTGATGTTGAGGGTTTGAAGGGACCTTTCAGCTGTTTAAATTCGGCAAGATATGGCATTGCTTGGGGTACAATTGGCGCACTCGAAGACTGTATTGCAAGAACGCGCGAGTATGCGTTGGAGCGTAGACAGTTCACGAACAACCCGATTGCCAAGTATCAGCTTGTGCAGAAAAAGCTGGCAGACGCTACAACAGACGCTGCGTATGGTATTCTAGCAGCCCACCAAGTCGGACGGCTCAAGGATGAGGGCAAGGCTGCCCCAGAGATGATCTCCATGATCAAGAGGCAGAACTGTGATCGAGCCTTGATCAACGCCAGAACGTAGGTTGTGGCAAGCCGTTTGCTCAGGACGATACTGACTATGAATAGACTGCAGGAAGTGTTTGGCGGCAACGCGGTCTCGGATGAGTATGGCATCGGTAGACATGTCGCGAATCTGTTTGTGACGCAGACGTACGAAGGCCAGAGCGACATCCACTGTGAGTCTGAGTACGTTATTATGACGGGCTCCACTAACACACTATAGCGTTGATCCTTGGCCGGGCAATCACAGGCCTACAGGCCTTCTGCTGATTGCTACAAAAGGTCTTAAGGTGAGAGTCACTGTGAGGTCGGTCCGCCTGGTGAGGAAGCTATCATGAGTTGCTGTTGCTGTACTACCAACAAAAGTATCTAGCGACGTCATCCAATCATAGTAAGCCCGTACGCTGTAGGCGCCTGCAAGCCTCATGGACAGGCGATGTTTTTTTAGAAGCAAATGCATATGCATATCAAACCGTGAAGGCCGATGCACGCCTTTCAGGCTGTCTCGAACGCGGCAAGTGTCACGTCTGATTGCCCAAGCACCTTACCCGCCGCCACCCTTACGGACGTCAGTGTACTGACCAATGTATTGGTGACCATGTAGAAGGACACGGCAGCTGTGAATGTCAGCCTTGACGCATGTCCCCTAGTCGTGTTGTAGGTTGCCACCGGCCGCGGCTTCTGGGCACCTGAGTAAGAAACGCTCGGTGAATTTTGTGGCCAGCGATTGTTTTCGCCTCTTGCGGTTGGACCCGACACATGATAAATGGGTTCGCCCCTGCACTGCCCTGGACCGCTCCTTCACACCCAGCTTTACCGCTTTACCGTCTCTCACCCGTCGTCAGAGGTATGTGAAGCGTGGCGGAGGCGCCATCCGCTGATACGCCGCACTTGCTTTCTTTGGACCCCCCGCTAACTAACTAACCGCCTTGCCTGTGCAGACATCCCACTTCAACTCTTCAACACCAACTCTCTCTACCGCAACAACCGCGACCCCGAAGCACACAATACCCACACTCCCACACAGTAGCCATGGCTCTCAAGCGCATCAACAAGGAGCTTACTGATCTCGGTCGGTATGTGATATATCTGCCCTACCAACTGCGAGACTCGTTCTTTTGCTCGCATGACAGCGACCGGTTGCGGGGCGCTACAACGTGGACGCCCAACGCCCAAGACTCATAACACCATGACGAGGGAAATATATGGCTGACATGGCACCTGCAGTGATCCTCCCTCTTCTTGCTCGGCTGGCCCTATCGGAGATGATTTAGTACGTCACCCTTGTCCCAGACGCCTGCGGCTGAGGCTTTGTTGCCGATATGGCTACAGGTGAAGAAAACACACGAACCAAACATGCTGACTTTGCGGTAGTTTCACTGGCAAGCAACCATCATGGGCCCTGTACGTGTGCACACCCGCACTTTCATCCTGGGAAAACCTCTACACCGTGCCAATAACTAACATGCGCAGGGCGACTCACCATATTCCGGCGGTGTATTCTTCCTAGCGATCCATTTCCCCACCGACTACCCCTTCAAGCCCCCGAAGGTCAACTTCACCACCCGCATTTACCACCCAAACATCAACTCCAACGGTAGCATCTGCTTGGACATTTTGCGAGACCAGTGGAGCCCTGCTCTGACCATCTCGAAGGGTACGACTCTCCTGAATACCAAGTGTGCTAGGCCTGTTGCTGACGCTCCTACAGTGCTTTTGAGTATTTGCTCGATGCTGACAGACCCGAACCCTGATGACCCGCTGGTTCCCGAGATTGCACATGTCTACAAGACCGACCGGTCCCGCTACGAATCGACGGCCCGCGAGTGGACCCGGAAGTACGCCATCTAGACAAGCATACGTGAGAAAGCGACAGGGCATGGTTTCGTTAGGATGCGACAGACGACAAGAAGAATGTGTGAGGGCGGTCGGTTATCAAGAGCATACCTTTGACGGTATGATGGATGATGGGAGTTTTCTACACTACAGCATGCATGCTGGAGGGGTTCTATAGTACTTGCTATCATCACTCTTAGCAGAACAGGCTTATTTCTCTTCCTGTCCTTATTCTTGACTGCAATGGTTGCCATCAGCTAACCAACAAGTCACACATCCCTGCATACGTCAAGAGTTTTCGAGTCCATATGTAATTACATTCGATCAATGAGGAGATGCGACTCTATGGCATACCATGTGCTTTACAAGGTGATATTGTTACATGTCGTGGCTTGTTATAGCTTTTTGCCGTGGCGAGAAGAGATCATGGTCTCTCTACATTGTTTTCTGCTTGAGCTGTGGCATTCTCAGCGGAGCCCTGCCCTGGTTGCTGACTACCATCTGCTACTGCTCTGACTGCAGACACGTCTGAAGAAGGCGGTATGGTAGCCTTCTCCTCGGACAACGTCGTCTTTTGTGCCTCTGTTTGCAAGACTTCTTCCATCACCTTCGCAGGCTCCTGGGGTCCTTCATTTTGTCCCTCCCTTGCCATTGTTTGAGGCATTTTTTTATCCTCAGTATGTACAGCGACTTCCTGCTTCTTTTCTACAACCCGATCCGCTTCCCTAATCGCTTTTGCTGTCTGAGCAAGTGATACCCGCGTTTGCTTAGACAGGTGCTGACCGTAGTTTTCGAGTTTTTCGCGACGCCGAAGGTTGAGCATATACGAGGTGCCGACGAGAGGTGTGAGCAGGGAGATGCGTGTATTCTGCTTCACATCTTGTGCCAGAGTTCTATGTAGATGCGCAAACGTGGCTTGGACGTGCTTGATGGCTATGCCTTTACGGCCGAGATCGTTCGTTGGGTCGGCAGGATCGCGGAGGCAGAGCATGTAATCGGGGAGGGGCTTTATCTCTCCATTCTGAGCGAATGTTAGCAAACTGAAAACATGACTGTCATTAGGTCAATTTACCTTGATCTGGACGTTGGCTGTATCGGTGCGTACAGGGTACGCTATCTTGTCGAAGTATTCGACAGGTTTAAGTGAGACACCCTTTGTTTTCGTGTCAAACTTAGCCCAGAACTCGAGGAAGTTCATGAGAGCCCCAGCAGCATCATTCCGCGGATGCGGCATATGCTTGATACTGGCCACTACCATCATGAACAGCGAGTATGATCCAAAGCCTCCCCGAAAGACGTCCGACAGACCGCGAACGTTGAGAATGGTCTTGATGACACAAAACAGCTTCTGTAGGTAGGGTATCTCCTGCATGTACTTTGCCATTATCTCTCTCGATAACCACGTATCGTTTGCCAAAACAATCTGGACATCGAGGCCTGATCGTTGGTCTTGCGCGACGATGAGGGGGTATCGAGCGTGACGGAGCGCAGTTAGAATGTAGTATCCTTTTTTCTTGAAAACTTTGTAGAACAAATCCCTTAGCGTCGCTACACATTTTCTCCTCTCGTCTTCCGGGGGTGGCCATATCGCTAGCTTAGGGTCCTCTACCTGGCGTTGGCTGCGCAACCGGAAGTCGATGTCTGATGTAGGAAGAGCGAGGCCAGTTGTTTGTGACCCGAAGACATCTATGTGATGCTTGGGTACTCGTTCTAGTACGTGATTTCGCACTTGGTCGATGACGTGTTTTCGAGCATTCTGTTCGTGTTGAGTTGGTCTAGAGTATTTGTAGAATTTATCGATTTCCATGTCAAGTCTAGCAGATCTTGTTAGTGTGCGACTTCGGTCCAAATGGTCTGAATTGTAAGTACCTATTCATGCCTGAAGTGACCCTTTCCCGATCTACGCACCACGGCAAGCAGCTCTCCTTGATGAGCGTAGTCGGTACTATGGGCATCACGGCAACACCCTCGTACTCCTTGGACTCACTGAACGCCCGCCTCGTCTTGGCCAGCAGCTTCTCTGGACCAGTAAGCGACTGTTCTCGATTGTCCTTCTGCGCACGACTGTTTTTCGCGACCGATGCTTCCTGCTTGGAGCCTAGGAATCGGCCTTTGACTGTGGTCATCCTCCTCACCGGCAGTTTCTTTGGTGACGTTGTGCTCGTTCCCTTTGCTGGCTTCGTACTCGGGTTTTCTGCTGGCTCCCCGCTTGGTTGTACGGCGACATGTCCGCCCTCATTGTTTGCTTGTTGGGAGCCATTGGTCCCTCCGGGCTCTATGAGCGTTTCCTTGGTATTTGCATCATCGAAATTGGCACTGGTGCCAGCTTGTGCTGCTTCTGTCACTGTGGAAAGCAGACGTTGACGAGGGGTGGTCGGCAAGCTGGAGAGGACGAAGTGATGCCATAACACAGCCGACGGGGCATAGCGGTTATGGGCGCGACATATTAGGCGCGTATGGGAGGGTTGCATGAGGACGCCTGTAATGGCGACAACTCGCGACACAATCCAGGTGGTGGTGGTTTTGCTCACTGTGCATGCATGCATGCATGGTTCTTCGCGATATAAAGTGCCAAGCATCTAGTCTACTTTGAGCTACAGCGGAGAAAAGAGAGACCCCCGCGGCCATGCTGAACTGCCAATTGCTCTACTGGCGGGCCCGCCTTTGGCATATGCTAATGTTGGAACGTCAGATGCGCTGTCTCAATGTGAAATGGCATGTGTGAAAACGCCAAATTGCGAACTTTATGTTGCGGCAGGCCTAGGCGCCAGAGGCCGTCCACGTCGGTCCACTTGCGGCACATGCTCAAGAGGCCCACACGCTCGTCCGATATGAGAGTCGGCTGACATCATGTTGACAGTCTCAACAAAACTTCGCAGAGCGGTCAGTGAGCGAAGCGCGTGGAAGGTCGACGAGATTGTAGGCGGCGCTGCTAGCCAGCTGCCAACCTTGTTGCAGAAAGCCCGAGCTGTTGCTGTTCGGTTCCCAACGTCACAGCAATGCTTAGTGGGGCATGAACTATCCCACCACACGGCCAGCTTTTCTTCCCCCATTGCCCTCCTTGGGCTTCTATGAGCTTCTTGACACACATCCCGTCTTCTCAGTCTTCTCTTTGAGCCTACACCCTTCGTTTTAGGCAGCTACAATTCCTCCAGCTTTTGTGACAGCTTAGCGCAAGACGCTTGGTACGTACTGCCCCTGCCTGTAGCTCCTTCTCCAGCACCCTCCAACAAGAGAGCAGCAGCAGCAGCAGCAGCTCTACCTACCAAGTGAGATTCGACACTCACTCTATACTGGTCTGTGCCTACACATAGTGATGCGCTATTTTCCAACCACCTAACCTTCCATGCCTTTGACTGCCATTCTATTCTCTTCGCCTACAAGTATCTAACGCGTTCATGTAGTGCGACGCATACACTTAGCCTGCGTGAGCCATGGCCCCTCCTACGGATGACAAAACCGAAAGGCCTCAACTCGAATCCCGCATCAGCGCACATCCTGCCCTTCATCCCGATGTGACCAATGTACCCGTCACGCCCGGCGTCCACCTCTCAGGCAAGACGGCCTACTTCGACGAGAAAAACACAAAGAACACCAACAACCTACCCTTTGATCCAGAGACTGCCACACCTGGGCCCTCGTGGAGCGCTAACTCGTATTTCTCGAACCAACAGAGAGCCGATCATGCAAGCGCGTCCACTGAGCAGGCAGCAGGTGCGCAGAGCGCGAAGGAAGCCCATGGTAAGTTGAAGGACACTCAAGGCCTTGACGGCCACGCATGATCTAGCAGACTTGGACCCGCGGCGCCCGAGCATTCATGGGCTTCATTCTTGATGGCCCGTGTCATCAGCGCAACTTTCGCTATTCCCTACACATCGCTACTCGCCAGGCAACGACTGGGAGCTGGATCGCGACGAGGGACTCTGCTTTGTTTGATTCCTTCTCTTACCTAGCCTCGAGCTCGTCTCCATGGAATCATACCCTTGTAGGCTGGACGGGCGAGATCTCACATGCAAAGACTGCCTCAGTTGTAGCGGCTACACAGGCGCCTATGAACAAGGCTGCAGCGCCTATTCCTGTGGATCCCAAGCGTCCGGCCCAGGCAGCGCAGGCTCCCAATGGCTTCCGTATCGGCCCCCAGGATCGAGCACGATTAGAGAAACAGCTCGAACGTGACCACGGTGGCAAGATCGTACCAGTTTGGCTGGTCGATGAGGTGGATGATGGGAAAGATGAATACATATTGAAGAACCAAAGTCACTGGCGGACATACGCTGAACACGAGCTCTACACTCTCTTCCACTACAAGCAGAACGAACCAGCCGATGGCCGCGCTGCACGGAAGTCGTGGGCAGACTATTACCGTATGAACAAGCTATTCGCGGATAGGATCCTCGAAATCTACAACCCCGGTGACATTGTTATGGTCCACGACTTCTACCTGATGCTACTGCCAAGTTTACTCCGCCAACGCCTTCCAAACATCTATATCGGTTTCTACCTTCATATCCCATTTCCCAGCAGCGAGTTCTACAGATGCCTGAGCAGACGAAAAGAGATTCTCGAGGGCGTACTGGGTGCCAATATGATTGGTTTCCAGTCATACAGCTACTCGCGACACTTCTCATCTTGTTGCACTCGAATATTGGGCTTTGACTCCTCTTCGGAAGGCGTCGATGCCTATGGTGCCCACGTAGCTGTTGATGTCTTTCCCATCGGCATCAACGCTGTATCAACGCAACGACAGGCCTTTGGCGACCCAGAAATCGACGAGAAACTCAAAGGAATCCGAGAGATGTACGCAGGCAAGAAGCTCATCGTGGGTCGCGACAGGTTAGATGCTGTTCGTGGAGTTGTCCAGAAACTCCAGGCGTTCCAGCTGTTTCTTGAGAAGTACCCAGAGTGGCACGGAAAAGTTGTTCTCATTCAAGTTACCAGTCCTAGCGGCGTTCACACCGATAGAAGCGATGGTGCGCAAGAAAAGGTGGTCAACAAGATCTCGGATCTAGCGGCGAAGATCAACGGCACTTATGGTACACTGGACTTTACACCTGTTCGCCACTTTCCCCAGTACCTTTCTCGCGAAGAGTACTTTGCCTTACTTCGGATTGCAGACATCGGACTCATTACCAGTGTACGTGACGGTATGAACACGACAAGTATGGAATACATCATTTGCCAGAAGGATAATCACGGCCCACTCATTCTCTCCGAATTCTCCGGTACATCGAGCTCTCTAGGCAGTGCCAGGCACATCAACCCCTGGGATATGGGTGGAGTGGCTGATGCGATTCACGATGCTCTGAATCAGAGTGACGAAGAACGCGCAAAGTACCACGCAGAACTTTACAAGCATGTTGTAGAGAACAATGTACAGGCTTGGACGAACAACTACCTGAAGAGCCTGATGACGAATCTAGCATCCTTTGACCAGTCGTTTGCTACACCAGCTCTGGACCGGGCTAAGCTCCTCTTCCAATATCGGCAGGCTACCAAGCGACTATTCATGTTCGACTATGACGGCACTCTAACACCAATCGTCAAAGATCCTTCGGCAGCGATCCCGTCTGACCGAGTCATTCGAACTCTCAAGACTCTAGCAGCAGACCCTACCAATGCCGTATGGATTATCAGTGGTAGAGATCAGGCTTTCTTAGACGAATGGATGGGCCACATTCCTGAGCTTGGCCTTAGTGCTGAGCATGGCAGCTTTATGCGGCATCCGCGCAGTCAGGACTGGGAGAACCTGACTGAGACAACCGATATGAGCTGGCAGAGCGAAGTTCTTGACGTTTTCCAACATTACACAGAGAGGACTCAAGGTAAGCTGGAGCCAACCCCACTCCAAGGAAATAATGCTAACAAGTATATAGGCTCCTTTGTCGAGCGCAAGAAGATCGCATTGACCTGGCACTACCGGCGAGCTGATCCCGAGTATGGCGCCTTTCAAGCGCGAGAATGTCAAAAGCAGCTCGAGAGGACTGTCGCTAAGAAACACGATGTTGAGGTCATGACTGGCAAAGCCAACCTTGAGGTGCGCCCAAGGTTTGTCAACAAGGGCGAGATTGCAAAGAGGCTTGTACAGGAATATGGCGAAGGTACTGGTAACGCACCCGAGTTTGTGCTTTGCATGGGCGATGACTTTACAGATGAAGGTTAGTGTCTCACTTCCAAATCTTCAGTTCACTCGCTAATCATTTGCAGACATGTTCCGCTCGCTGCGACAGTCCAAACTACCGACAGATCATGTCTTCTCGGTCACTGTTGGCGCCAGCTCGAAACAAACATTGGCAAGCTGGCATCTAGTCGAACCTTCGGATGTTATCTCTGTGATTTCATTGCTGAATGGTTCAGCTGATGCAGGTAATGTTGGTGCAATTGCAGTCGTCGACGGGACCGTTCCTGAGTCTCGGCTAGTGGCAGGCCAGTAGATGTACGACGCTGACATGTAACATGATGGATGCTTTCTAACGATCAAGTCCCTATATTAAATCCAATGTTTAGCTCAGGAAAGCCATTGGCCCTCCATAAAGCACAATCTTCTTTTCCAAATGGCAATGTCTATGTCTTTCAGTTTGTGATGTTGCTTTATCTCAAATATCACAAGTTGCCCCTGGAGCGAGCTTCGTTGCCAAGCTAGTGGAGTCGGCACATTTTGGGCTTTGAGCCTGACATCCCTGCACCACGTGAGCAAATGACTCGGTAGCCGGATGACCTTCCTAAGTTGACACCAGCGTCTTGGGAATACGGGACGTCAGAAACATTGCGTAATATTTCATGTCCACTGGTTCGCAGCGATTCTTGGAGAAGCGGGAAGGTTATCTAATTCCCGCAGCAGAGGTCTAGCTAGCAAGCTAGGGAATAATAACAGTACCAGTACGACGATTCCGCGACACCGGCAGTATAACTCTTCTAGGTTTGGTCCGTTTGAGCCTATCGGATTAACTAGACTCTTTTGATACGACCTAGGCTTCGAGAACTGCCAATGCAGATGAAACCTGTAACGCCTAGCATTTGTCCCGCCCCAACGACGGTACCCGGGGGTTTTCCTTCGCTCTGGACCGGAACTACTACCGCTGTCGTTGGACCCGTCTTTTACCAGCCATTCCGCTCCTTTCTACCTATCCCCTTCCCCTCCCGCGCTGGAACCATTACACTCGTTTTCAAACTACTCTCAGAAGCAAAACATCTGGAAAAAGCAATCTTACTCAAGTGAAGCGCTTAATAAGGACGCGAATACATTGCGTGTATCTATTTACAACCCGATACCTCATCTGCATCATCCGTACAGGGACCTAGCTTTTTCACACATTGCGACATTACACTTGTGCCATATCTACGAGACACCTCGCCGCTTGGTACTACTCCAACATTACACGAAAAATTCTCGGCACGCGGCTCATCCTACCCAAACCAACTTTACACAAGACACCATGGGTCTCATTGAGAAAATGCAAGCTCGTAGGTCCTACCTCGCTTCATCACCCTGGCCCTGGTGCCTTACTGCCCTGTGATCATCAATTGACATAATTGCTTTTCTCTAGGCCTAGAGCTCTACCGTCTCGAACAGCGCTACACTCGCCGCGAAAAGCGCACGACGTTCATCAGCGCTGCCCACTACGTCGACGGCGAATACATCTATGGTTCTGCGCCTCCTTCGGCAAAGTCTACCAACTCGGCCGGTAGCAAGCGCTTCAGTGTCATGCCTTCGATACGTATAAAGGAGCTGGCGCGCACCGGCACTGGGCGGTCATAGACTACCTGTTTGAATGAGCTGAAGGCTGTTGCGCTGTAACCATCAACAATAAATGGTTGTCTGGTCCAGGGGTGACCGGCTTGAGAACAACAAAACGCCGGAGCCGGGAGTGTCCAATACAGGAGACACATTGTACGACCGATGATGCGCTACACGCCATGTTTCTGCTACTCGAGGTCGCACACAACAAAAGTTGGGCGCATGTTAGGAGTGGAATGAGGCAAAATAACCCAGCCTCACCACTATAACTAGCCCAGGCCGTGCACAAAAACAAAACAAATCACCAACGCAACGACATTTACGGCAGAAACATACCATTAACGACGCATACCGAAAACAAAGGGAACGGTCGTAAAGGGGACAAGAACTTTTGACTTTGACGTCGATATGTTTTTACACACTTGACATACAAGCTTAACTATTTCTTATTATTATCTTTCGACACTTTCCTTTCCTGGATGAACATGTATTCATGGCATGTTGCGCAACTATCGAGAATACCCTTGTTTTTTTGCTTTTGCTTTTTCTACTCAGGCTGAGATGCTAGTCATCGTAGTTCAGCAGTCTACACGAATCTACATATTGAATAAAAACTTGTAAAACTACAACACCGTTCTTGATGCTTCGATTTGCTGGTGCTGGTGCTTGCTCACTATGTAGCTCACCTCTTTTCGTCTTGTACGTAATGTGCACGCTCAGCGCCTTCTGCCTGATGCAAAGCGGATCTACTGATCGGAGCTTATGCCGTCATGTGCGCTTCTATGGATTGACGTATGCCAAGCGTAGACTAAGCGTAGAGATGGTCTGGTTGCGCTAATGGATATCTACGTTAGTATTGCTATAAGCTTGCACAAGTTCTCAGTATAACGTGACATAACATGTGTGCATCTCATGCCCGCATGTGACTTGATCGTCCAGATTTACAAGTCGCGTTGCACGTATGTCGTATCGCTCCCGGACTGTGTGAGCATTAATTATGTATACAACGCACGGTGTTTCCGTCGTTTCTCACGTGGGAAGTCGAGGGATGGTTGTAGAATGAGGACAAGGAGAAGAGGTAATTACCGACCATCCTCTTGGAAATGCGGGAGAGAAAAGCGTGGTCGAGTCCAGGGTGGGTCCCATGCGTATAACACTGTATATGCTTGTCGCGACTACGGCTCGTGCTTTAGCTGGCATCCTGTACCGTACCTTCCTGTTCCAATACTGCAATGTGGCCAGGTCTTCACGCCTTCTCCACTTCAAGAGAACATGGAAAACTCGATCCACGGTACACTGTCTCTTCCCTGTGTTCTATAATGTTTATTGTCTAAGTTGCTTGGAGTATGGGCATGATTGTAGTGCGTTATCGTGGTTACGCTAAAGATGGAGGCTTCTTCTCGTTGTTGTCGCTGTTGATATCATGAAAACATGAAAGAAGCAGGAAGGAGCCATGCTGTAAGTGAAAGAACCTACCACCGCTCTTTCCTCTTCTTATAGTCTTAGACTGCATACGTACCTGAGCGTTGGGCATCACTCACCGGCACCTGCATTCCACCGGCCCGGTCTTAGTGAACAACCTCACCGTCACTATTTCCATATCACAGATTAGGAAGGATGCCAGCGTGGAAGTTGTGAGATGTGGCATTTACGCTCTTTCCCTTGATAAGCGCAGATCGCTGAGTCGCCATACATACAGCAGGCACACTATTAATTTCGGTACTCTCCACTCTTGTGACTTCATATCCATCAGCGAAGCGTCTACTGCATAATCAAATGTGGCTGCCCACATCATCTCTTCTTCCTGATCGACGGGGAATATATCCGACTTCGTCGTTCTTAAACACGTGTCTCTGTATCCTCTACCGTGGACGTGGATATGTTTAATCTGAACCTGGGGGGCCTCCACTGCTATTGGCCGCATATCCTGCTTCTCTTTCTCCGCCCCCAGTTCACCTTTCCATCTACTCATACGCAATGCTGTAGGTGGCGGCTATCGGGGAGAAGGAAACAATGCAGTTCGATCAAGTATTGCGTATCCAGCCTGCCCGCTTGCTTCCCTCTGCGTTGGCACCGACTGTCACCCAGTGAGGCGATATACCAGGTTTGAATTGACCAGGGGGCAACAAGAGCCAAGGGCGATCAATCAAGTGCGGCTATGGCGGTCCCTTCGGTATCTCCGCCAGAAACTTGTATACTGCTGTAGATTATCTTACTCACCCCTTAGGCAAGGAACTCCGCCCTTTGCTCTATTTGCTTGGCTGTGCGACGTGTTCGAAGGATGATGCAGATCACAGTCAGTCTCACTTTTGCCACTTGCTCGGCCTTACTTACTACTACTTTTCGGGTACAAGCGCGACTTCCTACTAGGCTAAACTTGAGTGACGTACGGCTCAAGATGCCGCCTCGAGTTACATCACTAACTTCTGCAAGTATGAAGTGTCATTGCAAGCGTAGGGATGCTGGAAATTGTGTAGTAGAGACTGGCAATGGGCTGGTGATAACGCCGATCAATTTGTAAAAAGGTGAACGCAGCCATGTAACTGGCGATTGGAGAGTCGCCGCGAGGCAACTACGTACGCGCATGCGGCCCAGATCTCACCCGCATTGCATACAACACGCTAGTGGACTACCGCCATGAGTATGCGCTGCTAGCAGTGGGGAGCGGGGGAGGCTTCCTATTACAAGCACAAGACCGAGAATATGAGGGGTGATAGGCTGGAAATCGAAGACGCAAAGTTAAAGCCATGTATTGGGTAATCTGCGGGTATCTTTCGATTGGGTATCTCTCGATCTATAGGTATCTCTGCGCAGAAAAAGGTAAAGCTCGTCTCGAAATTCCATTTTGGTCAGCTGCCATGGCCACGGCCTTGGATGAGCAAAATATCGAACAGTAGGCAATTCTGTAAAGAAAAAAATGTTACAAATGACCATCTTCTGTAAACGCCTTGACGACCGAACGCCGTCTATCAATATTATGCCCCTAGGTGGTTGAGTTCGTAAAAGTCGTTGTATTTTGTGTTTGTGTCGCAAGTGCATACATGCAAGGTTGCAACCTTGACGCTGCGTCGTTGCACTAAGGGCGGTCGTAATCGCTAAGAATGTCCTCCGGATCCTCGGGTGGAAGCATGTCGATAGTGTCGCTTGTGCGGGGGCCGGTGTACTTTTTCCTCGCTCCTGCATACCACCACACTGTGCTGAAAAGACCGATAAAGGCAGCCACACAGATGGCGTAGTTCATGTTGTCTAGTCTTACTGGCTTGACAGTCGGGAAGAAGAGGACGACACTGATGAAGATGACCCATGTTACTGCAATCGCGTTGACCGGTTTGCTCCATCTGCCCATCGTGTATGGTCCAGGGTGAAAGACCACAGTGCCTTCATACCATCGGTGTGCAATGATGACTGCGATATAACTAATGTCCAGGGCGGGTGCGGTGATGTTGAATATGGCCGTGATCGTTAGAGTGCTTCCAATGCCGATGAGATCGAGGCAGCTGCAAAAGACTACGACGAGCCACACTGCATTTACTGGGGTTTGCGTGAATCCGTTGACCTTGCTCCAGAAACTATGCATTGTCAGCTCACTCCACTAGCGTTACTTAGACCGAGTAACTCACCCCGAAAATGGAAAAGCTGCATCACGAGCAAAAGCCCAGGCCATTCTCGCATTTGCCAACATGGCTGAGCAACCGGTGAAGAACTGAACTAGCATGACAAAGAACCACATGATGGTCCCACCCGTCCTGCCGCCAGCATTGAAGAAGATCTGGGCAACCGGAAGACCGGTCGGCGTAGCCATGATCGCGTCGGGGTCTGTCATGCAAAAGCAGAAAGTTATTGTCAGCATCCAGCCAACGATACCGGAAACAAGGATCGCCGCTCGGATCGCTACTGGGCCACGAATGGCCGCATCGTGGGTCTCTTCCGACATGCTGTGTAACGTCGGTTAGGGTTGAATCCTATGTAAGACTGTAAGGCTGACTTACTGAGTTGTGCCGTCGTAATCGGTCATGGTCCACGCGACAGACAGGAAGCTAGTTATGATTAGTAACTGGTCGGCATACACGTGCTGAGTTACACGAACCCGAGAAGGAATGAGAAGCCCTTGCTTTGCCAGCCAGAACCATCCGTGACTGTTGTGAAGACCCATTGTGCACTTTGTTTGTTGGGTGTGAGAATGAGTAGAGCGATACAAATGCAGATTGATGCAATGACTGCTGGCTGTCAGAATATGTTCGAAACGAGTCGCGTTGTACATACTGTTGATAGGTGCAAACCATAGGATGATGCGATGAAGCCAATTTGTTGGGAAAGAGCAAATGGTGCCAAACATGCATAGCACAAAGATAGCGAGAAGAACCGTCTGGTACGCTTTCCTGCATTGATCGGTAAGTGAGTGCAGGTTAGGTAAGTACAATGGCTCTTACGGCTCGAAAGTTGATACCCCATCGTCTAGGGTGTGCATGACTGCAGTTGCCAATATCATTTGGGAGATTGTATACGCCAGACTAGCAACACCAGCTGCTTGGCCTAGGAAGTTGCACCATCCAATGATCCAGGCCCAAGGTGCAACGTGTTCGGGTGGCACGACGTGTTTTGTAACATAGTACATGCCTCCAGCTGTGGGATATGCGGAAACCAACTCCGCGACTGTGGAGTGTTAGCCGAGTCGGTATACATCGACTTAGAGCACGTACCTGAACTGGCTATGCAGTATGCCATGACGCTACCAATGAACCAGGCCCATACTGCTGTGGCTGGGCCTCCAGAGCTCATGGGAGCTCCAAAAGTAGCGGGAACTGAGCCTAAGACACCCAGGATAGAGATGGCGTAGGAGACGGTAGACCATCTTGAGAAGTGTCTTTGCAGAACCTGGAGATGGTGTTGGACAAGGTCTGGGTAGTGAGGCAAAGGAACTTACAGGTGTGTATCCAATGCGCACGAGTAGGCGGTCATCGTCATCTGCGATTGTTGCCATGATGGTTTGGTTCTGATTGTAGCCAGCTGCCTCTGCTGCCTTGGATCGACTGGAGATGGAAGGTTGGAGTGCGCTCCCGTCTACGGACGTGGCACTCAAACCGGCGTTTTTGGAGTCTGAACTGATAACCATGGTCAATGATGATCAGGTGAGCATGAGGGAAGAGAAGAAACAAAAAGGGTCCTCGCAACGGAGATGTACGAGGGAAATAGAAGGATGTACAAGGCGGTGGTGGGCCGCCGTCGGAGACACACTAGGAGGATTGACAGCAACGGCGTAGACCCACAAACCCAGGTACCGGGGAGCGGATACTTAGAATGGAAGGGATGTGTGGTCGGGTGAATTGGGGAAGAAGCACGGGTGACATGAAGTGATCTTTATCATGTCCTCGCTCAATAATTGGCAACCCTGCAAAGGGCAATGGCAAGACGACCCAGTAATATCAAGTTGCGAGATGCGAGATGCGACCTACTTGTCAGGGTAGTAATTTGAGATGTGTGGCCATGATGACACGTGCGGAGTGTGCTTGCTGGAGGCGTGAACGTGGGAAAAGGCAAGCAAGGAGTGGGACGAGAGCGGATATGCAGCGAATGAAGAGCAATCAGCCTCAGTTCCTAGACCGGCAGATCCCAGAGGCGAGGCAGCGATCGCGGATTTGCGGTACTGTCATTTGCGCCCGACTGCTGGTGCCGAACGTGTGAAGGGATTAGAGTGCTCGAGCCATGCAGGAATGATGCCGCTTCGGTGACCCAGAGTGGCGGGCCGTTTACCTACCTCGCATTTGCTTGGACTGGGGGGGGGGGGGGGGTAGGTGCACGGCGCTGGAAATAGTCTCATCAGCCACAACTACAATTGCAACACAGCAGCAGCAGCAATGGTGCGATGGCTTGGATGCCGAGCTGTTTTACGCCCTCGATTGAGACAGCCCGCCATGCAGATGGCACATTGCTGTCGTGTCCGTCCAGGGCTTCGTATCGTCGGAAGCTATGACGCACATGAATGAGAGCTGCGGCTTGCCTTGCGTGAGCTTTTGAGCGATACGACTCGGGCGTGACTACGGGCCTCCTGGCTGCAACCGCTTCCCCCTGACTGTTCGTAAGAAAAACTTCGTCCAGGCGGTGAGGACCACGAGCTTGATTGGCCGGCGCGGCTACTGTGATACTGGCCGAGGAGTGAGGCTTCTGTCTGGGAGTATGATATCAGGAATTTCGCTACTCTCTAGCAGGCCCCTTACCGCACCCGAGTCTGGGTGCGGCTCCTCGCGTCGCAACGGCTGGTCTCGGCCGGGACGCCATGAGTATTGGAAATGGCCTTGCCTGAAACGGCAATCGTGATGAACTGAAGCATGGGCAAGACGTGCGCCTCGATGCCGTTGTCGGTCGTGCAAAGAAGGACACCCACCAACACGAGCACGAGCAGCTTATCGTAGTAAGAGGCGCACGGCGTTATATTTCCTAGTCAAGTAGCGCAAGCGAACAAGATGCCTGCAATGGCACCACCACACACATGCATTTTGCTTGTACCGGTACCCTAACAGCCAATGCACGTTCAACACGATCCCGACGACTCTCCTTGACGGGGCGCCTCCTCTTCTACCATTCTTCTGGCGCCTTTTCCCACGTCACAAGTAGCAGCCAGCCAGTCTGAGGCTTTTGATGCGCGCCACACGTCTC